GGGCGCGGGCGCGGCGGGGCGTGGGCGTGGGTGTGGGCGGCGGGAGTCGCGTCGGATGCTAAGCGAGAGTGAGAGTGGCGGAGGCGGAGGGCGATACGAGGTTTGGCAGGGAGCGTGGGAACTGCGTCGCAGAGGGGAATGGAGCCCAGGCGAGGCGTGGAGGGAGCGTGGTAGTCGCGTGGGAGTCGCGTGTATTCCGCGTGTCACTCGCGTGGTAAGCATGAAAGCGTGAGAAGCGTGGCAAGAGCATGTGACAGAGTACAGACAGAAGGAGATTGGACAAACGGAGACGGTGAGCTCACATGCCATGATGACGCTGTTGTCCAGTTCCAGACCATGACAGCACCGCCAGGCCGCCAGCTTGTCGGACACGGCCATCACGCCTCACGCCTCACGCCTCGATGCAATTGCAATACGCCGTCGCGCGCCGACACATGTGCCAGGCTGGCGTCAGCGGAATGAGAACATTCACCACTCTCTTGCTTGTTCTTTTACATCACACTTGTCCAAACCAACACTCCTCTCACGCTCACCACCTAGGCCTTCCCACGCGCCACCTCTCCACTCCCCACTCCACTCTACTCCACTAGATCTCTTCTCATCTTGTTCTAGATCTCTCTTTCTCACTCTGTCTCTCCACTCTTCTTCTTCCCACCCACACCATCGCTTGCTTTGCCCATCACCCACCATCTCATCTCCCATCACACTCATCATCCATCTTGCGCTTGCTTCCACCTCCCCCTCCTCCTTATCACCCCACCTTATCGCACCATCGCCCATCAACTCTCTTCTTGACACTCGCACATCCTCGTCACCATGTCCCGCCCCGTCATGCCCATCAATACCCAGTCCCCCTCCTCCTCCTCCTCGCGCAGCGCCTCCGGGCGCCCTCGCATCAACGCCCTCTCCCCCCTCCAAACATTCTCCCCTCTTATGGCAGAGGCTGACCTCCCAAAAGTCAAATCTCCCACCTTCTCAACCTCCTCCCCTCACAGCATGACCCCCGCAAGCATGACCCCACGCACCCCACGCAGCCTCAGCCGCTCAGGCAGCTTTACAAGCCTCTCTAGATCACTCAGCAAGCGCGACTTGGCATTCACAAGCCGTCGCGCCGATCCTGACACGAACGACAGCGCCGGCATCACTACCCGTCTCCTCCTCGTCAAGGCGCCACCCTCTGCCCCAGACCGCACCTTGCGCAAGTACGTCCCTCATCCCGCCACACACCACCCAAGCTAACTCCCCAGGCGATCCCAGTCGTCGTCATCCCTCGCGGCTGTCTCCTCCTCATCTTCTCCCCCGCGCAACACGCAGCCCCAGCAGACCGCCCGCAAACGCTCCTTTGCCGGCGCATCGTTTGGCGGCTTCGGCCCAATGACCCAGCTCAAGCGCGATGCCTCAAATCCCGACCTCTCCGCCGCCGCCGCCGCTGCCACTGCCACCGCCATAGACAGCTCTCCCACCGGCGGGCACGGTGGTGGCGGCCTGACTCAGCTCCAGCGCGCACCTTCCCTCTCTCCTGAAGAAGTCATGGACCTCGCGCGCGGCATCATGTCCCCAGTAGCAGCATCTGACTCGGGCCCTGCCACCCCCGGTCGCCACCGTAGACGCAAGTCGACCGGCACGTTCAAGAACGCCGTCGGCGGAGGCGTGGTGCACGCCGAGCCCGAGCCCATCGCACTCGAACCCGTCGAGTACGTCGAGATGGACGCCGGTGTGCTCCTTCCCTTCCAGAACCGACCCGAGGAAGTCAAGGAACTGCTTGACCACCCCAACAACGCGCACCTCTTTACCCTCCTCCACCAGACTTTCCCACAGGAGCCGATGCGCCCGAACTGGAAGGACATTGACGTTCACGAGTGGAACTGGGACGAGTTCTACGCCCACCTCACCACCGTTGACCGCGCCGAGTGCCCCGACTACCCATGGGTCGAGCTTGCGCGCGACGCCGTGCGTCATCACAGCGTGTCGCTGTGGGAAAAGCTTGGCACTTGCCTCGGCTGCGATACCGAACTCATGATGGCAGGCGAGGAGGACGAGACGCCCGCGTCCTGGGGCGGCCTTGGTCTAGGCGATGAGGGAGACTTTGACCCCGACCAGGCGCGCGTGTGGATCGAGGGGCTCGAGCCAGTGGACGCTGAAGCCGAGGAGCGCAAGCTCACCGCCGCGTTTGACGACGACGGCGAGTTTGGCGCCGCTGGAGGCTTCTCCTCCTCCATGGCGACGATCGGGGAGGAGAGACACACTCCCTCGGGCCCGACGCCGGCGCAGCGCGCCGGGCGGGGTGAGATCCCCGACTCCTTCCCCTCTCCAGAGGGGCGCAACCAGCCTCTAGTACAGGACTTTGCCCTCGCGTCCTCTGCGTCGTCCGCGTCGTCCTTCAACTCGAACTCACCCCTGCGCAAGCGCGGCCGCAGCTTCGTCGGGCTGTCAATCACGACATCCGCGCCGTCGTTTGCGCCGCGCACGCCGGGATCGTACGACGAGCGCGAAGACTACGTGCAGCAGCGCACGGCTGGTAACCCCCTCTTCGTGAGCAGCTTCAACACGCTGTCGCTCGAGCCGACGCTGGGCCGCAAGCAGAGCACGACGACATATGGCGTACCTGCGGCGCACGCGGACTCGTTCAGAGGCTTCCAGAAGCCGGGGGACCGCATGCTGCGCCGCTCGAGCGGCACGGGGCTGAGCGAGAGCGCGATCACGTTCGTGAGCGACTCGAGCGTCGACGGGCCGTTCAGGTAGAGTGTAGTAGACCGTTGTATGAATGTTAGTATGAGTGTAGCAACGGCGCGCGTAAGGCACCTCGCAGAACATCAAGGTGCACTCAGCCCCCGATCGGTCAGCTGACGAGAAGTGGCACGCGGTTATCGAGGGACCACTTACACCTCTATCTCATTCCTCGCGCCGTCGTTCCCACCCACGTCGCCGAAGCAGCACATGACGAGCTAGATCCTCGGCTCGCCTGCGCCCGCGCTATCTTGTTCACGCACCCCGCAAGCGTCATGTGCTGCACCAGCTGACCTGCGGCGCGAGGGATATATGTCGCCCTCGTCTCTGCGCATTCGCATTCTCACCTCTCACCTCTCACCTCTTACCTCTTCTTTCATCACCCCGTCTCACACCCAATCACTCAATTGACAGCGAAGATGGCCGCTCAGTCCAAGTAGGTTGTCTCCTCCCTCCCAATCCCTCCCGACACCACCGCCTCTCTCCGCCTCGTCATCCCTCGCTACCCTTTGCCCTTTGCCTCCCTCTCTCCACACCCCCACCGCCACGCTCATCCTCCTCTCCCTATCGTCCCCCTCGCCGCTCACTCTAGACCTCTCGACTCGCCCCCCGAGGGCATCGACCCCGCCCACGTCCGCCCGACCAAGGGCCCGCGCCGCAACTCGTGCGAAGCCCGCCCAGGCCTGATCCAGAGCACGCACCTCGCTCCGCTGAACGAGGGGCTGATGGCGGATGTAAGCATCCTTTACTTCTCCAACTCCTCCACCCCCCCTCCAACGTCCCATGCCACGAAACCCCGCTCACCCCAGGACTCGCCCAAAATGGGCATCGACCCCGCACACATAAGCCACACCCGCGAACGCCGCAACTCGTGCGAGGCCCGCCCGGGCCTCATCCAGAGCACGCACCTCGCGCCGCTCAACGAGTGTCTCATGGCGCAGGACCGTGAGTCCGCGGCGGGGACCGACTGGGCGGACCCTGCACCCGCCCTCCTCCGCTTCCACCTTGTGCGCTAGGCTGATCGTAGGTGAAAACTCGTCGTCGACCAGAATGACCAAGTGAGCGAAAAGCGAAATGGAAACGCGAAATGGAGGAAACGAAAACAAGGAAATGAGGAAAACAGGAAAAAACAAGTGTGGTGTGGAGTATAGCGAAAATGCGGAAATCAATGAAGCACGTAATTTGCGACGACGGAAAACCCAGCATACTTGATCTAGTGTTATGCAGCGGTGACTGATGCTGGTCGTGACGTACTCAAGGTCAAGGATGTGTGCTATTCGGGAGAGTGCGCGGCTCAAGCCACTGTGCCACTTGAGCATTGTGCCACGCAGGCCAGTGTGCTATCCAGCCAGTGTGCTCTCGAGCATTTGTACTGCTCTCGAGCACTTGTACTACTACTCAAGCCCCAGTGCTACTCAAGCCAGCGTGGCCCCTCCTGCATTTATGCCCTGTCCAACATGTCGCACCAACCCTTGACATATCTTCTGATCTACAACTGAATACCCATTAAACCCCACCCTACAGCTTTGCACTGCCGCGCGCACCCTCCGTCCCCGCCTGCCATCCCTCCACCACGCCCCGCGCAACCTTGTGCGCAACCGCCATACTCGTAACCATAGGGTTCACGCCCGAGCTGGTGGGCAGCACGCTCGCGTCCGCGACCCACACGCCCGAGACGCCATACAACGCGCCGTCGGGATCGCATGCGCCGTCCGCCGGGCGCGCACTCATGCGGTTGCTCGCCATCTGGTGTGCGCTGCCGTAACTCGCCGGCCGGGTGGTGCGCACGAGCTCGGTCCAAGTGTCCCAGTCATCGCCGTCCTTCCAGCTCGGCACGCCGCGGCCGCACACGATAATCTCTTGCGCACCCAGCGCGCGCAGCATCGCCGCGGCCCCCACTGTCCCCGTCTGGATGTTGCCCGCGTCCGTCGCGGACACGGAGTAGTGCACGGCGGGCTCGCCGTGCGCGTCGAGCTTGACGCGCCCGCAGTCTTTGTCGCGCGTAATCACGATGAGGCCGAGCATGTGCGAGTGCCGCGCCAAGCGGCCCTTGTGCTCCGCGCCCCCGGCCCACGGGAGCAGGCTCATGCTCACGACGGGCTGCATGATCCCCGTCTCGATGCGCGGCCCATACCCTCCCGGCGTGAGGTTCGCGAACTCGCTCACGACCGACGTCAAGATCTGGCCCTCGGTCGGGTGCGTGTCCTCCTTGAACACGCCGTACACATAGTTCGTGGGGTGGAGGTAGATGCTTGCGCCGATGCGCGGGTTGCGCACGCGCGAGCGCAGCAGCAACGCCGGGGAGTGTATGCTTCCGCCCGCGACGATGACGCGTGGCGCCGGGAGCGAGGTCTCGCGCCCGTCGTGCAGCACGGTGACGCCGACGGCGGCGCGCCCCGCAAAGTCGATGCGGCGGACGTTGGCGCGCACGAAGCGCGCGCCGGCGCGCGCCGCGTCCGCGAGCCACGCGTGCACGCCCCCCTTCTTGCCGCCGGACACGCACCCGTTCGCGCAGTTGTGCCCGCACCCGTGCGGCGCGCCGCCCGCGTTCTGCGGCACGTCCGCGCGCGTGTACCCCATCCGCCGGGCGCCTTCGAGCAGCATCTGGTTCTGCACGTTGTGCGTCGGCGCACACACGCCCATCACGGCGCACACGTAGTCCATGTCCGCTTGGAACTGGGGGGAAGCAAAGTAGGGGAGCCCGAACTCCTTCGCCCAGCCTTCGCGCACCGCCGCAGGCGCTTGTAGGCTCGCGGCCCAGTTGACGGTGCTGCCCCCGCCGAAGACGGAGCCCGCGACGAGACCCACGGACCCGTCCTCCGTCGCGCGCAACACGCCGCACTCGTACATGTGCTCCAGGGCCCACGGCTCGTCATACGTCTGCGAGTGGTCGTAGTGGGCGCCTTTTTCGATCACGAGCACGCGCATGCCCGCCTCCGCCATGGCTTTGGCGGCGACGCCGCCGCCAGAGCCAGAGCCGACGATGATCGCGTCCCACCGCCCCTCGGCGGCTTGGGAAACAGTGAGGAACTCGAAGCCAAAGTAGCTCTCGGCAAGCGGCACGGGCTTTGGGTCGTACCGCATGACTTTGCGCACCGTCGCCGAGTTGCGCAGGTACAGCGCGATGCCGAGCTTGACGAGCGAATCGTAGATCTTGCGGTAGGTCGGGATCACACTCGTCTTCCACGACAGCAGCTGCTTCTCGCGCACCGCAATCGGCTGCGACTCGAACGGCGTGAACGAGCCGGTGAGGGCGAGGGAGCCAAAGTAGCCGCTGGTGTTAGGTGTGTCGGTTGTTTGTCTCTCTTCTCCATCGGCACTGCTTCCCATGCTTGTTCGTGCCGACCTCCGCCATTCTCCGTCGACCTCCACCGCCCTCCTGCATCCACCCCCTCCAGCCCACCTCCTTCGCACACTCACCGCATCAGCCCAAGCACCGTCTTGAGCTCGGCAATCTTCTCAGGCGCGAGGTGCGCAGCAAGGAGACTCTGCAGCTCCTCCCGCACGCCCGGCACCTTGCTGGGCACTTCGGCCGCGTAATCCGCCACGACGTCGATGTCGACCTCCTCCGCGAGCCCCGGGGCGCGCTTGAGCAGCTCCTCGACCGACATGGAGGGGATGACCGTGTCGAACACGGCCATCATGGTGCGCACCTCGTCGCGCGTGAATGCCTTGGGCATGGCGGGATCTGTGATGGAGTGGATGCGGCGAGAGGAGAGGAGAAAGAGAGTGAGGGATGAATGGGCTAGCGTGAATGGCGAGGGCGCTATAAGACAGCGCTCTTCCAGCGACCAGCGTGCGCCAGACGGGCCCCGCGCCCAGGTTGCCGGAACCGGTTGGGCCGAGTTGCCGGTCACACGGCGATTATTGCCCGATAAGCTGCCCTCATGTCTCATGCATCACAATGCATCGCGAGGCAGGTGCTCGGCAGGTGCTCGCCGCGGCAGAAGGTCGCGGCGCTTGCCGCTCGCCCGGAGGCCGGAGAGGGAGACTACGGTTATCTCGGCATTGGCAGGCATGGGGAGGCAGTGGGAAATGCGACGAGCATGAGATCAGCTTGGGCTGTATGAGACGCGGGAGCTAGCGTGTCGACGCCTGCAGTCCTCGAGATCCATTGAGCAACACACGTCGTGCTCCTGCAAGTCGTTGTCGACTCTTATATCGCAACACAGATCGCGCCACTCGCTTCACGCGGCCAGGCCATGTCCGGCGGCATTGATCTCGTGAATAACAAGCGCCGAGGCCGAGGCCTGTGCGCCCCGCAAAAGTCGGCATCCATCGGCACCGCCCGCGACGGCCTGCCAGTGTCGAGGAGCGCGTAGCCACGCACTTGTGGCACGCTCGAGCACGATCAAGCGTCGGATCCGCCTGTCTGCGCTGCAATGTGTCCCACGCGGTCCATGGAGATGGCTTCAGGACGCGGCAACCTGCACCAGGTACGCTCCACTCGGCGTCTTGCCGGCAGATCTGCTGCTCCCACCATCGGTGGCGTAGTGGAGATGGATTGTGATGGTCCGGCGAGCCTCGTCTGGAAAAGCAACCAAACAGCTGCCATCGACGCCCACCAGGAGCACCAGGTGCGGAAGGCGGATGTCCATGCCCCGTCGTGGGGCCGAGTCAGGTTTCAGGTCCCACGGGGTGGCGGCGGGGATACAGGTGGTTTACAGGTTGCGCGCTCGTCAAGCACTGCCAAGATGTTGCCCGTGGAATTTTAGGCGCCGGAGTACCGACTCGACAGCCAGCCGCCCCGCAGGCCATCATAAGCAGGCGAGCGGGCCTGCTGCCCACGCCACCCACCATGATCCCATTGGAACCGACCGTGTCCCGCGCCTCGCGGCGGTCACGACACAGCGAGCACGACCTGCACCCGTACACCGAGCAGTGGGAGTCGCACGGCGAGCCCTCGTCACCCCGTCACTCGCTGCACTCGCTCCGCTCCCGCCCCGCCCACATTCACCCCACCGCCCACCACCACCCCTCCGAGCTTGAACGCACCACATCCCCCCGCCCCGAGACAGTGCACTCGATCGAGGAGGCGGGGTATGCCGCGCCCGTGCCGCTCGGCGACGGTGTGCTCGAGTCGGCGGTTGCGCCGTTCCACTCGCGCCCGGACGATGCCGTCGAGCCCGGCGGCGGGGGCGGCGCAGTCGACGAGGCTGCGCGCATCGCCGAGCTCATTGGCCCTCCGCCAGATGGCGGCCGGGATGCATGGCTCTGTGTCGTCGCCGCCTTCGGGCAGCAGTTCGCCATGTTTGGCCTTAGTGCGTAGGCTCAGCGGCAGCGCTAATCCCAGTGACGGCCAACGGGCAGCTGCAGGCCTATTACTTGAACAACCAGCTGCGCGAGTACTCCAAGTCGGACATAGCATGGTTCGGCTCGATCCAGACGCTGATCGAGTTCTCGTTCGCCATCTTCACCGGCCGCTACTTTGACATCCACGGGGCGCGGCTGCTCGTGTCGAGCGCGACGCTGCTCGCGTTCGTCAGCGTCATCGGCCTCGCATTCAGCCGCGAGTACTACCAGTTCTTCCTCTCGTTCGTGCTCTTCGGCTTCGCCGCGTCGCTCATCTACGCGCCGTCCGCCGCCGTCGCGAGCCACTGGTTCGACAAACGCCGCGGCCTCGCCATCGGCTGCATCGTCGCCGGCTCCGGCCTCGGCGGTGTCCTCTACCCCATCATTCTCGAGCAGCTTTTCCGCCAGATCGGATACCGCGACACGATGCTGTTCGTGGGCGCCCTCAATTTCTTCCTCATGTTCCCCGGAATATGGTGGATGAAGACGCGGCTGCCGCCGCGCGCCCCGCCAAAGTGGAGCGCGATGAAGGCGCCATGGAAGGACATCCGGTATGTCGTGCACGTCATCGGCGCCGCGCTGTTCGGCATGAATGTCCTCGCGCCCTACTTTACCGCCATCTACTAAATGGACAGCAACAATGTGCCCAAACATATCTCGGACTATGCGGTCGCCATGGCGCTCGGGGGCTCCCTCGTCGGCCGCTGCATCTTGGGCTGGTTCGCCGACATCGTCGGCGTGTGGAAGGTGTTTGGCGCTGTGGGCCCGGTCTCGGGAATCATATTGTTTGCGCTTTGGCTGCCTATTGTAGGTACTGCGCCGGCCATCGTCGGCCTCATAGCGTACGGTATGATTTCCGGCTCGTGGTTCGCCCTTCTCCCCGCCGCCACCGCCACCATCTCGCCCGTGCACGAGGCCGGCATGCGCTTCGGCATGCTCATCTCGGCGCTGGCTGTGCCGTCGCTCGTCGGTCCGGTCATCACGTCCGCACTCATCGAGAAGGGCAACAACACATTCAAGTGGGCAGCGGTTTGGGTCGGTATATGCTCCATTTTGACCGGTGTGGTTGTCAACTCGGTCCCCGCCATGACGTGGTGGCGGAAACGGATGGCAAGCAAAGAGGAAGAGACGGACACGGAGCTGGGTGCGGTCCCTAGCAATGTGGAGAAGTCGCGCGACGTGACGGACGAGAAGGCGCGCGACAGGTAGTTGGCACATCAGTTTGCCTAGCATGCACCGCTGTAACATCAGAGCTGTGATTAGTTGAGTGTTGACAAGGTGAAGCAGTGGACCGCTCAGTGGGCACAGCATTAAGAAGAAGACATAAGCAATACATATACACATGGAACGACCGCAACCCCTACCACTCCTCCTCCTCATCGAACGCGGGCGGCTCGTCTCCAAAGTCGACCCGTGTTTCTCGCCTCGTCTCAAGCGCTGTGCTCTCCTCCACCCCGGTCTCGCGCTCCATCTCCGCCAGCGCCGCTAGCTCATCCTCGTCCTCATCATCATCCACATCCGGCCCTGGGGCAAACAGCGGCCGCCTGTCCGCCGCAAGTGTCTCAGCACCTGGTGCGTACCGGAACGTCTCGTCGCCCATGCTCTCCTCCCCTCGCTCGATAAACGCGTCGAGCGACTCCTCCTCGCGCCGAGGCGAGCCAGCGGCTGACCCCTGCTCCTCCGGATCGGGAGACGGTGTGCGTGGCGGTGGGTGGAACTCATCGCGCAGACCTCGGATCGCGTTCTGGTGTCAGCCCAACCTCACGCCAATGCGCCGACATACAACCATTTGATTCTTGCGGCAAACCGCCTCGATACGCCCAATAGTATACCCAAACTCGCCCTTCGGGAACATGCCATGCGCCCAAACCTGGTACGTGTCCATGAGGCGCTCAAGGTCCGATGTCTGGGGTCAGCCCGCAATCTCTTGGAGCCTACCTCATGCCCCTTTCCCTTAACCTTGAACTTGCGCGCGGCGGCCACGAGCGCCGGAAACCCCTTCGGGCCCAGCAACCGGTCCGGGTCGACTTTAGCGATCACGCGCCGCCGCTTCGGCTCCTCCTCCGACGCCCCGCCCGCCGCGAGCGGGTCCTGCGCCGCGAGTGGGTCGTCGAACAGCTCGGCGAGGACGCGCGGCGCGATCCCCTGTAGTTCGGGGGTGGGATCAGGCACCCCACTCCCATCTGCATTGTCCAACCGCCTACGCGGGGCGGGCGCAGGCGGCCCACTCTCATCTAGAATGTCCAGCCGCCCACGCTCGGCGGCGCGGGTAATCTCTTGCAGGTCTCGCTGGAAGCCGGGCGAGCGTAGCAGTTCTGCAAGCGAGAACGGCGGGGGCGAGGGCGACGAGTCGTAGAGGCGCCGCTGCCGCTTCATCGGTCTCTCGCTGGACGTGGATTCGTCGTCGCTGATCGCGGATTCGCCGTCGCCGGACATGGATTCGTCTTCGCCGGACGCGGATTCGCCGTCGAGAAAGAGAGCTTCCTTCCGCCAAGGCGATGGGGGCGGCGAGTCATCGTTGAAGAGGTCGGTGAGGCTCATAGCTGCTGAGTGTGTATGACAGCTGGTTATTGTTGCGCGAGAGTTGGGAGTAATGTTGTGGAAGCCAGACGCGTCGCGTCGCGGAATCAGACCCACGTGCTCCATGGCGAGGATGCCAGTTTAGCCGCCCGGAGGGAATAGCCGGCCGGCCCGATAGCCGCAGAATGCCGTCCTGAACCGACGTCCGCAGTCAGCACCCACTCCCCACTTCGCTCTTCTGTGCAACTCGTTCTGCTCTTTCCACCCCAACTCCTCCCCAAGCACTCAGCATGGCCGCCCAGTTTACCCCTCCCGCTTCATTCGGTGTCGACGACCTCTTCTCTGTCGCTGGTCGCGTAAGTCTATCCGCTGTACAATCCGCTCTGGTCTCCGTACATCCTCATGTGCCACGGGCTCGACCTCGGTGGGCTGCGGCAGCGCATGATTGGAATCCCTCTTCCAGGATGCACTGACTCCAGACGGTTGTCATCACCGGCGGCGGCACTGGTCTCGGCAAGGGTGAGCCATGGCCCGTGCAGCACTGATGGCAGCCATCGCCAACGCATACGTCGTCAACGGCGCCAAGGTGTTCATCTCGGGACGCCGCGCCGAAGTTCTTGACGCAGCTGTCAAGCTCATCAAGCCGCAGGCTGGCAAGGGAGGCGACATCATTGCGTGGGTACTTCCCCCTGCCCCAATTTGACCTTCAGCGTACAGGGTGATGTGGGCACCAAGGCGGGGTGCAAGAAGCTGTACGAGGATATTGCGAAGCACACGGACGTCGTGGACGTGCTTGTCAACTGCGCCGGTGTCATGAAGAACTACCGCAACCCTACCTTCGACGTTGACAACAGTGAGTGGGGAGACGGGGGTGGACCAGGCTGGCAGAGTCGCGGGGGACCCCAAGCTGATGGCAGTCGACGCGGTCGCCAAGATGCTCTGGGACGGCTGTGACGACGACGACTTCAACTACACTAACCAGAGTAAGCTTTCTCGAGACACTCCACCCACCCGCTCACACCAGTCAACATCAACGGCGTTTACTTCACCACGGTGGCTTTCATCCCGCTCCTGATGAAGTCGGACCTGAAGTCTGTTGTAGTGATCGCCTCCATCGCAGGCCACATCCTGCAGCGCGCCGTCGGCTCCGTGTCGTACGGCGCCTCCAAGGCTGGCACGATGCACACGGCCAACCTCCTCGCGGGCCGGCTCTCGCCGGCCAAGATCCGCGTTAACACCATCTGCCCTGGCATCTTCCCGTCCGAGATGACGGGCACGTCGGCTGCGGAGGGCGGGCACAAGTACGACATCGGCAAGCCCGCGCAGATGGCTGCCGCGCGCAGCATCGTCGGACGTCCCGGTATGCCGCACGAGATTGTTGGCCCCGTCATGCTCCTCGGCTCGCGCGCCGGGTCGTACATGGACGGTGCGACGCTCGTCGTTGATGGCGGCCGCGCTCTGTCGGCGGGCATCAACGAGGGCGTGCGTATCAAGGAGGAGCTTATTATCAACTAGAGGACGTTTTGATAGAGCATGAACGTAGATGAATTGCCAGGCAGTCTGTGACATCGTGGACTGTGTGGGCACGTCCAGCATAGTTGGGGGTTTTGGGATAAGGGGGCTCGTGTTGAAAAGGCGAGTTGTGTGCTCTACCTGCAGTACTGCTTCCCATCACGTCGAGCACTGCTTCTCGTCACATCAGTGGGGGCTCAACACATCTCCGCGCGCTGTCAGCTGCTGAGATCCAACACCATACATGCGCGTCACAAATGGACAGGCGGCACTTGCGCGCTATCCTTGTTTAAACCCGCCTCCTTGTGTTGCAAGTTTCTTGCGTTCATAGAATGCGTCGACTCGTGATGCACCCAACTGTCCGTCAGCGCCTGCTACACCCCTCGCCAACTCACGTTCACGATGCGCGGACATCCATCACGGTCCTTCTCGAGCCTCGTACACTCGACGCAGTAGTATGCGTCCGAGACGGCTGACATTAGCTTGGCTCGCCTGGTCATATGCAGCACCCAGCACTCGCTGAGTCATCAACTCACCATGCGCGCCGCAGACTACACATCGCGTCCCGCTCTGCCCGAACGCGCACTGGTCGCAGATATGCACGAGTGTCATAGGGCGGACGAATGAGTCGCATACAGGGCTGGAGTTAGCATCGGACAGACTGAGGGGATAAGGGGGGGATGGGTGGATAGAAACAGGACGAGTCCGGCGCAAGCAAAGAGCGCGGTTCGCGATATCGGTACAGCATAGCACATGCGCAGCGTTGAATAGCATGCGCAGAGCTGTATGGCATGCGCAGAGCTGGAGGACATGTGCCGTGCTGAAGAGCATGAGGGCTGTGAATGGGGGCCAGAAGGTCCTGGTCGGCGCGGCCACTCGTCGCTACGCAAGTGATCCCCACTTGCTCGTGCAGTGTTGACGGAGAATACCACACACCGTAACAATGTGCTACACTCACCACTTGCCGTCACACTTCTCGCAGACGCGCCCGATAGCGACGCCGGGTTGCCGGCGGCACATGAGGAGATCTGTCGTCAGCTTCAATCACACTAATCGATGACAAGGTCGACCGCGGAGACATACCGGTGTGGTGCTTAGACTGCTGTCAGCTTACACTACGCAAGATAACTCACCATGTTGGTTCGGCGGAGGAAGTGGCGAGGATGGTGATGAATGAACTGGTAAGATGTGTTGACACCAAGATGTAATAAGTTGAGCGGCGAGTCGCTGACTCAGCGGAGTTGCGTCAATCTCCGCACCGGCCGCACACAGCCGGACGGAAAAACCAAAAGGTCGTCCTCACCATAGCTCAGTTGGTAGAGCGTCGGACTGTAATTTGATACCTTGCCTCTCGATAGAGAGGAGTACATCCGCAGGTCCTGTGTTCGACTCACAGTGGTGAGAGTATCTTTTGCTCCTGGCGCAACCACCCGCTCTCTCCAGCTCTGAGTTGCAGACGAAGAGCAACGGCGTCACTGTTACAGCACCCACCCTCTAGTCGTTGACAGGAGTGGGGGCCACGCTGCCTACGCTGGTCCTCATATAACTTTGCGACCAGCCCGTGGCCCGACTGTGCTCCTCGTCTCCCTCACTGCGGGCACTGCCCCCCATGTTCTTGTCACTCAAGCCACTGCGAGGTGCGTATTAACGCCCATAGGAGGCATACAGACTGTATGAGGGTAATGATCTTTGCTGTGTGACCAGGATGGCATCGGCTCACACTGAACACCGTGTCCGTCTCCCTTGTGAGCAGTCCAAGTGTCAAATACTGCATTTGGCAGTGACAGCAGCCATTCCCAACGGCGGTGCCCTCGCCAACGCTATGAATACATGTCCTAGATGTATTACAACACAGTGTGTCCTCTAGGCCTCTGCGGCGGTGGTTGTACAAGACTTATCCGGGGCGCCTACGCCCTCATTCCCGCCTTCTTGAGCACGTCGGCCGCCAATCCGCTGCGGTCCGGGCTCGTCCGCACGCTGGCACCGCCACTGAGCGTGTCAAACGCCCAGCGTCTGCCGGGCCACGCACGGCGGAACCGCACGACAGGGTCGTCGTGGACATCACCGCTCGTACTCTGGCGCGACGACGTCGAGGGGGGCGACTGCGACGCAGAGCTCGACAGCGTAGTGCAGCGCGTAAGGGAGGGGGTGGACTCCGTCGCCTCCCACTTTCCTGGCGCGCGGGCGCGCACGAGGCTGCGCGCGGCTTCGATGGCCGCGTCCACGCGCGGGATGGGATGGCGGAGGGCGGCGGCGGCGGCGAACAGGCCTTCGCTGACACACCCGTAGCTCGGGAGCCGGGACAGCGGGTCGCCGTCGTACCGCGCCCAGCTGGTGGGGAGGATGTGGAGGCTCTCCATGCGATGCAGGGACGTGAGGTCGTCCCGGAACAAGCCTGGCGTCAGTGCTGTCGCGCAGAGACGTACCGATGGACTCGTCGAGGCTCGCTTGGACTGCAGCGAGGTGGGCTTGCATGTACGTTGCGTTGGGGAGGGCGGTGGCCAGTGTGTTCGACGCCGCGCGCAGCCGGTCGCGAGAGGACAGCAGGGCGTGCCATGCCGCCACGAGGGTGGTGCGCGGCAGCGTGCCCCCGCGCCAGATGAAAGCCGTGAAGAAAAGACGGGGAGTGTGCGTGTGCGGCGCGCCGCGCCGCCGTGTTACGGTGTACTGCACAGTTGCGGAAACGCGGTGTTCCAGGCTTTGATACCACTTCGCTGTGGGAGGGAGGGCGGAGACAAACGCGTTGGAGGCGGATGGGTTCATTGGGGCGAGGGGAGAGGCGATGTCCGATGCAAGAGACTTGAGATGACAGATGGGGTGGAGATGAAGAAAGAGAGGAGATATAGGCTGCGGAGGACCAGCAGCTTGGTATGTATGTGGATGGAGACCAGTGGGAATTGGGCGAGGAGAGTGGTTGCAATGAGATCTGATGAAGACTGGAACTGGAATGAATGGAACTGCAGAGATGAGATGGTGGGAAGAGCACGTATGTTGTGTGCAGGGCGTCAAGCTCGACTCGGTCGCCGGCAGCGGCTTGCGTCGGCGCGACGTGAGCTCAGGCCTGCGGGCTGGAGGCAAGCATGGATTCAAAGCCTCGGGCTACGCAGTTTGTGCTGAATGCTCGAGTGAATTGTGTGTCAGTCGCGTGCGGATCATGTGCGTCATTACCTCATTCACTGTTCCTGCAGATCTCGGTATGTGCGCCGCCTCAACGGGTAAAGCGGCTATGTAGTTGTTGTTGAGCGGGGCGGAGAGATCAGCGTGATGTCGGGTGTGGCGGGTGGCACAAGGAGTTGCAGAATGACCAAGAGACATCAAAAGTTGCGGCCTTTTCAAGGATTGTAGTCGCAGCACGCTGACCGCCTCACTGCGACGCAGTAGGATTGGTCGCGGGGCTAATATAAATAGACGCGTTTCAGCGCAACAACTGGGTCCCAGCGTACGAGGAATGTGGCATCATGCGCTGCTCAACCTACATCAAATGCGATAGATCTGCCTCGGGACTGCATCTATGGCATGAAGGGAGGTGTCTAGGCAGTTCCAGTTTCCAGCTGCAACTTGGCTTCACTGCAAGGCGTCGGCGCCGCGAATCGAACGACGTCCGTGCGTCGCGGAGACCGCCGTGCCGCGCCCCTCAACACGGCCCGTGCGATGCAGCCACGCGTCAAAGTCTGGTCTGAGCGTTGAAGAGAGAGCTGAACAAAGCCTTTCTTGCTCTCATCATCACACACTCGTTCGCCAGACATGTTGATACTCGCCCTCGCTGCGGCAGCGCTTGCCGCATCCGCGATTGCACAGCCTGAAGATGGACACGATGGACAAGACGGGCAAGATGGCGCTGGGCGCGTTGGCCTGCAGAAGCGGGGGTGAGTTCGGACCGGCGTTCGGGCGCCGTGGTGCGAGGCGCGAGAAGAGAGCCTAGAAGGCCTAAAGCCTGAAGAGTTGGTGACGCGTCGCGCGTCGAGGGTACTCTGGTTTCTGGAGCCGATGCGGAATCATGGCTCTGTCGGGGATGATTAGAGGGACGGAAGCGGAGGACTCCCGATACGCGAGTAATCCTCCCGCGTCGGCGCTCAAGCTTTCTGCTCACCCATCACTATGCCGCCATCACCTGCCGCGCCTGACTGCTCGCCGCTAACACCAGATGGGGATGGAATCGGGCACGCTCAGCCCATACTCCATTGCACCTCCAGCCGCCTGACAGGGCGCCACTTTGCGCCATCGACAACGGCTCCGCCGTCAAAGCTCGCGCTTGGGGACGCAATGGTGTCCGCGCGGCAGGCCCGCGCCCAACGCCGTGTCTCACAAGCAACCGATACCCCGTCATCAACGTGCGGCAGACTATCGGGTCGACAACTTCCTCGCCGCGGCCCACCTCAACATCATCCCCGCGTCCATCCAGCTCCTCCGCGCGGCCCTCATCCTCCTCCGCGCCACCCTCCAGCTCGTCCTCGAGCTCCTCCGCTCCCCCGTCCAGCTCATCCTCTCCCACCCCATCCCCTACACCAACTACCACCGAGGAGCCGCCGACAACCACTACGGAGTCGAGCAAGACCAGCACGCTCGACACAACGACCTCGGAAACGTCCACCTCCTCTTCGTCCCGCACCACGCCCTCTCAGTCGCCGTCATCCAGCGCGCCGCCAGCCGCGCCTACCACCGTGCCAATCGGCGCCATCATCGGTGCCGCAATCGGTGGCGCCGTCGTCGTCGGCGCCCTCGCAGCTCTCCTCATTGTCCGCCTTAAGAAGCGGTCTCGCCGCCGCCCCCGCGACTCCCACCTCTTTATGGACCCCGACTTCCCCATCGCCCTCGACCCCTACTATCCTGTGCCGGGCACGCACTCGCCCGCGCCCTCTAACCTCGCCCGTAATCCCAGCACCGGCAGCATGACGGGCCTGACGAACCGGCGGTCGGGGTACGAGGGCTACGACAACGTCGAGTACGTCTACGCCGGGCCGGACGGATACTACGACCCGGCTACGGGAAAGAGTGCCGCGCCTCCGCAACGCGGCCCAAGTTACGTGCAGCGCGTGCCCGCGCGCCAGCCGAGTCTCAGCCAGGGCCAGTATGCGGCGTACGCTGGCCCGGGGGCTTGCATACCAGAGAGCGAGCGGTACGACTACGACGGCCACAGCCATGTCCAGCACGCACAGTACTCGCAGCCGCAGGGATACCCTGCTCCGGGCGGATATCCGCCGCAAGCCAACTACCATACCCAAGCACCGATGCAGCCACAAACAACTGGCGGATACCCGCAGGCCGGGTACTACGCCGCCGAGTACGCGCCCGCGCCCGTGTCCAACGCATACCCCGCCAGCCCGGCGCGTGGGCCGATGCGGGCGCCATCCGTGTCTACCAGCTCGCCAGTGATCATGGCGGCGGCGCCCGCACCCGCGCCGCCGCACGTGTCGCCCGACATGGTCACGCACGAGGAGGACGCAGGCGTCGTCCTCCCCACGACGCTGCCGCCGATGTATCGCGCCGAGTGGGCGCCGGGCGGTACGAAGCCGGCCAAGGGGTAGATGGATGCTTTTCGATCGCAAGCCGAGGAGGGAGCGAGCGGACGCGAGCAGGCGTTAAGTGTGGTGGGCCAAACACATAATAAGCATGCGGCACGGGATCTCGTGGTCACTGCCACGCCGTAAGCACCGCCCTATGTTTGATTTGTGGAGGTGTGCCTCAGTGTACCAGTTGCTGTGTTCAGTCATGTTTCCGCACTGTAGCGAGCACGACGGTTCTTGGGCGGTGGACAGCTTTTAGCTTGGGCGGCCATGTAGGGGAGGGACAGTTACGGCATAGCGTCATTTTGGCATGCCGCACCCTCGCACTAAGTGAAGTGCTAGCACCACACCCCCACCCGCGTTGTCTTGTCGGGCATGTCGGCGACGCCGTTCCGTCTCGGCGGAGAAGAGCTGCGCCATGCGGGCGCTATCGCTCGATACGAGCTACGGTGGAACAAATTGAGCCATGAGCTACGTAGAAGGGGTGCGCTGTTTTCGTGCGGAAAGACGGACTGGGACTGGGACTAGGAACATGTTAGGGAGACCCTCAAACATGGCTCTCTTCCGTAAATAGACACACGAGGATAGCGAGCAGGAGTCTGTTGGTGGAATACGACAGGATGGAGAGGGGGATGAAGAGAGAGAATGAAGAAAGAGAGAGAGAGAGAGAGAGAGAGAGAGAGAGTGGAAGAGCGTGGCTCGTGGATGATCGGCAGAGTTGTCGGAAGGAATCGTTGTGTGCAGACTCGAGTGGATGGAATGCTGAGCGGGGCGGTGCAACGCTTGTCATGTTCTTTCTTGACATCCTTGTCATCTCTCTCACCTTTCTCATCTCTCTCATCTCTGTCAGCGTTCCCATCTCTCCCATCATCCGTCTGTCTCAAGCATCATCTCTCTGACTCCACGACCGACGACTGCGCAACGACTCTTAATCAACATTCACACCCCAGCACACTCGTTTCCAACCTGCCCTCCACGCTGTGGCTCTCGACGCGTGCATCTAACTTTACGCAACTCACAACTCTGGGACCATGTCTCCTCGCCTAGTCGCGCGGTACCCCAGCCGCGGCCGCATGTCCAGGCGGCAAGACCCCGCCGTGTCCAGCACGTCGTCGCCGCTTCCTTCCACCCCCGCCGCTGGCTCGAGTTCAGATGCGCCCCCATCATCTGCGCCGCCCCCCTCCACGGACCCCTCGGCCTCATCCTCATCCTCCAGCCCGCCATCGACCTCCCCTCCGTCATCGACACCACCCACGAGTACACCCCCAACATCTACCCCTCCTACGAGCGAGCCTCCGACCTCTACCCCTCCCACTTCCACGCCGCCGACTTCCACGCCTCCGACGTCCACCCCGCCTACCTCGACGCCACCAACTTCGGAGCCCCCTACTTCCACTTCGACGACCACTGTCACTCCCCCACCGCCCACAAGCTCGACTACACAGGCGCCCCCTCCCCCGCCCTCGACATCCACGGTCGTCATAACGGAGGATCCCAACACACTCCCGCGCACCACTACTACCCCTATCAGTCCCACCACTTTTGTGCAGAACGGCACGACGGTGATCATTTCCAGAACGGCGACGGGGCAGATTCAGAGCGAAGTAGCTCAGACGGGCGGCAAGTCTACCGCGAACATTGGCGCGATCGTCGGCGGAGTGCTGGGCGCGGCGGCCCTCGTGGGCGTGATCGTGGGCTTTCTCCTGTTTTGCCGCCACCGACGGAGGAAGCAACGCTACGATGGTGTCCCGCAGATGCCCCCTCGTCCGAGCTGGACACCCCTGTCGCCCGTTGCGACGCTGCCCACGCTCAGCTCGGGCCCAGCCTACGAGCCATACTACGATGCATTTCAGCGCTACGACCAACCGGCCCCTTATGTGGATCAACAGCCGTCGGATGGTCGTGTCCGCTCGAACCCCAACTCGCAGTACTCGGCCTACTCGCAGCTCTCGACGTTGGACCCGTCGCCCGACTCGAGCACGGGCCAGCTAATAGGTGTGGGCGCCACAGTTGGCACAGCAGGCGCGGCCGCAGCAGTCGGGGCCGCAGCAGCCTCCGGCACGCGACACCGCGACGATGACGTCTGGCACGAGGCGCGCATGTACCAGGACCACTACTTGCCCGATCCCAGCCCCTCGATAAACAGGGCGGAGCACACCGGCACGCCTTCCTCGTCGTACGCTTGGGGCGCCGCCCAGCCGACGCGTAAGTTGGGCATGACGAATCCCGACCCCGAGACGCCCGACACGCCCAAGTCCAGCTACTTCGGCCTGTCCGAGCCGCGCGACGAGAGCCCAGGTGCGAGTGGCCCAGGGGTAGGAGCGATGGCGGGGGTGGGCTTGGGCGCAGCCTCTGCTGTGTCCTCTAGACCGGGCACGACGATGCCCTCACCGCCTCGGCCCCCCAAGAGCGAGCGCCGCCTGAGCGGCTCACCGCTCGTGTTGCACACGAACCTCGCGGACCCGCAGATGGACCCGGTTCCTCTCTCCGCGGTGCGCCAGAGCGAGGGCGGCACAATGGACTCGGACCCCTTCAAGTGGGACGCGATCAGCGCGGCACACTCCGCACTCACCGCCAACGCCGCTGGCCCCTCGCAGCCTGGCCTCGCGATATCACCCCCGCCCGGTGCGGAGCAGCCTTCCGCCGGGCGCCTGCCCGTAAAGAAGGACCTGACGCACGACATGCTGCGCAGACAGGATACCCTGCCGCCGTACAACCCGCAGTGGGAGAACCGGCTGAGCGCGGGCACGTTCGGCGACATGAAGCGCGAGCTGCGTGAGCGCGGCGGAGACACAGCCTAGGACAATGCTGGCATAGAGGACCGTGTATTCTAGCAGCTAGACCAGGCGGCAATGTATAATACTTCGTCAAGCAACAGGTCGAGCAATTCCGATTCTAGGTGCCTGGGTCTGTCATGATTCGGAGTGGTGCAAGATTGCGGTATGCGACGTACCGTACCTCATGTGCCGCGGCGGGCCCAGTAACCCACCGCGAGGTCAGCTGTCGTCGTCTGCCCACCCACCAACGCCGTGGCGGAATTGCACACGGGTGGCGAGTGGAGTGACCGACATCCCGACTTCAGACTATACCAGCTCATCATGGTCCCGCAGCCCCCTCCTCCCACTCACTTTCTTCGATCTGCTAACTCGACACGCCGTCGCTGACACCGCTCCGCTCCGCCACGCCCCTAACCCACCCCACGCCACCACCATCGCTCCTGCAATGCCGGGGCTCGACCACACCTCCTTCCCGCACATAATGGACGCGATACTCGTGCACGCCCCGCGCTCCGCCCTCCTCGCGCTGCGCGCGACCTCGCGCGCCTTCCGCGCGCTAGCCGACGACCGCCTATGCTCCCACGCCGAGCTGCACGTCACCGCGCCCAACTCGTGGCGCGTGCGCACCGCATCCGGCCCGCTCCCGTGCATGCCGGGCGACGTCGCGGCGCCCTGCCTGCGCGCGATCCGCGTGCTGACACTGCGCACGCCGGCGTCCCAGATGCGCATGGCGCGCAAAGACCTGCTCCTCCCCCCGCTGGCGTTGGACGCACACACCCTCGTGCTCCCGCACCCGTTCCGGCTCGCGATCGACGACCTCGCGCCGGCGCTCTCGCGGCTCGTCGTACACGCTGCGCTGGGGCGCAGCTTCAACTGCGATAAAACCGGCTGGTTTTTCCCGCCCACGCTCGAGGCGTGTGTTCCCCCCTGGGCCGTGAGGTATGCGCTGCACGTCGCCGTGCCGCCCGACGAGCCGGAGCTGCATGCCACAAGGTGCGCGTTCTCCGTCAGCCGACTCCATGGGCAGGACAAAGGCGAGGAGGAGGAGCAGAGCGCGCGCGACGTCGTCGTCGTCTTCCGCGTCTCGCCGGGGCGCGCGGCGCGCGCCATCCAGCCCCCCCGCCCGCTCGGCATCCTCCACGACTTCGCCGAGGCTGCCGCGGACCATCCGGCGTGGAGATGGACCGTCGTCGGCGTGCAGGAGATGGCGGAGGCTGCGCCGCACGCCGTGCCCCTCCAAGAGGGGGTGTATGCGCGGTTCATGGATGTCGCGGGGCCGGCACAGGTGCGGTTCTGTACGGTGGCGGAGTATGCGCGGTCTGGCGAAGGGTTGCTCGAGATCGGGGAGGCGTAGGACGTCTGCTCTACGCTCTACCACGGCTGCCAACGCTGGTGATGGTATCTACCGTACATCGATCGAGAAGGGCAATTTGGAGGTCGGTGGTGGCATGTTGTCATGGCCTGTCCATTCTGGTACGGCAAGGGCTCAGATCATCGCCGATTCGGCGACGCAGGCATTATCAGAGTTCACTGGAACACATTGGCGCAGCTCATTCCACCATCTCTAGTCGGGCACCAACATCAATCTACACAAACTATGCCGTCAGCGTTCCAGTGTCGAGCCGCCGACGCCACGAGGGGCAAGTGTGTGGTATGTTTTCAAACATTTCCTGTGTTTGCAGTGCGCCACTGATCAGCATCGTCTGGCCGCGGATCAGGGGAAACGGGAGCGAGGACAGCCTGAAACTGCTTCAGGATGCGCAGTCCGTCGCAGAGTCCCCCAAGCCGTGTTCTATCGGGTACCTGTGTTCCTGGCCCGCGGATGGTTTAGAAAACAGGCCACCCCTCGCTCTCTTCTCTCTCTCTCGTCGTCCCCTCACTCACTCTGCAGTGTGTGTGAATGTCCGCACTTCGCGGCCAGCTTCCTGCGATGCACGCAAGACTCTTGCCACCTCCTCATCCATCATGGCGCAGCCACCGCCTGCGCCGCGGCGCACACACATCACGATCCCCGCCGGCGCACTCTCGCCCACACTCAAGTTCTATCCCCCGACCGCATGGCGCCTCGACGGCGCATGGCACCTCGTCAACGCGAGCGGCGCGGGGATCTCCCACTCGTTCGCGGGCGACCGCTGGGCCTTGCGCGGCAGCACGCTGCTTACGGCGAGCAGCGGCGTGCTGCGCCTCGACGGCGTGGTCGCGACGGCTCCGCCGGGCGAGGGCGAGATCGTAGCCGCCGAAGCCGCGATGGGGTGGCACACGGCCGAATACAATCTGTCAGGATACCAGGGCGCGATGAGTGTGTATGGCGCGAGCGCGCGCGTCGCCGTCGACACTGAACAGTATGCGTGCGCGAAGCCGGGCTGACGGCAGTACCGAAGCGGAGTTCGCCGGGCTGGAGCAGCGCGTGCCGCTCGCTGAGCATGGCGAGAATCTTGTGTATGACGGCTGGAGCGCGGATGCAGCGGCTGCTGGTGCCGAGGGGCGTCTATCTCTCGACATTCCAGCGAACGTGAGCCTCTTCGCGCTCTCCGGCGCGTCCGGACCCGCCGGGGGCGTAGAGCTCGAATTCTCACCCCCGGTCTTCGGCCGCGCAGAGTTCACGGCCGATGCGCTCGACCTTGTCAACGACACGGCGCTCTTTACTGCACCCCTCGACCCTACGCTTCAGTACTCCGTAACCATTACGGGGCGCGGCGCCCGCCTCGCCGCCCTCCACTATTGGCCCGCCTTATCGTTCTCTTGGGCTCACGACGCCTGGGTTCCCCCCGCCCCGCTCCTCTCGCCCCCTCCACCCGCGGAGCCAGCCTCCTTCGCAGACCACCGCAAGTCCAACACCGGCGCGATCGTTGGCGGTGTTATTGGCGGCATCGTAATCCTCGCGGTTCTCATCACCGTCGCGCTGTGCGAGTGCCGCCGCGTCCGCTTCCTCTCTGCGCGCTACCGCCCGCGCCGCGGCGTCTCCAAGCGCGGCATCTCCTCCTCCGACCGCCTGGAGGAACGCTACTTCTCCGTCGGGAGTGCGGCGTCGCACGACTGGCACGGCGACGACCGCCCACATACCCCGTATCTGGAGTACAACGCATACCCCCGCTCATTGGCACGCACGCCAACACTGTCTCGCTCGCCGACGCTCTCCCGCTCCTCGCACTCGCCCGCCTTGGACCGCTCCCCCTCGCTCGCTCGCTCGCAGATCTACTCGAAATCCCGCACACTATCACCTTCGCCACAAGCCTGTGCCCCAGCAGAGATGTACGCGCGCCCGACGCTGGCCGAGAGCGCGAGCGTCGTCGAGCTCCCCCTCGACCTGCCAGACCTGCCGGACCTGCCGGACCTACCGCGCCCGCCGCCGGTCGAGGTCGCCCCGCGGCCGTCGTACGAGGTGCGTGTGCGCGAGTTCATGGGCGTGCCGGGGCGCACGGGGCGAGAGCGGGTGCGGTCGCCCGTCGCTCCGCCACGAGAGCGGTTGCGGCAGCCGTCGCCTGTGGAGATGTGGGAGCCGGATACGATGAGCGTGTATTCTGCACGGACGGTGGGGACTGTGGGCAAGGCGTTGTAGTGGTTGTATAGTGTTGAAGAGCGGGCGGGGCGTGTACAGTGTCTAGTTCTAGTTCATGCGAGATATCTGACTCGTACGAGCATCCCATAATGCAGACAGCGACTGAAGCTGACTGATTAGGTTCACTCAGCGTCATCATGCCCAGATCAGGAGGTCTGTACAAAGTTAATCTGTGACTGTAAAAATCACCGCGCACCTTGATTTACCTCGGCCAACATCGTCTCGCTCGCCTGACCTCGGATCGTCTCCTCCCCGCGATATGAGGCGCTATCATGCCCACCCATCAAAGCTCTGCAACCGACGCGCTCAGCACAACGCGCGACCTCCAAGCCGCGCCGCTGTCGGGAAATATGAAACGCACAGCCGATGCCACGGCGCCGAGCTGACCGAGTGCCTGATCCCCCGCAGTGGCGTGCGGGGTGCGGGGCTAAGATCACCGATCCCCATATAGATAACGTCCCAGCTTCACTTTCTCGTGCATGCCCACTCTCGTCTCCATCATGCCCGCCCAACTCCCCCCGCCGCGCATCTACCACTCCGACTACCCGGTCCCCATCCTCCCCGCCATCTCCGTCTTTCACTATCTCTTCCCCCCGACACCCACGGCGTCCGTGTATCCGCAGGGCTCGTGGTCCCCCTCCCTCCCCGCTTTCATTGATGGGGTGAGCAGTCGCGTGCTCTCGCGCGGTGAGCTGCGCGAGACGGCGTTGCGCGTCGCCGACGGCCTGCGCCGCCTCGGCGTCAAGCCCGGAGACGCGGCGACGATCTGGGGCGCCAACTCGCTCGAGTGGGTGCTTGCTGCGTACGGGTGTGTCGCGGCCGGCGTGGTTGTGTCCCCCGCGAATGCCGCTTAGTAAGTTTGCGCAGCTGAAAGTAGAACTGACGCCAGCGCACCACACGAGCTTGCGCACCAGATGAACGACTCGGGCGCGCGCGTCGCGTTCATCGCCCCCGACCTCCTCCCGACATTCGAGGAGGCGCGCAAGGAGCTCAAATACAAGGACATACCGGTGGTGCTGCTCTCCGACATGCCTGTGCGCGGACATCGCGTGCTGGCGGACATCTATGGGGTGGCGAGTGAAGCCGTGTCGTTCGACGGGGTGCGCGCGCACGAGACCGCCTGGCTCTGCTACTCGTCCGGCACGACGGGGCTCCCGAAGGGCGTGATGACGACACACCACAACATCACGACGCAGATCCAGACGACCATGCCCGTCTTCGAGAAGCTCGAAAGCGGGCGCGACGTCATCCTCGGCTTCCTCCCGCTCAACCACATCTACGGCACGATCTACATGCTGCTGCTGCCGCTGGCGTACGGCATCCCGACGGTGCTCCTCCCGCGCTTCGACGAGCTCGCGGCGCTGCGCGCCATCCAGACGCACCGGGTCACGCTGCCGCTCTTCGTGCCCCCCGTCGTCCTGCGCCTCCTCCAGTCGTCTAACACGGCGGGGTTTGACCTCTCGTCGCTCCGCGTCGTCATGTCCGCCGCGGCGCCGCTGCAGGAGGACTTGAGCGCGGCGTTTGAAAACAAGTTCCGCGTCAAAGTCATCCAGGCGTACGGCATGACCGAGGCCACGCCGGGCATCACGTCCATGAGCTCAGCCATGGCGCCGGGGCGCGCCGGATGGTCCGGCCGCCTCATGCCCACGTACCAAGCGCGGCTCGTGGACGAGGGCGCCGACGTGCCGCCGGGCCAGCCGGGCGAGCTGTGGGTGCGCGGCCCGAATATCATGAAGGGGTACCTTGGGAAAGAGGACTGCTTCGAGCCCGGCGGATGGTTCCGGACCGGCGACGTCGCGGTCATCGACGACGAGGGGTGGTTCAAGATCGTGGACCGCATGAAGGAGCTCATCAAGTACAAGGGCCTGCAGGTTGCGCCGGCCGAGCTTGAGGCGCTGCTCCTCGAGCACCCCGATATCGTCGACACCGGCGTGATTGGCGTGTACGATAAGGCGCAGGTCACGGAGCTGCCGCGCGCATATGTTGTCGCGGCGCCGGGCGCGGATAGGGCGCGCTTGCCCGCCGCCGTCGATGCGTGGGTGGCGGCGCGCGTGGCGCAGCACAAGCGCCTGCGTGGCGGGATCGTCGTGATTGACGAAATCCCCAAGAGCCCCTCGGGCAAGATCTTGCGTAAGGAGCTGAGAGCGCGCGCGGAGAAGGAGTGGGAGGGCGCAGAGAGCAAGGCTAAGTTGTAGTGGGATCATTCATATGCATAGGGGCAGGCACATCGGTCATGCAGAGAGGTTGCGCGCCTCACCGCGGGAGAGGCAGGGCAGGGTACCGGGGCTCCAGCGGTAGATGGCGATGAGGAGACCTACAAGGACAGCGAAGGTGAGGCTGGGTCAGAAGATCAGGATGAGACGACGTACTACTCGCCACGGGTCAGCAGGACGCCATAGGCAAACGCGCTGCCCAGGCCGGAGAGGATGCCGGTGGCCACGAGAATGACGGCGACGACAAGACGCTGGCGGGGGTGTTCGGGCCCGGACTCGGAGGTATCGACAGCGATCGCCTCGTTCGTGTCCATCGCAGCCTTGTTGTTCGTCACCACTGCGTGAGCGGTGACCACGACATACGCACTGGTGCTGTCGTGGTGTTGGAGATGACAAGATGCCCGCATACTATCCTCTTGACTCGTAGCTGCTTCAGTAGTTGGCCGGGCACCGATCGCCGGATCGCCGGAAGCCTGAGCCTCGGTTGATACCTCAACGACCACTATCTGCATGCGGAATACAATGTCCTCCGTCCTCACTTTGGCGGCATCTCACACCCCCGCGCCTCCTCAAACCCAGCCCACTCACGCAACCCGACGCTGCATCAGCCCTCCCCCTTCGTGTACTCACACATGCGAGCGCCCCTGCATCGCCTCCCACCGCCCCGGCGCTATGTCCTCCGCGAACGCGCGCGCCGCCTCCACAGCCGCCAGGATCCGGGGATGGGCCCCGACGCCGTCCGCCGCTGCCGCGAGGCGGAATATATGCTCGCTCACTTCCCCCCCGCCGACTCCCGCCCCGCGACGCGACGTAAGCACGTCGCGGACAGCGGGCGACGGCGCCCAGTGCGCCGGCAGCGCGCCGGCACGCTCAAGCGCGCCGAGGGCGCACAAGTCCTGGTCCATCATCACTGGTTAGCGCGAGCGGCGACTCACTGATTGCGCCCTCTAGGGCGGAGATGACGGCCGCGAGGCCGTGGAAGGGGTGCACGAAGAGCGCAGCTTTGCGCTTGCGGAGGTCGGAGAGGGGCGTCTTCTCGGCGGGGGTGGGGGCGAGGGTGGTGTCGGTGGCAACAGATTGTGCAGCGGCAGGCGGAGGCTCGAGCTCGTCAACAATCGCGCACACGTCGCAGCGCGCGCGGGAGAGGACGTCGTGCGCGGCGAGAAGCGCGCGCCAGGCGCGCACGAGCGCGCCGCGCTGCATCGTGCCCCCGCACCACCCGAATTCGAGGAAGTACACCCGCTTGCTGCACAGCGCACCCGGGCTGAGGAGGCGCGGCTCCGCGGCTTCGTACACTACGCGCGGGTCGGCGTGCGTCCTTTCCACGACGCGCTGGTACCATGTCTCGGCGAGCGGCTTTGTGCCCGCGAACCCGTCGTCCGCGAGCCACGCGGGGAAATGGCGTCGGCCGGGGAGGGCGAGGTCGCGCGGGCGCCGGGGCGCGTACGCAGGCGGTGGGTCGCTTTCAAGCATGAGTTGTGTTGTGAGAGTCAGTTGAAGAGGTGGTGGATGCGAGGCATGCGCAGTTAGTTGAGTCGCATCGCCTCGCACCTCCACCCCGACACGGAGGAAGCAGCTCGCACCCGTGCCCACCCTGTTGCCCGCACAGCATGCAGTGCATATAGTGTGCCAGTGGCCACCTACTCGAACTTCTCCCACTCTTGCTCGAGGTGGAGAATCTGCGCCGCGACGCTGGGGTACCCAGTCGCGCCTTGCGTACCCCACGGGTTGTAGGAGTACCCATTGACGGGGCTCGAAATTGCGCTCAACGTGCCCATCGTCCCCGCTGGACCCATCGGCGCCGTGCCCGTACCGTATCCGCCGCCACCGATCTGCAGCAGCAATGCCTTCATCGGCAGATAAAAGTTGACGTAAGCATGCCCTCGTTTCTCAGCGAATGCAAGCAGCTCCGCAGCATCTTTGCGCTTGCACGCATCGAGATACTGTGCGCGCATAAGTGGCGAGTACAGTGTGCAGATGTTCTTGCTGTCGCCCGTCACCACGCCCTTGTAGTCAAAGTGTGGCTCGGCCCACGTGTCGCGCGCAAACGTCCAGTAGCACTCCTCGCAGATCTGCAAGTTTGGCCGCCAGCCCCACCAGCGCCGCCCGACGGGGTCTACGAGCTCGCGACGCGGACAAGGCGGTGCGAAGCCCAGCCAGAAGGCCGTCTCGTAGAAAGGCGTCCAAAGGCCCCAGTCGAGCGCCTGCGCCATCTTGGTGAGGTATACCGGGAAGCGGATGGCTACCGACGGCTGGTCGCAGAAGGAGCACTTGTGGCCTGTTCCCCGGGCACGCGGGCGAAAGAACTTCTCCAGACGCAACGGCGTCACGAATGCCGGGTAGCACTCGCCACATAGACTGAAGTCCGAGTTACAACCTTCGCCCCATGACGCAAATGTTGGCACGTTTGCCAGCCCCCACATATCCATGTCGAGACCTGGACGCGCGTCTCGGTCAAGCATCTTGTGCACAACCGTGTCCATTGCCGTCCACCAGATGTCGAAGCTGCCATGGTCCACTGCCACCTCGAATGCGTAGCGCATTCGCGGGCTGGAGAAGTCGCAGCCCCACAACACGCCCGGCGCCGGGGGTTGATCGTATGGCACAAACTCAGACGCGTACGGCGACGCCTTGATAAACTCAAGATAGCAGCGCTCGCAGCATACAAAGCCATGGATTGGTCTTGACGTGGTGTACCATTTGCGGGAAGTGCTTTCAACATCCTTGCCGTCGCAGACTGGGAGCATTTGCATGCGATTGATGTTGGTGCAGAAAGCCTCCCAAGCGGCAGGTCCAATGCTGCCCGCGCGAAGCAAGTTGTTTCGCATGGTCTCAAGTGCGCCGTCACAGTGCCAGCTCGCGTCTGCGGGCATGTCATGCGCTTCAAACTTGTCAGCGAATGGCGTCACGGAGACGACGTCATCCATGCACTCGGCGCACACGACAAAGTCGTTGGTAGCGTTGCCTTTCGGGGCGAACCATTCGATGTTGTCGGCGGGCGTGAGCGTACTGCCGGGGATGCAGTGACGCTTCGTTTCACGTTCCTTAACCCAGGCCAGGAGTGCCGTCCCATCACGAGTTCGCTTGGCCTCGGGCAGCAGCTTGTACGCCGCTATTGGGGCCGCGTATGAGCACATGCCGTTGCGGTGCTCCTTCAGCTCAACAAACTCCTTCGCATACGGCGTGTCCGCCACAAAATCTTGGTGGCATTTGGAGCACATGAGGAATGTATCGTGCCCCCCGCGGATATGGTACCACGTAAGTGCGTAGGGGCGCACGTTGTCAGGCCCAGGACATCGAAAGACAATGTCGGCGGGGTCATCCATTCGCACAGTGGGTATTGGAACAGGCCGGTCAATGACTAGTTCGAATGGTTTCGGCGGCTCAGGCTGGGTATTGAACAGTGTCGAGATGCCCGCAAAGGTTCCCATACCTGGGATAAGAGTAGACATCAACGTCGCTGCGTCTGGCGACGTTGGCGAGGCCGAGTGTTGCGATGCCGCAACGGGCGGGGAAGGTGGTTCGCGAGGCAACGGGTGAGATGTGGTCCGCGGGGAGACCGCAGCTGGGGACACCGCGTTTGGGGGGACAGCTGGATGCGACAGCGCCGCATTGTATGTCGGAGGAGGCTCGAGGTGCAGCTCGTCAACATCAGAGATTAAGCCCTCAAGGGGGTCCGATGGCATCGGACTTGATGGCTGAGGAGGGGCCGCTGGCGGAACAGCAAGGCTCGGTTGCGACAAGCGTCCCTGCCTTTCCACATGCCGAGTGCCAACGGTCTGGGGACGAGGGGATGCCGAAGACGAACGCCGCTGGTCGGCAGACCCCGACGAAACCGGTGCAGCGGGAAGCTGCGGCAGCGGTCGGTTCAACGGGGCTTGACGCATCGCTTCCTCACCGAGGAAGGCCGCCTTGTAATCCGCCATGAGGGGGACGACGCGCGGACCTGATGACGAGTATGGGGCCTGTGGTGTAAAGCTCGGTGAGAGTGGAGATGTCGGTGAGCTCGAGGAAGTAATTGCTGTCGACCGCACCGGCGTTGCTATTGCTGTTGGCAGTGTAGAAGTAGAAGCAGCTGTAGGGCTAGTTGAGAAGCTTGGGCCCGGTGGCGATGGCGACTGGCGCTGTCCAGACCTCGACGGGCCAGCCCCAGCGCTCGACGACGAGCCCGCGAACGTGTCATTCCGCGAAGAAATCGGCGGTGCTGGGACATATCTGGCCTTCTCGTTTGGCCATTGGCTCTGTGACCGTGGTGGCGACGCGTGGGTTGCTGAGGTATGTCGAGTAGGCGACGGTGGCGTGGGAAGAGGATGTGATGTTCGATGGTGCGGTGGTGATGCCAGGGGCCTCGATGTGCGCGGAGGAGATGTATGAGGCTCGCTGTGATCAGGAAGGAGAGGGATGGGGCGGGGACGGCTTGTTTGGTGGTGTTGTTGCTGTTGTTGTTGTTGTGGAGATTGGGGCGGAACCGTGTGTTGTCTCGGTGGTGTCCGAGGCGGCTGAGGGAATGCTCCCTGCTGCTGCGTAGGTGAGGCGAATGTCGCATTCTGATGCAGTCGAGGAGACTCTCGTGGAGATGAGGACTGTGGTGACTGGGGCGTTGGGTGGGAGTAGGGGGGATTCGAGCCTTGTCCAACCCTAGGCGATCTTGGCGGAAGCGGAGGTGGGTAAGAAGCCTGCGAATGGGAGGGCGGCGGCGTAGGACCGGTTATCTGCACCGAGGGTCGATGCGGAGAGGTTTGAGCGCGAGGAGGAGGAGCGGGGTGCGCGTGGTGTGTGGGGAATGCTGGCCACGTCGCGTTCTCCGGCGGGGGCAGGTTTGAACTCGGACTGGGGCCTGTGGATGCGGGTCGCGACGGTATGGGCGGGGGCGCGCCCCATGTCGGTGAGAGTGCGTGAGGCGAGAGCGGAGTGGGCTGGGCAATAGGAAACTGTGGGCGATAGGATGAGGAGGGAGAGGAGGGGGAGGGGGAGGGGGAGGTCTGGGTGTGTGAGGAGGGGGGTGTCGGGTGAGGATGTGGAGGATTGGAGTGAGCGGGGTTGGGGCTGGCGGGGTGATGGGGTGGAGGAGCGAAGCCGTGACCGAGATGATGGTTGCTCATCGTTGTTCAACGGCGCGAGGAGCCTTGAGCGAGAGCGCGAGGAGACAAGACAATGAAGACACAAGAGATGAGATGGAAAGAGAAAGAGAAAGAGAAAGAGAAAGAGAGATAAAGAGAGAGAGGAAGGAAGAGGTCGAAGAGGAATGGACGGGGAGATACTCGTCTCCGAGCTGGGTATGACGACGGGATTCAAGCCATGTAAACATCGCGCTTTATTACGTACACGCCTACAAGCTCAAGCAGCAAGGCTATTATTTGGCGACTCCGAGGGCGGAGAGCGCCGGGCCGAGTAATCGCGAGCAATTGATAGCCCGGAATCTCATCAAAGTAGCACCGCCTGACACATATCCCTAGAGTAGTTGGCGCCATGATGCACGTGGGAAAACCAGAGCAAACTCCTCTCCTCTTGCATCAACAATCACATCTCTCTCTCGCTGTCACGCATCACCATCCACAGAGCGTCGATCATGGCCCAGCCCTCCTCTCTCGCTCGCCTCGCTCGCCCAGTCCCGTTCGAGTGGATGGGATGATCGTGGTGAGCAAGCCTCGCTACACACACGCGGCCCGCGGCGCTTGAGCTCCACCCAGCTGAGCCAACACGGTACACGGAGTTGGATCGTCACGCACACCGCTCGCCGTCCATACCGCTCGCCATGCATGGTCCCGCCATGCACGCGCAGCCGATGGACCGCCCAGCCGTCGTTGTGGGCATGGTCCATAGTGGCCTCAGCTCCACCCAACGCGACGAGCAAGCGAGCAGCGGTTTTTGGGGTTCTGGAGTGTGTCCCATGACTCTGGCATGCGGGCATTTGTGGCCGCGCATCCGCGTCCGTGCGACCGATCCCCGGCCTCGTCGACTCGCTCAAGCGCTACGCATGCGGCGAGTGGAGCTCTGGGTGTCCCTTCGTTGCTGTGGATATTGTGACCCAGCTGGTGACTGCGTTGCCCGACGATGCTGCGCGATATTCATTAACCTGTGCACCCTGCAACCAGCCACGAAAAGAGCCCAGTCACGTGATGCACGCTAAGAGTGCTCAATGCACGGAATCAAACTGACCACTAACCCACGTGATGCGCGCAAAGGTGCTTCCACTGATGGGAATCGAACCGCCCACCTGCACAGCTTTGGCCGAGAGGCAGGAGGCCCGTGCGTGGCCATGCCACCCACGGACGTGACTGGTGATGGCGAGCAGACTAATGCAACAGCTTGAGATGCCGGAATCGATAGCATCGTCCGGCACTGTCGTCACAGTCAGCACCTCCAGGAGCGGCTGGCCTGTCCGCTCTGTCCGAACACGAACTTGATGTCACGATATGGGGCCACTCACAGGCTCCGCGGTCGATGGTGAGGGGGTTGATGAAAGTGCTTGAGACGTCGGAATCGATAACGCGTCCGGCACTGTCGCCACCATCCGCAGCGCCAGCACTGGCCGGACCGTCAGCTCTATCCAATCAAATTACCTGATGTTACCGTATGGGGTAAGTCGGAGGCGATAGGCTCGAGATCGATGATCCATAAATTGCATGTGTCTGTCCGTCCACAGCCTTCAAAGCTCCCTTTCCCGCACTAGGAGATCACGCCGGAGTCGGTAGCTCCGGTCGTTGCGGCGACAAGTGCTTGATAGCGGAACTGGCGCGCGCAGGCCATTTGGTTCGCCCTCGTCAACGCTGAATCTGTCTCATCAGCAGGTTCGCGGTGGAGACACGGACGCGGGCGCCGTGCTTCATGTGCATCCACTCGTTGGGGTGTGTAGTACGTGAGTCGTCATCGAGGGGGCGCCGCACTTCGATCAGCAGTCGCACAAACAGGACAGGGGGAAAGTCGTTGTTGCTACTCTGGGCTAACGCGGATCGACGAGCGGGGAATGCACGGGGCGCACTGTCAACTGATCTCTGCCGCGGGCGCTTACGCCGAAACCAATGACCACAGAGCATAAGACATTATTGGTGTTGAATCGTCGAAGTCATATATGTGAGGAGGAGGAGTGAGAGATGAAGCAAGTTTGAACGGAAGGAGACGGGGAATGGGTGAGGCCGAGGAAGAGGCGAGACGAGCGATGGACTTGTCCCAACTCCATCCCGGGAATAACGTGGCACGCGAGTCACGAGGAGATTGGGGGCGTATCACGGTCGACCGTGGGTGAGTTGATGTATTGACAAGGCAAGTCACTTGGTCTAATGGGGCGAAATGCGGCGCACCGGGTTGGGGTTGGGGGCCTGTCTCGAACAGGACAGCAGGCGGAAGGACAGAAGCGCGCGTCAGCCTCGCCACTCTGAGACAAATAACACAAGCTCACCAGCTGCGCAATGCTTGGTATTGAGCGAACGAGCGAAAGGCGCACGGCGCATGAACGTCGGCAAGGCATGCGTCTAACCGCGGATGTGTAGATGTGTAATTGACCATTCATTCAGAGGGCGTGTGTGGAGGCATTAGAGGACATCAGAGACCGAAAGGCATCAGAGGCCGTCTCCCAACATCCCCTCTCTCCTCATCACTCCTCTCCTCTCCTCTCTTCTTCTCACTTCTTTCTCTTCATCCCATTCTTCTTCTCATCGTCTCCACCATCGTCTTGAGTACATACTCAAACAAGATCGTTCAACCTCCTTCTATGGTGCACCTGGCCAGCAGCCTAGTGAGTCAATTCTTCCATCCCCTCTATTCGCTTGCTCGCTCTCTCCCTCTCCTCCTCTCGATTATGGCCATGGCTCTGTTCTCCTCTCAATCCACTCGCTCTATGTCTCCATTATCGCGCTCTTCGTCGCCGTCCCCCCGCCGCTCTCGTTTCCACTCTCTCGCTCTCCTCTCTCCCCTCTCACTCCTCGTGCCCTATCTCTCGCTCTCTTCTCCTTTTTCTTGATCTCCTCTCTCCTCTCTCGCCCTTTCCTCGGCTCCATCCCCCAATACATCCTCGCGCTTTTCCTCTCGACTGTCATGCGCCTCGTCTCCGTTCTCCCGCTCACTTATCTCCTCTCTCACTCGCTCTCTTGCTCTCCTAACAATCCTCTTTTCTCTCTCGCTTTCTTCTCTTCTCTGTCACTTTTCTCTTCGTTCACAGCCTCTTCTTGCTTCTCAATGCTCTTGCTTTGTCTTGCTCGTTCTTCATCTCCTTCCTATCCTCTCGGGCACTCTCCTCTCAGTCGCTTTCCTCTCGGACCCCCTCTCCTTCGCTCTGTTTTTGTTGTTTTTGCTCCATCCTCTTGCACTGTCTACCTCTCTATGCTCCCGCTCTATCTATCGACCCTAGCACCCTCTCGCTCCTCCTTTCGACTCTCTTGTTCCCTCTCGAGTCGCTGGCTCCTTTGCGCTTTCCATCCTTTCACTCCTACTTCCTCTCCTTCTGTCGCTCTTCTCTCCAATCTGTCGCTCATTAGCCCTCTCCATCCTCTCCGTCTTCTCCGTGCTTCTGCTTTCTCACGCTGCCCGTTCTCTCGCTTTTTCATGCTGTCTCAGTCTCTTGCTCTGTTTCGTCGTCTCCACTATCTTGCTCTTCCATGTAGTTCTCTGACTCTCACCCTTCCCGGGCTTCCTTACTGCTCCTCTCCATCACTATCTCGTTCCTCGCCTGACAGGTAGCCCCTCTCAACTGCGCCACTTTCGATGCAACTTCCGATCGACGGTAGGAAGCGGGCGCACGACGCAGACGCCGGAGCCGACGATGATGCCGCACCGCCAGCTACACGGCACACCATCCTCGCCCCGCAAGTTTCCCTCGCGACACGGGCCATTCCGCACGCTGCAATTCCGCACGCTGTCCCGCAGGTCGCCGAACTGGCGCCGGCCCTCTCCAACATCAACATGTTGGAGGGACAACTTCATGAAGCCAACATGGAGCTGGCTCACATCATGGTGCAACTGTATCAACAGTTCAACAGCAAGCTTGCTGCGCGGCGTGACACCCTCTTTGAGTACCTTGAGGGTCTGCAGGAGCAATGGCCCGACACGGGCTACCGTAACATTTACGACCACTACGGCTGCTTGTGGTGGTGCGCCGCTTGGTGTGACGAGATCTCGGAGAGACAGGCCGCTTGGTGTGACGAGGTCGCCGGGCTATCGATCCCTCAGTGTACGGAGATGCTGTGGCGCCGATCGCTGTCCACAAGTGGTGGCAAGTCGCAGGTGAGTCGGGACAGTCTATGCGCTGCGGTAGAGAGAGTTCACATACTAACGATAAGAAGACGTCCCGGCTGCGTCGATGGGCACGAGAAAGGCTGGCGTTCTGGGAAAAGCGCGGGGTGCCTCCGCATTATGACCCAAGGGAGGACATCCTGCACTGCGATGCGCACTACTCGATCCCGAAGCAAGACACTCGCCCGCGGCTTGCTGACATATGGGTGCAGCGTCGAATGGTGCGCCCGTCGTCGACGCTGCACCCGTCGCAGTCTGCAGATATGGAGTCAGCAGACTGGCTCACATACGTTGACGCGCATAACAACGCCGTTGCGGCCGCACTCAACGACGCTGTCGCTGCCGGGGATGGGGACGCCGACGAATCGCAAAGGGGGGATTTTCAGGCCGCACCCGTCGAGAACCTCTCGGAAGGGGATCGTGGGCTCGAGGCACCAGTCGACAATCTCCCATCCGAATTCGGGGATCGTGGGCTCGAGGCGTCAGTGAACAACCTCTCCGAGGGTCTCGAGGCGCCAGTTGACGACCTCGGGGAGTGGGAGAGGGACTGGGAGAGGGCCTTCCCAGGATGCTCATTGGAGCAGGTAGCAGCCTTTTTGGAGAGCGTAGATAGTCTTATAGCCACACAGCAGTGGTAATGTTTACCACATTACTGTATGCAACAGTTGGCACAATCTAGAAGTGGACATGGCTTCATCGGGGTGCCACGGCTGCCCATTGCGCGGCCCTGAGACCTCGCTCCACCCGTTGCTGCCACAACCCGCCCCCACTTTGGTCGTAGTGATAGTGACGCAGGCCCCGTTCCTCGTCAGCATGTTCGATTCATTCGATCGGTCGGATCGGGCGCTCCGAGGGAACATTCCTGCGGATGTCCAAGCTGACGGCACGGCGAGACCCGCCACACCTCGACGACAGCTGGTGAATTCAGGGTCACCACCCAGAAGCTGGGCCGGGCCTTGCATGCCACAAGCACAGACGCGGCATGACCACATGCCCCGAGCGCCCCCTGATCGGCTGGCGCTGGGAATCCCTCGCCCGATATGGCAATTCCATCCACTCATATTATCAACGGATCGGCGGTGTAGTCAGCAATCTCAGTCCGGCTCCCGTCCATGCACGGCGATGCAGGCACGCCGGGAGCCCCGATGGCCCCATGATATGTGGAGCCGTGGCAGATGAGCAACAAGCGGGCAAGTCGTCAAGGCCGCAACGAGTGGGGTGCGGCATGCCGGGCAGCGACGAGCACGCCCGATGCGGAGCATAGTGCCCCGCTCGTCCGCCGAGCGGGGTATAAGAGCGCGCGACAAGAACAGCCAGGAGCCACAAGTCGAGGAAACAATGTCCACAGTCGAACTCAACCCCCGCGAGTCGCGGCACGCGCGCGAGCGCAACCCCGACCTCCCGCCCAACCATCCTGTGAACGCGCTCTCGCCATGGCGCAAGTTTGCCGCACTCGTCGCACTCTCCTTTTCGGGCTTCTTGGGCCAGTTCACCGCCGCCATCATCCTCGTCGCGTTCCCGCCCATGGCGGCCGACTTGAAGGCGAGCATTGGTGATATTGCAAACTCGGTCGGCTTCGTCCTCCTCGGCATCGCTGTCGGGCCACTCTTTTGGAACCCGCTTTCGCGTGTACGTAGCCTCCTCTCCCTCCTCCTCTCCCTCCTCCTCCTCCTCCTCCTCCTCTCATTCTCCTACTCTTTCTTCTCCTTCTCCTCCTTTTTATCCTTCCCCGTCTTCTTCGCCTTCTGCTTCCTTTTCTCATACCCAACTTCAGCTCTAATACCAGACCCTCGGCCGCCGCCCAGTCTACCTCCTCGGCTCGCTCCTCTTCCTCCCATGCTGCATCTGGCAAGCCCTCAGCAAAGACTACATCACCTTCGCGATCTCGCGCGTCTTCGCGGGCCTGAGCATCGCGTTTTCGCAGACGGTGCCGCCGTCCACGATCGCGGACATCTTCCCGCCCGCGGTCATCGGGCAAAAGATGAGCATGTACGTCGTGGCTATCATCACTGCGCCCGCGGCCGCGCCCTTCTTCTGCGGCCTCATCGTCCGCTCCTCGTGGCGCAACCTCTTCTGGTTCCTCCTCGGCTTGGGCGGACTGCAGCTCGCGCTCTTCTTCTTCTTCGTGCCCGAGACGCAGTGGATCGAGGGGGAGGACGACACGCACACCCCAGCGACAGACAAAGACATTGAGCACCACGAAACCCGCGTCGCCAACGGCGGGCGCGTCGGCGTCGCTTTTTACCCTTGGAAGCGCCCCGGCGAGTTCATGCGCATCTGCCTCGGCCCCGTCTCCATGGTGAGTTTACAGGCGGCCGCGCTCACCCAAGCTCCGGTACTTCGTCATCCTCGTGCCCTCGTTCTACTACGGCTTCGCGTTCAGCTGGATCGTCGGGATCACGGTCGTCACGCCGCAGACGCTCGGCGCGCCGCCGTACGCGTTCGCCATCATCCCCCTCGGCTGCTCGTTCCTCGCGTACGGCGTCGGCGGCCTGCTCGGCTTCTGGTTCGGCGGCCTCGTCGGCGACAAGACCGTCGACTACCTCGCGCGCAAACAGGGCACGCGCCAGCCCGAACAGCGCCTCTGGGCCACCCTCCCCGTCATGCCGTTCATGTTCGTCGCCATGCTCATTATCGGCATCAGCCTCCAGAAGCAGCTGCACTGGATCGGCCTACTTATTGGCGGTGCCCTCTATTTCTTCACCATCTCAATCATCACCGGCCTCATCCAGACTGTGAGTGGCGAGCACAGAAGAAGCTGACAACAGTACGTCCTCGAGTGCTACCTCCCGCAGGGCATGGACAGCATGGCCGTCTTCAACTTCTTCCGTATGCTCTGGGGCTTCGCCATCCCCTTCTTCGTGTGGAATTGGGGCGTCCAGCACGGCTGGCTCGCGTGCTACATCACACAGGGCGCACTCACTGCCGGCCTTGGCATTCTCCTCAGTCTCTTCCTTATCTGGAAGGGACGCGGAATTCGTGCCGCGCAGCACATGCCGATCTGGGAGTGAGGCGCGGGGGGAATGACTCGTGAAGCAACAAGGGATGGGCGGTATTTTGCAAGTTGTTAACAGCGATGATGGATAAGGCCTTTGAAGCTTTAAGATACTTTGACATTCTCGCATTGATTATAAATTCTTCGTATTGCTGAACAGTCGCAAACAAGTTGCCACCTAGCTCACTTCAGGTCGCGCTTGTACAGCAGCGCGGCGGCGACATCCGCCTCGTCGAACACCGACATCTGATCCGCACGGAACGTGTCGGGCACAATCGTAAGATTGGCAGGATCGAAGCGCATTGAATCTTTTGCCCCCATCTCATGGACAGGCCAGAACGGAAGGCTCGAGGCGTCCTGCCTTTTCTGTGGCGCCGGCGTGGGGCCATTGGGCGTGAGGTAATGCACAAAATTGATCCTAACGTTAGCGGGCCCAGCCTCTACGCACCAGTAATCCATCATTTGCGTGCCCATCGCCTCCGCCTCGGCCGTGTAGTTGTTTTCCTGCGTCGCGACACCGAAGATATACGGCACATCGGCCGAGTGTGGCACTCCAACGTGTGGCGGGATGCCCGGAGTGGGGCCGCGGAACTCGTACGTCCACGTCTGGTTATTGCCGTAGTCGTTGGAGCGGTGGAGGAACTTGCGGCGGCGCGAGTGGAATGACATGTCGCCCACGATCGCTGCGCCCTGCTTGTTGCTGGTGTCAGCAAGCGAGTGACGGGAGGCGCACGCAGAGGAGAAGCCGAACGTCTCGTTGCCCGTGCCGAACGGACTCCCTTTCTCAGGGATGTCAGGGTATCGCTCGACGATACGGTCGATGATCTCAGGGGAGGCCGGGAAGGGCGAGGATTGACGGAGGAGCACCTTGAGCTGCTCCGTCGAGTTGACGAAGGTCGGCGTCGTCCACGTCCCTTCGTCGAGCGTAGCGCCGCTGATGTGGGGAATTTTGGTGTTGAAGCGCCCGTCCTTGAGCATGTTCCACGGACTCTCGGGGATAAGCTCGCCGTCGATGGTAGGGAGGAACACGAATCCGCCGAATGGCTGGCGGTCGCGCATCACCGCCGTTGCATTCACGAGCGTGTCGGCCGGCACGGCACGCATGCACTCGAAGGTGGTGAGGTTTCCGAGCGCGGTAGTGTTAGGCTCCATGCATCCTGCGGCGATGGCTGTGGTGTTATACGGCCCCTCCCAAAGCTCGGAGGTGGGCGCGACGGGCGCCGAGCTTTGCGCGCCGCTCATGAGAATCGCACCGCGGAACAAGTCCTGGCTCGCATTGAGGTAGTGGTGCCCGATGCTGATTGCGCCCGCGCTTTGTCCGACCACGGTAACTTTGGTGGGATCACCGCCAAATCCCCCGATGTTGTCTTTCACCCAGCGCAGGGCGGCGAGCTGGTCGTGCAAGCCGAGGTTGGAGGCATTGTGGGCGGCAAAGTCGGGGCCGACGCCGAAGCCAAGGAGGCCGAGGCGGTAGTTGATAGTGACGAGAACGATGGGGCGGCCGATCTCGATGGCGCGGCGCACCAGGAAGGGAGAGACATACGTCACGCCGTCGCCCTCGATGAAGGCGCCACCGTGGCTGATGTCAACGGGGCGTGGAGGACGCGAGAAGCAATATGGCTTACATCCAGACCATGACGGGCAGGCTGGCGTTCGAGCCCGCCGACCCGTCAGGCGCCAGCACATTGAGGTACAGGCAGTCCTCGCTGAATCCTCCCGCGCCGTAGGTAAATTGGCGTTTGGGGTTGGGGGCTTGCAGGCATCCCGGCGGCGGGAGGATGGCCGCGAAGTTACGACTGTAGTTTGCCGGCGCTGGGCGTTGAAAGCGCCGCTCCCCGGTAGCTAGGGTCAGCTAGTGTGGTCGTCTAAATTGGCGGAGTACGCGCGACCTACGTGGTTCAGCGTAAGGGATACCGAGAAAGGCCTCGCAGTCCGGTACGTTGAAGCCGGTAACGTTCACTCCAGCGGCGAGCGGGGCGGTGGGGAAAATCGTTGTGTCCGTCGCATTGGCAGTGTCGTCGACAGCAGTGAGGATGCCGAAGTTCAAGCGCTTGAAAGCCCCACCGCGACGTGTGGGAGCCGCGAGCGCACCGACGGCGAGAAGAGGAAGGAAGATGCGCATCTAGACTGCGTCAGAGGGTGAGGTGGGGTCAGGAGGGGACCTTCAGTTATCTAGTGCGCACGCTTGGCGTCGAGCTGATGGCTATGTGCGCTCGCTCCGACACCCGTGCACGTTCTACAGCATGGGCGCAGCATGTGTCGTTGTCACAAGTCATGTGGTGAAAGATTAGTGACGTGAAGATGATGACTTTGGTGGGTGACGCCGGATGGCTGTTCGTTTGTGGCAGCGAATATCGGCTCGGCTCGGCATTGAGGCGTGTACATTGCCCGATCTGAGTGGGTGCTACTTACACCCATTAGTCAGGCCCAAGGGATTTTTACTTAGCCACTTTGGCAGTATCGGCAGCATTGGCGGGTTGGTCGAGTTGCATCCTAGCCAGTGGCACTCGGTTCTCGTGTGAAGCATCCGCTGACAAAAAGCAAAGGCCAGTGAGTCTAGACTGCTCACAAAAGATACACTGTGAGGGAGTCGAACCCCCGCCGCGTCGATGGCAACGACGCATGATACCGTTTCACCAACAGTGTTGTGATTGGTTGGAGTTGGGGCTTCAAAAAGTCATTTATGCTAAACAGCCACCAAACAATCTAATGATGCCCAAGGCCTCATCTCTATCCTTCGGTACACCATGATGCAGCCGCTACGTCTCAAAAGGATCTATTTGCTCATGCTCCCCACACCGCAGTGTTCAGAAGTAGAACTTGCAATCGGTCCAAGTCGGTCCTCCCCACGAGAATGGTCTTTTTTGCGGAAGCTCCGCTGATTTCCGGGCAAGGTGATTGTCAGCCGGAATCTGCGCCCGGACCTGATCGACACGGAACTCCCGTACTACTGAGCCCATCCGCAACAGCTGGTGGACAGCCGGAGAGTAAGCAAGGACAGTAAGCATGATCGCATGAGCGACTCAGTGTCTCGGCTGTAAAGCGCAACGGAGCGAGTGCTTACTGAGGAAAGCCGGTGTTGGGTTCCCGGAGTCGTTCGGGAGCGGTTGCTGACTGAACACGGCAGACACCTGGGAACGTCATAAATAGCCGGCGCCTCGATTGCCGTTCCGCCAACACCCCCATCCTCCCACCATGTCTTTCCTCCAGCGCCTCGGCATCACCCATCCCATCATCCAAGCGCCGATGGCGGGCACGTCCACGCCCGCCATGGCGGCCGCCGTGAGCAACGCGGGCGCGCTGGGCTCGATCGGCCTGGGGTCCGTCGACGCCGAGGGGGGCCGCAAGGCGATCCGCGCCGTGCGCGCAGCCACCGCCAAGCCCTTCAACGTCAACGTGTTCGTGCACGCGCCCCCGCCGGCTCCGGCGGCCAGCGCGGCGCGCGACGCCGCGTGGTGCGCCTACCTCCGCCCGCAGTTCGAGAAGTACGGCGCGGCGCCGCCGAGCACGCTCAAGACTGTGTTCGGCACATTCCAGACGGACGCGGACATGCTCGCCATGCTGCTCGAGGAGAAGCCGCCGGTCGTGTCGTTCCACTTCGGCTTGCCGGCGCCAGAGGCGATCGCGGCACTGAAAGCGTACGGCGCCATCCTCTTCGCGTCCGCGACGAGTCTGGAGGAGGCGAAGGTGTGCGAGGCCGCCGGCGTCGACGCCATCGTCGCGCAGGGCATCGAGGCGGGCGGGCACCGCGGGATCTTCGACCCTGCTGCGCCAGACGACCAGCTTCCCACCGCGTCGCTCGTGCGTCTCCTCTCCAAGTCGCTCTCGATCCCCATCATCGCCGCTGGCGGAATCATGGACGGCGCGGGCATCGCAGCCGCCCTCCGCCTCGGCGCTTCTGCCGCACAGCTCGGCACCGCGTTCGCAGTCACCACCGAGACAGCTGCGTCGGCCGGACACAAGGCAGCTATCCTCGGCGAGGCAGGGCGGCACACCCGTCTCGTCGCAGCCGTCTCCGGACGCCCCGCGCGCTCCGCCGCATCCAACTGGACGCGCATGATGGACCAGATGGCGAAAGACGGGGTGGAAATCGCAGTGTATCCCAACGCCTACGATCTCGGGAAGCAGCTTCACGCGGTGGCGAGCGCCAAGGGTGACCAGGGCTGGGGTGGGTTCTGGGCTGGGCAAGGAGCGCCCCTCGCGCGCGAGATGGGGGCCGCCGAACTCGTCGAGACGCTCGTCAAGGAGATGAAGGAGGCGTGAGTGTGGGTGGAGGACAGTGCAACAGGAATGGAGAAGAGCAATAAACGGAGCAACGCTGAGGCCAGTCCTCGGGCCAAGTTGTAGTGTGAGACCAGCCCAAGCCTCTCCCACCAACTCCGGCCGCCCAAATATCTGTAAAAGTGCACTTGCACAAGTCGGTCATCGCACGCATGTACATCATCTAGAATGGGACTAGTTATAGCGCGGGGCGCTCTTTCATTTGCTTAGGGAATGGCTGCGGGTAAGACTACGCGTCGACCCACAAGCGGCACCAACCATCACGGGCGGCAGCGAGCGCCATACGGGGGTTGCTGCCGAGGACTCGGGCGTCCTTGATGCTGTCAGTGAATATGGCCTCGCGGATGCGGAGGAGGCCGGCGCGCTCGGCTTCGAGGGCAGCGAGCTCCTCGTCGAGCGCGACCTGGTATGCGAGAACGCGGGTGCGCTTGGAGTTTGCATCTGCCTCGGCGTCGGCGAGCGCCGCCTGGAGCGCGCGAAGCTCCGCCTCGCATGCGCCGAGGGCAGCCGTGTCGTTGTCATACGCCTCAAAGAGGGCCGAGATCGGGGCAGGGCGGCGGGTACTTGCCAAAATGTCGAGCACGCTGTCGCCGGCGGAGCCGATACCGCTGGAGCCGCCAAGGTTCTGGACGTCAGTCGGAGACGAGGGCTCGAGGTTGATGATGAGCGGAGGGGCGAGGAGCTCGAGCTCAATCTCTCCGTCGAGCAGGTCGTCCTCCTCGGACGAAGCGTCGGCGGGGGCAAGAGGAGGCGTTGGGGCCACCGAAGAGATCTTGGGCATGGGCGTGCCGAAGGGCGAGCCAAGGCGGCTGGAGGGGGTCACTGCCTCGACGTGGACAGCGTCACGTCCTGGCGCGACAGGTGCGCTGAGGGCCGACGCAGTGGCCGGCGAGACGCTGTGCACAGCGGCGTCGGAGAGAACGGCAACGACACTTGCGGGTGCGGCGAGAGCTCCCGGCGTGAGCGCGGGTGCGGCACCGGCCGCCAGCGACGTGCGCCGGACGGCCGGGGCCGGGGCGGAGAACTGGGGCAGGGGGTCGCGGGGTGAGCCGGGACGAACCTCGCGGACGGTGTGGGAGGGGAGGTGCATGCGAGTGGCGGCGTGGGATGGCCAAGGGGCGCGTTCGGCGGGAGCGCGCGGTAGTGGAGTTGAGAGAGGAGAAGTAGGGAGGGAGGAAGTGGAAGAGAGAAGTGCGTTGTTCGGAGACAGAGGACGCTCCGTAGAGGGGAGAGGCGTGTCGGGGGCAAACTCGAACTTAACGAGCGTGCGAGCGGGCGCCAGGGGCGCGGGCTTGGGCTTGTCGGCCTTTGCGTGAACCTTGATGTCAGCCTTGCACGGGGGTGTGAGTGCGGGGACTGGAGGCACGGGAACGGGGGCTCGGACAGGAACTGGGACGGAAGCTTGGGGAACAGGGGGAGGGGATGTCTTCTCAACGGGCTTGGGCGCGCTCTCGGGCGCCTTCTCGATCTCTTCAACGACAACTGGTTTCTCAGAAACACGCTCAGTCTTCTCAGCGGGAGCGAGTGGGGGGAGAACAGGGGCAGGAGTGGGCTTGGGAGGAGCAGGGGGGCGGGCTGCTGGGAGAGCCTTCGCAAACTCGTCCTCGCGCTTGGGAAGGGGGGCCGGCTTGGGTGCAGGAAGGGCCTGGGCGGCCTTGTCCTCGCCCTTGATGACGTTAAGCCAACGCGCAGCAGGCGACTGAGGCCGGGGAGTCGTGGGGGGAGGTGTAGAGCTGGGCGTGGTGCCGCGCGCTGCCGCTTTGCGCTCCGCCTCCTCCTCTGCATGCAGGAGATCAATCCAGCGCGCTGCAGGGGTGACATGAGGGGCGGCCACCGTAGGTGTTGCAACCGAGAGCACTGGTTTCGCCTCCGCCTTGGCCGCTGTGATCGGTGCCTTCATCGCCCCAGCTTTGACCTCGACCTTCGCCACTGCCTCGCCACTGGGCTCGAGAGTTCTCGCTACGGGCCGTGGGGTAGCTGGAGGTGAAGCCTTGTAGGCCTCGGTCTTGGTCGCTGGTTCAAACTTGACGGGCACAGGTGCGAGGATAGGGGTGTGCTTCTGCGTAACCGTAGGCTTGACGGGCGCGGGGGTCGATGTGACATTTGCCACAGCCGTTGGAGCGGGCGCCGCAGTGGGCTTCGGGTCGACCTTGGCGGGAGTCGCGACTGACTTAACCTCTGCCTTGATCTGGACGGCGGGAGGGGCAGGAATGATCACCTCGGCCTCAGCCACAGATGCCGGCGCGGGCTTCGCCGCCTTTGTGGCAGATACCGTGGAAGGAGCCTGATTCTCGACCTTGACCTCGGGCTGGAGACTCGGTGCAGGAGCGGTCGTGACCCCAGTCTTCGGTGCCGACGTTGGCTTCGTCTCGACCTTCACCGCGGGCGTGGCTTTAACCTCAACCGTGACCGCGGGAGCAGCATTGACTTCGTCCTTCGCGGAAGGTGCAACCTTAGCCGCAGGTTTGGTTTCGGACTTGACGGGTGCGGCAGCCTTCGTCGCCGCCTTGGCCGCAGGCTTGGCGGCCTCCGTAATTTCGGTATTTGGCTCAGGCTTCACCTCAGCCTTGACGGAAGGAGCAGGGGCGGGAGTTGGCTTCTCAACGGCGGGAGCGACAGCATGGGCGGGAGGAGCTAGGGCGATAGGGGCGATCTTGACCTCAACTTTCTCGGCCTTGGGCTCAGGCTTCAGGGCGAGCTTCGGGACAACTGCCGCAGGCGTGGGCTTAGAAGCGCCGGCAGTAGCAGCAGGCTTAGGAGCAACGGCAACGGGCGCAGCCTTAGGGGTGACCTCAGCAGGCTTGGGAGCGGCGGGGACGAGAGCAGGCTGAGGGGAGGCGGGGGCGGGCTTCGGAGGAGCAGCAGGGGCGAGAGCCGGAGCGGCCTTGATCTCGACGGACTTAGAAGCAACGGCTGGGGTAGACGTAGGAGCAGAGGCGGGCACCGTCTTTTCGACAGCCTTGGGAGCGGGAATCGAGACCACGGGCTTGACTTCGGTCTTGGGAGTGGGAGCGGCAGCCGGGGCAGGCTTCTCTTCGGGTTTGGCAAAAGCAGGCGCAGGGGCGGCCTGCTTGATATCCGCCTTCGGCGAAGGCGCTGTCGCGGCAGGAGGAGGAACAGCAGCAGTAGGGACAGCAGCAACGGAAGCAGAGGGAAGAGGCGCAGGAACAGCAGGCTTAGGCGCCGCCGGCTTGGTAGCAGCGACAGCGGCGGGCTTGGAGACAGCAGGAGGAACGGCAGCAGGAGGAGCAGGAGGAGGAGTAGGAGCGGGCGAAGCAGCCGTCTTCGGAGCAGGGACAGGTGAGGCCGCCTTGGGAGCAGGAGCGGCAGGAGGAGCAGTCACCTTAGGAGCAGCAGGTGCGAGCTTGGGCGGCTCGGGAGCCTTCTCCGCGGTCTTCTCGGTCTTGAAGGCCGGAGCAGGAGCGGAGGGCGCAGCCTTGGGCGCCGGTGTTACTGAAGAAGCAGGAGTGGGCGCGACCTTAGGGGCTGGGGCCGGCTCGGACTTAGCAACGACAGGGGTGGCCTTGGGTGGCTCGACCTTGGGAGCAGGAGTGGGAGGAGCGGCCTTAGGGACGTCTGTCTTGGGAGCAGCCGCCGGAGGAGCAGCCTTGGGGGCAGGTGCAGCGACCTTGGGAGTGACAACGGCCGGAGTGGCGGCCTTTGGAGCGGCGTCGGTCTTGGGTGCGGGCGCAGGGGGGGCAGGCGCAGCCACGGGAGCAGCCTTGGGGACAGCTGCAGCGGGAGGAGTCGCCTTAGGAGTCACGGGGGCGGCGGCGGGCGTGCCGGCAGTCGCAGGCTTGGGAGTTGGAGCCACGGCAGGGGCAGGCGCAGACTTCGCAGCAGCCGGGGGAGGGGCGGCCTTGACCTCGACGAGCTTCTCGGTCTTGACCTCCACCTTCACAGCGGCGGGTGTTGGAGGGGCCGCCTTCGGTCCGGGAGGAGGAGCAGCGGCGGCAGGGGCGGCGACAAGGGCGAGGGCAGCCTTGACAACGGCGACAGGGGCAGCCACAGGCGCGGCCACGGGGACAGCAGCCTTCGGAGCCGGAGCGGGCACGGGCGCAGACTTGGCATCCGCCTTCGCAGGAGGAGCGGCACCCTTGGCGTCGACCTTGACTGGAGCGGCCGGAGAAGCAGGGACAGCCTTGACTTCAACCTTGGGCGCTGCGGGTGCAGGAGCCGGAGCAGGAGCCGGAGCAGGAGCAGGGGCAGCCTTCGCCTCGACCTTGACCGGAGCGGCGGGACCGGGAGTAGGCGCAGCCTTGACCTCGACCTTGGCGGGGGTAGCGACGGGGACAGGTACAGTCTTGACTTCAGCCTTGGGAGGGGCTGCTTTGGCCTCCGTCGTGGCCGGGACGGGGACGGGGGCAGGCTTGACGTCGGCCTTAGCAGGCGCAGTTGCAGCGGTCTTGGGCTCAGGCTTAGCCTGAACCTTCGCCTGGGCCTCAGCCTCAGCGGGCTTCGCGGAGGTGATGGGAGCGGCCTTAACCTCGACCTTGGCTGGAGGAGCCGGAACAGGCTTCTCGGCGGGCTTTGCGACGGGCTCAGACTTCTTCTCCGCAGGCTTTGTCACGGGCGCAACTGGAATGGGAGCCTTAGCCGATGCGTCGGTAGCGGCAGCGGAGGCGGGAGCAGGCTTGACCTCGACCTTGGCGGGCGCTGCAGGGGCGGGCTTGACCTCGACCTTGGCGGTGGCTGCGGGAACGGGCTTGGGCTCCGCCTTGGGCGCCTGCGAAGCAGGAGCGGGCTTGAACTCTGCCTTGACGACAGGCGCAACGATGGGCTCCTGCGGCGCAGCAGCCGGAGCGGGCTTGACCTCCGTGATCTTGGGAGCAGCGGCAGGGGCGGGGGTAGGCTTAGCCTCCACCTTGGGTTCAACCTTGGCAGGCTGAGCAGGCGCAGGCTTCTCCACCTTTAGTGCTGGCGTGGGGAGGTCTGCGATCGGCGCCTTCCAGAAGTTGAAGGCATTGAACTCGTCCGCGGCGGGGAGGGGTGGCAGAGGCTTCTCGACCTTGGGCTCAGCCTTCGGCGCAGGAGCAGGCGTAGGATTCGCCTCAGCCTTGGCCGGAACAGGCGCCGCCTTCTCAACCTTGGCTGGCGTAGGAGCGGCCGGGACAGGCTTGGGCTCAACCTTGAGGGGGGCGGGCGCGGGCGCGGGGGCGGAGACAGCCTTGGGTTCGGGCTTGGAGGCCGGAATAGGGGCGGTTTTAGCCTCGACCTTTGCGGGAACTGGCTTCGCTTCCACCTTCAGAGCGGCGGGGGCAACCTTGACCTCGGGTTTCGCCTCCTTCGGGACAACGGGAGTGGTAACCTCGGTCTTGGCGGCGGCAGCGACGGGAGCGGCGGGCTTGACCTCGACCTTGACCGGCGCCTTAGCCTCAACCTTGACCTCGACCTTGACAGCAGGAGGAGCAGGAGAGGCAGCCTTGACCTCAGCTTTGACAGGAGCCGGCTTGACATCCACCTTCCCGACCATGGGCGCCACGGGCTTGACCTCGGCCTTCACGACCACGGGGGCGACAGGCTTGGCCTCTAGCTTTGGCTCTGCCTTGGGTGTCGGCGCGGGAGCCTTGACCTCGAGCTTGACCACGGGTACCGGCTTTGCCTCGGGCTTGGGAACCTCGGAGGGCTTGACCTCAACCTTGGCGGGGGTAGGCGCAGGAGTAGCCTTCGCCTCGACCTTAACGGGAGCAGGAGCCGGCTTGACCTCGACCATAGGTGGAGCGGGGACGGGGGCGGAGGCAGGGGTGGGGGCAGGGGCGCATTTAGGCTCGACCTTGACAGGCGCAGCGGCAGGCTTCCCCTCAGCCTTCGTGGGCGCCGGAGCGGGCTTGACTTCAACCTTGGCCGGCTTGGGCGAGGGAGCGAGAACGGGGGCAGGCTTGGCTTCAACCTTCGGCGCAGCGGGTTTGGCCTCGACCTTAGGCGTCTGTTCCTTCACTGGAGCGACAGGCGCCGGATTAGCAGCCTTGACCTCCGCCTTGACAGCGAGGGCGGCCTTGGCCTCGGGCTGTGCGGGGGCCTTCGCCTCGACCTTGACCTCGGCCTTCGCCGGAGCGGGGGCGGGGGCCTTGGGCTCGGCTTTGGCGGGGGCGGGTGTGGTCTTGGTCTCCACTGCAGGCGGGTTGGCTTTAGCCTCGACCTTCGGCGCAGAAGGAGTGGGCGTGGGAGCCTTGACGTTCTGTACGGGAGCAGCGGGCGCGGGGGCCGCAGCGGGCGCAGCGGCCTTGGCCTCTACCTTCGGGGTTGGCACAGGTGCGGGCGCCTTCACCTCCTTAGTAGCTGCAACCGGGGCGGGCGCAGCCTTCTCAGTTTTGACGGGCGCAGGTGCAGACCTCTCAACCGTGGCCGCGACAGGCGCTGGCGCTGGTGCGGGCGAGGGCTTCACCTCAGTCTTTGATGGAACCGGAGCGGAGACGGACTTCGCCTCTACCTGGGGAGTGGGTGTGGACTTGGTCTCGACCTTTGGCTCGACCTTGGGTTCCACCTTGGCAGGCGTGGGCGTGGGCTCAGCTTTGGCGAGGGACTTCACCTCAGCCTCGGCCTCGGCCTTCTCGGCAACGGGGGCAGGGGCGGGGGATGCGACGGGCTTGACCTCGACCTTGGGCTCCGCCTTGACCTCAATCTTGGCCGCGGCGGGCGCGGCGGGCTTGATCTCAGCCTTGGACTCAACCTTCGGGGCGGGCGCAGCCTTGGGCTGGGTCGTAGCAGGAGCAGCCTTAGGCTGGGTCGTAGAAGCGGGCGTGGCCTTCGGCTCAACCTTGACCTCGGGCTTCTTCTCCTCGACCTTGGCCAGCATAGCAGCCTTGGGCTCGGCTTTAGCCTCAACCTTAGCCTCAACCTTAGCAGGCGCCTTGGCCTTGGACACGGCCATGAACGCGCCGACGGCCTGGTAGAATGCAGGAGGTGCGGCAGCAGGGGGCGCCTCGACGGGCATGACCTCCTTGGCCGGCTCGGCCTTTCCGGACTCGGCCTTGACGGCCTCCTTCGGAGCAGCGGGCTTGAGAGGCTCGGCCTTGACGGGTGCGGCAGGCGCGGGCTTGGCGGGCGTAGCAGGCTCGATCTTCGCAGGGGTAACGGCAGGCGCGACATTGTCAGGGGTGACGGCAGGCGCAACCTTCGCGGCGGCGGGGGTCGGAGCGGCCTTGGGTGCGTCGACCTTAGCGGGGACGGCGACCGTGGGTTTAACGTCGGCCTTAGGCGTCGGGACAGGTAGTGCGGGCTTGGTGTCGGCTTTGGGCGCGGCAGGCACAGGCGTAGGCTTCACCTCAACCTTGGGGACCTCGGGCTTGACAGCGGCGGGTGCGGCGGGTGCGGCGGGTGCGGCGGGTGCGGCGGGTACCGCCGGAGCCTTAACCTCTACCTTCGGCGCCGGCGCGGGGGCGGCAGGCTTCACCTCGACCTTGGAGGCGGGCTGAACAGACTTAACCTCGTCCTTGGTGGGCTTTGCCTCCAGCTTGGCCGTGGGGGCCTTAACCTCGGCCTTGACCTCCTTGACCTCCGCCTTCGCAGGGGTGGCCTCAACTTTGGCGACCTTGGGCGAGGACGGCGCCTCCACAGCCGCCTCGAGGGCCGCGAGCGTAGCGGGCGCGGCGAGCGGCGCCGTCTTCGCGGGGAGGACGGTGGGCACGGGCTTGCCCCATGCAAAGTTCACCTCGCTGGGCGCCTTGGGCTTGGCGGCGCCGAACTTGAAGAATACGCCTGTGGGCATCATGCTCGGCATGGGCTTGGCGGCTGACACGGGCGCTGCCGGTGCCAGTGCGGCGGGCGGCGTTGGGACGGACGCGGCGCGCGCCGGCGCCTCGAGTAGCTTGGGCTCGAGCGCCGCACGGGCCGGGATCTCCTGCACCTGCTCGAGCGCGGCGCCGGCGGCGAATTTCACGCTCTTGGGCGTCTTGTCCGGCGTAGAGGGGGCAGACGCCGGCTTAGACTCGACCTTGGTGTCGAGCTTGGGCGCGGGGGCTTTGGGCTGTGCTTTGGGCTCCTCGGCGACAGCTGTTTTGGGCTCCTCCTTTTTGGGCTCCTCCATTTTGGGCTCCATCTTCGGCTCCTCCTTCTTGGGCTCCACTCTTGTGGGCTCCTCCTTGGCCTCCTTGACCTCCTTCTTGATCTCCTTCTTGACTTCCGTCTCGGGCTCCTCCTTGCTCTCCTTCTGCTCCTTGCCCTTGACTTCGACGACCGCCTTGGCGGCCTCCTTGACCTCCTTGACCTCCTTGACACCGTTCACGGCAGCCTTGACCACCTTCTTCTCTTCAACCTTGGACTCCGTCTCAACCGAGAGCCCCTCGTCCCGAAACACGACACTCACCTGGATCAGTGCGGGCTTGGCCTGGGCCGCAGCGGAGGGAGCGGTGGGTGCCGGGAGCGTGGGTGTGGGCGTGGACGAGGGCGTGGGCGTGGTCGCACGACTAGCGGCGGCCTTGACGTCCTCAAACTTGGTGGGCGCTGTCGCTTTCCCCGTCTTGGCCGTCTCGGCCTTGGACTTGTCGGCGCAGCAGGCGCTGCACCCGTCGTCGGGGAATTTGGGGTACGGGGTGGGGAGGGTGATGGCGGGAGTCTTCTTAGCCGCCGGAGGGGCGGGGACACGCGTATCCCCACAGCACGCTTCGCAGCCGCTCATGGGTGGTGGAAAGAACGTCGGAGAGAGTGGATCGAGGAGATGGAGAGGTGCGGCAAAGTTCTTAAGGCGGGCGCGCCGGTCCGGGCGGGCGTGGGGCGGCCCGGGAGGCGCGCCTGTGCTTGGTGATGGTGGATGCACCTAGCGACGCATTCGAGAGGCGAGAGAAGGGGGAGGAGGTAGAGGGAGGGGAGGAGGAGGAGGGAGCATGCCCAGCGATGCGATGGTCGCAATGTCCTTTGTCCGAGGTCAGGATGGTCAGGTATGAGGGGGACACGGGCCGTGCGGTCCGAGCACCGAGGCGAGTGGGGCGGGCAGGCGTTTCGGATCGCGCGTCGGAGTGGGCTTGGTGCGGGGGACGGAGGGGAGACGGGCTAGACGGGGCTGCATCTTTGTCAGAGGGTTAGTTGGAGGATGAGAAGTTGGAGAGTTGGCATGATGGCATCGGACAAAGTTGCCACCCGGTGGAGGTCGGCCACTTGGCGCTGGAGGCGCGATATGTGTCCTCACTCTCCACTCGCTCGCCAACGCACGCACCAGCGCACATTCGCAGTATGTCGTAGGCTGTCGATGCGGGCAGAGCGCTCGCTCCCGCCCATGCTTCCCACGCGCGGACCGCGAGATTGGGCCGCTCGTTGCAAAAAGTTGCTGCCTCACGGTGACACTATGTTACATAACTAAAATTTCTCGTCTGTCGAGGTACTACCCCTGCTAGCGCCCCGCTAGCTCACTACAGCCTGGTACTCCGCCGCCAGCTTCTTGAGGGGGACGTTCTCGATAGTGTGGTCGGCGGAGCGCGCGTCCCATCCCCGTCCGCTGGCAAGGAGGAGGCATGCGTCGGCGAGCGCGGACGACGTGATCACCGCGGAGGGATAGACGCAGCTGGCGGCGACGGATCCCCAGCGAGTGAAAAAGGGCACGCGGGGTGCTTGCTGCCGTTAACTGAGAGATTGGGACGGGACGTACCTCCGCACTGGGGATGATGCCGCCGGGGCGCACGAAGACGGAGGTGAAAGTGTCGCTTTCCATGGCGAGCAGCGCGCGCTCCGCTTCGCCTTTGACGCGCGCGAAGAGGGGCGTGAACATGCCCGGCGGGCCCTGCGTCACGCCCATGCCGCTCATGAAGACGAAGCGGAGAGGCTTGTCTTTACTCCCAAGGGCTTTGAGTGCGGACGCGCCGGCGACGGTGTAGTCGTATGTGATTCTGGTGTCAGCGCTGCCCCGTCTCCGTCTCCGGCGTACTTGTGGAACTCGTCCTTGTCGACCTGCGTCTGGCTGATTCCCAGGGCCCACACGACCGCGTCGTGCCCTTTCAGCCGCTCGACAAGCGCCGGCGGCAGCTCTTCGAAGCCCCGCGGATATTCGTCCGACGGGAGGATGATGGTCGTGAGCTTGTCGCTTTGCACGGAGGGCGCGCGGCGCGCGAGCACCGTCACGCGCGAGATGAGAGGTGAGGCGAGTGCGTTTGTGAGGATAGCAGAGCCGGCTGGAGTGAGCTTCCGATTCACAACAAGAAGCAGACACGTGGGGTCGTGGGGTTGGGTTCTGGGGATCTGGGAGGGGAGAGGGGGTGGGGCGGGTGCCTTGCCCGACTGGGCTGGTCAAACTCACCATTCCCGGTAGCGCCTGTGAGGATGATGCTTGTCATGATGATGAGCAGAGTGACGGTGGCGATGAGAACGCCGGTGCTGGGCTTGTAAAGTAGTCGCGAGACGAGGCTGGGAATTTGTTTGCGGGGAGATCTGCAAAGTGATTTACGTCACGTCGATCACTCGCCGTCGGTCTCCCCTGTCCCCACCGAGCTAATTACGGCCCACGCCATGCACGCCACCAGCCACGTCCTCACTCGCCCTCGCCATCATCCCCGGCGGCCTCGGCGCGGCGGCGGCGTAGTATCTCATCGCCGCCGGCCTCATCGGCCCCATACTCATAAAGCGTGAATCATTGTGTACAGTCTACCAAGCCTCATACAACCTCCCTTCCTTCCTCCTCCTCTTCTGAAAGCCTACGCGACCCGCGACGCAACAGTCCCGCTCTTGCTCGCCCGGCTGGCATACACGCACAGCTTGACGGGCAAGAAACATGCCATCCCCGCCCACCCCGCCACAGTCGTCCACCACCCGCGCTCCTCCTCCTCTTCGACAGCGCCGCCAAAATACTCAGGCTCGTCGGGCAGGCGCGCGGGCCCTTCGAGCGGTGTTGGGGGGATGATGCGGACGCGGGGTGTGGAGGGGGACGGCGTGCGCCAGTCAGAAGCGCGGATAGTCACTTCCGAGTCGGTGGGGGAGCGGACGGGGGAGCGGATGGGCGAGCGCACCATCTGGCGCGTCGCGGCCTGGGGTTAGCGGTGGCAAGGAAGGGAGGGAGAGCGCACCATCTGGTCCCGTATCAACCTGGCGTTAGCGAGGGCACTAGGCAAGGGGAGCGGGGTACGACTCACGGAGTGTACTCGTTCGCGGAGAAGCGCTGGATGCTGCGCATGGCCATGGTGCCATGGTTGGCGTTGAGAGATGTGGCGAGAGAGAGATCGAGCGGTGACGGGGGCACGGGCCGTCCGGCTCCGCGACGGGAGGAGATTGAGATTTGTCTCCGCTCCTCCCACTTTTCAGTTGCTTCACCGTAGCTCTTGGCTCATCTCGTGATTACTCTCTACCACGTCCATCGCCAATGCAGGCCATGCATGCGTTACGCTCCCGGACGGGTATATGCTCCAGGCTGCAGAATAAACGGGATGCGTGGAGATGCCGCGGTCAATGTGCTCTGACTGAGCGTCACACGCGGTCCACTCTGCCGCCCTATCTGCACATCCGCACCATCCGCACCATCCGCATCGCTTCCGCGTCGTTAAACTCGCTTTCAATCAAGCGATCAAGCGATTCCAGCTTAGGCCGCAGGTACGACCATGCGTGGCCCCCCTGACTTGCTCGCTAACATGCCTCATATCTAGCTGCATGCACGATATTCCTCCGCGGCGTGTCTCGCGACAATATAGCTCGGGACAAGCATGCCAGCCACGAGGGATGTGGCGGTGGACAGCGTTCCACTTGCAGCTTGGATGTGGCGGAGTGTCGATCCCCCACTCTAGCCACTCCCTGTGCAATTCATGGCTCGAAACGAACCATGTTTCGAGAGCTGGATCGCTGGAATCGGAATTGGGGCGATTGGTTGGCCGCTAGACGGCGAGTTCGGGCTTATGTTGGCAAAGCGAGCTGCGAGGGACTGGTCGCGGACGATATCTCGGTGTCGACTTGCGCCGTGGATACAGGCGTGTGCATACGTGCGCCCACCATAGCTGTGTAGATGCTGCCGCCTGGAGATCTTAACACAGGGGGCCTCGCTGGCTCCACTCCGATCCGCAAGTTGGTCTAGCTCGCCAGCGCGCAGCCATGGCGACCCTGCCACCTACAAGGTGTACGACGAACTTATAACGGCGAGATCCTTGCTGCAAATACACCACTCCACCTCCCCCACTCTTCCCGCTCCGATCGCCGTCTCCGTCGGCCCTCAAGCTCCGACACTGTCGGGGCCTCCGTGGCGCCGAGCGCTCAAACCTAGGCATGGAGAGTGGGGTGCCCCCGCGGCCGCGGGCTGCGTTCTCGGTGCGCAGACATGTGGGCGAGTAGTGCGTCGGGCGTCATTGTCATCCTGTTATCGGAGGAGACCGAGATCGGACTTCGGCAACTTGCCATCCATCAAGCCCACCACCACGCTCACATGACCTCGCCACTCCGCCATGACCTCCAGCTCACTCTCTCTTCATCTTCATCATCCACCATGCCACCACAGACACGCCACGCCTCCCTCCCCCCCTTCCCCTCGGACCTGACGACGGCGCCGCTCGTCTCCGTCTCCCTCGCGGGGCTGGAGGCGCGTGACCCCGCCGCTGAGCAGGCGTTGTGGGACGCGTGCCGTGACCTCGGCTTCTTCTACCTCGACATGTTCGGGAGCGAGCTGGGCGAGCGCATCGTCACACAAGCCGAGCAAGTCAATGACGTACAAGACGAGTTCTGGGCGCTGGGCAACGCCGAGCTCGACAAGTACGGGCGGGACAAGGTCCACGACTTCTTCGCGTACCGCTACGGCGAGCCGGGCGAGGTCGATGCGAACGGCGTCAAAATCCGCAACCAGAACTACAACGTGAGTCGGCGCTGCGCGGCTACGTCTCACGACGCCTAACCCCAGATCCGGAAGGACGACGTGCTGGGCCACATGGCGCCGCTGCCTGCGCCGCCCGTCGTGCGCACCAACTACCCCCTCTTTGCGTCGTACATCCGCGACTGCCGCGCGGTCATCGACCTGATCCTCGAGCAGCTTAACACGCGCCTCGAGCTGCCGCTGGGCACGTTGGCGGGGATGCACCGCCTGTCCCAGCCGTCGGGCGACCACATCCGGTTCACGGCGAACCCGCCGCAGGCGTACGACGAGCGCGTCGCCAAGCGCGGCGAGCACACCGACTTTGGCTCGCTCACCGTCCTCTTCAACTGGCTCGGCGGGCTGCAGATCCGGCACCCCGACACGGACGAGTGGGTGTACGTCCGCCCCGTCCCCGGCTCGCCCGTCATTAACCTCGGCGACGCCATGGTGACTTTCACGGCGGGCATTCTGCGCTCGAACATCCACCGCGTCGTGCCGGCGCCTGGAGAGCAGGCGAGCCTGCCCCGCACAAGTCTCGTGTTCTTCACGCGGCCGGAGGACGATGTCATCATGCGCCGACTCAAGGGGGGGATTATTGATGCGCAGCCGGCGACGGAGGCCGGCGAAGAGATGACGGCACAGGAGTGGTGGATGAAGCGCGGGACGGGCAAGTTGCCGGGCATCTTTACCAAGAAGGGGTTTGAGCCGTTCGAGGGCGGCGACTTGTACGCGGGCAGCTTCTTCAAGGACTCTGAGGCACCTGCGATCAAGGCGTGAGCAGGCTGCGTGGAGCTGCGGGGTGTTGCGGGGGATGCGTGGAGGTACATAGGTCAGAGTGGAGCTGTATGGGGTCGAGCAGACAAGTTGTAGCAAAGGGATGATGAATAAGAAGCACGATTCAAGCTTGAGCCAAGCACGCCTCCAGATCTCGCTGTGACCGAGGTGCAGCCGGCGTCGGCGTCCTACCAAGTGTGGCGTGCTAAGGCTTGATGAAGCCGCTGCATGGTATGGCCCGTCCCCACAGCGTTGGATCTCCACATGCCATTCATGACAAGCTCTCGCTCATGCCGGCGTCGACAGAACGCCGCTGGCGCAAAGGTGGCGGAGAGAAGTCGTCGGCAGAGGAACCGCCGCGCGGACCTCCAATTCAGTCTATTGCATCTTCCCAGTCGAGGCTTGGCCATGGATGCGACGTGCGAGGTGGCCCATTCTAAACGGTGCGAAGCGACTCCACCCCATTCTACGATGCGAGGAGTCTACCCAGTATGAGACGGTGCGAGCAGAGGCACCACATCCCCTCCTCAGGAGGTGGTTTTGGTCCAGTCGCAACTGGCCGGAGCGCGCGTGAGTTGGGCATGAATTGAGCAAAACGCCAACTCAAGGACCGCGCGACAACAAATGGATCCCGCGTGCAGCACCAGGTGGTCACCCACATGCCCACCGCTGACGTGGGATGACATGCTCGGGCAGAAGCTCTTACCACGGACCAGCGACGCACGACGCCTCCCGTGCGGGGTGCGGGAACACATACGTCCTGTGGGGAGCATCACGTGAAAGCCACCCGAGCGCAGAATGCAGAAACGCAGAATAAGAATATTCGTCCGAGCGCGTGGCGTTTTGACCGGGGCCAGTGGCGGTGGCGCAGCGATGGCGTATGGCGGGCGCCACGGACGCCCGCCGCCGTCCTCTCGCCTCATCTGCTACACGACGGCAGAACGCTACGGGCCTGTCGTACGTCGGAGCCCCAGTCTGCAACGCCGTGCAAGACGAGCAGGTGGGTGTGGGCTCCTGCCGACTAGAAAAACCAGGGCCACTTTATCGCCGTCGATTCATCGATCAACGACGCGCGCTATGCGATCGACAAATTGCTGCTTGTTCACTTCAACCTTGATCTTCCGATCTCCGTCGGCGGTAGCTGTCTCCTACTCTCCTCGGCGTCGCCACGTATCGTTCGTGCACAGCCTAGTGCCCACCGTCGACCCCCAGCGCTCAACGGAGATGCACGATGCCAAGAAGAGGGTTGGGCGGGCAGGGACGGGGGACTAGGACGGGGGACGTAGGGCCAGAACAAAGGCACGCCCGTCAGACCCGCACGGCCGGGGTGACATTTTTGCGCACCCTGCCTCCTCCGGCCCTCTCAACTCTGCCGTCGGCAGCGACCCCGCACAGCGCACAGCGACGAGAGCTTATCACTCACCCCGCCCATCTGGATCTTCTGCTTCTCCCTCTCCTCTCTCCTCCCATCTCACCATGTCGTCCGCGAGTCTCACCACCAACATGACGGACCCCAGCTTGGCGAGCAGCGCCGGACCACGCTGGAAGAACATCATCGTGATCGGAGGTGAGTCGGCATGGCTGAGGCGTACGCTAGCGGCGTACGTACTCGGCGTTACTAGATAAGTGACTAACGCCAGCGTCCGTCGCCGGCCACTCGGTGGTCAACGGTCTCGCCCAGAATCTGCCTGGCGGATACCGCATCCTGCTCGTCGAGCGGAACGAGTTCGTGCACCACAACCCCTGCGTCGTGCGCTCCCTTGTCCGCCCCGGCTGGGACATGACCAACTTTACCGCGCCCGTGCGGCAGGACACCATTTTCCCCGCCGGGAGCCGACACCGCGTGCTGGCGCCGAACCGCGTCGTCAAGCTGCGGCGGACGAGCGTGTGGCTCGAGCAGCCGTTCGAGGGCGTCGACGAGATCGAGTTTGAGGTGCGTCCTTGGCGGCCTGAGGCGTGTGGCGTATCTGACCCCAGATGTGTATTCTTGCGACGGGCGCACAGAGCCCCGCGCCGATCCGGCCGCTGCCGGGCTGCTCGCTGGAAGAGTGGCGCGCGGCGCTGCGGCGCGTGCAGGACGACATTGCGGCGGCGCAGAGCATCCTCATCGTCGGCGGCGGGAGCGTCGGCATCGAAGTGGCTGGCGAGATCAACGACGTGTACCCCAACAAGCGCGTGACAATCGTGCACTGGGACGTGGGGCTGCTGCACCCATCTGACAGCGGCGGCAACACGGCACACACATACGTCCCGCCGCGCACGCCAAACAAGTTGCGGAAGGACCTCGAGGGGCAGTTGCGCGCCCGTGGCATCCGCCTGCAGCTCAAGGACGGCGTCGACTTCGAGGCGGCCAAAGGCAGCGGCGAGTGGGGCGGCATGCCTGGCCCTCTTGGGGGTATGCGCACGATCCCCCTCACGTCCGGCGGCAAGGTTGAGGCCGACTACGTCTTCAACAGCACCGGCAACCGGCCAAACGCGGACCTCGTGCGCTGGGCCGATCAGGGCTCGCTCACGACCAACGGATACGTCTCGGTCGACAGCTACTTCCGCGTGCGGACGCGCACCCCCAACTCGCCACTCGTCGGGCACTACTATGCCATCGGCGACGTGTGCAACTCGCCGAGCTGGAAGACGGCCGAGGCCGCCATAGCCGAGGGCGAGGCCCTCGCGCGCATCATCACCTCTCGCCTGCGCGGGATGAGCGCACAGCCCTACTCGCCCCCCGGGCGCTTGCTCGAGTCGACCGTGCTCCTGGGAAGCGCAGGCGGCGCCTCCATCCGCCGTTTCCCCATCATCGGGTACATCCGCTCCGAGGGGAGCGTGCGTGAGAAGAGCCACGATTTCCACGCCGGCAAGAACTTCTTCTCCCGCTTCCGTGGGCAGCGCAGATTCGTGTCTACCAGCTCGTGGAGTCTGGCGACTTAGTATTCCCGACTCACAACACCCAAACCTAGCCAACCTAACCCGTCAACGGGCCGGCCATCGCCCGCCCTAGCACAACCCTGTAGATTCTTAGTCGTCTCGTCTTTTGGTTCATCGGTAGATAATGCCTCGTTGTTGCATCCTTTCTCCTTGTGCAGATATTTCTCACGCCCCGGGTTATCGGGATGATGCTTTGGCGAGCCTTGCGAGGGGGCTGAGGTCAGTGGTGCCCGGCGTCGCCCAATGCCGGTGACTACCGCCTCCGCACGCACATTAGGGTTAGTTCCTGTCCCGCCGCACCCCCCCCCCCGTTTTCCATGAACCGTCCAACGGGCGCCGAACGCTGCGCTCAGGCTCCATTATCGCGAGCAAAGGATACGATGGCTCCCGTAATCCGCCCGGAATGCTGGTACGCAGTGTGGCACGCCAAGCCGGGTCATCTAGGTCTAGCTGTTCATCCCGCCCGTCTAAAGCTACAACTTGGAAAAGACGCTCGCACACGCGCCCGTGCCGAGCTGCACGAGCGTGCTCTTCGTTCGCGTATACGCCATGATTCCCTCGTGCCCGTTCTCGACGCCGAGGCCGCTCATCTTCCACCCGCCGACGGGCATCTCGGCGGGGCTCTCGCCCCACGTGTTGATCCACGTGATGCCGGCTTCGAGGCGCCGGATGACGTACTGCGCGAGCCCGATGTCGCGGGCGCACACGCCCGCCGCGAGGCCCATAGCGGTGTCGTTCGCGCGCGCGATCAGCTTTTCCAGCCACTCGTCGCGCGACCCCGCTGTTGAGTAGGGCAGAATGGCCATCACAGGCCCGAAGATCTCGTCGCGCACAATCGTCATGTCGTCGGTACAGTCGCTGAAGACGACTGGGGGCACCCAAAACCCGCCGGGGTTCGGCGGCGTCGCCTGCGCCTCACGCGCGCCGTCGTACAGCACGCGCGCCTCCTTTCGCCCCGTCGCAATGTAGCCGTTCACCTTGTCCTGCTGCGCCTTGCTGACCAGCGGCCCGAAGTTGGTCTTCTCGTCCATTGGCATCCCCATGCGGATGCCGTCGCGGCACCGCTGCACGATCGCAGCTTCGACCTTGTCCAGCAGCGTATCGGGAACGAAAACGCGCGTGCCGTTCGTGCACACCTGCCCTGAGCTGTAAAAGTTGGCCATCATGGCGATATCGGCGGCCTCATCGACGTCCGCGTCCGGCAGGATGACAAGCGGCGACTTGCCGCCCAGCTCCATCGTCACACTCTTCATGTCCTTGACGGCGGCCGAGGCGACCTTTGCTCCTGTCGCGACCTGGCCAGTGAACGACACCTTTGCGATCTTGGGGTGCGCGACGAGCGCAGCGCCAACGTCCCCCGCGCCGTACACGACATTGAACACGCCCTTCGGCAGCCCGGCCTCGACGTAGATCGCCGCGAGCGTGTTCCCGTGCAGCGGCGTGACCTCGGACGGCTTGTACACCATGCAGTTACCCGCTGCGAGGCACGCCGCGCTCTTCCAGAGCGCGATCTGGATGGGGTAGTTCCACGCACCGATGCCGGCGCACACGCCGACCGCGTCGTAACTCGTGTGGATCGATGCCCCGGATGGGCCTGGCCGCAAGATTGTCGTCTTCCCGTCCAACCCGCCAGAGGCGACAAAGTGCGCGTAGTACTCGAGCACATCGGCGCCCGTCACAACGTCGACCGTCGACGTCTCGGACCATGCCTTGCCTGTGTCGAGCGTCTCAGTCTTCGCAATCGCATCGTTACGCTCGCGCAAAAGCGCGGCTGCGCGCAGCAGGATGCGCGCGCGCTCCACCGGCGCCGTCGCGGACCAAGCGGGGAAAGCCTTCGCCGCGCTCTCCACCGCCTCATCCAGCTGGCTCTCGGAGGTCGTGTAGATCTTGGCGAGTGGCGTGCCCGTCGCCGGATCCACGCTGTCGAACGTCGCCCAGCTCTGGGCGCCCCAGGCGGGCTGCGGCTTGCCGTCGTAGAACGTGTGGATGTCCTTCTCGAACGTCATGGTCAGTGCGGTGTCAAGAATTGAGTAGCGAGCAGAGATGTGTCAGCAGCGTGAGGTGGCCGGCGTCGAGCTCCGTCACAAGACTACTTACAGGGGACGGTGGCGGACGAGGAGGGCACAGGGGGGAGATAAAATCTCGTATCTTCCCTGAGAAATGTAATCAAATGACGTCAGGCACGGCCACCCGTGACGACGCCCAGACCAACTTCTTCGCGATCCTTTGACATCTTCAGGCCGTGCACTTGTTCTTTCTTCTAGAATTAAGTTGGAGGTAGATCAGCATGCATGCAGCAGCATCTTGTGAGCGATGTCGTGGAGGTCGTGCGAGAAGGTGACTGAAATGAAACAAAAATTAATATAGATATGCCCGATCGGCGAGTTCCGGCAGCTCGGCTCGGTTGAGCACTCTGAGACGTGTGACGTTGACCCCATTTCTCATTCCCCACTCGCCGTTGCCTCTGCCCGCTCCCCCTCTCCCCCGGCCTCTCCACTCCTCCCCATCCCGCCAGTCTACGCACAATGCACGCACAAAATTATACAGGGTAGAGTGGCTGCACAGCGCGCGTGCCAATGTACAGGCCGACGGGGGAGCGTCGGACGCCCGTGAGCCAAGACTTTTTTCTACGACGCCTCAGGAGATACAGGAGATTGTACTTGTCGTGCGCGCAGTAAAACACAGGGCGGAGATTGCAGGGCGCATTCCAGTCGAGCAGCCAGCGGATCACACCCGACTCCTTGGCCCGATGCCCCCAGGCAGTACAATGACGAGTGTCCCATCGCCTCTCCTCTGGTTCTGCTCTGCTGCAGCTCTGCTCTTCGGCAGCTTCTCCTCTGCTCTGATGCCTGCTCGTGACCGCCGCCGGCCGCGCCGACCTGACAACGAGCCCGGAGGCAATGCTGCTCCGCACTCGCTCCTCCTCACATAAGCAGACGAGGCACATCGCGCGCTGCTTTTCCGTTCAACCCCCCCCCCTCCTCTAACTGACATCCCGGTTTCAACATGCCTATGGAGTGCCAGAACACCCTCCCCGACACTCATCTGTCGGGGCACTACGACTACATCATCGTTGGCGGTGGCACCGCCGGCTGTGTCCTCGGCGCCCGCCTCTCCGAGTACCTCCCGCACCACCGGGTGCTTATCATCGAGGCCGGCCCGTCCGACTTCACGAATGACCAAGTGCTCAACCTGCGCACATGGCTGAGCCTGCTGGGCGGTGACCTCGACTACGATTACGGCACGACGCCGCAGCCGATGGGCAACTCGCACATCCGGCACTCGCGCGCCAAGGTCCTCGGCGGGTGCAGCAGCCACAACACGCTTATCAGCTTCCGGCCATTCCGGCGCGACATGGAGCTGTGGGAGGCCAAGGGCGCCGCGGGCTGGGACTTTGACACGGTCATGCGCCTCATCGACAAGCTCAAGAACACGGTGCAGCGCGTGCACGCGCGCCACCAGAATCAACTCTGTCTCGACTGGGTAAGCGCGTGCGCGACCGCGCTCGACATTCCGATCGTCAACGACTTCAACAAGACCATCCGCCGCGACGGTGAGATCAAGACCGGCGTCGGGTTCTTCAACATTTCATACAACCCCGACACGGGGTATCGTTCCTCCGCGAGCGTCGCGTACATCCACCCCTTTTTGCGCGGCGACGAGCACCGCCCGAACCTCACGGTCCTCACCGAGGCGTGGGTCAGCCGCGTCAACGTGTCCAACGACACGGCGACGGGCATCAACGTGACGTTCAAGGACGGGCGCAAGGTGACGATCTCGCCGCGCTCTGGCGGCGAAATCATCCTCTCGGCTGGTGCGGTCGACACGCCCCGCCTCATGCTCCTCTCGGGTCTCGGCCCGGCCCAGCAGCTTGAGGACCTCGGCATCCCCGTGGTCAAGAACATCCCTGGTGTCGGCGAGAACCTCGTCGACCACCCTGAGACCATCATCATGTGGGAGCTCTCCAAGCCCGTCCCCGAGAACATGACGACGATGGACTCTGACGCCGGCGTGTTCATCCGCCGCGAGCCCACGCGCCCCGGCGACACGGCGACCGACGTTATGATGCACTGCTACCAGATTCCATTTGTGAGCAAAATCAGTGGGCCCCGCTAACCCCAGACTCTCAATACCGAGCGCCTCGGCTACCCGAAGATCCGCGACCGCTACGCCTTCTGCATGACGCCGAACATCCCGCGTCCGCGCTCCAAGGGCCGGCTGTACCTCACCTCGTCCGACCCGTCGGTCAAGCCCGCGCTCGACTTCCGCTACTTCACTGATCCCGAGGGGTACGACGCGGCGACGTTCGTCGCGGGCATCAAGGCGGCGCGCAAGGTCGCGCAGCAGAGCCCGTTCAAGGAGTGGCTGAAGGAGGAGATTGCGCCGGGTCCCAAGGTCCAGTCGGACGAGAATATTAGCGAGTACGCGCGCCGCGCCGCGCACACCGTCTACCACCCTGCGGGGACGACGCGGATGGGCGCAGCGAGCGACGACATGGCCGTCGTCGACCCCGAGCTGCGTGTGAAGGGCGTCAAGGGGCTGCGCGTCGTCGACGCCGGCGTGTTCCCCGACATGGTCAGCATTAACCCTATGCTCACCGTGCTGGCGATTGGCGAGGGCGCGGCCGAGATCATGGCCAAGGAGCGCGGGTGGAAGGGCGACGCCGCCGCGCGGCTGTAGTCTCGCCCCAGCAAATCATGTAGCATTACAATGCAGCGATAGTATGGTTCTTGAGTGTCGAGTTGCCAGCTGACGTCTGTTTGCACACATGAAATTGGCGCCAGCCATGCATATCTCTTGCTGCGCCATGAATGAGCGGTCATTAGGGTATGCCACATCTATATCTCCTCCGCACGCCGCACGCTCTCCTCCCATCGCCGCTCCGTCGGGCGGTCTACGAGCGCGCGCAGGGACGCCACCTCCTCAAACGAGCTCTTGCAGCATCCGCCGAGCACGACGCCTGTCCACACGCCCGTGGCCTCGGCCTCGTGCGCGAGCGCAAGCACGCGCTCAGCCCATGCGAGGGGCGTGAAAATGCGATCCGTCCATTTCTTATTCACGACGTCGTAACTCGCCCCGCCGTCGGGATAGAGGATGAGCCATGGCGCGTGCGGCGCGCTTCCCTTCTGCGCTTGTCCGTCTGGCGCCGGCACGGCCCCGGCCTTCGCCTGCTTCCGCCTCCGAGCGTGCGCGGTAATGGCGCCGCTGAGGGCGCCAAGGAGGACGGGGAGACGCGTAGGATGCGTGCAGTTCACGCCGACGCCGTCCGGGCGTGGGGCGCCGTCGAAGGGCGCGAGAGGCGGGAGGTCGCCGACGAGCGCGGCGGCGACGGCGGACATGTCGGCTGGCTGGCCGCGGGCGTCGCGTTGCCCAATGCTGCCGTTCGGGTAGGCCGAGGAGATCCAGAAGGGCTTGGCGTCGCCGAGTTCAGCGCGGAGAGCGCCCACGGCGCGGCGGATCGCGCGGATCTCGCGCAGTAGCGGGATTGTTTCAAACGCCAGCCATGCGACGCGCGGCCAGGAGGGGGCTGCGGCGTAGACCCGCAACCGGTCCAGGTGGAACTGGGTGAGCGCGGCTTCGTACGCTGCCTCGTCTTCGGGCGGCGCGTAGTTCGTCGCTTGAGAGGAGGGGGAATAGCCGGCCGGGCCATATGGTGGGGGATACAGCCCGTCGTACTCCTGTCCAGGCGAGAGCGTTGCGCCGTACGGCCCGAGCGCCAGCGCCACCTTGTGCTTGTGTTTCGGGGGTTCTTTCGCTGGCGTCGGCTTCAGGGCTGAGGCGACGGCTGAGAGCGTCGAGGACAGGGTTGCGGGGCTGGAGTTGGGCGCGGTCAGATCGGCAGCGAGCGACACCGCGCGGTGCATTAGCGCGCGCGCCGTCGCTTCGTCGTGTCCTAATCCCACCAACGCGGGGAGAGTCATCTGATATCTGAGTAAGCGTTGTCGACGAGATACTCACGTCGCGGTCTCAATGATGTCAGCGCCCGCGGACACGTAGCGCGCATGCACGTTGGCAAGGGCCTCGGGGTTGCGCGACACGAGCTCGCTGCCCCACATGGGGCCGGAGACGTCGTGTCCGTCCGCCTCCAGCGTCGTGCCCATGCCGCCGTCGAGGATGAGTATGGGCATGGCGGTGGATGTTGTGAGTGGAGTGTTGTGAGGAGTTGAGATGCCGCGTTTTGCCGTGTCGTCATACATTTCACTGCCAAGCCACACACTGTCCACAGTGTCTACACCTGCGTCACCCCACAACTTCATGCATACATACATACAGTAAATCTCGTGTCTCGTTCTACGTGTCCTCTGTCCCAATACGCTAACTCTACGCGGCGGCAGTGATAGTGACTGTTGGCGGCGCGGCCTGGTTGTGTGCGGCCTGTGATGTTGGTGCCGTCGTGCTCGCCCCAGCGGCCAGCGCCGCCGAGATCCCGGCCCAACGCCCATTCTCGTCGAACATGACGGTCGCCGCACTCTTGCCGTCGCCGAACTGCAGCCCGCGGCCGTCGGCGACAGCGCTCGAGCTCCAGCCCATCATGCCAGCCAAACCCTCGACTGCGCGGCGGGGGTTGTTGATGAGCCCTGACGCGAGGATGCGCGGCGCCTTGGCGACGGCGGTCGCGAGCGTGAGTTGTGGCAGGGGCGCGTCGAGGATGAAGAGGACGCGCGCGGTGCCGTTCGGCGCCGAGTAGTAGGGTCCGCGGCGGAGGATGCCGACGGCGGCAGCGCCGATTTCGTGCGCGAGGGCCGCGACGTCGTCTTCCGTCGGCTCAAAGCCTTCGGGGAAGGGAAGTTCTTCTGCCGCGAGCTCTGGGAGCTTTAGCTCGTCGCCGGCACGGCGGAGGCCAGCCGCCACGTCGTCGCCGCGCGGGTGCGCCCAGCCCCACAGGATCGAGCGCGGGCCCGGCGCAATCGAGCACAGGAGGTGCGCGCCGCATTCAAGCTTCCTCCCGTCGTCGGAAGTGAAGGTCAACGTTCCCGCAGCCATGTCCACGTCGAAGCGGTGCTCGCCCAACTCGTCGCCGGCCTCAACCAGCGCGTCCTGCTGCAGCAGAGCGGCAAGTTGACCCGCCTCGATCCACGGCGCGAGGGCGGGGAAGACGAATGGTGAGTCAGGCGACTCCTGCTTCCGCTGGGTGACGAGGGCGCGGAGTGCGGCTTGCTCGGCCTCGCGCTCGGCTTCGGCAACGCTCGTCCGTCCCGACGACACGGTGTCACCACCTACGCTCGCGATGCTGTTCCGGTGCGCGGCGGACATGCGCGGGGCGGCGAGACGCGTCGTGCTGCTCTTGGCCGAGGGTGTGTAGTCCTCCATTACTGGCACGGGTGGGTGCGTGCTGGGCTTGTACAGCGCCTTGGCGACCGACTGCATCTGCTTCGGTTCCTTGGGGCGGCGACCAAAGCACATGGTGGGAGGAGAGATGTGGGGGAGAAGTGGTGATGAAGAGAGGAGGAGAGGAGGAGGAGGCGAAGGAGAAGGCCCGAGAGGCGAAAACTGCCGATGAGATTGTGGCTGATGTGATGCGAATGCGAGTGCGACCGACGCGCCGAACGCGACGAGGGGGATGCAGCGGCGATGGCGATGAGAGGTGTGAGAGATGAGATGAAGTGAGGATGCAAGTCTCGGTCAGGCGAGCGAGGAGGATCGCGTGGGGGGAGGTGGATGAGCCATGTGCCAAGACTTTTGATTGTGGGGGAGAGGGGGAGGGATGAGGGCATCTTTTGTGCTAAGCGGTGGGCTGCAGCCAAGACGACGCAATCCTCCCCCCTCTCTCCGCCTCTCTCTTGCCGCGCACACAGCCCACAAGGAGCTCATGCTCCTCCCCCCCCCCCCCCCCCCCCCTCCTCGGACTCCCATCGGGATTGATTCTCGGGGTCGCGTTGCATGGCCGCGCTCTAGTTACCAGTGTCACGGAGTCAGGACCAGTTTCGGGGCATGACCGAAGCGAACCAGAGAGTACGACGCCGCCTGTTCTCAACCTCGGTCCCCACGGTGCCCCTCCTATCTCGTACCTCTCATGCTCTCTCATGCATGCATCTGACAGCATCTGGCATCGGCAGACCCACCGCCAAGACAGTGCTCAGTGCGCGCCGCACCGCACCGCATCGCCCGTCTTGGCAACGGAGATGTGTGCACGGCTCTCTTTACTCCACATCCCCTCCTCTCCTCCTCGCCACGTCAGAAACATGGCTCGCTTGATACATGAGCAGGAGCAGGGTCCGGGCGCCGAGTCGGCGGGGCGACGGAAGCGAGGCATGCGAGGATTTCCGTTGCGGCGCGGCGGCGGCGTATGGCAACGTCTTGCGTGAACGGTCACATGTGCGGCAGAGGGCGGTTGGAAGGCTCGGCAATCTCTGCGCTTGGCCACCGCTTGCCGATGCCGGTCATCTCCGGGTTTTCTTTCACTTCCGCACTCTTTTGTTATCCAGTCCAGTCGTGCATCATTAAACTCACAAACGGCCTGACTCGTAGGTGCAACAGGCTGCTCATCAACATAAAGGTATTGGATGCGCTGAGGTGCTTACAGTGAGCAAGCAAAGTTACGGACAACCAGGACCAGGTAAGCGCTGCTCAACGGAGACACGGAAGAATAAAGTCGTCATGGCCATCGTTTACCCCAGCTCCAACTCACAATACAATTGCCCAGCAGAAACCCGCGACACGCAACTAATGATGGAGGCGCAACTGGTGCATATCTAACATACTGAATTATAACCATGGAGATGGCTCGCCTGTCTCCACCAGACCAGTACTGAATGACTGATCGGCAATATGAAGGCTGCTGAGCGCGGACGTTGGGTGACGAAGCTCTAGGCCTGGACCGCGTACGGGTCCTCGTCCGAGTACCAGCCAGCGAGGAGCATGTAGTCGTCCTCGTCTCCGTCCTCGGTGTCAGCTTCGTTGCGCGCCTTGGGGGGCTCGCCGACCGCGCCGGTCTTCTCAGGTCCTGGCACCTCAGTACGGGGCCACCAGCGCGTGCGGGTCTTCTTCGTGCGCGTGCTCGTGCGCGGGCAGCGCGGCGGGGGGCCGTACGTCCACCCAACACGGGCGGGGGTGACGAAGCGCGCGTTGAGCGGCACGTGGGTGGGCACGCATCCCGTCGCGTTCGGCGCGTAGTACAGGCTGTAGGAGAACGCCGAGCGCCATTCCTGGACGTTCATCGTCGCGGGAATCTCGAGCATGTGCGGGATCCAGTCGACGTACCACACCACACCCCAGAAACCGGGAGGGGCATGGTAGCCGGGCGGGTAGGAGATGGAGGTCGTCGAGAGGGTACGGGCCTCGAGGGCGAGGCGGGGGTCGGGGGGCGCGGTGATCGTCGAGGCGACGGCGGTGATGCTGGGAGAAGGGGTCTCAAGGGGGTGCGCGGCCGCGAAGCCAAGGAGGATGAGGAGGGGGAGGAGCATTGTGGGAGACTGGTCGGTGGTGAGAGGGGCGGTGCTGAGTGCTGGACTTATATGTCGCAGGCCTGGGGCGTGGGACTGCAGTGCTCGCACTATTTTGCTTCCCACGCCGTGTTGGGCCGGGGCACCGTTGTCACTCCCGCCCGCGTCGGCGTCGGGGGTGGTGAATTTGATTGGATTTCTGTTTGATTGGATTTCCCCACCCTCCTCCCGCGTTCTCCCACGCTCGGTGTAGGGTGGTAGTCTGAGCGGTCCTCCGCTCGTACCGGTGTGTGGGGCGAAGTGTGCTTTGAGAAACAACTGGGAAGCGGGCTGGGAGGGTGGGGCGGCTGGGGAGGGGGTCGGGACTGTGAAGAATGGAGGAGGGCGAGGATGAGGTCGTGAGGGGATTTGCCTGCCGACGCTGGCGTGTCTCTTCCAGCCACCCAAACAATTAGTGCTGGAGTTTCATGTGTGTCTCGACAGTATTGTGGTAATATCTCAGAGCCAAGTAGAGACTTTGAAGCTGTGCCGAGGTGTCCGCAATTCTACAGCAAATGGGTGAATGCTATCTTCGCTTCTCGCTTGTGAGAGTTTCCGCCTCGAGTCATGCCATATGCTTCGGAGGCCACGTCCAGCCTGATATTAAGATACAGCTGCTGCAAAAACCCCCGTAGCTTCTTGAACCTTAGCGGTCACATTAAGTACGCAAGTACGGTAGGTATGATGTGGGGTGTTCCGAGTCCGAACTCCGACGATACGAGGATCAGTACATGCAGGAACACAATCTGTGTAAGCATTCTGAGAATCCCACAACACTGTTGGTGAAACGGTATCATGCGTCGTTGCCATCGACGCGGCGGGGGTTCGACTCCCTCACAGTGTATGCCGGGGGTGCTCTGGGAGATGCGTGTGCGCCACCTGCGACAGATCGCGGTACTTTCTTTTTGCCCGGGAAGGTACGATGACGACCTGGTGTAAGGAGGGGGGCAACCGCGCGCCGCACATATGAGCGCTCGCCATGCCGCCGTTGGCGGTTACACGAGGTGGGGGTGCGGGGCAGCGCTTCCGGATGTCACTGAGGGTGTACATCCGACGTGGCGGCGATCTCCGTCACGCTGCCATATCATTGCCCACCACCACCGGCAACGCTACGCGCCACACGGGACCGGTCAGAATGTATGGTGGCCGACGCCGGTATATATACCCCACGGACCCCCAGTACCCCACTACACACCCCACGCAAAATGACGAACACTCAGACCTGGGAGGACATCAGCATGGCCAAAGTGGCGGCGCGGGAGGCCAAGATCCCCTCGGCGTGGCGCATCTCCCCGCCCAAGGGGCTGAACGTGATGGACCTGCCGCGCACCAGTGGCCTCCTGAGCGCGCGCGAGCTCGAGATCACGGAGAAGCCCGCCGTGGACCTGGTAGCGGCGATGATCGCGCGCACCTACACGGCGGAGGAGGTAGTCATCGCGTTTGCGAAGCGCGCGTCCATTGCACACCAAGCGACCAACTGCCTGACGGAGATCTTCTTTGAGGAGGGCATCGCGCAGGCCAAGGCCATTGACGAGGAGTACAAGCGCACCGGCAAGCCGAAGGGGCTCATGCACGGCCTGCCCGTGTCGCTGAAGGACAACATCGGTGTGGCGGGTTACGACGCGACGGTGGGCTTCATCAGTCACTGCAATGCGCCGATGAGCGAGGACGCGCTCCTCGTGCAGGCGCTGCGTGATGCCGGCGCCGTGTTTTTCTGCAAGACCAATGTGCCGACCGGTATGCTGATGGGCGACACGTACAACAACGTGTGGGGCCACACCGGCAACCCGTACAATACGGAGTACGGGTCGGGTGGCAGCAGTGGCGGCGAGAGTGCGCTCCTCGCCATGCGCGGGGCGCCGCTCGGCGTCGGTAGCGACATCGGCGGCTCGATCCGCATGCCCGCCGCCATCACGGGCATCTACGGCCTCAAGGCTGCGGCTGGCCGCTTCCCGAATCTCGGGTGCAAGACGGGCTTGCCGGGCCAAGAGGCTGTGCGCGGCGTACAAGGCCCACTGTCGCCGGACCTCTCGTCTCTCGAGCTCTTCTCCAAGGTCGTCGTCGGCGCGCGACCATGGGAGACCGACCCGACATGCTACCCCGTCGAATGGCGCGACCTCCAGCTCCCCCAGAAGCTGTGTTTCGGTATGTTCCGCGCCGTTCCCGCTCACGCCAGGTCTTATGATGGACGACGGCGTTGTACGCCCCACGCCGCCTGTGAAGCGCGCAATGCTTGAGCTCAAGGCCGCGCTTGAGGCCGCAGGCCACTCCGTCGTCGAGTGGACGCCGTACAACCCCGCCGAGGGCCAGCAGCTCCTCCTCCGCTGCTTGACCGGTGACGGCGGTGCCAAGATGTATGAGCAGGTGCGCGGGGGCGTGGCGCCCGAGCCATGGGGCAAAGACCTCGCGATGTTCGAGCAGCGCTACGAGGCGGCCAAGAATGCGCCACCGACCGTCGGGCAGCTTTGGGAAATCCAGGTCGCGCGCAATGCATACCTCCGCAAACTGCTCGAGAGCTGGGCTGCTACCAAAGAGATCACCGGCACGGGGCGGCCCATCGACGGCTTGATCTCGCCCAACATCGCGTTCCCCGCCGCCCCCAAGTTCCGCTTCCGCCACTTCGGGTACACGGGTCTGTGGAATCTCGCCGACCACGTGGGCGTCACGATCCCCGTTACGTATGCGACGAAGAATGATGTGGTGACGGAGGAGATCGAGCCGCGGTGCGAGGACGAGAAGGCCGTGTACCGCACCTACAACGCCGAGGAGCTCGACGGCATGCCTGTCGGCTTGCAGATTATTACGCCGCGCCACACGGAGGAGCGCGCGCTCGCGCTCGCGGCGGTCGCGGATGCAGCGCTCAAGAAGCGCAAGGCGGCGCTCTAGGGGAGCTGGATTAGCTAGGGAGTTCAGAAGAGGAGATTAAAAGTGATGTATGGCGCAACTGGCGCTTGAGGGTGGCAGTGGCTATTTCAGGAGAAGAGCGGCAAGAGCCGAGTCGCCGAGTCACCGAGACCGAGTCAGGCATTCCGCATTCTCCTACATCTCGGGACGGGCATCTCCTTTGCTTGTCTTCTGATCTTCTCCCTCATCACTATGCCTGAGTATCCCGTTGCTGTGCCACAGAACGCGCCTCCACCTCCCGCACCACTGCACCTCGTGCCGCGCGACGCGCCCGAGGACGAGATCCGCGCTGCTGCGACGGCGCTCGCGGCCGCCTTCGAGGGCGACCAGATTGCGGACATTATCTCCGGCGGCGTCCCCGGCCTCCACGAGGCGCGGATGTACCGCACCGTCGCGACGGGCGTGCTCGACCTGGAAGTGTACACTGTGACGGACAAGGAGGTGCTCGGCGTGATGGTGGTCAAGCCTCCCGGTTTTGCGCATCGCTGGAGGTGGGTTAAACTCACCGTCGACACCCTCCCTGCAACTCCTGACCCCAGCCCCAACTCGGAAGGCCCGCATGGCCGTCTCGCGGACGAGCTCGCGAAGCAGAAGCCCGAGGCCGATGAGCACTACGCCGTGCTGAAGAAGACGTTGAGCGCGCTCGAAGTCGAGGCGTTTGGGGAGAATGAGGTCACGGATCTCTTCTATATTTCCCACATCGGGGTGACGCCCGCGGCGCAGGGGCGGGGCGTGGGCGCCGGCTTCTGCCGATACATGGTGGCGCGGGGGCGCGCGATGCGTACGCCTGTGTCGCTGCTGACGATGACTGAGGGCCATGTGAGTGTATTGGGGAGGGTAAAAAGGAGGCGCGGGATGAAGGAGAAGAGGGGAGGAGAGAGAGAGAGAATGGGCATGTGTGTGTGAGGTGGCTGGCGCGGAACAGAGGCCAGGAAGGAGAGGAGGTCGGCAGGAAGCTCACACCAGGTCAAGTACTACCAGCGCTTTGGGTTCAAGACTCGCGCGTACACCGAGGTCGAGGTGGGCGGAGTGTTGACCAGGTGGTGGGCCATGTCCACAGACGTGTGAGACATCGTTTGTGGAGACGAGGGGAATGCACGTCAAAATGCAGGCCACATGCATTCCCCACAGATGGCTAGATATGCATAGATTGCGCACGGTGTGGTGCTGATGGCATGCGAGGGCCCGCACGGTCACGACTCTTTTCGTGACCGCCGCGTCCGCCCAGTCCGCTGTATAAAAACAGGAGCACGGAGCCCTTACGGACCTCTTCCATCTCCACTCCTACACCATCACCGACCTCATCCTGGCTCGTCGTATCTCCGCCGCACATGTTCACCAATCATGCACACCCTTCGCGGGCTCAGGCAGCTTCATAGCACACCTCTCGCCTCAGCATCCCCCTCGACCACTTAGCATGCTCGTCCCATCATGCCAAGTGCCCAGCGGTGTCGCCATATGCTGCAAACGCAATTGCAGACGTGCCGAATTCATCAGCGCAACGTGCCATTCGCCGAGCACATGTCCGCCATCTGGGGTATCGGAACGTCGGAACCTCGGAAGCCGGAATGTATAGCCGGGCCTGGGGTGAATCACATGACGTCCGTCCACTTGGGCATGGTCCATCCGACCCACGTAGCGTCGGAAGAGGGCCTCACGGTGGGCATCTGGATATAAGAGCGATCCACATCGACACGTCGCACTTCCCACCAAAAGCCTTACACAATGACTCGCTCTGGATCTTGCCGCTGCGGTGAGTAGCTTCCTCCCTCAGTCACGCTTTCCTGCGTCCGGCGCGGCGCTCGCATTGTGTCGCTCTGGCTCGTGGCCTGAGGATGCACGTTGGACGCACGTTCTTCTTACAAGCTCCCTTGAGCTATGTCTCCCCGTCCACCGCTGACACCAGGTGCTATCACCATCGACTTCCTCGACGACAGCAACAACGACGGCGTTGTCTGCTACTGCAAGTCGTGCCGCAGCCTCCACTCGTCCGAGTCGCTCAACCTCAAGACCGAGGTCGACAAGGTCAAGGTCACCAAGGGCACGCCCAAGGTGTACAAGGACAGCAAGACCGACTCTGGTGGGTGGCATTGGTGGCTGAGCCAAGCGGGGCAAAGTCGAGCCGGGCGGTGCTGGGAAAACGCGCTAACATGCAGGCAAGGCCATCAACCGCAACTTCTGCGGCGACTGCGGCTCGGCCCTCTTCTCCGACCCGGACGCCATGCCCGGCGTGCGCTTCCTCAAGGTCGGAGCTCTTGACGATGCCTCGGCTATCAAGATCGTTGGCGAGATCTACGTCGACGACGCGCTCAAGTTCCAGGTCCGGTGAGTGGAGGATGAGAGGGCGGGGCTGAATGAGGGCGGGAGTGAGGCCGATCGCTAATGCCAGTGACAAGAAGCACGGCCAGAAGCAGTTCGAGGGCATGATGGCCAAGGAGGTCTAGATATGTGCCATGTCAGAAGCCGATATGCAGATTATGCAGCTCTGCAGAGATGGTCCACATGCGAGCGGATGGGACGCGTCCTTAGTTCCGCGAGGTGCGCTGAGCAGTGAGGTGCCTGTGTGCAGTCGAACTGGTGATGCGTATGAGCGCAAGCCAGCGGGGATCTTTGTGCACCATGTGCGAGGAGGTCGGTAGCGAGGTCGAGCGAGACCGAAGAGGTGAGACAAGATCGAGCGTCCCAAGTCGGCCAGATCTGATGTCAATGATATTGTTGCCATGTGCGGAACTCAGCGGGTTCATGTTCAGTAGCCCGCCTGATGCCGTTCGCGACTCGCGGAGGCGACTTTGACGTGTCCGCGAATTCGCGAGTATGAAGGCGTCTTGCGCGACATCCTCGTTGCATACCTTTCCCCTTCTCACCCTCCCCTTCATTCTCTCCACGACCATGCAGAAAGGATCCTGTGCTTGCGGTACGTCCCGGGGCGCCCCACACTGGCGAAGCTCACTCAGGCGCCGTGACGTACGAGCTCGACGACGACACTAAAGCCGCGGGACTCTGCTACTGCCGCGACTGCATGAAGACCGGTTCGGCGGGGTAAGCTGTCCCCTTCACCTGCTTCCTAATACCAGCGCCCTCGTGCTCCGCTCCGCCCAGAGCAAGTTCCGCGTCTCAGGCCAGACCCAGCATTGGGCGACGAGCCAGACGCAGAGCGGCAAGGAGGCGCGCCGCTTCTTCTGCCCGTCCTGCGGCGTGCACATCTGGGCAGAAAGCGACGCGTATCCCCAGCTCGTGACGATCAAGGTGGGTGGAGAAAGGAAGGGGCACTTATGGCAGGTCGGCACACTTGACGACTACGCCGATGTCACGCTGGCGATGGAGGTCAACACCGCCAACGCCATCAAGGCGTTCCAGCCTGTGTGCGTGATGCGTCCGAGTGAGCTAACCACAGCAAAGATGTGGGCCAGAAGCGCATCCCGTAGACTGAGCTGTAGCCGTGTCGTAATGGCCGTGTGTCAACGTGTTGAGATGTGATCGATGTGAGACATGCTGCGGAATGGAGATCTGGGCTTCACGAGGATGGGTGACTCAACCGCACTGCACGCACTGGGACCATCCACAACTTCTTCCTTCCTCTCTTGCATTCTCCATCTTCTCTCGCTCTTTCATCACCATTACCATGCAGAAGGGCTCCTGCGCCTGCGGTACGTCTCCCGCGCACTCCCCACTCCTGATACAGGCGCCATCACGTACGAGCTCGATGACGACAACAAGGCCGCGATGATCTGTTACTGCCGCGATTGCAACAAGACTAGCTCGGGCGGGTGAGTCTCACCTCCACAACCTTTCTCAGCTCTCTGGTAGCTCTCCTATGTGCATGTAGGCTCACAACAGCGCCCTCTTCCTCCGCACCGACAAGGTCAACCTCCGCCTCAAGGGCTCGCCCAAGTTCTGGGCCACGAACGCCACGCAGAGCGGCAAGGAGTCGCGCCGTTACTTCTGCCCCGAGTGTGGCGTGCACCTGTGGGTCGAGGTCGACCAGTGGCCGAGCATCCTGACTCTGAAGGTGAGCTGGGTGGTTGAAGCATGATACCCGCTCCTTTCAGTCATTCTTCCTGTGGGGGGAGACACACCTGACATAAGGTTGGGACGCTTGACGATTACGCCGATATCACACTCGCGACGGAAGTTCATACTCGCAACGCGATTAAGGCGTTCCAGCCCGTGTGCGTCACGCTGCGGTGTGCGGAGGAACTGACAGCAGCCAGGACGTCGGCCAGAAGCGTATCCCGTAGAGGCAGATGCACATAGCATCCGCCAGGTGTGCGCGAAAGCCCAGTACTGTTGGCCTCAGGCCTTGCCATCGGTCATCCACACTCACACAAACCAGATACCTGAGAATGTTCTGGAGAGGGACTCAAAATGCAAGTCATTGTCTCGTCAACGTTCTTCCAGCCCTTGGCTATTGTAGTTCTCGGCCATCTTACACATTCCGCGTGCAAGCTGCAGACCACGGCCAAGGCGAGCGGCCCAGTTCCTGAGCCGTGCCGAGCCGGCATCAAGCAATGTCAGGTATCGGTTTTCTCCGCGCAGCAGACCTGGATAAACTGATCCGATGGCTGACGGCTCTGACAAACCACTGGGAGCGATGCCGCTCGCTGCTCCGCTTGATTCTCATTAAGTCTGTGCTCCGCGCCGGTGCAGACTCCGCTCGCTGCACACGACTCACGAGCTCATCTTATCGCCACTTCCCACGCGCTCTCACTCCGACCCCATCTCCTAGCTCTACTCCCCACCTACCGCGCGCTGCAAAGACCCATTGCCCATGGCGGACCTCGAAAAGTTCGCGGGCTCGGCCGTCTCTGACGCGCCAACAAATTCGCCCCCAAGTTCGAAGCAGCTCGATGCGCCCGACATCGTGATCGTCGACTGGGCGCCCGACGACCCAGAAGTGAGTCACTGTCGTGGCGCCTCGCTAACCGCAGCATCCGTTCAACTGGCCTCGTGCGCGCAAGTATCGCATGGTGGTCATAGCATGCTTCATCACCGCGCTCACAGCCCTCAATAGCACTGGCATGAGCATCATGACGACATGGGGCACGGCGTGGTTTGGCACGACCCGGGTGCACTTCATCGCCGGTCTTACGCTATACAACGTCGCGAGCAGCATTGCGCCGCTACTCCTCGCGCCACTGAGCGAGCATTTCGGACGGAACGGGATCTACCAGATCTCCTCGATCATGTGCGCGCGCCCGTGACGGTGGCTGACAACAGTAACATGCTTCTCTTCCTTCCACAGGTGTTTACGAAGAACTTGCCCGGCTTCCTCGCGTGCCGGTGGTTCGTGCGTGCTCCGTCTGACTCCGCTCACCGTAGCAAGGCATGGTGGCCTCGGTCGGCATCTCGATGGTCGGGGGCACGATCGCGGACGTGTTCGAGGCGCGCGACAGAGGGCAGGTCATGAACCTGTTCGCGCTCATAATCTTTATCGGGCAGGGCGCAGGCGGAGTTACGATGGGCTGGATTGGCGAGCGCCTCGGATATCAGTGGTGCTGGGGCGCGCAGACGATCTGGGCGGCGGCATCATGTGTTATTAACGCCCTCTTTCTGCGCGAGACGCGTGCCAACACGCTCCTGACGCGGCGCGCGCGCCGCCTCACCAAGGAGACAGGGGTCAAGCATGTCGCGCGCTCAGATATCGAGCGCAAGCACCAGTCGCTGCTGCAGCAGCTGAGGGTCACTGCCATCCGCCCGCTAAGTACGTTGTCCGTCATTCCAAAACCTAACGGCAGAATTCCTCGTCACGGAGCCCATCGTCAGTTCGCTCAGCCTCTGGATCGGCCTCGCTTGGGGTAGTCTCTTCCTGGGCGGGCCGTCGACGATGCTCGTCTTCGCGCAGTACGGCTTCTCGCCCGGCGAGAAGGGCAGCATGGGCGCGTGTATCGCCATTGGTGGTATTATCGGGTATGCGACCGCGTCCCACCAGGAACGGCTGTACGCGCGCGCGGCGGCGGCGAGCGGGCGCGCGCCCCCCGAAGCGCGCCTCTACTGGGCTGCGGCAGGCGGCCTCCTCTTCCCGGCCGGCATGATGGCCTTTGCATGGACAGGACGCCCGCACGTACCCTGGCCCGTCCCCGCCGCCATGCTCTGCATCTCCTACTGGGGCATCTACAGCATGTATCTCGGCGTGTTCAACTACATCGCGGACGCGTACGAGACGTACAGCTCTAGCGCGCAGGCCGCGCAGGGGTTCGTGCGCAACACCAACAGCGGGATATTCCCACTGTTCACTCTCCAGATGTACGAGCGCCTCGGGTATCCCCAAGCATCGAGTTTGGTGGCTGGGCTCGGGTTCGCGTTCGCGGCCGCGCCGTTCCTGCTCATTCGATATGGCGCGCGGCTGCGCGCGCGGTCTCCAGTCACAAGCCAGCTCGTGGGCAATTTGTAGTGTAGTCATTAGCATTAGGCATTGCATGGGCACCGTGGTTGTCAAGAGCAGCGAAGACCGAGGCCGGGAGAGGTAGCCGCCGGTGTCTCATTCCGAGCATCAAACCGCAGGGGAAAACGCAATCTCCAACTTTTTGGTGGACACAAACATCCTCCACCCCATCACCTCTTTCTCGTCGTTCCTCATCTCTCAATCACCCGACGAACAGTAACCAGGTGACCATGGTGCAAACAGGCCGGTGTAACTGCGGTGAGTTCCGCAGAGGCTTTGGCCTCTTCAACAACCCCCGTCCCACTCTCCATCAAGCCTACCTGCACCGATCTGGGGACGCCTCTGACTCCAGGCGCGATTGGGTACGAGCTAGATGAAGATGTCAACCAAGCCACCATCTGCTATTGCAAGACGTGCCAGCGCTCCTCGTCTTCGCAGTGAGTCGCCTCTCGCCACCCGCTCCTCCCTCTCGGGCTTCTCCGCTCCGCCCTCCCTCTATCTCCTCAACCCCTCCACCTCTTCACTTCCCATCTTCAACCTTATCGCCAACCTTATCTAACGCCAGCTCACTCAACTTCCGCGTCGAGCTCGACAGCATCCGTGTGACGCGCGGCGAGCCCAAAGCGTGGGACAGCAACGTCTCGGGCTCCGGTGAGCCTTACCACTGCTGACGCGGTGGCGTCGCGTCCCCGTGGGGTCTGCCGCTGCCGCCGGCATCTGCTGACCGCAGGCATGCCCATTCGTCGCGTCTTCTGCCGCGAGTGCGGCACAAATCTATGGAGCGAGCCGTCGAGCTTTGAGGGCAAGGCGTTTGTGAGGGTGCGTCTGTGTTGTCGCGGAAGCAGGCGACGCGCGGCCGGGTCCGAGCGCGGCGCACATCCCGCGCATCCGTGCGCAATGCCCACCCTGCCCCTCGCCGTGGAAACGATGACTGATATCAGGTTGGGACCCTCGACAACCCCGGTAACGGGAGTGTGCGGCTCGTTGGTGAGGTGTTCTGTGACCAGGCATTCCGTCCTTTCGAACCTTGGTAGGTCGATGTCGGAGATGCAGAGCTCATCACAGTCCAAACCTCGGCCAGGTTCAGTTCTCGCAGGCTGCGGGCAGCGCGCCTTTCCGGCAGCCCGAGCGGCGCGCTACTGCTCTCCAGTAGCATTACTTATGACGCTCCGAGGGGATTGACCTCCAGATGAACATCTCCAGTCACGAGCCTCGTCGAAGAGTCTTGCATGCTACCTACTTCATAATGCCCGTATCTGGGCATGCATGCATCGTCTACCGCATCTTGTCCAGCCGTTCCGTATCGTCGGTATGACCGAGTGGACGTCACATAAATCGCATGACAAGACGGCGGCATCGTAAAGCCGGGTACCGCAGCATGGTTTAGGCGGCCGCACACATCCGAGATCCCGACTGCACGCAACTGAATGGGCACACATGATCCCTTGCTCTATTGATCCATTGATCAATTTCTCTCCCTCTTTTGTTCTCTCCTCTTATCTTGTCGTTTCCCACTCTATCCCTCTCACCACTCTCACCATCACCCATCCATCCACGTCGCCATGGTCCGCACAGGAGGCTGCTATTGCCGTGCGCGCGAGGGAGTCGAGCCCGCTAATGCCAGAGGCAATCCGCTACGAACTGAGCGACGACAACGCGCGCGACTTCTCCGTCTGCTACTGCGAGGGGTGCAAGTACGCCTCGTCGTCGCAGTGAGTGTTTGCGGCATATACGCATGATGAGGGGAAGAGTGCTTGGCCTGGTTCACGGCGACGCGGCGACGTCGGCGAGCCTAAGATGGGCCGGGTAAACCAAACCCCCCACCTCCACCTCCACCTCCACCTCCACCCTCCACCTTCCGATGACAGTGACTTACCCCAGCACCATGAACCTCCGCACCGAGAGCGACAAGATCACCATCACCAAGGGCACACCCAAGGTCTACCTCGACACCAAGACGCTCTCGGGTAAGTGGCGCTGAGGCAGGGCGGAAGCGTGAGGCATGAGCGTGGCCTTCAATGGCGCGTGGATCGATGGCGCGTGGACGAGGACTGGCGAGAAGCAGCGCATGTCCAAATTGGGACAAGGGGTGGCACCGAGAGGAGACCTAATATGGAGGGGTGTGGGTGGAAGACGACCAGGCGTCAAACTAACCTCAGGCAAGCCGATGGAGCGCAAGTTTTGTGGTGACTGTGGCGTCGCCCTGTGGTCTGAGCCCGCCGCGCTGCCGGGCAAGGCGTTCCTCAAGGTGAGTTGTTACCAGGAAATGAGAAGACGAGGCGTGAGCGTCAACTGCCTGAACAAGAAGGAGCAGGGGGCGGAGGTGGAAGAGAACGGAGTCCAAATGGAAGAGCACTGGGGCAGTCCTGGCTCTCCATGGGACATATTGTTGAGAGTGTCCCACGAGTCTGGATGCAGGACGTTGCAGGAGCGAATCACGTTCGTGGGATAGTCAATTTCAATCCCCGTGATGCGGTGTTACGGAACGGCGTGGTTCGTTCAGCAGACCCGACGGGGTTGCAGTGGACCATGCCGCCCGCCGGCGTTGAAGCGGACCGAGTCGCCCTCCAGAGGGCAAACGTGAACCATGGTTATCCGTGTCCGGCGAAGTGCTGAGAGTCTCCCGGATTTCGGAACAGCGGGATGCAGAATGAATGGGCACCCGGTGTTTGTTCCCACATGTTTTACGGGCACAGAGACTGACACCAGGTTGGCACCCTCGACGACAAGTCCGGCCTCAACATCCTCGTCGAGGTGTTCTGCTCGAACGCTCTCCGTCCCTACGAGCCTATGCCGAAGGGCAAGCACCCCCAGCTGACGCGTGAGTGATCCTGCGGCGCGAGAGCTGACATAAGTCGGGGCGGGATCCGCCGAGTTCGAGCATTAGCTTGTAGTAGCAAAGGTACGGAAGCTGAGCGGGTCGTCATGCACAACTGGTGGTGTTCCGGATGATGTCTCAGTTCTATTCAGAAGCCAGGGATCGCTTCGGCGTGGGCTCCGGTGGCGGGCGCGGCGCAGTGATCGTTGCGCCTATTCATAGACATATTCAGACGATGCGCGGGGAGGTCTCGGCGTATTTTTCCTAGACATGTGAGACACATTGCGGCGCTCGCCGCAAACGCCTAATACTTTCCGATGACCACCGCACTACTCATTTGGGACTGATCGTCGTGTTACGGCATCGGGCGCCGAACGCGCCTCCAAGAACACAGAGGTAAGACGTGTGCAGGGACGATCCGATTGATTATCCAGGTGGGGGAGAGCCGTCGCCGTCGGACATGGCGAGCAGACGGGCATCGATTCTGGGGGTGTGCACTCTCGGCTCCGCGTATAGCGCGTGCTTCGTCGAACAACTGTGTGCACATTATGTACGAGAAGCAGGGCGAGCAACGGGAGATAGGCCAACACATAGTATCGCAGCACATAACTGACAGACGTGTGGAGGTGTGCACGCGACTTGTTTTCATCATTTAAGGGTCGAGGGATTCGTAGTCATGACCCCCGGGACCACTAGTGCGTCTCGGAGAACAAAACACCCGGCCTCCCAGTCCTGACCATGATTTCCCTTGCACTAGTGAGGAATGGAGATCTGTCGGCTTCGGTTCGTCATATGGGCGCACACTAGAACAATATTCCTATGTTCAACCCTGTAGTCCATCTTGACATCTTACAGTGTGATGACGTCGACAGGCCGTACGGGCAGGACAAGATCGGCGTGTCACCCGACGGTGGGGAGGACACACGGAGACGCTCTAATGGCCGTGTAGATCATTAAGGACCGGAAAAACTGCCACTTCGAGTTCTCATACGAAACTCAGGGAGGATGCTGTCGAGTGCCACAGAACTGGATGACACCTGACGCGGCTGTCTTGTCGCCCCTCAGACGCAAATGTTCGATCGGCTCTTCGAAAAGGCTTGGTTTATCGCGCTGCCTACGCGCCATCCCAAGCCGCGTGTGCTCTGTTATTCCACCGCCCCTGTCGTTGTCTTGGATCCCGCGATATCGGAAAACAGCCTGTCCTTTCCCACACGTTGCTGAGTATTTCGTCCATCCTGCGCACCTCGGCGACCATGTAGCTGACATCACTGGGGATCTTGTTCGGTCCGCATCAATGTCGGCGATGCGAAAGGATATTCCGAGAATGAGGAAAATCAAAATTAATCTAATTTCCCGGGCTGCCCGCCTCTCAATTGCAGGATCAGGGAAAAGTTTCCATAGCTTCCCACTTCTCATCTCTGCTTCTTGATGCACGGCGATAGTCAAGAGGCGTTAAGTACTGAATTGGCCCATGACGGGACGAGAGGGTTGCGAAGAGCCGCGGCGAGGGGCTGGTAGAGTGGCCGAGGCAAGGCAGCCGGCGCGGCGTTGTGAGCGCTTGCAGAAGAATTTGCCGACATGTTTGTTTCTCGGGACCAGTCTATGACGGTGATGTCAAAGCACACTACCGACGTCCGGATTGGTGCCACATGGGCAGACAGCACTCTTGCAAGCTTCGATCATTGAATGTGGCACTCGATCTTGGCTGAGATGTGCATCTGTAATCCCAAATAATGTCTAGTGGAATAGCAAAAGTACTATGAAATACAGTAGTAAAGTCCATTGACCTTCGAGGATGACTCTTCTGACGCTGGGTCACTTCTAAATTAGACACCCCGCGTTGTCCGACAGGCCAGTTCACCGTCTTCATTGGCGACGCATGCGGCTTTGGTCAGCGGTGTCTTTGATTAAAACTCACAAAGATCCGTTCTGTGGGTGTTAACGAAGAGTGTCCCGCATTCGCAGACGAGAACAGTGCCCTCGAGTCTGCAGTTGGAGCAGAAGTTCTGGAACAGGTTGACTGCAGGTCTCCAGTTGCACTGCAACCCCTGGGCGCCAAAGCTGACACACTGGCTGAGACGGAACGACGCCCCGGGATTGTAGGCACCGGTCTGCGTCTTGCAGTTAGCCTGGAGAGTCGGATTGGTGGTCGAACTGAGGCGGACGGAGTTGCACGTCTGCTGGTAGTTTGCCGTAAGGGCGGGAATGACTGTTGCAGAAGGGTTCTGGCGCTTCGCTTTGCGGCGGGGCTTGCGCAGCTCCTCGATGCAGGTTGTGTTGGAGCGATCGCCTGTGGTTAGACGAGATACAAGGAGTAAATTACGTACATCGCATGGGGATGGAGGCTGGGCGGGGAAGGGGAAGGTTGTTGACCAGTGCTTCGCGGTTGCTCCGTGCCAGGCGGAGGGGGGCTGCCGGAGTGGGGCCTCGGGGCCGCCCGCTGGCAAGCGTGACGAAGGCCAGGAGAAGGACGAGGACGGGGAAGTAACGCATCGTAAGTGCGGGTTGCTTGCTGTTCGGAGGAGTGAGGCAGATGGGATGGCACTAGTATCGGGATACGGGAGGCGGGAGGGGATGCCACATCTGCATGTACATCGCGAACTGATATATGAGAGCCGGCATCCCCTTTCCCGGCATCTTCCCAGCGTCCCAGCATTGATAGTGCCTGCAGTGCCTACAGTGCCTGCGAAACAAAAGGTTTGCCTGGCAGTTTACACACAAATTTCCGGTAATTGACGCGGTCGCCGTTGACAAGCTGGCAGGACGGAGTTTACCACCCTAGGCGAAACCCCCAAATACTGCTCAAAACTGCACCCAAGCCGATCACGCTGACACGGAGCTCAAGTTGTCCCCTTGGCACACTAGGGTCGTTCTGAGACATCAAGAATGCTGTTCCTGTCGTCCGTACGCGTCGCGCTCACACATGTCGTCCCGGATAAACGCTGACCGTGCGCCTGTAGGTGAGGCGAATGCTCCGATTGAATTGGTAGTGTTCCCGACAAGGTCAGCTCAATTGTTCCTAAGACCAGCAGGGCGACAGATGGCAGCGGGGAGCGCATGCCCGGCGAGGCCGGTCTGGGCGCCGCCGTCCCTCATGTCTTCATGTCCTTCGGTCACTCGGAGCTAGTCGCCGATCATCCGGTGTGCATCCGTCATACGCTATTCTCGTTCACGTCACCCAACTTCCACCCATGAAGCCTCACATTCCGTCTGGTTGGTTCTGAACTCAACCTCAAAGGTTGTCGCATAAGTCACCAGGCGTCTGTCCTATTCATCTCAGCATAGGCAGTGGCGCGATGCGAGAACCGGGCTCACTGGAGACGAGTGTCTCAAATGACGATCTTTCGGGAGACGTGCGATCACTTGGAGGTGGGGGAGTCGAACCGGGCTCGGGCATGCTCTCACTCGCATATCTGTTGCTCGCATAATCACACTCACGAGCACGATTCGGAAGCGACTGCAAGCGTCAAGGCACGCCATTGCACTCTTGCCCGGGACTGGGTACCTGCAGCAAGTGCACAACGCACGCAGCGAAGCGGTGACGCCCGCTCGTCGAAATGGTGATGAGAGCGGATATTCTGGAAGCACGCATTGTTCTTCTGGGTTCCAATGGGGCGATGCATGTCCTCTGGTGGATTGCCTTCCTACCTACCCTGGATTCTTAATCGTGTGGAGAATCCTCGGAGATCGCACCCAGGCTATGTGCCACCCTGAGCTCCGTGGGCGGGGCGTGGTATGCGAGATAAGCCCGGAGAAACTGCGCGTAGATCTGCACACGTCCCAAGTCCGACGGACTTCGGGACTGCAAAGACACCAACAACGATGCCAAGCCCCACGGAGTGCTCATCCTGTGCCAAGTGTTCCGCATAGCTGAGGCCGTTTTTCACGCTTGACCAGCTATGCGGGTTTGCTGATTACTCCAGTGCCACAGCCGAGGCTGTGGGTGACAGTGGACACTAACAGGGTAGGCCGTGCGCGGGTGAGGGACGAAACTTGGCCAATCACTGCTGGAAGCCGCTGATTGCGTTGCTAATCGCAACCGCAACGCCTGAGTTCTAGAGCACAGTAAGAATTGCAGGGTATAGAATGATATGAAGGAGAGTCCGGAAATCAGCCACGGGCGGCTGTCTCCATACATCGGTGGTCGAGCCTTGCCAAAAAGACGGTCGACTCCCCCGGCTGACTCCGCTTATTAGCTGGGGTGTATACGTTGCTCGTTCCACCGGAATCAGCCCGTGTATCCAGGCGTGTGCTTGGCATGATGTTTCGGACCTCAACTCCCCCTCGGCGCATGCCACCACACTTCGTCTTGGTTCCCGGGCCTTGCTGAGCAATGCTTCTCACTGAGGAGCCGCTTTGATGGAGGCGAGTAGGGGTGAAAAACGGGCAGAATTGACGCATCTGACACTGCGGCACTTTCCACATTCCCTTGGTCGTGTGGCCGCGTGTAAACGGCATTCCCGACGCAGATTCCGAAATTCCGACATTCATGACATCTGGGAAACCAGTACCGCAAGTAGTAAAGCATGATGTTTGTGTCACGTAGTCAGTCCAGTAAACTCTGTAAGTCTCCGAGATCAGCGCTCCCTCATGGCCCAGATGTTTGCATCACGTGCGAAAAAAGTCTACTTCTTACCAATTCCTCACTTCTTGTAGGCCCAGGCATTGTCCCATTCGGGCAGCTCAAGCCGGTTCTGGAAACCTAGCATGCAGTGGTCGAAATGAACCTTGGGAAGAGCGGCGAAAAACTCGTCGTACTTCCTGTTCATGGCCTGCTGGAGGGTACTGACCCGGCCCTGGGGGAAGAGGGCGCCGTAGGGCTCGACACAGCTCTCGCCCTTGCACGTCTTGAGCACAAGGGTGAGTGCGTCGAGGCGGTGCAGCAGCCGCTGCCTGTCTTCTGGCACGTCACCGGCATCAAAGGCAGCAAAAGGCCCCACGTCGTTCAAGCCCGCGAGGAGGTTGCGGACCTGGTACGGGTCCTCGACGAGGTCGTACAATTCGCGCTCGCCTGTGCACCATACAGCATAGGAGTAGGTGACGGGCTGTCCGGCGACTTCGTCGTGCACACGGAGCGTGCGGTACGCTGATGTTAGCTAACCCCGGTAGCACCAGCTCACTGTTATTGTCGCGGTATGACGCCTCGACGAACTTGCCCTCCTCGATCCCGCGGAGCCAGTACTCGCTCAAGCTGTGGCGGTGCTTCTCGTAGGTCCTGTCTGCCTTGTTGCCCTCTCCGAGGTGAAGGTTGATTTTGGTTCCGTCATCCTCGTAGTCAGGCTTGGCGCCTGCGAGGTCGAGGAATGTCCGGCTGAGGTCGACCATGCCGTAGCTGCTGACCGTGTCCGTCTTGCCCTCAGGCATGCCCGGCCCGCGGATCACAAGGGGAACCTTGATGTCGTCTTCGTAACCCAACGTCTTGCCCGGCTGGCGGCGGTGCGAGCCCATCGCGAACCCATTGTCGGCGGTGTAGAACACGTAGGTGTTCTCCATGACGCCCGCGGCTTCGAGCTTGTCCATGACCTGGCCGACGAGCTCATCCACGCTCTGGAGGGACCGCAGGCGGCCACGGTAAAACTCGTCGATGTACTCGACGTTGGACTCGTTGAGCTTCGGCAGGGTTTTGACCCAGCTGACGCCCATGGGCTCGTCGGGGTTGAAGTTTTCCGTGCGCGGCACCTTCGCGTCCATGAACATGTGCGCATGTCTCTCCGGCCACTCCGGCGTGTCCATGTATAGGCGGGCACTGGACTCCCGCTTTGAGCTGTCCATATAACTATGGGGCCCGATCGGCGCAATGCCGATGAAGAAGGGCTCATCGGCAGCCAGAGCCGTATCCAGGTGACGCAGCGACTTTTCGCCGACCAGGTCTGTAGAGTAGCTGCCGTTGTGGATCTCGGCGGGGCCGTTGTTCACGCTGAACGCGGGGCGCCAGTAGTCGTAGGTGTACGGGTCGACGAGGATGTCCGAGGCGTTGAAGCCTGACACGGGCAGCTCGACGCAGTTCTTAACCGTGTGGTCGTTCATGTACTTGCCCACATAGTACGTGTTGTAACCGACCGCCTGCAGAAAGTCAGGCAGAGTGTGCGACACATAGCCGTAGTCGTTGAATTTCTGCCATCCGCCGTGGGGGAGCTCGACGAATGTGATGTTGTGGTTGTGCGCCGCTTGGGTACGGAGCAGAGAGACTCGGGAGGGGCAGCACAGAGAGACGGGCGTGAAGAAGTTCTCGTAGTTGACGCCATGGTCGACGAGGCGCTCGAATGTGCGCGGCATGATCTCACGCGTATGCGTGCCCACATCCTGGTCGTCGGTGACTGGGTCAGTCAGGTCAAAGGAGGGCACGTACTGAACAACACAATGTTGGGCTTGGACGCCGGCTTCTTGGGACCCTTGCCTTTGCCGTGGCCATGGCCGTGCCCGCCATCGCCGCCTGCAGCGACAAGGCCCAGAAGACAGAGAGCGAGGTGAGCGAGCATTCTGCTGATTGCTTGGTAGACTGGCATTCCAGCTCTCTTATATGTGTTTGGGGTCTCCGTGGGGTTCATCACTCCTGGAGTCAATGTCAGTCAGTCGACACTACCCCCCGCTTCACGCCTTCGTCTCGGGGACCCCGATCTTACGTCCGGCGCCCCGAACAGCCTTCGCGGGTAACTCTGATCGGAACTTGATATCTCGTACATCCACCAGCAACCGCCAGGTCGCTGCCCACCTGTCGCCGACTCCGCAAGTCAATTCGTTGATCCACCGCCGCTCCACGGGGCCCAGCCGCCATGACGGCATTGGCGTCGTAGTGGTTGTCTTGGCTGACTGCCTCGTGCCTCGGCGGACCCGTCAGTAGCAGACAAATTCGAAAGCAGAAGGAACGCAGGAACAATAGAGTGGGGGGTTTTGGATTTCGCATGCCACATGCCGCTTCTGATCAGGAAGATAGTCGCCGACGCCGATGCCGAGAGGCTAATGCCGAGAGGCTTAATTTTCATCTGGAGCGGATGTACGGATGTAATATTGCGGCTTTCGGTGTGGCGCGACGTTCACAGCAGCCACTTTCTGACGTGGCGGATGGCTGGCCGTTGCACCAACAGTTGGCTGACTAAAGGGCGGTAGATGCCCACCAGTCATGCAAATGAGGCGGCGGACCTGAATTGGCGTGCGAACCCCGGCTTTGACTTCTGGCCCAGCCACGGAGGTGTCCGTGGCACCACATCTTTGCTCGGGAGAAGCAGCTAGCTGACGGCAGAGGTCCGCTTCGGTCTTCGGGCTTTGAGGTGCTCAACACAAGGGTGAACAGCGATTTGGCTCACATGAGAGTGCTGTGAGTGAACTTCGGCAGCTGCAATGAGGCTCCCCTTACATCTCATACCTGCACCCCTTGAAGACTGGCTTTTGAACATCTTAAGCCATTGCATCTATGGGTGTTGGAAACAGTGTACACGGTGGTTGTCACTCATCTGGGTTCTATAAACATTATTGGACCAACATGCCGAGGCGCGGCCAGGCCTCCTTGGACGGCACCGCCTACATTCGCGCGAAGCGAAGCGCCGCGGCCATGATCGCAAGGGGAATAGACACTGGTGTGAGTAGTGCCAATGTCTCGTGCTCCGTCTGACTTACTGGACCAGATGGGAAGTGCGTCTGAGGTTCCCGTGGCCGCGACGCTGCTGGCGGCAGCAGTGCCGTTCACGGTGGAGGTGCCATTGGGAGGAGCGCCGCCGCCGGGCCCACCACCCATGCTGTTGGCGTTGGCGACGCCGCCCTCAGGGCCGTAAGTTGCGGCGGCCTGGACAGTGTTGGTCGCGCTCGCGTTGATACCCATGGCGATCCACGCTACGATGCCGTCCTGGATGCTGTTGCCAAGGAGAACATATTCGAGGAAGGGGTCGATGTTGGTTGCCTCCTGGCTTAGAATGAAGTCGACGTTGTTCTCTGTGAGGGTCTGGGTATTGGTATTGTATGGCGCCTCAGCCTCAACCTGCGAAATGAGGTCCTGATCCATGAACAGCTGACCGACGTGTGCGGAGGTGGTGCCGCCCGTGATGGTGTTGTTATCGAGTCTGGTCCAATGCCCCTCAGTGTGAGCAAGGATGTGGATATGAGTTGCGCGGCCGGTGTAGTGCCCCGGGAAGATGGTGTGGAACTGGACGACGCCGTCAGAGTCGGTAGCCTGGATGCCGCGGAGGAAGGTGGCGTTGATGTTGGCCTTGTCGGCGAAGTTGCCGTTGCCATTAGCGACGACGCCAGAGTACACGCCGGTTGAGTTGCAGTGCCAGAAGTCGAGAGCGACATTAGGAAGAGGCTGGCAAGTGTTGGTGTCGATGATCTGGATGTCGACGGTGAGCGGGACACCGGCCTGGCCGTCCGTGACGTTGTCACGAAGGTATTCCCCGGTAACGTCTGGTGTTAACGAAACGAGGAGGGAGAGAAAGAGGTGCGAGGCAAGGAAGGAAGGGACGCTCCGGCTATGACTAACAGTACGGTCCCTCGGTGGTCTCGGGGCCCAGGATGCAGGCGTTACTCCCCGAAAACAGAGTGTCGGCGTCAGTATCGGCGGTGACGCCGGTCAGATTCGACCTGTGGTTGGTGGCGAGGACGGTGGCGGCGTCGCGCTTCGACAGAGCCTGAACAAGAGCGGCACGGCGTGCAGCGTTGCGCGAGGCGAGGCCACGCGCGGCAATATGAGAGGCGCAGTGCGCGAGGGACCGTCGGCCCATGGAAGCAAGGGCCGCTGCGCGCTCGACGGCCTCGGCTGCGTGGTCGTGTCCCGGATGGGCGAGAGCGGCCGAGGCGAGAAGGAGGACGGTGAGGGAGAGCATGTAGAATGATGAGTGGGAGAAAGGAAGATGCGGAATCGAGATGAAGAACGTGCTACTTATAGCAGTGCCAAGAAGCAGCCGAGCGAAGTTGTTGTTCCAGTCGCAATCGCTGCGCAGCGATTCCGCACCAGAACTTGCGTTGACCAATGATCACGAGCGGATTGCTGCGCATCACCGAGGTCGGCAACTGAATTGCGGTCCGATTGACGCAGGAGGTCACGCAGCTGACCGGTTCCGCGGCCTTGGCACACCGCCGCCCGTCTCCTCGGACAACTAGCGCGCTGCGATCGCTGCGAGATGAGTTCCGATCCCAGTCCGGTGCCATTTGTGGCTCTAGCGCCTCAGCATAGAATAGGGCTTAGTTCTATATTGCGCGCGGATGGGGGCGCGGCTGAGGTGAGCAACATTCGTGTCATGATTTCCGCAGGCACGCGCGGAGCACGCGATGGCAGTTGGATGTCACCGACGTGCTTGAGCTTGTCTATGCGGGGAGAGATCGACAGCCCTTGCGGGGAAGTCGGGCCGCGGTCCGAGGCGACCTCGGACGGTCTGGGCGAACAATATCATTGATCCGGAGTCCGGAACGATATGCGGGGTATCCTCGGATCTGAGACATTTGTTGACTGCGGCTGCGGCCGGTGCGGAACGTAAACGAAGGTGGTGACGTCGCTTCTCTTGGCAAATTCACTTGGGCTCGCTTCGGCACCTCAAGTGCCATGAGTGGATGCGAGGAAATGTGCAACGTGCAAGAAGAGCGAAGTGCTGTGAGTTGCAGGAGACTGCGGTGCGGTGATATGCTGGGTTGATGATAGGTGGAAAAGTTACCGATATCCCCCACTCGCAGCCCACGCGGGATCGATTTGCTGACCTCTACCTCGAGCGCTTGATCGCCACAAAGGCCAAGATTCTGCATCACACCCCAGGATTCGATACACAGTGCGCAGTTACAACGTTTCAGGCATATTGAGCGCCTCGCCCAGCAATGTAGCGTATAGGCTCGAGGTGGAGATGCCCGCGCTCTGGCCCGCATGGTCCCAGATTGACTGGAAAATGACATCCTGCTCAAGCTCAGCCGCAGGCATGTGTGATGTGAGATCGAGCTGCCACCCCAAGCCACCCTCAGCTGCGGCCGCAGCGAGAGGCGGCGCTGGCGGTGTCGCAACGACCGGCGCCTCAACGGGCGCCTCGATGGGAGGCAGGGGGACGGGCATGCCTGGCTGGCTCTCCGGAGGCTTGGGGCCGAACACGAGGGTGCGATTGGGGTTAGGCCCTGCGTGCCAGTGTTTCCCCAGCCGCGCCAGAAGCACGGCAAAGCCAGATGGGAAGTGCTCGTTATCGATCGCAGCCGCACCCAGCGCCGCAACGGTGCGCTCCAGCATCGCGACGATGCTGGACTCGCCGTGCTCAACTGCACCGATGGCGAGGGCCTTGTACAAGAATGTCGTGGCGAAGAGGATGTACTGGAAGATGCGCGAGGGGCAGAAGCGCAGGTGTCCACGTGCCTCGAGCATGTTGGTTGTCGTCTCGAGAATCGCACGTGCCGCTGAAAGAGCTTCGATGATCCAGGGTCCCTCTACAGCATTCAGCAGTGACGGTGTCTCCCACGACGGATCATCGCGCTCGCGAGCGCGTCGCAGCCGCCGCTGAAGGCTGCGCAGGGCAAGCGAGTTCGCGTACAACACGAGGTAATCGAACTCGAGCTGGAGGATGGCTGAGCTAAGCGTGCCCTCGCGCAACCGCTGATCGCAGCAGTGCCGGTTGTGGCGCATGTCGAGACGCATGGAGCGCATGAATGACTCCCATGCGCCCGAGCGAAGGAGTGTATATGTGATCTCCTTGCTCCAGTCTAGTATCAGTTTCGTCTCCGCGGTTCGGCTCACAGAGATGCTGCTGAATCGACCCAAGAAGCTGCCCGTTGCTAGTCAATGTGAATAGATCACCGGCCCATGCATCTGTGGTTTTGTCCTTGCGAATAGCGCAGTTGACAACGGATAGACTCTCCCACCACTTGGAGGTCATGTCTGATATTAGCGATGCCCTTCCCGCCGGCTCACTCGGCTGCATGACAGCGCTGCGACCAAGACGGGCGGCGATGTGCGACTCGGCATTATAACAATCTGGTGTGAGCTGGACGGCAAAGAGAGCAGCTCACAGATCCATGTCTTGAGAGGGCGCTCATACTTCCACGCATCCGGGGAGGCTTCCTTTGCTGCCTCGGCGGCCTGGAACACGCTGTCCTCCATACCAAGTTCCTGTGCGATGCGGATGGCGAGGCCTGAGGTTAGCTTAATCCTCACCAGCGAGCTCGCATTGGCACAGATATGCCGCTGTACCTACCAATGTTGCTCCAGCAATAAGCGTCATACCGCAGGCTTGGACGCAGGAGGCGAGCCTCTTCTGAGTCAGGCTCATCGCGCGACCGCCGCTTCCTCGTAGCCGGAAGAAGTGGCCACTCGCTGAGCAGCAGCAGCGCCTCGACAGTGCTGGTCGAGCGCAGCTCGAGGTCACCGTCCATGAGAGATGTAATCTCAGCGCGCACCCACTGCGAGACGACAGCGTGGATCTGCGCGGCGCGCGCCGGTTCCAGGACGTTGGCGTAGCGCGATGCGATGCCCACAATAGCGCCAAGGAGGAGTGCTTCGTCCGCCACCAGGGTGGGGAGGTATGCAGGCTCGAGGACGCGAGGATGGATGAGGGGGAAGAGCGGCGCCATGCGGATCTCGAAGAAGCCAAGGAGCGCCGCGGCTTCGTCTGCACCCACACCACCCTCCTCGACCGGCGCCCACCAGTGCCACGCGTTGATTCCTCCGCGTGGTGGGTCCGTCTCGCTCACTCTCTCGCCGGCGGGACCGGTCTGGTACCGCAACGAAGACGCGGAAGCGAGTAGGCGGAGTGCGTCGTTTGGATTCTGAAGGTTGGACATGAGGAGCGCGCGGCCACCGTCGCGCCCCGCGTCGCCCTCGTCTTCGAGCGGCGGGGACTGCCGATCGTCCACCTCCTCTTCGTAGCGGGCGTACGCGTGGTCGCGCGACTGGAAGCGCGTGAAGTCCTTCGGCGGCGGGGGTGGCGGCGCGTAGGTGCTAGGCTGGAAGGAAGGCTGGGAAAAGGCCGTAGGAGCGGGCGCGGCAGGTGCCGGCACGTGCGTCACGGGCACATCGGGGAGGGCGTAGCGCACGACGGTGGACATGGCGCGCACGCACTCACGCCGCTCGCGCGTGCAGCGGACACACGGGCCGTCCCATGGCTTGTCGGGGTCGCCAAAATTGCACTTGAGCTTGCGCTAGGGTTAGCGGCAAAGCTGGGCCGCACCAAAGTCAGAGGGGGCGTGGATGCAGAAGAGATCGAAGGTCGGGAGGGAGATGGAGAAATGCGTCACTCACGGAGCGGCAAGGGTAGCACGCGCGATAGGTACGCTTCGGACGTTTAGCGGCTGGCCCGGCGTTGTCCGGGTCTGCGCCGAGGACGGACGACATTGCGAGCTCCGTTGACCGAGGGAGGGGGCTGCAGGAGCTGGAGCGGAGTGGAGAGGAGAGAGGAACCAACATCTGAGGGTGGATCGGCGCGGGACCGGCCATTCCCGAATCTCCTCGGCTCGTCCCGGGTGGCGCCGCATCAGTCACATGAACGACGTATACCTCCCTGTTAACGACTCTCCTCAACTCTTCAACTCTTCAACATGCGCTTCCCAACTCTAACACTGTTCCAAAGGATCAACCTGCGGTGGGCCATGCGCGCTGAAGCTCGGAGAAGCACCCATGGCTGCATTTCACAGGTGACATATCTTCATAGCCAACCCTTAATCGCACACTACAATTTGCGGCCAATTTGAACTACTGTTACTAAATTTACTTATCCTCAGTATCCTCGTCTAATACGGGTACATGGTGGTGGCACCAGACGCGCGGATAGTGCGGTTCTGGCGCTGGAGGACGATTTTCATAACCCACGCAGACAGAAGCGTGAGGAGGGAGAACACAGCCATCGCACCCATCGCTGCGGTCAGCTCAGCACAACAGTTCACTCACCAAGCGCGTAACGCGGCCTGTCGGCGTTGCGGAACAGGTAGGGAGTGTACACAAAGGACAGATTCCCGAGCGAGGTAAGAATGGCGATGACGACAGCCTTCTTCTCCTGAGTCTGCGACAGAACGGTCGAAGCCCAGCCCAGGATGAGGGAGTTGACACCGTAAGTGCCAAGGGTGAAGACACACATGGCAAAGTAGCGCACGCCAGTGTTGAGGGTCGCGGGGGCAAGGGCGAAACCGATGATGGCGATGCACTTGGACACAGTGATGTGCCACGTGCGTTCGTTCAAGCGACCCGAGGACCACGAGAGGAGGAAAGTCACAGCCCCAGCCACGAGGTAGGGCGGGCAGGTGAGCACGAGGGTAATGGTCTGGTTGAAGCCGAGAGTCTAGTGTTAGCGAGCGCAGCCGAGCAGGCTTACCTTGACAACCGATGGGAAGAAGTTCTTGAACCCATTGGCAGCAAGGTGGTTGTTGAACATGAAGGCGAAGATCCAGGTGCGGTAGTCGGTGACAGCCTGCTTGAGGCCGGCCCAGGTCGATCCGGGCTCGGTCTGGTCGATCTTGTCGCGAAGAAGACGGTCATGGGCGAGCTGACGCTCCTCAGGCTTGAGCCAGCGGGTTGTGAGGGGCGTCGAAGGGAGGAAGGGATACGCAAGGAGGGCGACAAGGCCAGTAACCGCGCCTTGCTGCCTGTTAACTCTGGTGTGCCTGACTGAGACTTACAATGATGAAAAGCCACTGCCATGCAGCGTACCCCCGATGGCCGTCAAGCTTGAAGATTCCGATGGAGATGAGACCAGCCAGTGCGGTCGCAAGAATGTTACCAGTGTAAAGAATGGCGACGCGAAGAGCGACCTCGGTACGGGTGTAGAAGTTGGAGATGAGGAAGAGGGCACCGGGGTAGAAGGGGGCTTCGCAGACACCGAGGAAGAAGCGGACGAGATAGAGGTGGGTGGCGTTCTTGCAGAAGGCAGTGCAGACCGAGAGGACAGCCCAGGTGACCATGATGCAACAGAGGTAGATGGGCGGGTTGACGCGGGTGAGGACCATGTTGGAGGGGATACCGAAGATAACGTAACCGGCGAATAGGATCGACACGGCGGTTTGGTACTGAACATCGGTGAGGCGGAGGTCCTTCTCAATCGAGGAAAGCTTGGCGAGAGCAATCGCGTTTCGGTCCAGGTAGTTTAAAAAGTACTGGGCCCAGAGCGAAGGCTGGGGTTAACTACAGCTCGAGAACAGTTTCATAGGAAGGGAGCAGAAGGAACAGCCACGACAGAAACAACACAGGCGATATTGATATGAGAGGGTGACAGCAGTCGTTAACGTCAGTCAAACTCACCATAATGAAGCAGTCAAGCTTGTGCACGAGCTTGATCTCCTTCGGGTCGGTCTTCTGAGTGAAACCCGAGTAATCGCCAACGACATCGGTGGGCTCGCCGACGGGCGGCTTCACCTCCTGATACTCGACCTCGACGTCGTGCTTGTCATCCTTGGTGTACGCGAGTGTGTTTGGGGTGGTAGCGGCCATGATGTTCTTCGCCGGTGCTGAAAGACTCGGAAACGACGCAGATCCGTCACTTTATAAGTGAGTGATGGCTCATTGAATGAGAGAAAGGCGTCGATCCCATTCATCACGGGCCCCAGATCTTTCTCTTTCTCTGCACCGCGCATTCCTCAATCCGGACTAATGGAGACGCGCAACCGCGGTACGAGTTGTTCCGTGATCTCTCGATGCCTGGTGGTCGACACCGCAGAACGGGGTGCGCAAGGTCAGAGCGAAGCAATCACACAAGCGAGACATACCCCGTGGCACACCCAGGCACCATTCAGCGCGAGACACCCCGCGCCGGGCGGTCTGTGGGGAGAGGAATATACGACGCATCATGCAAGCTGGGTGCTTGCACTCACAGTGATCAAGCGCTTGCAGGACCAGCTGCACGGCGGCTGACTGACGGCTGACGGTTGAGGACGGTGTCGTGGCCGAGGTTTCCGAGGTGCGGATCTCGAATCATGATGTGCGGCAATGGGCGGGCGGGTTGGCTCAATAGTCACAATCACTTCCACCCGGTGCCCCCCGAGGGCCCCGCTCGTTGATGCATCCCTACCAAGCCCAAGCGAAGGCTACTGTCTGTGCGAGACGCTCCGACGATTTCGAACGCGATTTTCGAATGTATCGCGCACCGCATGGGGCGGAACATTATACGACGCCTGCGAGACATGCTTCATCACATTCCCATGCCCCCGTGGGCGGCTTTGCGGGCTTGGCAGGCGCAGCACCAACCCATGTGAATGGGAACGTGAGACAGTGGCGGGGCCCGCATCAGGTTTCGGTCACCTCGCCGCCGGGCTGGGAGGCGCACGCAGGCATGTGAGACAGGTAGCTCGGGCAGTGCCGCACGGTTTAGCACGGTTTCGGGCGGTTACAGTTTGAACCGAAGTTTTGACGTACTTTGCGAGCTGCGATCTGTGAGCGTACCTGTAACAACTTGGGGAGCTGCATCGGTAGAGATGGCAAGAGGTCCTCCGAAGAGGCCCAGACTCGAGTGATCCCGTGAGCACGATCAGCCGGGGGATTGTTGGAGCGGACGCGCCACCATCTCCCGCGCCATTGGCCCACGATCGACAATGACGCACAAGCATTCCGCGGCGGTCCGAGCTGACGCCTATCTCGGGTCGTCGGGGCATCGGGCCTTGAGCCTCGTGCTCTGGGGTCTCCACAAAATGCCTTGTTCTGGGGATGGAGAGAGATCTTTATACGCACGGGAGCTCGTAAGCGACATGCCAAGGCCGCGCTTTGGGCTTCATGATAATGGTCAAGACAGGCGTTTGCTGCACCGCAAGCGAGGGTACGTCACAGATGAAGTCTATTGTTCCGGGCACATACTGGTGCCAGAACAAGGTGATGAGGTGATCCGTTGGGTTGCCGCATCATATCAGCATATGGGACCCAGGGCCCACTTCCGTATCGACGAAAGTCGGACTGGTGAATTGCCGCTTCCATCCGATATGCATCACCACGAGAACGCTTCTTCAAAGTACTCCATCTGGTCCCCACCAACTCGCCCATATGCGGCCGCGACGGCGGCCCGCATATCGTCCATCATTCCATCTGGGCCACACGCCAGTATGGCGAGCCTCGAATGCTCAAGGTGGAGATGGCGCTCGAGAATTTCAGTCACGCACGGCCTGCCCCATCGGACGCGTACGCGCCCGTTGCACTCGCCCCTCCCTTTCTCGACCACGGTGTAGCCGCCGAGCACGTGCTGGGCGTCTGGCGACGACAATGTCGGCCTGTACATGTGCGAGTTGTAGCTGCACCTGTACCCTGAGAATGCTGCAGGGCAAGGAAACTCCGGCGACGGAGCACGCGGAGGGGGAACAGGCGGACCGAGCGGCCAGCGACTCAAACAGGCGCTCGGTGTTGTGCTACCAGTGACCCAAACGTCGACGAGAGCGGCGCCTATCGCCGACTGTCGGAGCTCATTTACAAGCACATCTTCGGCTTGTGCGGCGTCCTGGACCATCCATACGACCGATACGCATTCCCGGAGCGGGATGTAGGGCAGGAGGGCCGTGATCCCACTCCCACCTGCGACGAGGAGCACGCGGTCAAACCTATCTAGTCGGTGCGAGACACCATAGGGCCCCTCGAGTAGGACGGCAAGTTTCAACGCGCCTAGATCGTGTGGAATGGCGTTGGCAAGTGCGCGTTCCACGGAGGCGCGCAGCAGTGAGGTGGACCCACCACGAGGCTTGCACAGAAAATGCAGCTCGGTCCCACCTGCCCCAGTGCGGCGGTATGAGGCGAGCGTGAAGGGGTGATTTGCAAGAGGTGAGATCGAGGGGAGGTGCAGGAAGAAGTACGAGCCTGGGGAGGGAGACAGGGTACGCGGCGTGCGAATCGCGAGTCTCACGAATCCATGAGGATTAGGGAGAAGTGCGAGAGCATTTGGCTTGAACGTGGGTGTCAGGAAGAGCACGCGCGTAAGTCGTGCGGCGCGGTCGAATACCTGCCGTCAGCTTTCTCGGTCCCTCCTGTGGACTCACCCATATCCCAACACAAGCCCAAAGGTAGGCGTGATACCCCGTGCCGAAGTTGCGGACATGCAGGAATAGGAGAACCAGGAGCACGAGTGACAAGATGATGTGGACGGCGAGAAAGGCCTCATACGCTCGTTCTCGGAGCGGCCGGATGGCGAAGGGGAGCATGAGCGCCATGACGATTGTCGCCACGACGCCGGTACGCCAGGGATCCTCAGTCCAGCGCGCGGCAAGTCGCTCGCCCTCAAGCCAGGTATACGCGACCGAGTGCACTATGGCCTGTAATGTCGCGACGCGCGCCACCCATCGGTGCCACAACGTGCACGATGCTTCCGTCAGCGGCGAGTGGAAGACGCTTACCGTATGACCATCCTGTCAACCAGATTAGAAGATCGTTCCGGCCCGCAAGGAGGAAAAGAAGCGGCAGGTTATAGAATGACATGATACCAGTGCGGTCGGCGACGAAGCGCGCCAACTGCTTGTCTCTGCGGCCGGGGAAGCTGAATGAGCACAGCTGAGCCAGGGCTCACAAAAGATTGTCATTCGCGGTCCGGTAACCGAGACAGCTCCAGATGACGTTGATTACGAGGTACAGTGCAATCTGGGTCAGCCCAGCTGTGAGAGACTCACGAAGATCGCCTGCAGCCGCGTGGGTATGGAAAAGAGCCTGCCCCGCAAATGTCGCTTTCCAAATGCCGCAGGCGTCGATATGTGCCGCCGGTAAGCGGTGAACGCTCGGCCTCGTCGTAAGGTTGGTGTAAGGCGTGAGCTTCGCCACAAGCGACCAGCCAGCGAAACCAGCACAATGGCTCCCAGAAGAACGTAGACTGCCCAGCCGAACGCATGATTCTACTATCAGCTCCATAAATTGTGTGCTCACAAGGTAGATCTGCCGGTCCCACTCCGCCTCAGTCCGCACGCCAGCTTCCCAGTTATCCCGAGCAACTAACACTGGACTCGAGAATGTTTCTCCAGCTCTGAACATCACATTAACGGTTTCCATCGTCGAGTTGGCGCGGAAGACACTCATGTCCGGCAACGCGGTGTGCGTAAACTTCGCGAAGTATGCGCCGAGCTCCGCCCACCCCTTCCTCCCATCATGTCCTGGGACGTAAGCGTCGTAGCATGCAACAACTGAGACCATCGCTAGCTTTGATCGCAGCGTGTACAGATCGTCGGCGAAGCGGAGAAGCGAGACGGCGTCGAGGCAGGCGGCGCCGCGGCCCGCGGCCCGAGGCGAAGCGTGCACGATGCACTGTGCGGCGGCGATCTGCGCTGGGATGAGGATGCCCATGGTGTTAATAGAGGTTACATCCCGCCACAGCCACCATGTATACGGGATGGAGCATCTCTCTCAACTCAGGCATGAGAGGATGGTGCCATCTGTGATCATAGTCCGGATATTACACACGGTATTAAAAGGGATACTTCTTTCTGGCTGTTTCAGCCGTAAGAAGCTTCAGACTGCAGACCCAGCTCGTACGAGTTACCGAGTTGTGATGCTGATGCGGCTTATGGCATGCCGGTGCCGGAGCAGGAACTACGTTGTGCTTTGAGCTTGAAGATCGCCGGCGTTGGAGTGATGCTTCACTGGTCTCGTTCGATAAAATACTTGGTGCCTGAGTGCCCAGCTGTGGTAACGTCATGTTCCCCTCCCGGCCTTTGATATCAGACGCCGGTAAGCCGGGCGGGTTTGTTTTCGCCCACCAGCAGCAGCAATAATAGTCCGCAGCATCAAGCAGGATGTCGGCGAAGAAGCGAAGGGCCAGAGCTGCCTCTCCTGTCTGCACAGACAGATGGAAAAACCAAAAGAGAACGCTGGACGAGTTAGGAATCGAACCAAAGACCTTTCCAAATCACGGATAACCATGCGAATGGAACGCTCTACCAACTGAGCTACACGCCCTTCAACGCTCGCTTAAACAATCAACCCTCCCGCTGCCTATGCTTCCCATTTGCGTATTATCGGAGTATAACGGCTCGGATCCGACGCAACTCGTCAACCCGTCGTGTCTGGTCTCCACGGTTCTCCACTACTCGACGCTCTCGGTGCCGTTGACTGATCGCGTGGTGCGCGGCGCGATCATGAAAGCTCTTATATACTCGTCAGAGCTCCCCATACATCTTTAACAAGCTTCGCAATTACGATCACGACCTTCACGCCAACTGGCACTCCCCGCAGCCTAACCTCTTCCCCAACCTTCATCTCACAACCGTATTGCACACCTCACCCCTCACGATCATGATCACCATCGAGCAGGTAGTCGCGGCCGCTCCTCCAGAGGTACGCGTCACGCTCGACGACCACACCATAGCCTACCTCGGCACCGTGGTAGCCGGCAAGACGACCCCCGACGATGTGCGGAAGGCACTCGAGCCGTTCCTCGGCATGGGTCCGCGCGAGCTTGACACCATGTTCGAGCGGCTGAGTATTCAAGCCACGCCGCCATCCACTCTAGCCAACGGGGCAAGCAGCCTGCAGAACCTATTGAAGTCGTCGGCTGCGACATCTGCGGAATCCTCACGCCCCTCCTCCCCGAGCAAGAAGAAGCGAAAGGAGAAGCCGCCCGGCAAGCCCGTCATAAACGCCTACTCTCAGCAGAGTCGCTTCCACTCGGCCACGATCACTACGCTCAGCAAAGAGGTCGACCTCCGCAATGTCAACGTCACAATCGACGATGCCGACCTTTTAGTCGATGCCAGGCTCTGGCTTAAGGCGGGCACACACTACGGCATGGTAGGGCGCAATGGCACGGGAAAGAGCACACTGCTTGGCGTCATCGGTGATGGGTCTCTGGTCGGCTTTCCTGAGACCATCCGGACGCTGTATGTGGCTCAGCTCGACGTGTTCGACACGGACATCAGTGTCGTCGACGCTGTGCTGCTCGCCGATATGGGGCGGCAGAAGCGCGCTGACGACGTGAGAAGGCTAGAGAGTGCCGGTGAGGACGAGGCGGCTCTAAGGTCCGCCGTGGATTGCTACATTGCACGGGTAACGCACGAGCGCGTCGATGACGCCCAGAAGAAGGCGACGTTGCGGTCGGGAAAACGTGGCAAGATCGCCCGCGGTGTCGCTCTCAAAGCCGAACAGACAATGCTCGCTACCGTCCGCGACGAGGTGTTTGGTGCCCCGGCCGCACCTGTCACCGATGTCGCCGCCAAGGTGATCGCGTCGTTGTACGCTGAGCTGGACGAGATGGATGCCCACAGCGCGGAGGCTCGAGCCCGTGCCATTCTCTCGGGACTGGACGTCGATGAGGAGATGCAGGACGGGCCAGTCTCCGCTCTTTCCGGTGGTTGGCGTATGCGAGTGGCCATCGCTAAAGCCATGTTTGTCGAGCCTGACATCCTTCTTCTTGACGAATGTACAAATCACCTGGACCTCGCTGCCATTGCATGGCTACAGGAGTATCTTACGACACTAGAGGACATCACCATTGTGTGCGTGTCGCACGACCGTGACTTCTTAAACGGCGTTTCGCAGGAGATTATTCGGTTGAAGGACAAGAAGCTGAGTTATCATCCTGGTAATTACGACATGTACGAACAGGCGGAGGATGAGCTGCGCAAGAAGCGAGAGCGGCAGCACGCAGCCCTTGAGCGCCGGCGAGAGCACATGCAAAAGAGCATCGAGCGCTTCAAGAAACACGCGAACAAGAGCGGCGACGACAAGGTCCTTGGCCAGATAGCGAGCCGGCAGAAAAAGCTCGAGCGGATGACCGGCATGGAAAAGACTGAGGACGGGAAGCGCTTCAAAATCTCTTACTGGGGTGGATACCACGACACTATGCGCCCCGAAATTGAGCTCATCAAGGCCGAGAAGGACGTTGACCTGACCATTCCCAACCCAGAGAAGATTCGAGGGACAGCACCTCTGGTCGCCCTCCACTCCGTCTCCTTCTCGTACCCGGGCAAGAAGAGACGCGTCCTTAAGAGCATCTCGCTGAGCATCATGCGAGGCGACCATATAGCCCTCGTTGGCCTGAACGGGTGCGGCAAGTCGACGCTTGTGCAACTCCTGTGCGGCGTGCTGCAGCCGACGCATGGGCGCGCCGAGATCTCTCCACGCCTCCGTGTAGGTCTCTACACCCAACACTTTGTCGACGAGCTCAGCAGCGTAGCCGAGTCCGGCCTTCAGCTGCTGCACACACGTGCACACAAAGCGTTCAACGCAGACACCGGCGCCGAGCCGCCGAAGGAGGGAGGCCTCCGCCGCTGGCTTGGGTCTTTTGAGATTTCTGCTGGACTTGCTCTCCGCCCTGCCAACACGCTCAGTGGGGGGCAGCGTGCGCGCCTCGCAATGGCGCTTATGCTCTATGACCGGCCGCACATGCTTCTGCTGGACGAAATCACCAACCATCTCGACATGTACGCGGTGCAAGGTCTCATCGCCGCGCTCAACGAGTACGAGGGCACGGTAGTAATTGTTACGCACGACCGTCACTTCGTGCGTGAGTGCGCTGACGACGTTTATGCTCTGGAGGACGGGCGACTACGCCTTCTCGACGACGGCATTGATGAGTACGTCGAGCAGTTTGCGGACCTGTGATGTAACATAGCAGCAGAGAAGTGTACATAGTAGACATCTATTCTCTGCCAAGGAGGAATGGCAGCGCCCTCTCCAGCATCGCGTCAGGTGCCTCCTCGGGAATGTAGTGACCGCAGGGCACGGTGCCGCCGCGCACGTCGGTGGCAACCCGGCGCCACTCGGTGAGTGGGTCAAAGCATCTCTCGACAATGCCGGCTGCGCCCCAGATTGCGAGCATGGGCGCCTGGACCTTGCGCCCGGCGTCGCGGTCGGCGCGGTCGTGCTCGAGGTCGATGCTGGCCGACGCGCGGTAGTCTTCGCACACGCCAACAGCCCACCCCTCTAGCTTGGCGCAGCGGAGATACTCCTGCAGGGCTTCCTCTGCGAACGGGTTTGCGCCCGCAAACTTGACCATGCACGCGTTGATGAACGTCTCGGGGTTTGACGCGATGAATGTTTCAGGCATGGGGCTAGGCTGAATCAGGAAGAACCAGTGCCAGTAGGCTTTTGCGAAGAACTCGGTCGTGCCCTCATACATCGCGAGTGTAGGCGCGATGTCCAGCACCACGAGGCGCTCAAGCACGTCAGGGTGGTCGACCGCAAGACGGTGGGCAACGCGTGCGCCGCGGTCGTGTGCCAGGACGCTGAAGCGTTCGAAGCCGAGATGGGACATGAGCGCGACGTTGTCCGCCGCCATCGCACGCTTGCTGTGGTTCGCGTGGTCAGGAGACGCGGGGGGCTTTGTGCTGTCCCCGTAGCCGCGCAGGTCCGGGAGCACGAGCGAGAAGTGCTCGCGCAGAGCAGGGACGACTTTGTGCCAGATCACATGCGTCTGGGGGTGCCCGTGGAGGAGAAGCAAGGGTGGCTTGTCGGAGAGCACGGCGCGGTAGGCGATGTCTACACCGTTGACTAGCGCGGAGCTCTTCTTGAGGCCTTCGAGACCGGCCAGCATAATGAGTGAGTGGGAGATGTCAAGTTTACCCTGCGTCTTCTCGTCCGGACATGTGGGCGTGCATGGCGTCAGTCACATCGCCGGACCATGTGACGGAGTCTACATTGCTAACTGAACTGCGACGTTGTACCACCTGAAGCGACGACTCTGAAGATCGCTGAGTGACTGCGTCCGGAAACTACCTTCCATGACTCAAGAGGGAGAGAGGGGAGGGATATGGTCCCAGCAGCTCCACTGTATTCTGCAAAGACCTAAGCATCGCGTCAGCCGACGCTTTCCATGATGGACTGCGAGCGTGCAGCTGGCGATGCTGAGGTCTGCGGGTGGGCACGACGTCACCGGTTACTTGACCCGCCATCTACCGGTGAGTGCCGATATCGGATGTACCGGATATAAGAAGAGATCAAAGTCTGGCATCATGCCTCCCCTAACGTACCATCTACGGCTCAATGACGATCTCGTAAACAGCTTTCTCTCCACTCAAATGTTTAAGTGTGACGCCGTCCACCATGGGCTGAGATCTCTGCGTGACCATCGGCCCGCCGAGCAGCGCGAAGCCCTCCGCTGTGACACGCGCCAGTCCACCGTCCAGCAGGCGCGTGGGGTTGGGCTCGAGCGGGTGCAGAGACAGGTAGGCGTCGAAAGCCACGGCAAAAGCACGGGCTGCAGGGTCGGCGGGAAGGACGCCGCCGTTGTATCCCACGTCGTGGCCGAGGCCCTCCCAAACCGCGCCGTATATAGGCGACACGCGGAGGTCAGCTGGGAAGCCGCCGCCGCTGGGGCTGCGGAACACGGCCAGGCGTGCCTGCTCAGCGAGCGTGGAGTGGACGCGCTCCACAGTCGCGCCTTCCGATATACAGTCGAGGGCGTAGTCGACGCCTTGCGGGGCCAGGGCGCGGACATCATCTGGCCACGCATCGTTGCGGTAGTCCACAACAGTGTCGGCGGTGTATGGTGACGCTGATAGGAACTGGGCGTGTTTCGCGGATGCAACGGCAATAATCTGGGCGTGCGGCAGGGCGCGGCGAAGCAGCTGCAACGCAAACATGCCAAGGCTGGTAGAACCACCGTAGACCAGCACAGTGGCGTTCTTGACCGAGAGAGGTGCCGGGGAAGCCGACTTGATGGCCGGGGTAGGAAAGTCGGGCGGGAGCGGGACGCCGAGACGGTAGAACGCTCCCTGGGCGGCGGTGAGACCACACATGCTCACAGTGGCCGCTTCACGCGGCTGCATTGAAGCAGGTACGGCCCACAGGAGGTCCCAAGGCGAGACAACGTATTCGGCGAAGCAGCCAGGGCGATCATTGGTCGAGCACGCTGACATCAGCAGGTCCGCAGACACGGGGCCTTACCTCCTTGCACAAAGCCTGCAACGCGGTCACCGACCTTCCGGTTCCTCACGCCTTCGCCGAGCTCCGCAACGGTCCCAGCGAAGTCTGTCCCAATCACACGATCTGTCTCCGCGACAGGATCAAGAACGTAAAGGCTATCGATGGGGTTAAGAGCGATCGCATGCACCTTGATCAGAACCTCACCCGGCCCTGGCTTTGGTGTAGGGACGAATGTGAGGGTCACAGACCTAGTAGAGGGCGTGAGGACAAGGGCGTCCATAGTTTGTGGGACGGACATTGTTTGGCGTGTGTGGAAAGAAGAAATTGAGCTGGCGTCTCAAAAGTGTGGTGAACTGAGGCTACGAAGGTTCAGTGTGAAGTTGTGGATGGATCTGGGAGATTATATCTGCATCGAGAGTGTTGCCTGTCGGCAGTGCGTAGCTGATGATTTAGACACGCATGAGTAATCCGTGACTGAAGCGAGAACAACTGAAGATCGCCGATATCTGACAGCGCAACAATACGGCATCAGAGCTCGACATCGCTGACTGATGATGACATCTCCACCTCGGTAAGCTTCGGCTGACGACAACAGGTACTCGAATCCAAAATCTCCCATCGCACCTCCCATCCCATTGCATGCAAGCAGAGACCCAAAATCCCAACGCGGGAATAGGAGATCATGCAACAACAATGTCGGCGTAGTGCGCCTCGGCGACATTCGGGTGCGCGCGCAACCGGCTCTTCAGGCAGTTCTCGCCATACAAGGCGTGGATTGGGTTTCTGGGGTCCTGGGACACGCCAGGCGCCACGAGGCCAGGCGGCATGCGCACGAGCGGGAGACGAGCGTCGAGCGCCGGGTTGAAGAAGAAGGGGATGCTAACGCGATCGCTATTCTTGGGCGCAAGGACGCGGTGCGTCGTCGCCTTCAGGTAACCCTATCGTTAGCTGTGACGCCAGCTCGAGGACTCACTTGTGTAGCATACTCCAACATCTCGCCTATGTTGACGACCAGCGCCCCGGGCACGGGCGGCGCGTCGATCCACCCGCCGTCGTGCTCCACCTGGAGGCCCGTCTTGCCCTCCTCAATCCACAGGAGGGTGAGCACACCAGCGTCCTTGTGGCTACCGACTCCTTGCTCCGTGGACTGGCTCTCGGGGTAGCGGATGACCTTGAGGAGGGTGAAGGGCTCGCCGAAGGTCTGGTCGAAGAAGTCTGGCGCCTCGCCTAGCGCCTCCGCCCATGTCCGGAGGAGCTTCTGCGCGACTTCAGTGAGCAGAGTCGTCCACTCCTCCACGACCGGCCGGAGGGCGGGGAGGGCCGCGGGCCACTGGTTCGGGCCCACAAGCCGAGCATAGGCTGGCTTGCCCTCTAGCTCCGACGAGGAAAGGGCCACGCCCTCTGGGCAGATGTCGATCTGCTCGCGCCAGTCGACAGCGCCAAGTGTGCGCTCGCCCCCAAGACGGGTGTATCCTCGAAAGTGGGGTGAGTGGGCGTTCTCGATCGTGAGCTTGTCGGCTTCAGGGAGAGCAAAAAACGCGCGCGAAGTTGATAGCATACGCTTCTCTAGCTCGCGAGGGATGCCCGTGCCCGTCAGATAGAAGAAGCCGACCTCGTGTGTCGCGCGTCGGAGCGCATCGCGGAAGAACGCCGCAGCCTCCGGCCCAGCATCGAGTTGTGAGAGGTCGAGGATCGGGAGAGAGTTGAGCATGGCGGAGCGATGAGGGAAAGAAGAGGAGCCAGAGCGGTTGCTCAGAAGAACGCGGGCCGGAGACGATTGAGCATCATGGGCATTTGCGCGTGGTGGGCAAACGCGAGATCTTCTGTTGTGTGGTGTCGGGATGGCGTCATCACCGGAGACATCCGACACGGTCTAATCGTCTGTCTCGAAATGGACACCGAGTTTGCTTTAGCACGAAAGGCACTTGGTCGTTCTACATGCACATGGTCTTTCCACATGCGCAGGAAATGACGGACAAGGCTCGAGCGAAAACTCTTGCTGCAGCCGCTGACAGTGCAGGTTCCAAGCTAAGTAATTGCAAAAAAAGACAGGACTGTCAGCCTTTGGCAAGCTGCTTAGTTGAAATGACGCTTGTGTGGATTGAACACACGACCGAACGAATTGGGCTTCAAGAGCTTCACTCGCTCGCTCTCCCACTGAGCTAAAGCGTCCCGAAAGTCCGCTCGAGCCGGCTTTGGTATGTGGCGGGCGAGTATCGCGGAATTACCAGCTTGCGTGGCCGCGCAGCATGATTATGATGCAAGGCGCCCTCAACTTATTATGCCACGCGCAGTCAGCGTGTCAGCGCGTCGAACGCAAACCGAAGCGTCCCATGAAGACCATTACATGAGTCAACGGGGGCGATCCCTCAATCAACAGCTGTCGGATGATGTTGAGCAACTCATGGCGCTTTAACCCTCCGGTGCTGCACGAGAGGGTTGACACAATTCATCATTACGATGATAGCAGTTGTTTCATTCTGCTACTATCAAACGCACTCTCTCAGTGCTGAACTGGTGCGAGAAGCATGCAATTGGCCATCGATGATGTTACGATATCTACCGGACGGTCAGGACAATGAATGTCGTGAGTCCCATCCAGAATTCTGGACGAGACATGCGCGGAATGCGTGTGCCAATAACGCATGTTACACCCTATCGGTCACCGACCGTGGACACGATGGACATAGTGTGTATCGCCATCCACGCGACATGCGCTACGCATGATAACAAGCAAAGGTTATGGAAACCCACGTTCACTTACAAGTTGAGGGCGCAAGCCACCGTGCTCTCCTCGCAGCATGTTCCGACCAGCTACGATATCATCCAGCCCACAGTTAAACCGCACGATGGCACGGCGGCTCGGACGAGCACTTATCGTGCCGCGGAAGGCGTAACACGCGGCACCGGCCTCACACCAGTGCTCGGTTCCAGATAGAATTCCTGCAAGTCCTCACGTGGGACACCCGTCTTGAGAGTCCCCGAAAGCTGCCATTCCAAGAATGTTGAGCCTGGCGTGTCCTGATTTAGCACTGCGAAGAGGGCCTTTGTCGCTGGAGATCTTAAAGAGATCAAGAGGTAAGCGCCCGTGGGGCCTCGGTGTTGAGGGCCCACCAAGTCTCCCCGCAAGCTCCACAGCGTCCTCATGGTACTTCCTACGGACCATCGTGACGAGGAGCTACGCGCGTTGCGCCGCGTTGGCCCACTGCATGTGAAGGCCCCACTCGAGGCCCCGAGCCGGAGTGCGGAGCACCTTGCGTCGCAGGAGACCGGTGCCAAGTCGCTCGGACCTTGAGCTCTGAGCGCTCGCCATGTGGGGCCTGTAGGTATGAGGAGTTGGAGTCACGAGAGCAGACATGCATAGGCCACCTAAGGAGAGGTCATTAAGCGGGAGTGGCGGGATGGCGGTCTGCTGACGACATCGGCAGGAACGTGGGCAGGCAATCAGCCCCGGGTCATACATGACGCACGGCTCTTTGAATGTCTCACCGTGCGGGATCTTGGAACAGCATGTGGGGCACACAGCAGTCCCAAGCACTCAGCCCCCCTGCTCGTGCGAGCTCGTCCGTGCCATCTCCGGCCGTAGCGAGATCCGTCGGCACGCCGGAGCTCGGCTTCGGCGAGTCCAGCCAAGCGAGCCTGGATGGAATCAACACACGCAATGAAATTCCGCCATAAGCTGCCCATGTGGTGCGCCATCCCCTGTGCGAAATGCCGCCAGTGTAGGTGGATGTTGCGCACAGCGCAAGGCGCCCGATACCCATTGTACTCCCCCGATTGCTTGGCATGCATTGCAGGACCCTCTGATAACGGGCTCACCTTTGCGACCCTGCATCAGCTGCAGAAAGCATCACTCTCCTTGGGCCTAGAATATAGTTTGGAGCACTTGCTCTCCTCCGATGCAATGCCGTAGCTCCACCTGAGGATCACGCGGGCACTATCCAGATAGCATGTGGACAACCGCCAAGGCGGCAGCCGATTAGCTCTCTCCGCCGACGCCGGCAGTGGCACCACGCGGTGCAACCTTGGTCCCTTTCTCCGTGCCTGTAGCTCTGGTCGTAATTCGGCACAATCAACAACACCATCATTACTTGCTTTGCAGCCGAGGCGGAAACCCCATGTGGTGCCGCTGGAGAGCATGTGGAACAACTCGATACGAGAGAGATGCGCCGGGCGGATCCAGGGAAAACTGACGACTATTCACGACCAGCAGAACAATTATTGCACTACTGCGCTGCCTGGACTCCCGAAGGGCAACGCCCGAAAGCACGCAAGGCCGCAGCTTGGCTGGTCCAAATCTAGCGCACGCGCTCTCAGCCCCGCCCGCCTCGATAGCCAAGACCGGTCCACATGGTTTCTTAACCCACGCCTGTCTCGGGTGGCTTGCGGGTGGCTCGCAGGTCGGCCGTTCGCCGTGGGGGCTTCAAGCGATAGCCAGCTTGGAGGAGGCGACCCAGGCCCCATTCACTTCTCAATGAGAAAATGGGAACGAGAGTGGGGACAGGGCGCCCCCACTTCAGTTAAGAACTGACGAGGAGAGGCTGTTTTCCCCATCCACTCCCCAGGCCCCACTACAGTGAGTAGAGCGCTGCACACTTGGGCCCCGCTGACTTCAGATCATGGCCGGTCTCTACCACGACGACGTGATCCCGGTCGCCCTCGCCGAGACCGAGAAGCGTGATGTGCGCATGGAGCAGCGCGCTGCGTCCCTTTCTTCGGAGAAGAAGGACGGCTCGGCCCTCGCCCACGTCTCCTCGCCTGCTCACGACATTACCGACCCTTCGGACCCCCACTACGGCGACGAGTTCCCGACCGAGGAGGAGGTGGCGCACCTCCACCGCATTCCTGACAGAATCCCATGGGCCACCTACCTTGTCGCCTACATCGAGCTTGCGGAGCGCTTCTCCTGTACGTGGCATGTCGGCAGGACAGGACAGCAACTGACCAGCTAGACTACGGTTGCACCGTTGTTTTCACAAACTTCATCCAGCAGCCTCTGCCCCCCAACTCGAACACGGGTGCTGGCAAGGATGACTACCGCTCTGGCGCCCTTGGCATGGGTCAGCGTGCCTCTACCGGTCTCACCACTTTCAACACCTTCTGGGTTTACGTCACGCCTCTCTTTGGCGCCTACCTCGCTGACAAGTACTGGGGTCGCTACAAGACTGTTTGCGTGGCTGTTGCAGTCGCCATGGTTGGTCACATTATTTTGATTATTGCGGCGATTCCCCAGGTTATCGTCAACAAGGGCGGCGCTTTGGCGTGCTTCATCATTGCTATCATCATCATGGGCGCGGGAACAGGTTGCTTCAAGAGCAACATCTCGCCTCTTGTCGCTGAGCAGTACACCAAGAAGAAGATGTTCATCCGCACTCAGAAGAACGGCGAGCGCGTTATTGTCGACCCCACTCTGACCATCTCGCGGACGTACATGGTGAGCTAAACGCTGCGGCCGAGCTGACAGCAGTACTTCTACTTCTTCATCAACGTCGGTGCCCTGGTCGGACAGATTGGTATGGTGTACGCCGAGAAGTACGTCGGCTTCTGGCTCTCGTACCTTCTCCCTACGATTGTCTTCTTGACGACTCCTATTGTCCTCTGGCTTGGGTACAACCTCTACGTCAAGACTCCCCCCCAGGGCTCCGTTCTCGCAGGTGCACTCCACATCTTCAAGTACGCCGCCAAGGGCCAGTGGACCCTTAACCCCGTCAAGATGTTCAAGCGCATGGGCTCGGACAGCTTCTGGAACCGCGCGAAGCCCAGCCAGGTTGTTGCCCGTGGCGAGACTCCGCCGAGCTGGATGACCTTTGACGACAAGTGGGTCGACGAGGTCAAGCGTGGATTCAAGGCCTGTGCCGTCTTCCTGTGGTACCCCATCTTCTGGCTCACCTACAACCAGATCAACAACAACCTTACATCGCAGGCTGCTACCATGGAGCTGCACGGTCTCCCCAACGACGTTCTCTCCAACCTGAACCCCTTCTCGCTCCTCATCCTTATCCCTCTTTGCGATCTTCTCATCTACCCCGCCCTCCGCAAGCGCGGCATCCTCTTCACCCCCATCAAGAAGATCACCTGCGGTTTCTTCGCCGGCTCCGCGGCCATGGTTTGGGCTGCTGTCGTTCAGCACTACATCTACAAGACCAACCCTTGTGGCTACTCGGCCGCCACGTGTGTCGACGCTGCGGAGAAGCCTCTGGTTTCGCCACTCAATGTCTGGATCCAGTCCGGCTCCTACGTCCTCATCGCCCTCGCCGAAGTGTTCGCGTCCATCACTGGTCTAGAGTACGCGTTCAGCAAGGCTCCTGTGAACATGCGCAGTCTCGTTATGAGCGTCTTCTTGTTCATGTCTGCGTTCTCGTCTGCCCTTGGACAGGCGTTCGTGTCGCTCTCGAATGACCCGCTCCTCGTCTGGAACTACGCATCGATGGCTGTCATCGCCTTTTTCGCTGGCTGTGGCTTCTGGTTGACGCACCGCCACCTGGATGCCCAGGAGGACGAGCTCAACGCTCTGGACGCTGGCCAGCTCAACAAGAGCGACCGTGTCACGAATTACGAGTAGGGAGTGAGGAATTTGCCGTTGGTCGGTCGGCTTTAGTAATCTGGATTTGTAGGACTGGAGTGCACGATGCTATCATTATCTTTGAGTTTCTTGGCGCAAACAGCGCCTCTCTATCTCTTCTTGAGCAGACGAGAGGTGAGACGGAAGTGTCCACTGACCGCTGAAAGATGGCGATGCTGATGCACAAACCTGGAGACGTCTGAAAGTCACGTGACTAATCTTATCATCTTACATCTTACAGCTGCCCTGACTATCACGGCCCAATTTCGACTCACCCTAGGCACATTCATCCATTGTAGTACTGTACTACCTCGGTCTCTGTTTCCGACCTCGGCACCACAACCTCGAGGCCGAGGGTAGACTAGAGAAGATTGTGCCAGACTGATTGACCAGCGCGCCAAGGTCACAAATGGGTGACCATGGAAGAGACCCAATCGGCCCAAGATCATATACACAGGGCCACAGGGCCGCAAACTCGTAATCTGTTAATCTAGGCGAGCGGCGAACTCTGGATTCGCGACCCACAAGCGCGGGGCAGGCAATGTGACAATTGACAAGACACCTCATGTTGCGAGGCGCGTTTGGTGGCGGACGATGGCGTGGCGTACGGGCAACTGGGCGCATGTTACAAACACAGTTCCGAGAAGGTCTGTTCCACGATTGTACAACTGTACACTTACCATTCAACACATCCATCCCCCATCATCCTCATCCACCATGCCGGCTCCTTCACCACCCTCCGGCCCACCTTTTGCTCCACCTCGATCTGGCAAAGCGCCTCACCCCCTCACCCCTGCCCAGCTGCTGGAAATGATGGCAGATGCCAAACTCAAGGTCGCCAAAGAACCCAAGGCAGGAACCAATCGCCAACGCGCCCTCATCGAAAAGCTCTTCAACGAGTGGATCGAGGACGACTGCGAGGGTGCAATCACGATTGACGGCAAGACCATCCGGAACGTCCACGATGTGCAGACTCTGAAGCCATCCTGGCTATCCGAAGCGCAAATGCGGTCCTTCCTCGAGGCCTATGTTCAAGGAGCAACGGGACGCAGTCGAGGTGCCGACCGGGTTGCGCAGAGGACCCTACTCGACAAGGCCAAGCAGCTGAGTGGTATGTGGAAACGGCTAACAGGGAATGCCATTTCCGGAGACGATCGAGAGAAGATGTTCGACTTTTGCGCCCATCTCACCAAGTCGCACAGCCTCCCCGCCGCTACTACAGAGTCTGCCCAGCTGGATACAGAGGGTGTGATTGCTCTGCAGGACTACTGGTGGTCGCCTGCCAACAGCCTTCCCCTTCAGTATCGACTCAGCCTTTCACTTTTTTGCGCCCTCGCCTGTCAAACCGGCGCTCGTCCCCGATCCGCCGTCACGCCTTCGGGTACATTGCCGACGAGGGCTCAGCGTTCGGCCAACAGTCACCTCCAGCCAAACAGTGCCAACGATAGGTCCACATTCTCCGAAGATCAGTATACTGGAGCGGTGTGTGGAGACTTCACCGTCGTTATCATCGCGGATGAAGACGCTACCAAGCCCAACATGGTGGCTGGCTATTATACCACCAGCAACACTAGCAGTGGCGAAGGCAAAGGCGTTCCTCTTCCTCTTCCTCAGCCCAAGAAGCTTCTCGCCAGCGCCATGGTCCTCTTACTTCTCAAGCTCATCCACGAAGGAAGTATTTCTTCGGCATTCCTGCAAGCAATTCTCGAACCCGCGTTCCTGGAAGGAAACTCCTCACGGACACTTGCATGGACCACGGAGCTGTAAGTGAATAACACCGTCAAGTCGGGACCTGACCACAAGTGCGGAAAAGCCCATCTTCTGCCTCCTCAATGGTAATCCTATGACTACGCTTTGGATGACCGAACACATCAAGAAAGCATCCATCCACCTGGGCTTCCAGGTCCCCGCGACGGCGAATTCATTCCGGTCCCTCGTCATCCAAAAGTTGGTAGAATCCAATGGTGAGCTCAGGTGGCGACACGGCTGAGCTCATATTTAGTGTCGGATGAGCTCATTCATTACCTCGTCTCAACCCAACACAGATCCAAATCGACGCGCTGGTACATCGGCAAGGCTTTGTACGTGTCCACGTTACTGTATGATAGGCTAACATCGAAAGCGTTGGCAGCGCTGTCTCAGCTTTTGGTAACACAGACATCAACTCCAGTCACTACCTCTCTCGCGTTCGTCCCCTTAATGCTATTCCAACCGATGCTCCCAACTCGCTTTCCGACAACGAGCTTAGTGAAGTCATGGCATCTGGGCCAGGTTAATACTCGCATCCAATGTCTTTCTTTCGCTGACTCATCACAGTCTCAGCTGCGAAGCAGCACCTTGAGGATACCCGGCAGCGCGTCAAAGATGGCGACGAGAGCCGAGCTCAGCTGGAGCGAGCCGCAGGCGCCCTGAAGCGCAAGATTGCCACAGAGAAAGAGCAAGCCGTATCACGGAAGCGAGCTGCTTGGTTCGCTGATAGCACACGTTCCGAGGGTTCGAGGTCGGTTAGACGAGACAAGGTATGTCTGTCGCGCGGCTACGCACCTGACAACCAGACGCGGGAGCTCAACAACCCGTATGAAGCTATGCGGAAAGCTCTAACGGTCAATCTTCTTCAAGACAGGAACTCCCTGCGTGACGTTTGCAAGATGCTAGCACACAAGAACGGCGACTAAACAACGATGATGTTAACTCAGGCCGCCGTTCGAGGTATTAGCCCGCCTTGAGTTACACGCTCCGCTGACTGAACCAAGGAATGGATTTGCGAACGACAAGCATGTAAAGCGTTCAAATACCCTGAAAGAGGCCTTCCCGAGAGGGAATACGCTTTCGACGATGGATTCACTGTGCAAAGCTCTTGTATAAAGGCAGGTAACTTGAGCTGTAGCAACGGTGTCAATAGCGTGAAGAAAACGTGCATGTATAAGCGCTGTCTCTGTGTGATTTAAGGAGTCAACCGACTCGGGCGGTCGAGAGTGAAAGACAGAGTGGTCTGGGGATGGTGCAAAGTTTGGTTGTTAGTGGCCAAGTCACTCGCGGCTCATTTTCCACGATGTCTGCAGCAGATGTATACAGTGGAATGTGGTGTCAGTCTCCTCAGTGGGAAACCCATGTACCCTCGGAACACTTCAAAAGGGCCTCGATTCTCCTCAGCTTTCAAAGCCCTGCACAATATATACCCTTTCCGGTTTTGGGTCTACCAAGAGCTGGTTGCACTCACGTTGAAAATCGTGGTGCGACTGAGCTCATACCAGTTCCAACTGAGCTCATACGAAACCTTATGTCACACAGCAAGGGTTTGAGATCAACGCACGTGTATATGGGAAGGCACTTGCACCTGGCACACACTCTTGACGATACGGACTGACATGATCAGCCTCGGCATCGCTGCCAATGCTCTCTTGGACGGAGATTTTAGTGTCATGCCATCGACCGCGTGCATCGTGCCAACGCACTGCTCACTCACCACTATTCCTCACTGATAGAATATTCACATATGCACACAGGGCGGAGGTGAATATGGCAGCAAAAATAACTTGAAGTTATATCAGGTGACTCGCTCATAATGATGCGGGTCATTTGAGACTGATTTGAATGTGAAGGTTTGTGCCAGGCCCTGTGCTGTATGGAAAGGCAGAGGCTAGGGAATGGTTGAACACAAAGGTGTCTGTTACACCAGATGGACCTCCACCACCCCGATCACTTGAAGTCGATACCTGTGATAGGCGTGCAGTAGGACTATAATACTATGACAGGGTGCGAATACGAAGAGTATCAAGAGTTGGGGAAACAGATCCTAGACGTTGCTGTATATGTGACGATGCAATGTGAGCGGTATCGACATCTGTACCGATCGGTACTGATGCCGTTATGATTTGTGGAGCATCCTGTGATTGTGATGTGTGGCCAGCGCATGATGGATGCCACGTGGTCAACATGTGTAGTCGGTGCTTGGTGGTCATGGTCAGTGGGATGGTCACAGCCACATGGCTGACACATGTAGTCGGTGCTCAGTGGTTGTTGTCGTTTGGACTGTCACAGTGTAGTCTCTCGCCACAACCACTGCATGCTCAGCTCTCAGACTAAAATCCGCCCAATGCCTGCTGTTCAACCCATGTGGACCCTTCCCCCACGGTCTCAGCTTGCGACAGCTCCTATCATTCAGACTGCTAGCGGCACCGGCATCCCAGAAGCCTCGAGGTCCCCGTACTCGGGTACAGTGTGCGGCGACTTCTTGTTGATTGTCCTGCCGCTTCGGACCCAGCAAAGCCGAACATCCTCTCCAACTATTATACCCCTCGCAAGACGAAAACGGGTGAAGGCGAAGGTCGCCCACTCCCCCTTCCACAACCCACGAAGCTGCTAGGCAGCACGGTTGTCATTCTCCTTCTCAAGCTGATTCACGAGGGCAAGATTGAGCTGACGTTCTAAGAGAACATCCTCAAGCGTAGCTTCCTCAGCGGAAAAGAGTGACGCACACTCTCATGGACCAGAGAGTTGTATGTCCATCGATGCTCAAACCAAGGGCCAACCGCCAGGAAGGAGAAGCCCGTTTTCAGTCTCCTAAAGAAGCCCATGAGTGCCGTCTAAGTGTCGGGGCACCTCAAGAACCTCAATTTTCCTCGTCTTCCGAGTCCTCGCTACTGCTTACTCATATCGATTTTGCATGTGTGGTCAGTGTAAGCGCCAGCCGTATGGGGCTGTTGGAACCTGAAGCTAACAAAGTCTGAATGAAAAGTGGAGGCTGTGAGCGAGCGTACCGATGAGAGGTGGTACACAAGGTCAAACTGCTCAAGCAAGCATGTATGAGTCTTGACAATACTGTATGTGAGAGTACAACAAAGATCCGTGAAGAAATGACAGAGGATATGTTTGGAGATGTACAAAAAATATGTGAGTATGTGAGCAAGTTTACTGACTGTAAGGGCCCGTCGTACGGGTTGATGGGACCAGCGAGGTACGAAGTCCGAAGGGAAAGCGGAGGCGGAATTATGGGAAAACGCACGGGTATAAGGGCCCGCCGTACAAGGTGACAGGACTGGCGAGGTACGAAGTCCGAACGGGAAGTGGAGGCGGAGTTAGCGGAAGAACACACGGGGGTTGACCGATACTGGTGTTCGGGCAACCCTTGTAAGAACAGTGGAATCACAAGGATAACAGAATCGATACAGGTGACTGGTCGGGCTACAAGTCTTATATAGGTAACTATAGACGGGGGCCCGATCGGTCGGCCGAGTGTTGGGTGAGTAGGTCGACCGACGGTTGTCGCAAGGTCGAGGAGTCGACCGAGGCGGTCAGCCGGTTGGTCGACAGACGAGGTGGACCGTATGTCTGACGAGGGTTGACGTAGGTCGGCCCAACTCACGAGTGGGATGGTCGGACGAGTATCGGTCGAGCAAGAGAGTGGAGGTAGAGGAGATATGGGTGATCTCCGTGTGTGCGGTGACGGACATACGGGGATCTCCGCTGAAGGTCATAGGCCAGTAGACCGGGCCATGACACTAGGCATGACACTTGTTGTCCTCTGCAGCTGATTTGTCCTTCCCCTTCTGGCTGGCCTTTGTGGGCTTTCTGTTCTTATGGACGGCCTGCATCCACTTGTCGAGAGCATCCTTGTCCGCAAACACCGCACGAGTTCCCTTGGGCGAGGTGAGATGCGAGAAACTCACGTGGTGAACCGCGATGAGGTGCGAGGCGAAGGCGACGACATCCGAGAATGTGCGACTGTGACGCTCACACGTCGGGCTTGGGCAATGGAGCTTCTGCTGATGGAAGAGATAAGATACGTCAGCAGAAGACGTGGGCTTCTTGAAGTCGGTGGGAAGCCGCTTCAAGTGGGAGATGAGGCACGATGACATGTGCCTGCTGAAGGTGGGAATGTTGGCGCTATGGGGGCTTCCCTTGGCGAGGAAGGTGGCGGTGGGGTCGTGGGCGCAGAGAATGCAAATACCGTCCCGCCACACGACCCCGTCCTCGATAACTTGACTGTAGGTCAAGTCCGAGGGAGAGCCATTGAAGTCCTCAGGAAGAGCGCCAGATGGGACCAGGGCGTCGGAGCTGACGCCAAACGGGGTGTCGTTGGCCTCGTAGACCTGGCGCCTTGCGAGGAATGCTTGCGCCGCCAAGATCTGCTCCTTCGGATCAACTACGTACGAGGCTGTGGCGGTGTAGTAGATGGCGCTCAGCGGAAGCCGTTCTTCACCTCGCTGCGATGTTCCTTCTTAATCAGAACGAGGTCCACGACATAGATGTCATGTTTCTCAACCAAATGCTCCAGTGCCATACGTGTTGAGTTGTGACAATCTGTCATGGCCCAGTCTGCCTGGCCCATGACCTTCACGGCCATCTGTCATGGCCCGGTCTACCGACCCATGACCTTCCGCGGAGATCCCCGTATGTCTGTTACTACACACACGGAGATCACCCACGCCTCTACTACCTCCACTCTCTCGCTCGACCGATACTCGTCCAACCACCCCACTCGCGAGTCGGGCCGACCTACATCGACCCTTGTTGGACATACGGTCCACCTCGCCTGGCCGACCAACCGGTCCACTGCCCTAGTCGACCCCTTGACCTTGCGGCAGCCGTCGGTTGACCCACTCACCCAACACTCGGCCGACCGATTGGGCCCCCGTCTATAGTTACCTATATAAAACTTGTAGCCCAACCGGTCACCTGTGTCGATTCTGTTATTCTTGTGATTCCACTGTTCTCCCAAAGGTTGCCCGAACTTGAGTTCCAGTCAACCCCCATCCTGTCTCCCACTCAGCCCTCACTTCCTGTTTGGACTCCATGTCCTGTCAATCTGCACGACAGGCCCTTACCGCTTGTACTTGTATGCGGAAGGGTACCGCGAGCTAATGCTCGGTTCCACCAAGGTCACAGCACTCGCACTGGCGCAAGAGTTGACGTGGAATGACACCAACTCAAGATAGTGGCATGTTTGGGAAACTCTCATTTGTGCATCTGTGTTGCATGTGTTGGCTTACATCGAGCAGCGCCACAGTGCCGACGCACTGGCCTGCCTAACATGTGTGCGCAGTGCGGGCTGCATGAGCTAGGAAGTGGGCGAAGGGCACGGAAATCAGTGGATAGGCGGATCAGTGGAATGATCCCGGCTGTTCACCAAGGTTCAGTGCGTGCGTCCTCATGTTTTCACGACCCCATCCATCCCAGCTACTCAATGCTACCAACTAGTCAACGATTCGTATTGCTGCGTCGCTGGGCAACATACATGGCCACTCCATTTTGCTAAGGTTACATCATGCATCCCGCAACACTGACCTCCCTGACCTGTGTGTGGGGCATGGGGTATATGTAGGAGAACTGGGGTGGCATGATGCTCTCAGAGCCATCAACCACGCTAGCACGCTATACATGCCATCTGCCAGCGCAACAGCCGAAACCGTGCGGCTGTGCAAGCCTCGCCGAAAGACAAGTACGCTGTCTTGGCCCGTGATCGAAACGTACTCTTGGACGAATTCGAGATGCGTTTGGGGCGAGCCGGGTGTGACCAGAATGCCATATTACCTTGTGCCGAAACCCCAAGCTACAAAGGAAAAGAACAACATGGTTCTTGTTGCTTTTGTCACACTGCGGCGACGTTTCGCGCATGGGGAGGCCTATTCCGGTACACCGACACTCTACTCATGTCCATACACGAGGCAGCCGATATCCGGGGCTCAAATGTCGCCGAGTACTGCAGACAGGGGTTTGGCAATACCCAACTGCGTTCCGAGTGCATGTCATGATAAAGCTGCAGATAGAATCGAGACTCGGTTGAGCTTTTTGGACACACTGTAAGATACCAACGGTGGCTTCACCTGTGGGCTGGGGGAGGAGAGTGTCACATCGACAATCCGGGGAACTGAAGAGCAAACGGGAGTCAGAACTGAGGGACAGGGGCATAAAAAGTGGGCATTGCATGGCCAGATAAGAGCTGTTCACCTTTCATCATACCGCTAGCAACTGACTGGTTCATGGGGCATGTGACACTGGTCGACGAAGTCATTGCTGTCGCCCCTCTGCCTTTGCCTCGGCTCTCGCTCAGTCGACTCTCACGTCATTGCGCACGCCAGGTGGACTTCATCGTCGTAACAATTCTCAAACGGAAGGAACACACGAAACGGAAAGTCATTCCGTCGTTAGCCACAGTTGGCAGACGCGAATTTGACGTGTAAGTAAATCGAGAGCACGCCCTTGCCAACTCCTCTTTGACGATCCATCACACCCAGCCTGTTTCTGAACGATTGCAAATCAACGCTTTGAGATCGCGGTGTGACTCGCATGAGAACGCAGCTATGTGCTATGGCCCCAATGAGCATTACCCACCGGGCGGCATGACCTGTGTGGCCCGAAGTAGGGGATCGCGGGGAGTGACTCGACGCCCTTAGTGGGCACAACACGATTGATCGCTCGCCTGCAACTAACTTGGGGGCGCTGCACTACTCTTCGCCCCTGCTCCCCTGCTTCTCCATCTCTCAAACACCAACGCCCAGTGGTTCTCCTGCGCCAAAAACGATACTGTTGTTCAAATCAATGGTTAGTCGCCATGCGGCGGGCGCGCCGACCGCCCGACTCCCAACCTCTGGTAGATGACCAGCAGCACACAGTCGCACTAACCGGCTTGCGCCTGGCAAATATCACACCCACACACTTATGCAGCCATCCACTGACATACCGGTCCACTCACACACACATCTACTTACCTACATTAATCGGTCGCCCGCGCTCTGCATCCAATCTCCCCTTGGAAACGCAAATCCCGTAGAACGGGAACGAGCCTCGCTGTGACAATCCTCGTATCCGGGCTCTTCCATTCACCGTTAACCTAAGCAACCACAGTAACTATACGTGTTGCCCATTCTGGCAGCTTGTCCTCCGGAGGTCGTTGACGACAGTGGCGAACCTGTGCGCCCGTCGCCGTCGTGAAGTTTGAGGACGGGTGCTTCTCACGCCCCGACGCCCCCTCGAGCTGTGTAGCCCACCATCTCTTCCACGTACTTCAAGAGCCACTGCCCTCGCCGACGCCCCACCACTCTGCTCTCTGCACACTGCTCAACTCTACATTTACATCACCATGCTTCCACTCCCGACCGAAGAGGAGGCTTGGGCCCTCGTTGGCGTGGGCGGCCACCGCGACGGCGCTAACTGCAGGTGTACGGAATTGCGTGCGTGCTTGGCGGCCTCTTCATCGACACGTTTCTCTTGTGAGATTGAGCATGCCAGGGGGCAATTTGACAGCAGTGGCGTCTTTACCGTGCAGTGCATGACATACTGCTTCTCGGAAGCCAAGGACAAGTTATGGGTCCGCGGCATTGTTGCCGCGGTTGCGGCTATGTCGTGCCTCCTCACTGGTGAGTTCTGCTAGTGCTGGCTGATGACAGGTTTCAACTGGTTCTACGCGTCTCACCTCTTCGTCTATCATTTCGGGGTGAGTGGCCAGCAGTGTTCAACTGACGGAAGGTACCCTCGACCTTCTATGAAACGCAGCATTTGTGAGTCTGCATTCGTATTGACAGCAAAGCTGACTCGGCAGGGCTTGGTTCCCCTTCATTGACGGTGAGTCTGGCGCTTGCACCTTCTAATGAAAGCGGTGACAATGAGCTTTACGCAGGCGTTCTTCGCACATCGCGCCTACCGGCTCTGCGACCGCAAGATTTGGATTCCGATCAGCGTGCTGCTTTGTATCCTCATCGAGTATGTGCAGACGTAGTGTGCTGGTAATGCTGATCCCAGGATCTCCGCGTGTATCGCAACCCGCATTGTGTTCGGCCAGCTCAACACGCAGCAGGACTCCGTCCGCGTGCAGGGAAGTGAGTACTCTCAATAGCAGGATCTCACGCAGCAACTATCATTTGGATGGCCGCAAGCATGGTCGGCGACTCGATCATCACGGGCTGCATCCTTTTCGGCCTGGTACGCTCGCGCACCGGGATCCGGCAGACCAAGGAGGTGAGCTCCTCCTAGCCGCGCTCACACAGCTTATCGCGCGCCTCATCCGCATGACCCTTGAAGCCCAGGTGCCGGCCACCCTCGTCGCGCTCACACTCATGATCGAAGTCAGTGCGTGCTCCGCACAGACATTGCTAACGCAGTCATCGAGCCGGCCAATATGCTCGGGAACTGCATCATCCTCTTCCAGTCCAAGATCTACGTCGTCGGTTTCTTCTACAGCCTGAACGCGCGCCAGCGCCTGCTCCCGAGCAACCAGGGAGTAACGCTCGGGGACGTGCGCGATATCGATCCCATTGTGTTCAACGAGCACCGCGTGGCCACCATCATCGTCGACGAGGAGACGGAGATGCACGTCACGGTGAGTCCTGTCCTTCTCGTGGCTGACAGAAGCGCGCGGCCCCACCGCACGTGCGCATCAACCGGACGCAGGGTTACGAGTGCGAGGAGTCCAAGGGTACCACGACCCTCACGGAGGACGTCGGGTCGTCAGAGTACAAGGCCGCGTCGGACTGCAAGGAGTCGCTGGGGTCAAGTGCGCCGCCTGATCACCCTTCCATTTAAAGCCCACGTGGGCATGTGCGAAGCTGTCATTTGAAGAACCTCACTCTACATACGTTTAATATACCGCCTCTCTCCTATCTACCCTCCTTTCAATACGTAGTTGTCCGGCTAAAACCTCTTTCAACGGTATGCAGCGCTGAGCGAAGCTGGGCCTCGGGTTCACCATCCTACCTCTCTGCTGTGCTGAGAAACAGGCGGTCGTTCCCGAGCAACGGGCAGTGTTGGGTGGCGCTCACTGTTTACAGCATACTGCTGATATTGAAGCACTCGGTCGCTGACATCCGCCTGGTGCGCTAAGAAGCTGACAGAATACACCTTGCACTCGTTTGGCACCCCTGTAGAACTCAATCGACCCATACTTTCAGCACTTGGCGACACGTCGTCACTCACGGCCGATCATCATTAAGGCGCAGCCTGTTACTTCACAAGTCACACTTCTCCAACGCCCCATTTGCCCACCACCGTGATGAAAATATGGCAGTCGCCACGGCCGTAACGCTCCCATCTACATTGCGCCCTGCCAGATCATCTTGCGCCACACGCTGTAGGAGCCCACGACTCACGCGGCGGTTATCCTCACCATCTCACCCGCCGTTCTCCACCGCGTTGCCCCTTCACTCGACGGTCCGCGATTTCCACTTCTCCTCACATTTGGCCTCTCAGACAACATATGGTACAGCATTCTCACTCACATCAGGGCTGACTTCCGTCCGCACACACAGAATGCGAACAATCTGAACTGCCGGTCACGAGCATCACATTCAATCTCGTAGCTGCTTGTCACTCAATTTCATGCCACAGATAAAATCGCAGTGTGCGCAGGCAATTCCCACCTACACGTTCAGCACCACACGGTGGGAAGCACACTGCTGTTTGGACGCCATCGACACAGCGTGAATCAGCAGGCATGTGATGTAAGTTTAGCAGTGGCGCCGACATTGTTTTCCCAGCCGAATTTGACCTCGGGCGGAAGGGGACAAGATGGACTGACTGTGATAACTTTCCGTCTTTGAGTTTGCGAGCTACGTATCAGGCATTTCACAGACCACATCGTTCATGATCGCCACGCGCAAACTCAGCATTGTACTGCATTCGAGCCGCCGTTCTGGCGAGTTGCCCACAATTCACGACGACCTACACAGCAGGCACGCTGTCGTGTAGACCGCTTACACGTATGTCACTGCTGGAGACTGCGCCCGGCAGCTACACCGTCTGCGTGTGGTGCAAAGACAGCCTAAGCTCTCCGTCCATACAAGTCGAGCTCGCTTCATTTAAGCACCATCGACAATGTAACACTCCTCCCGCCCCACAGCACTCAACCTTCTGACTCCCACCATGTCTACTTCACCCGGGTTTCCAAGCGAGGCTGAAGCCAAGGCTGGCATTGGGGTGAGTACATCCTTGTTCCCTGACTGACCCAGTCCTACGGCGTCTCATGCACGCTCGCGGGCATCATGCTGGACGTGTTTTTCTTGTGCGCGAAATTTGAGTGATGCTGAATTCAGCGGCGTATTTGTAGCCCAGCTTGTAAGCTACTGCAACAGCAAGTTCAAAGACCCCACATGGGTCAAATGTCTTGTCGGGGCCGTAGTGGTCATGGCCACTGTCTCCAGCAGTACTGCTTCCTTCGTGCTCGCTAATGCAGGCTACAACTGGTGGATTGCGTCTCGATGGTTTGGTAGGCATCATGTTCCGGTGATACCTGACACCAGTGTACAATTATGGCAGGTACACCATTGTACGTCGTATAGGGACCAGCTGAAACAGTTCCTGCACACAGGTCCCATCGCCTGGCTAGCTCTCATTGACGGTAAGCTAAGCGCAGAACCGATCAATGCTGAAGGCAGCGGTCAACATGGGTCTCTGCCAAATCTTCTTTGCCTACCGCGCCTACCGGCTTTGGAGCCGAAACGTCATAATCCCCATCGGGGTTGGCCTGTGTATTCTCACCTGGTGAGTAACGAGCGGCACAGCTAATTTAGCCTGGCATCCACGATTGCAATCGTGGTCATGTACATTCCACTCACTTCCATCCTGGATACGCACTACATTGTGCCAGGTACGCATACGAGCCACATATCAGAAGAACTGATGGGAGTCGCCCTTACTTGGCATGCAACCAACATGCTCGCGGACATTATCATCACCGCCACCATTCTACGGGCCTTGGTCAAGATTCGAACCGGCATCGCCAGCACCGACAAGCTCATTGCGCGTCTCATCCGCATGACCCTCGAGTCACAGGCAGCAGCAGCTACCATTGCCATGACCCTCCTCGTTGATACCAGTGGGTGTGTATGGGGCCCGAGCTAAGCAACAGTTGTCGAGCCCTCCAATTTGTTGGGTATTTCCATCCTCCTCTTTCAGTCCAAAGTCTACGTCGTCGGATTCTTCTACTCACTCAACCTTCGCTCCAAATCTGAAAGGGGCGAGAACATCACCATGAACGACACTCACCCTCTCGCATTTAGTCATGAGCAGGCCGCCACGATCGTCATTGAGCAGCAGACGGAGATGCATATCATGGTAAGACCTGCTCTGACCGTGCTCATACCAGCACGTCAACCCTCCCCCTTCTCCTGGTCTCAATCGCAAGCCCGGGTCGCAAGATCAGTCTGATACCGACGTGGTCGACATTAACAGTCAGAGTTCCGCAACTGCGTACTCGTCCTCGAGTGTCAAGGCTGAGGTTACTTGCCTCGAGAACGTCTGAGAGCGCTGAGGGCTGCACACATTTCAACACTGTCTTTTATAATGCGCCCCTCGTTTCTCTTCTTGTTATTCCCTCGCGATACATATACTTTGCGACAGGCACGCACTAATGCAGGCGCAAATGTTCATGACGAACTACGTGCGATCAGCCGCGAGCAACCGGCCTGCGTACGTTCAGCTGCAAGTGTCAGAACGGAAAGGCACCGCATTTACATCTCATCCAACGGAAAGGCACCGCATTTACATCTCATCATTTACAACTTGCTCGCCCCCTTGTCCCACACTCCCCCACGCACTGTAGCTAAGAAGCGGCCCAGAGCCTCCCCGACCCCCATCGGATCCTCCTGCACGGCAAGGTGTCCCGCAGTTGTACGTTCATTCCGTGCTCGAGGAGGGCGGCTAGTGAGCTCGCGAGCGATCTTCTCGCCACCCATCCACTGCGCGTCCTTAGACATAACGAAGCCTACCGGCATATTGAGGGAGGGAAGCAGGTCCCAGCCACGCTGAGGGGAGCGGCAGTCGCTGAACACGACGGCCTCGCACCACGGTGGCGTGGTCAGCGTGAGCTCGCCGTTGTTCTTGGGCACAACTCCGTGGCTGAGCCACAGGTCGAAAATGCTGTCGGGAAACTTGGAGAACATCGGGTTTGTACGCATCGTTTTCGCTGCGTCGAGCGAGGGCCATGTATCACGCCGTTTAAGCGTAATCGCCTGGACGTGGTAATTCATTGCTGGGGAGTTGTTACCTCCTGTAGGTTGGGTCTGTCGTCAGTTGCTGCGCGGACGATGCTGAAAGAGATACAGTATGGGCGAGAATATTCGGGAAGGGGTAGCTCACCATAGGCTCCACCAAGAAGAGGCCCTCAAACAGTCCCGGCACCGCGGCAGCAGCGTGCACGGCCATGTTACCGCCAAGGGAGTGGCCGACGGCGAAAACTTTGCGGGGCGATGCGCGTTCCCTCCACTCAAGCGCCCAGCCTACTTCCTCGTCGAATGCGGGCGCACAGTGGCTGAGAAAGTTGAGGACGTCGCGGGCACCGTCTGCCCAACTGTGAAGGGGAGGCAGCCTACCAGCGTTGAGGTCCACGGACGTTCCGTGTAGACTGTCTTCCAGGAAAAAGACCTCGTTGACCACCACAGCAGCCGTGGAGGACAGTATGTGTGTCCCAAACTGGACGGTGGGAGACGACGCGAACAATGACTCGAGGAGCGGGTGGTAGTCCTGTTGTCAGCCCTCGCGCGCGGTATTGGCCTCACCTCCTTGAGCATCCCATTCGCATGGAGCATCAGAAGCGTCACGCCGCCTTCCACAGGATCCTCCCGCCGCCATCTCTCCACGCTAAGCCACAGCCCTTCGCCGCTGTTCGTTTTCCAGCCCGCGCCCTCGGTTTTGGCCGCCTCTCGTGCCTGCTCGGCACATGCAACCTTGTCCTTCTCTAATCTCGCGGCGCGGGCCTCCTTCGTCTCTGTCTCAGGTATAGAGCTGTAGGGGTACGACGAGCGAGAGAGCGTACCCTCGTACATCCTTGGATATGCAGCGGGACATGCGTGTACGCTCCTCACATACCCAGGCGGCGCGAAAAGTGCGGGCCGTGTAGGTTGAGATGGGGGAGTGACAGAGGGAGGCCGGGTGAGAGGTGCGAGGGTGAGCGGCGGCACCACCGGCGTGGGCGCGAGCGAGGGGCCGAAGTGAGGAGGAAACGGGGGAAGCGATGCCATTGTTCCAGTTTTTAGTGAGCGATAGAGCGAGCCAGAACAAGATGGGGACCGTTGACGAGGAGGATGATATGGGTCGCGACGAATGCGGAGGCCCAGCTAACTCCGGCTACTTCGGCCCGGCCCGACGCTTGCCGGGTGCCGATGACATGACAAGCTTAAAAAAGACGAGCGCTCTATATTCTCTTGGCCGGGCTTCGCGGAGACGAGTATGCACAGTCCGTGGTTAGATCATCAGATGGGGAACAAGGCCGTACAGCCAGTTAAATCATGATTCCAGGTGCGAGGTATGTGGAAGGAGATCTACGGGGGTAGTGGGGCAGGGTTGCCAGTTCCAATCGCTTCGGGTGGGAAGGCGGAATTCCTCAATCACCTCGATTCACCGCGATCCGAGAGGTCCAGGCTACAAGGAATCAAACCTTAGTGCTCTTCCGCTGCTCGTCGCACGTTGATCACTTGACTTATCTCAGTCGTGCTAACTGCTGGGATCTGCGCCCAGTTTGGGTTGTGCTTGAATGCCAAGAGATGGGGACGAGGCACTGCCGGCCACTCACTCATAACTACAGTCGTAGCAACTGGCCCCGGACGAACCCCACGCTCGTCATGTTCGCAGCTCTTACACTTCTCGCCACCGCTGCGGCGCACATCAACCCGCCGAATATGACGGGCAACACCACACACGACGTTGCCCTCTTCAAGCGGGGCACGGTCAATGCGCTCGTCGGCACTCCTGGTTTTGGGCTGTACCTTGGCCTTGACACCAAGGCCGAGTTGTCCTGGGTCACAGAGCGGTATGGGCTCATCAACAGCTCAAGCTTCGAGCCCCTGGACGGCACCTTCGAAGGTTACTACTATGGCCGATCTATCTCGGGCACGCGCGGACGAGAGGTGATCCGCTTCGGCCAGGCGACTTACTCTAACGAGATGGGCTTCACCGACCTCGCACCCTCTGCTGTGGGCGGAGTCGACGGCGCTCTGGCCCTAGGCGGTAGCGCCACCTCGTTCTTTGGGCAGGCATCGGCATCGTGGCCCGAGAAGATCATCGGCGTGCGCATCCCCACCAACAACCAGAACCCGGGTGTGCTCAACCTCGGATACACCAACGCCGACCAGTATGTGGGGGACCTCGGCTGGCTGCCTGTCATTGGAGGCGAGGGATGGCGCGCCTCGTTTGACGGCATTAGGGCGAGCGGTAACCGCACCGCTTCCCACCCAGGGCGCAACTTTGCGGTGTGGGACTCGAACGAGGAGACGAGTGCTGCGCCATACGACGTTGTGACCGCTATCTACGGGAATAATCCCCGCATCAACAAGATCACAGTTATCTGGATGATGCCGTGCGACGTCATCGAGGGCACGACTGTGCGAATGCGCCTCGGCGGGAGGCAGACGCTGCTCTCGCGAGCGGCACTACTGCGCCGCGACCCTACTGATCCCGGCCAATGCATAGCCAATTTCGCAGTTAGCGAAGACGATAACGTCCACCTCGGGCGCACGTTCATGCGCACGTGGTACACGGCGTTCTCGGAAACCGAGGACGGGCGACGCATCGGACTCGCGCGTCCTATCTTTCTACCCGGTGTGACGATGAACTCGATCAGTATCAACGAGGACTTCTAGGACTGTGTGCCGTATAATCTGACAGTATCAAGGACTATCTGGACATTATACCGCAGAAAGCGAGCATCAGATGCACGGCTCTGCCGGTGGCGCGCATGGCAGCATAGGGGTGACCGAGGACAAGAGCTCGATAGACGCCACTGCACAGACCTGGAATGCGAACGCAACACTTGGCGTGGCCCCGGCACACCAGTTTGCGGGACTCCTTGCTGATGGTGTTTCATGCAGCGACTCCCGTGGGGAGCCTGTTCTGCAGCGTTCTGTGGCTCCGGGGCTCAAATCCGGGTAGTGATGATGTGAGCGTGGTGGGGGCGTGGACTGGCGCCACCAACGCTCCTCGCGATCTTGAATGGTGCATAACATTCCTGCAGAGGCCCCAGCTCCCACTTAAGGACCCGATGAGCGCCCGGGTTGATCGAGCAGCTGCTTTCTTCAGGCTTGGCGAACAGCGAGGCAAGGGAGGGGCCACAGTGCGGCGGGTATGTTTGTAAAGCCGGTCTCCTTCCATCTGGGCATCCCAACTTCCAATCTTTGCTCTATTTTCTCTCTTCCATCCTCTCCTCAGCCTTCACAAAGACATCTCGGCAGCATGGGATGGCCCTCGTCGGCGCGCAGCACTGGTGGCGCTTCGCCGGCAACCCTACACCCGCCTCCGCCGTACAACGAGAAGACGGCCCACGAGGGTCCCGGCCCAGGCCCCGCACCGCCGAAGTCTGTCCCCGCACCGGCCCCCATCCCAGTCCGCCTCAGCACCGACACACTCCATCGTACCCCGACGCTGCCATCGCCGCCGCCGCCCGGATCTTTTGCCGCCCTGCTGCTGGACAACGGTCAGCAGATCACCGCGCTGCGCTTGCCTAAGCGCATGATCGCGCCGCTCAGCGCCGCTATCTCTGGCGCGTGGCCAGATGGACTCCTGCGCTGTGCGGCTAGTCCAGTGCAGGGCGGGTGGGAGTGGGAGCTGAACGGCTGGCCATTTGTGCAGCATGTTGAGAGCCGGAGAATTATCTTCGCCATGCTGCAGGTGCTTTACGCTGCGGGGTGGGCCGTGCAGTGTGCCAACAACATCAACAAGCACCACCTGGCCAAGGGAACGATCTTTTTAAAGCCGGGCGATGCGTGTGCCAAGACGTTCTTCGGCATCAGCTTCTTCAAAGAGGATCGGATAAGGTTGATCGACGCCCCAAGTGCCGACCTCCGGGCCGCCTTCGTCGCCATCGCCAAGGTGAGCAACATGCCGAGAAGTGAGCGCGAGCTAACCTTAGACCTGGCACAAAGGGGTGCAGGAGGCGAAGGAGAAGTGGCCAGGCTGCGTGCAAGTCAAGCTTAAGGGCACGCCGTTCTACACCAACGACCGCACCGAGCAGGACTTGATCCGCATCATTCTCCTCGACATTCTAAGCGCTTTTGACGCCCTTGGCTATGAGCTTGTGACTTGCATTGAGATGGCCGATTTTGTGCGGCACGAGGGCACACAGCGTGAGTGTACCATCTTTCTGCGTAGAGCTCATGGCAGCCGAGACGTGGTTCTTCGCCAACAAAACGCGGTCGCGCGAAGGCTCGGTGCGCAGCAGTGTGTACCATGGGTCGTAGGTGTGAATACAGGCTTGCGATTGTGTATAAGGGTTGTCGTTGTTCTACCGGGATCTTGTTGATGCAGGCTCTGTTAAGTGATGTGCCCAGCATTCCTGGCTTGGCTCATATCACGCCCCGCCGCCCATTCACCAGCAACCGACGGGGTCCGGGACACTAGTAACAGCGCCCTGACGCTAGCGTGTGTTTCTGAGTCCAGTGATCCCCGGAGCACTCATAAGGCTACATGATGGATAGACGGTTGGCGGCTGACCATCCCTCATGGGCAAGTTCTCATTTAAGAGGAGTAGCGGACCACCCCGGCGCGCGGCAGAAGCGCCTCCCCCGCCATACCAGCCCAATGTCTCATCTTCGGAGGCCGGGCCGAGCACCAGTACCCCCGACTCGAGGTCTTCGCATGAGCAACCCGTCGCGTACGAGGACGTCAAGCACCCGCCTCCCAGTGGCGACCCGCCGCCCTTCGCCTGCATCATTCTTGGCAACACAGACCGCATCAGCATCCTCCGCCTCCCGCCGCACCTTGTGCCTGCGCTCTCGGACGCCATCGTCTCTGCGTGGCCGCAGGGCATTAGTCGCGGCGAGGCTAAAGAGCAGGGCTGGGAGTGGAAGCTCCGCGGCATGCCTATGCGCGACTATCTCGTCGCGCGACGCATCGTGTTTGCCCTCCTCACCACTCTCTACGCGGCGGGCTGGCATATTCGTGGCTCGGCCAACCTTAGCAAGGAAGACCTCGGTAAAGACAGCGTGTTCCTGCGCGCCGGACCGCCATGCACCAAGCGGTTCTTTGCCGTCGGTCTCTGCCCATGGGATCGCGTGCGAATCGTCGATCCGCCGTCCGAGGAGGTGCGCAATGCGTTCTTGCGGGTTGTGCGGGTGAGTGATGTTGGGAGGGGCGTGTTGATGTGGCGACGGCTGATCTCAGACGTGGCACAAGGGGATCCAGGAGATCAAGGAAAAAGACTCCGCCTGTCTCGATATCAAGCTTCGCGGATCGCCCTTCGGCACCGGGGATCGCGGAGAGCAGGCGAGCGCTCGGCTGCTGATGCTCGATCTCCTTGGTGTCCTGGAAACGCTGGGCTATGAGCTTGTGGTGTGTATGCAGCTGACGACGTCATTCGCAGAAGAGGACGAGCAGCGTGAGTCGTGTCGCGTCATGGGACGGGCTGACGGCAGCGCAAACGTGGCTGTTTGCTAATGCCGCACCGGTGTGAACCTCAAAGTATTGATAATGCTACAAACTCAGGCTCTGAGTTGCTACACGCTGACCTGTGGCTTGCGGTGCTGAAGTGAAACATAGCTCTTTCACCCACAGGCAGCTGCACTCTTGCGCATAGCTCCCAATCGTACCTGTGACTCTGCAGCACAAAAGGTGCATAAACATGACCATACCCGAAACTAGTGTCCGTTCCACTGTCCAACATATCGCGCGTAGGTGCTCACCGTATCGTAAAAGTCCAGGGTGCTGGTTGCGCTTCAAAGAGATAACTTTGGTCGCCACTCAGCGACGATGCTATCCGTTTCTGCGCGCCACTGGTCAAACGTGACTACGCGCATTGTCTCAGAAACTTTGTGTGCGCGGTCAATCTCGCTTCGGTCCCAGTGCCAGTTCTCCTCTACCGAGCGGCCGAACGTTGCGTCGGCAACGGAGATCTCGTATAATCGTGCGCGCATGGCGTTCGTCATTTGCGGTGAGATTGTGCCTCCGACGTCCACCTCTACGTGGTCATTGCCTCCAAAGATGCGGCGTGTGCGGTTTCGGCGACGCTGCCGGCGAGACTCGATGGGGTGGCCAGAAGCGATGCCGATGTAGTACGGCTGACAGCGCTCGACGCCGACGAGGGTGAGACTCGCGCCACCGGCGAGCCATGGCACAAGGCTGTGCAGGAAGGGGAGGAGGACATCGAAGCGGTCGGCTCGTCCTGCGAGGTATTCGTATTCCTCATCGTCTCCGTCACCCTGAGGGCACAGGACGAGGGTGACGCTCTTTACCCCGTGCGAGCGCTTCGCACCGCGCATCATCAACCCACGTGGGAAGCTGTTGCTGCTTTGCACGAAAGAAAGGTGGAGGACGTAGTCGACGCACTCGCCACTGGCGTGGATAAAGCCTTGGTCGGGAGGATTTGGGGAGGAGAGGTCGATGTAATCGACAAGTGTGGTGGTGGGAGGGTGGGGCATCGATGTATCGGCGCGTCTCACGATGGAGGGGTTGTGGAGGAGGGTTGCGGGCGGCCAGGCACCCAACGCCCACTGACCGCGAACAAACGCTGGCGTGGCGGCCGGGCCAGAGCCGCGCGCACCGGCTGGATAGATGTCCAGTGTGCGAGTGTGGGTGAGCTTGGCGGCATGGTCGATCCAGTCTGCATCCATTCTGGGCTGGAGCGGGAGACGGGTCTGCATATCCGGCGCCCAGTACTCGACGGTTGGGTAGTCGAGAGCGATGATGGCAACGTGTGAGAAGAGGGCTGCGTCCGCGCGTGATCGCGCCCCCTTGCTTGTCTGCCGGAGGGCCATGAGCTCATGTGGAAGACTGGCGGCAATGATCAGGTCAAGGAGGTGCGGAAAGGCGCTGCTGTCCAGCAGCGGGTCAGGGTCCGAGTCCGGCTCGTGGTCCGGCTCGTGGTGCTTGGCGACGGGCACGGCGCGTCGACGGCGAGGCCAAGTGCCGGTCGCCAGCAGCTTTGACAGCGCCTTAAGAACCAGCGCTGCCATGCTGCGGATGATCGACGGTGAATGGGGCTGATGAAAGGTGAAGAGAGGAGAGGTGAAAGGGCGAGGGGATCTGATGTGGTGGTGGCGATGACGGTGGAGGTCCGCGCGCCCGGAGCATCCTCGGTTCCGCAGTCATTTCGGCGTTGAAGCCGTCAGAAGCAGTGACGGCGAGGGCTGCAGCACAAGATGTCCGACCTCGTGACTCTGCCGACCCGCAAATCTCGCAGATCCCGATGCTCAGAACCTTCGATGACCGACGTGGTGATCTCGTACGTAGGTCTGATGCTCGTGTGACGATGAATGACAGCACGGTATGCGGAATGCGGAAAGAGCTTGGATACAGAAGCGGTTACGCACGACTGCGAGGAGTTGATGTTCACGCATCACTGAGGACTAATCGCGCAGAATGCTTAAGATGATGAGAAAATCGGGTCCATGAGGGGTGGGCGAGGAGCAGCGTGACTCGCCCATGATGGTAGACGTTGAGAATCTCTTATCATTGTTCCTCTGCACTCTGTGCCTTCTGTCAAACCTTGCAATCAAACTGTCCCGCAGATAACGTGAGCTGCCGTTAAGCTTGCTTCTCGATACACTGAATCCAGCTATTGGCTTCCTCAGTGCAGCTACGGTAATTAAGAGACCTTTGGGACGACAGAACACTGCTTAAGATCACGTGATGTCGGCCGCGCATGCCGCGCGGATGGCTGCCAGCACAACTAAAAATGGTACAGACCAACGTGCATGTCCTCCTAAGGATACCTCATTATATACTGGAATAGATCACAATCGCCACGACGGACATTTACCACCTCCTGGGCTCGAGCTGCGACTCCGCAAGCGCGCTCGGCTCAATGAAACTCTCGGCGTCACGCGGGTGGTCGTGCGAGCTGTACTCGTGGTTTTTGACGCCAAAGCTGTCGCGTGACCCTCCAGGGTGGATCTGTGATTCTTCAAGAGCAGGCATCTGGGCAAAAGAAAAGCGCGAGTCGAGCTCGGGCTCAAGTTGCGACTCCTCCTGGGCGGCCTCCATCTGCGTGGGCATCGGAGACGAGCTGTACTGCAGACTGTTGCGGGTGCGTGGGGGCGGCGAGAGCGGGGTCTGTGTCGGCGGAGAGCGTGGTGGCGGCGTCAATTGCGTGAGAGGGTACGATTGCTCGCCAATCTTCAGGACAGATGGGCGGAAGTTCATACGACGGCTGACTCGGTTCGAAACCGGGGGGGCTGGGAGGAGCTGGGACTCGGCTTGCGCCGCACTTGTGGTTGAGCGCTCGTCGATGACGCTCTCCGGGAAAAGGCCACTCTCGGGAAGCACGGACATGCCGCCACGCGTCACCTCGTAGTCCATGCGCGTCTCCTGAGGCAGCACGCCGCTCTCGGGAAGAACCGAGACGAGCGGCTGCCCGTGAGGCGTCGATTCAGTGAACACGCCACTTGAGGTGCCCCGGCTCCCGCTCGACGTCGAGCCACGTCCAAAGAAACGCTGCAAGGTGGGCGACTTGGCTGGGACTGTCGGCAGAGTTGCTGTCCTTGGGCCACTGAAAGTAGGTCGGCGGGATGAAGGACCCCCTGAAGAGCTTTCACCATTAGAGGAGGTCTTGCCAGTCTTCTTCTCAATGTAACGCCTGATTGCCAGACCGCGAGCGTTGGCGGTGCTAACGTTTCGTGGATCAATATCCTGACCAGTGGCCCAGATGGTGATGGCACGAATGGGACCGACATAGTGGTGACGACCTGCTCGTCAGTGGACGAGAACTCAAGAGTTTCCGTACCGTAAAGGAACCAGGAGGCGAGAATGACAACAAGCATACCGCCAATCGTCATCGGCAGCCAGCTGATGATCTGTTCACCTTTCTCTGCTTGTTAGAAAGGCTCATACACTTGGGCTCACTGTGCTCCCGGAACATAGCTGTGCCGTTGAACTCAGTCAAAGGCATCGAGCCTTGAATGAGGGAAAGAATTAACCACGCGATAGCGACGCAAGCACACGGCTTGCTGATCTTGCCGAGGGAAAATTCAGAGCGACCAATGTAACGAAGGTCCAGCCCTGAAAAGACGTAAAGAATGAGAGGCAGCACCTGGCGGTTAGTCCTATGTTAACGGCAATAGACACCCACGTAAGGAACGTTGATAAAGTAGAAATGGAACGCATGGAGGAGCGAGGTGTAGTTATTGTGGTTCACCAGCCAGCCTGTAGTACTGAGGAACATGGCAAGAAGAAGAGCGACCATGGCAACCCATGGCTCCTTGTGCTTGTCTGTAGTGGCCATGAGTTTCGAGAAGGGGATGCCCTTGTCGCGCGCGAGTGCGAAGATGAAACGCGAGGTGATGAGCGTCGAAGCGAGAACTTGCGTGATGGTACTGAGAGCTGCGATGATGGCGATTCCTAGAATTCCAGATTTGCCGATTTCCATGAGCTCCCCCATTGGCACCTACTTTGTGAGCACGCGTCTCGGGCGTGGAAGGCAAGACTCACAATGGGGAACAAGGCTCCAAGGCCTAGGGTGATTGGGGTGACGATCAACATGTACATGATAACAGTGGCGTAGATGTTGACGTGGTGGAAGATAGTGGTCGTCCACAAGACACGCGGGACTGTCCGAGAGGGATGCCTGGTCTCCTCGGCCATGCTAGGGTTAGATACAGGTGCCATGCGACAACTCACTGAATAGGGGCATCGACCGCTGTGACTCGAAGTGGCAGACCCATAAAGATCATACGCGAGAAGCCATAAATCCAATTCTTACGCAGGGGGAAACCCCAGTTCTTCGGCCCATGGTTTTCCTTCATGATCACGAAGCCGGGGTTTTTCCTTAATGTCAGAACTGCACCAACATTATTGTCCTTACGGGATCTTGACAGCACAAGTGATCAGCATGGCGTACACCAGGATGATGAGGATAACGTTGAAGACACCCGCACCAATCCAGAACCAGCCAGTGCGGGCGACACGAGTAATGGTAAGGATCGCCACAAAAGCGACAAGCGACAGGTAGAAGACCGGCTCCCACCACTGTTCGGGCTCAAGCGCAAGGCCGGTGAGAGTGTTAAACTTCTTGCCTGACATGGAGACGTAGATAGCCGTCAGACTAGTCGTCACGCCGAACAAGTAGCTGATTGTCTGGAATTGTAAGCCAGATATCTTTGTCGTAACATACCTTGCCAAGATGCATAGCAAGGGTGAAGCCCGCCACGACCCATCCCCACTGACGCTCGCCACCGATTCCGGCGCGGGCCAACTGCCACGCCCACGTAGCCATACCACCAGCAACTGGGAAAGTGGATACCAGTTCAGAGAACGGCCCGATGAGACAGAGATGGAAGAAGATGAGGAAGGGGTAGCCGATAACCTGGTATGGTTAGCAATTGGCTCTCATCTGCCGTAATGGCGGTTTCATGCGTCAAACACCCACAAACAGCAGCGGTCCGTTGTGCGCATAGATCGACTGGTACGCGATAAACTCGTAGATGAACGAGTTGTGGGACACGTTGAGGCCGGCGCTTGACCAGAAGCCAAACGACCGGCCTAGGGAGACGTCGTAACCCAACATGCGGAGGCGGTCGTCATCAGAGAGCGGGGAAGCCTGTTCGCGCGCGCATTCCTCCTCGACTGTAGGCTGGATCTTGTAGTCATCATGGTGATCGTCTGTGAACTCGCCGCTCGAGCTGGACGGCATCGTGTCGGTGATGTTGGTGTATGGAGGATGGTGAGGATTCAAATGGCCCGACATCTTTGCTCTAGTGTCCTCACTCGGCCGCCCCCTCCTGCAAGATTGCTTTATACGTCCAACTCCCACGCAGCTGGGTCGCAGAACTGTCAAGGGCAATCTCTCAGTAAGAGACTTCATACTGCCCATCACAGCAGGCGGGACTGGCGGTGGCTCGGACGGGGTCTCTTCGACGCCACGGCACGGCGCCGCCAGGCGACACACCCTAACGGATCTACCTCTCCCTACAAGACGCAGGGCAGAACGCACTGTCAGCAGCGATGAGCATGTGGCATGCGCAAGGGATGCGTCTAATCCGAAGAATATCTCCGTGAGCCGCCGTCAGGCGACCACGGAGGCGTTCTCCCCGCTGAGGAGCACCATCAATTGCCACCCTGCACTCTGGCTGGACCAGTCACGCACGCCCCACCGCACCTAGCTCTGCACACTTGGGTTTCGGGAAGAAGTAGCCCTAGACACGAATAACGGCATTCCATCACGGCACAACCCTATCATCCTGACGAAACAACTGCTTGTCGTCCGCCGAACGGTGCTTGGCACCAAACTTTGCGCCACGCGGGAATGGTGGAGGCGTACGACAGCAAGGATTGCTGAAGAATACCACGAGGTTTCGTGCCAACAATCATTCTGCTTCGGCGACTCACCGAAGATGCTCGGTGGGATCTTCAAACAGAGGCAGTAAGTGTGGGTATCCACCCCAGAAATAGCGTTCCCTTCATTAAGTGCCTTGGGAATAGCGGGAGCGCTGGAAACCCTGCTGAATATACCGTCGCTTCCATCTGCTGCGCTGGCAACCACTGCCACAACCCGTGCTTGCATGCTTAATTCCTCGCCGTGCAGTCACCCTGCCCGGATAAGTGGGACGCCGTTTTTCGGCCCGATGACCAGTTGACACCCACATGCTGCCGCCTGCTATCGGAAACAGCGTGGGCCGAACGCATGCAGATCACACCTATCGGTATACCGCATGATGGTGAGGATCAAACGTCGAGCCCAGAGTGGGGGTCGCCTTTGGCATCGCGAAACAGTCACGAAAGCCAGAGCTAAACCTTGCGCTGTTGCCGGATATCAGATCTGGAGCGCTAAAGGACAAGACATGAGCCGGGCATGCACTCCGTTCTGGACTTCGAGAGGCACAGCTTATTCGGTTTAACGGGCGAGTGCGCCGTCACGGAGCGGAGTCGTGCTCCAACGACTGGATCGCATGCTGTGCAGTAGATAGTCTGAAGCACGGGACGCAGGCGTCAGGATGGCGTGCGTTTCACATGCCGCTACGCATAGGGTCACAGTATCTGTCCTGCTCGGTCGTCATGGACTCGGACGCCGAACTGCTGGGATGCTGGTGGGCTGGAGCCCGCAGAAGGATAACCGCCTGTCAACCCCATATATCGGTATGCACCAGGTAGCATCCGTGCGTATTGTGACACACCCGCAATTCACCATTAGCGCCACCCTGCACTAGTGCTCGGTCCGAAAACACTCATCTTATCAGGTGATGGCAAACATGATGGAGCCGGAGCCGTCACGCGACTATTGGCGTCGCCTCGTTGCGACATGGGCCTTCACTACGTGCACTGACGCAACCGTACCGTCCATAGACGCATCCTCAATGCAAGCAAACACCATGAGCGTCACAGAATGCCCAGAGACACAAGCTCGGTCGGGGCCTGGATGGCGTTCACCGAGCGTGTTCAGCAGATGAGCCTCGTATCGATTTCCCGAAATCCTCGGTGATATTGGAGGAACGAGGGAGATTCGGCCACATGCCGATCCCGTCGACAGGGTGTGGCGCTCGCTGCCTCGCAACTTTCCTCGCGCTTGGTGCAAGCTCAGCCAGAACGTCTTTTCGGACTCTGACGCTGTGGCGGCAGCATGAATGGTCCATGAGGCTTATCGGGCCAAGTGGCTGTGAGCCACCCGATCGCTCAGCTGGTGGCTAGTGGTTCCTCTAAAGATGTATTCGCTGGGAACCATGGCGCGTGTAAATGAGCAATCAGCCATCAAGTGAATGGCAGCATTGGGGCTGATCGTGCAAAAGCGGAGCAAGGGGTTGAGAAGCTCGCTGCAATGCAATCAAATCCCCGCTCCGTTCGGCTCAATGGCTCATCGTCAGCGCCGCTCTCGACAAACACAACGCTCGTCGTACACCTCGAGCGATCGCATCGAGCCCGTCTGTTTGAGTACGAACTATTCCCGTTATCCGTCGTGTCACAGCAGCCCATGTGCTTCCACCGTTCCAGACTTGCTTTCCCACCGCCCCACTCTTCCATCTTCCCGCCCCGCTCAAGCTTACCACGCAACTCGCTTCCAACAGCACTCCCGCAGACGACGTACATGTCTCCGACCCAGATCCATGGAGACTCTGGATCCGATATCGACCCTCTACGCGGGAGAGACATTCCCCACTCAGGATGCTCCCGATCCCCGTGAACCAATCCCTACGAAACGCCACCAGCCTCCCTATTCTCCTTTCCACCCTCCCACTTCGGCGCTCATTCATTGTGGCGATCGCCGCCAATTTCTCGATAGCTCGATATCTCACGGAGCTTAGACGCGTGATGGATGGCTGCCACGTGGTGCACGGCTCTCGGCGAGCCCTACACAACAAGTGTCCATCATAGTCGCACAGTAGTTCGACGGTTGCCTGTTCGTCGCTCCGGCTCAGTTATCAATTTCTTGGTCCAACTGACGCTCCCGAGTAGACCGATGGCACTGCAGGCAGCTCGCAGAGCGCCGCACTCGCAGAGAGCTTGTGAGCTTGCGCCAGCTTGCCCGAGTTCCGAATCATGCAAGCTGGGTTGGAGAGGGAGGAGGCCAGGTGAGGACTGGAGCACCTTTGGAACGCTCGTGACACGTCACCTCAGCCCGTGGTTCTGACGCTGCAGTAGTTTGCCCAGGGGGCTCATCAGCCCATATCACCACTGACGGCCGACCTCCTAGCCTTCACATTCGTCGCAATAACATCTCACGGAGTGATTGGCACAACTTCAGACCTTGCGTCACGGCTCCGCTGACGGCCGACGCCAGCGTTGCCGGACTCACCACCCCGCCTCGGTGTCGCCGGTGCATCGCATATGACGCACGTAGCTGTTGGCACATGTGCTCGAGGCACTGGCAAGGCAAAGCACCGAGTGCATCGGCGCACTCGGCGCACGGAGTGCTCACCACCATCATCGGGCATTGACACGAGATTCCGGTTTAGAAGCCGAAGTGTGCAGACAAGAAGGACCGATCTGATCGCTCACAGCCGCGTGCCAATCGAAACCAGACGCGTCGGACAGCGATTCCATTGTCTTTGTTCCAACTATGCTAGCACAAGCTTTGTCCTGCTGTAATACCGACTTCGTACTTGTATTCAGCCGTGGCCCGCGGCCGCCGTTGCGGTGACGGTGTTCGGCATCTGCCTTACCGCTTGTGATCGGCCATGTCCGGCAACCTCATCTGTGCCGCTCCCCCATCCGGCTATTGTCCCATGGCCGGTTCCTCATAAGTCGAGCGGCTCACCTCAGCCCACCATCCCAACACCTCACTCACCATGTCCGCCCCCGCCGCCCCTCCCGCTTGGGTCCAGCAGCTGCTGCCCGTCAAGACGACCGGTCCCGCGCAGCTGGCCGCTGAGCGCCAGAACTCCAAGGTCGACCCCAAGGCCCTCGAGACCCTCCTGTACCCGGGGGACACTCTGGAGATGCGCCGCGCCGTCGAGGAGACGCTCACGGCCTCGGGTCTCGGCTTCGCGGAGAAGCTCGAGGCGCTGCCCTCCCTCGGGCGCGTGGAGAAGATCGAGCGGTCGCTCGAGCGCGGCAAGGCGCTCAAGCGCCTCCGCAAGAAGCACGGCTGGTCCGACGCGCAGTATTCGTACGCGTCGACTGCGGCCGGCGAGGCCAACGTCTACGGTCTGCACGACAAGGCGTTCATCAAGTGTCTGACGGACCAGGGAAGCGCCGAGCAGCATGAGCGCTTCCTTGTGCCCGCCAAGGCCGACAAGATCATCGGATGCTACGCCCAGACCGAGCTCAGCCACGGCTCCAACGTCCGCGGTCTCGAGACGACCGCGACTTGGGACCCCAGCGACAAGACGTTCATCATCCACTCGCCCAGCCTGACTGCGTCCAAGTGGTGGATCGGCACCCTCGGTCGCACGGCGAACCACGCTCTCGTCATGGCTCAGCTCATCATTGACGGCAAAAACTATGGCCCACACACCTTCGTCGTGCCCGTTCGCGACGTGCAGACCCACGAGCCTCTCCCCGGCGTGTACGTTGGCGACATCGGACCCAAGTTTGGCTACGCGTGAGTTCATGAGCGCGGCAACGCACCTCCGTTCATCCCGGCGGCTAACCCCAGCTCCATGGACAACGGCTTTGCTCTCTTCAACAAGGTCAAGATCCCCCACATCAACATGCTCAACCGCTTCCAGGTCGTTGACCCCGAGACTGGCAAGTACCAGCGCCGCGGCTCGCCCGCCTTCGTGTACGGCGGCATGACGTTCCTCCGTGTCGGCATTGCCGCGGACGCCGCCACGACGCTCGCGCGCGCCGCCTCGATCGCGGTGCGCTACGCTGCTGTGCGCAAGCAGTTCGCGGACGAGGACTCGAAGTCGTCGGACGAGATCCCCGTCCTCGACTACACGATGGTGCAGTTCCGCCTCCTCCCGCTCGTCGCGACCGCGTACGCGCTCTTCTTCGCCACGCAGGAGCTCGGCGCCCTCTACGGCAACTACGACAAGGCGCTGGGCTCGGGCGACCAGAAGGGCGCCGAGGCGCTGCTCGCCGACCTGCACGTCGGCTCGTGCGCCCTCAAGGTCCACGGCACCTTCATTTCGGTTGAGGGTATTGAGGCCGCGCGCCGCGCCTGCGGCGGCCACGGCTACTCGCACTACTCGGGCATCGGGCACCTGTACGCTGAGATGCTCCCGTCCGTCACGTACGAGGGCGACAACTACATGCTCTCGAAGCAGGTGGCGCGCTCGCTCCTCAAGCAGGCCAAGGCCAACGGCCCCCTCTTCGCCGCGTACAAGGCCAACCCGCGCCGCGCGTTCAACTGGGCCAAGGACGAAGACATTGTCGCGTCGTTCGGGCACCGTGTCGCGTTCCAGACGCTCCAGATCCTCGCGCTCCGCGACGACGGCTGGAGCTGGAACCAGCTCCTCGTGCCCTTCTGGCGCCTGTGCAACGCGTACGCGCAGTACGTGATCGTGCGTGCGTTCGCGTCCGCCCTCTCCGGCCTCGCGGGCAAGGTCCCCGGCCCCACCGCCGAGGCCATCGCCGACCTCTTCCACCTCCACGTCGCCGTCGTTACCGACCAGTACGCCGCCGAGTTTGCCGACGCCCACGCCCTCCCCGCCGACCGCGCCGAGGGCCTCCAGCGCCAGAAGGCCACCCTCGCGCTTCTCCAGCGCGTCCGCCCTAACGCCGTCAACCTCATGGACGGATGGGCGTTTTCGGACATGGTCCTCAACTCGTCGCTCGGCCGCTACGACGGCAACGTGTACGAGAGCGTGTTCAAGCGCGCCGCCGCCAACCCCGTCAACTCGCTCACATTCGACGTCAACCCCGAGTCGGACGTCTTGGTGCGCCGCCGCCAGCCAGTTGCCAAGCTCTAGGCTAGATTCAGGAGAAAGGTGGATAGCATGTTGTAGGGATTCTGGATAAGTTCTGCCTTATGTCGTAATCTGCTTCAGCTGCTCAAGTCCGTCACATACCCGAACTGACTACGCTTAACCAAATACGATGTGGCTCCAAATCTACAGCTTACGCTTCTTATTGCGCTCCTGCTTCACTTTGGCGGTGCCGCCCTCTACCTCACCCGTCTCTTCCTTGACGTCCTCCTTGCGCTTCCTCACCATCTTGCCCAGCTCTTCGCCCACCATGCCGGCCTTCTCGCCCGCCATGCGCCGCGCAAACCCCTGGATCTTCTTGTTGATGCGCTCGCCACCGTGGTCCCCGACGCCTTCGAGTCCGGGTGTGGCGTAGAGATTGCGCCGGTTCGCGAGGATGAGAGAGATCACGGCGCGGAGGAGGATTTCCTGAGGTCAGACCAAGGGGTGGGCGACTCACATCATGCGAGTCCGACCAAGCATCGCGGGGTGGCATCTCCGCTTGTGGTGGTAGGAGTTGAGGAGGGGTTGACTTGTGTGGTGAGAGGTGGAGTTGGTCGAAGGTGGGGAGAGTCCAACGTGGCGGGGGAGATAAGTGATTCCAAGGCGAGAAGGAAGCGCTGTGCCCCATGACGGGAGCTGTCTCCCCTCCTTCGCGTGCATCTGTCTTTTGCTGCGCCCTCCCGTCGCTCCAGCGGGCGGGGCGCGGGTGGATTGTTGATGGGACAGCCGACTTCGGGCTCGCACTTCGGCTCGCTCAGACCTTGCCTCGACGTACGGGGCGCATGGAGCTCAGCTGGTCTCACGTCGCCCCGACTCGCTATTGTCGCTCACTTTTCACTTATGATATCGCACTCTCTCCCACATACGACTGCCTCCCGTCTTTCGCCTAGTACTTTCGCTACTCCCTGACCCAATCCACAACACTCTTCTCCCAAGGCTTATCCCCTCCTCTCTCCAACCTACCTTGCCTCACTTCGTTTACGCCGACATGCCCAAGGTCAAGAGCCAGACGAAACTCAAGCAAGAGGTCAAGAGCGAAGACGAGGATCAGGAGCGCGAAACGACCAAGCGTAACGTTAGCTGACCTCACGACACTGCTCACGCTAGCGCAAGGCCTGGACGCTTGAGGAGGAGGAGCGGTTCGCGGCCGTCATCGACAAGCTCTGCACTCATAACCTTTGGCGCGAGTGCAAGGATGACCCCGTACTCGCGGGGCGTGGCGCGGGCGGCGTCATCTCACATTGGAAGGCGATCGTAAGTGTTTCCGACTTGTAAGCTCACTCAGCGCAACAAGGCCTTCAAGAAGTCAAGCTAGACAGTATGGCCATTAGTAGTGGTTCCGTCTCAGTGAACGCGATGCATCCACCTCGAAGTGATAGGATCTCTGGATCCGAGACCCGTAAGGCAATGTATAGATGTCTAGTCGCGACGCACGATCTTGGCGTAGCTTGGCGGGTGGCGGGGCTGGATACTGAGCGACGTGAGACGCGCCTCGATCTCGGCCTCAGGCGTGCTAGCCGTGACAATCGCCGGTGTGGTGCTCACCTGTGGAGCACTGGGAGCGCTGGGCGACATGGAGTGCTCCGCCACCGCTGGTGCATGAGACGGGCTCGGCGCCGGCGAGTGGCGCACAGGGCGCGACGAGGGCACAGGCGCTGAGGGGTCGTACAGCGACGGCGTGCGAGACGACGGCGGCATGCGGCGCGGGAAGTCCGGGTCGATATCGGGGACCAGGACAGGAGGGACGGGCATCGGAGCCTTCGTAGGGTTCCGCAGGATCGACACCGCGACTTCAGAGGCCACAGGCGACATTTGCTGAGGTGTCGTCATATCTGGGTGCGACCCGCCATGATCCGGGAAGGGATTGAGCTGGACATGGCTGGGCTCATTGTATACTGTTGAGCCGTAGGTGTGCTGGTCGTTCCGATTCCCTTCACTTCCACTTCCATTCCATGCAGTGCCAGCGGGAGACGGCCGCATTTTGACTTTCTCGATCTGCATGGGCTCGGCCCTAAACGCCGGCGCCTGAGCCCCACGGTGCAGAGGCGGGAAGTCGCTCGTGCTCGGCTCAGCTCCAGGATGTGGTGCGGACGACGGGTGGTAGGGCACGTTATTGGCAGCCCAATCAGGCCGCGGGGGCAATGGATGCTGCCCGGGTTGGGGCTGCTGGATCTGTATTGATGATGCGCGCCGTGACGAGCGCGACGAAGTAGTTGAGGCCTGTCGTTAGATAGATTCCAAGCGGAGATGTCGCAGCTACACTCACTGGACTCTGTCGCCCGCTGCGCCGTGTGTCAATTGTCGGCCTCCCAATAGACGACGAGAAACTGCCCTGGCTGGGCTTGACCGCCTTCTGGCGGTAGCCGTAGGACTGCTGGCCAGACGGATACATACTCCCAAGGCGGACGCTGCTTGCTGCACTGCGCGTACTTGTTGTTGAGCCGCGCGAGTGCGGCCGCGAGTGGACGTCCTGGTACGAGCGCGAGGAGATAGATGAGGCGGTAGAGCTGAGTGGATCCAGGCCGGCCCGCATCGGCATAGGGTGAGCCAACGGTGGACCATATGATCGGCCTTGCTGGACCTGCTGTGGATGACCATTCGACATTGGTGGCGCGTACGGCATGGGCAGTCCCTGGGGAATGGGCATCATGGACATCATGTTGTGCGCTTGCTGGGAGGGCACGCCCATGTCTGGAGGATACCAGCCCTGTGCCCCATGAGGCATCATGCCCATCATCTGCATCTGACCTGGCATGGGCTGCGGTTGCCATGGTGGGCCATAACCGCCGAGGGGCATTGGGCCGGAAAACTGCTGGTTAGGATACGGTCCCATCTGCCGGCTGAGGTCTGGGCCCATCTGGTAGCCCATGTACGCCTGCTGCATACCCTGGTAGCCGTCGGCGTAAGGCTGGTTGAAGGCTGGGGGGCCGCCGTGCGACCCAGGGCTGACTGGAGGGACAGATGACCTCTCAGGTGTTGGGTGAGACAATGATCCGTAGACAATCTCACGCTCCGACTGCAGCGTCCGCCTTGGTATGTCGAACTCGTCATCGCCATCCCCATAGCGCGATGCCTGGCGTGACCTGGGCTGACTGGCTGCTGTCGACATGCTGTCCTCTTCCAAGTCGCCGTCGCCGCCATAAATCCTCTTCTTCGCCTCCTTGTACGCGATTTCGCGCTCTTCAAGCGTCCGCCGATGCCCAGGCGAATCGGTGTTATCGTCTGCTGAGACGGAAGTCGCCCTAGATCCCCCATCCTCGTCGGTGACACTTAATGTGTCGCGCTGCATGATGCGGAACTGTTGCGTTGGTACTTCTGCGGTCTCGGGTACCAGCTTGGCAATCTGCAAAGTTGTCCTGACCGTCAGCACTGACATGACAGGGAAGGTGGGTACTCACGACTGAGGATCCAGTACGCCGTCGACTCCTACCACCATTGAATGCTTCTCTCCCACGACCGCGCGCAGGCCGTACCACGCCGCAAGCTTATAAACGATCCTCCGCAGGTACTTGCTGTGAGCTGCAAAGTCAAGCTTCTTGCTTGGCCCAAGCTGGTCGAGAGGCGAGGTGGATGTGGATGGCTGACTCGACTGAACACTCGAAGTATGTTCACCGCGGTGAACTCGCCCAATGAAAGCCTCAATCTCCTTGCCAATGATGAGGACGCTGAGGCGCTCCTTGGTCGTCAAAGCGATCTTGAGCTCTTCCTCGTCTTTGAGCGAGCACAGGCCCATTTCCGCTGGGGGTGGGTTGACCGCCGCGGATCCTCCCGGTAGTGGGGGACTGGAGGTGGAGATTGTGGTGGGGCGAGGTGAGGCGAGTGCGCTACTTGACGGAGCCAAGGAGTCAGTGACACTGGGAGGAGTGGTGCGGCTGCGCGTTAGCAGCCAGATCAATCGGAAAGAAGAGAGTGGATGCGACAAGAGGAGGAGAGAGTGTGTGGTGGACGGAGCGTAGAGGCAGGTGACCACCGCAGGAGGCTCGTCGGATCCTCGAGGAAGGGTGGAGGTACGTCAGTGCACATCCTTGACACTCACCCATTCGAGACCGTGAGCGCGGGGCTGGGTGAACGAGCACAACGGTCCACAAAGTGCTGGCTCGAGCTGTCGTCGCAGTTCTCGAAATGACAGTGGACCATATGGCGCCCCGGGTCATCTAGCTCGTCCAAGTCTAGGGGAGGGTGGACTCTCATGGCTGCAAGGCGGGGCGTGAGGTGGTGATTGGGAGGCGGCGAGGCGCTCGATCCCTGGACTGGGTGTGAGCGGAGCAACATGAGAGCAGAGCGAGACGTAAGGGGCGCGGTTCGGAAGGTCAGTAAGCGGCGGCGGAAGGCTGGAGCGGGATACGGGCAGTTGGAACGCGGCGCTGACTTGCTCTTCCGCGCCGTCCAGTGCTCGGCCTCGCGCGCAGCGTGGCGCTCACGGCACTACGTGAGCCCTCACCCTCTCAAAGCCAAGATCGGGATTCACTTCCCGGAGAGGAGGCCCATACACGTAGAGCGAGAAGGAAGGCACAGAACGCGCGATCACCGTGTGGCCAAGAGCGCTGGGTGTACGGAGGCGCAACGAACAGGAATAGGAAGGAGAGCGGCAGCGTGCTGCGTGCGCCGTACTCACCAGCCGAGGCCGTGGTGGCCATCATGCTGCGCCGCCAGAAGAGGCAGCGTGTCTAGCGCGGGGCGGATACGATCCTGCGAGGTGGTATTGAAGCGCGGGAGAACAGAGGAAGGTGACACGCCGTCCGCGATTGAAGGCGCGGTGCGGTGCTGGATCGGGTCGCGATCTGATCGCTGGCTCGCTGGCTGGGTGCGATAATGTCGCTCGTTACGGCGCTCAGCTGGTGGAACGAGAGTCGAGACGATGAGTGATCGAACTGGGCGATCGCCGGCTTAAAGTGCGGATGTGGGGTGCGAGGGGGGCGGCGGCGCGACGTGGAAGCGGAAAGGTTGGCGCGGAGCGAGAAGAGGCCGAGAGCGAGAGAGTGGGAGAATGTGAAAGGGGATCAGATGCGAGTGCAACGCGAGCGTTGAGAGCAATGGCGAGGTGGACGGACAGATGACAGCTGACGAGCCACGCTGACCCCGCGAGACGCGACCCCCCATACACCCGCCTTCCGCCAAGCCTCCACTCCGCCAGGAGACCTCTACCCCACTCTGACTCATCCATGCACTGCCGTCTCCGTCACCCCTCTATTCAATCTCGCGTGCTCCCGCAGCAGCCCGCAGCCATCAGCCATCAGCCACCAGCCATTAGCCATTAGCAACTAGAATACATGACGGCGAGCGCCGCCGCTGGCACCAAACTCAATAAGCCAGCACACCATCTACGGAGTCTACACCTACTGATACACGAGACGGACGAGTCCCGAATCGTCCGTAACCTACATGCACATTACGACGCGCGCAAGGATGGAACACGGCCAAGCCTGGCCCCAATGCGCTTGTCGTTGCCACCCCGCGACCGCGGGCCCTCAGAGCGCAAGTTCTCCTTAGGCTGCCTAGTGGGCTTTGGCGCCAGACTCATCCAAGCCTGGCTAGCATTAGCCTTGGCCTTGCGAAGAGGCATTGGTGGGAGCGAGGGGACGCGGGTGAGACGAGGCTTGGCTGGAATGGTAAGATCAACCTCTTCTTCTTCGTCCTCATTCTCGTCTTCGGACGCCAAGGTGTTTGTGATCGACATCAACGCCTTCCCCCGCCCGACTGGGCTCGGCGTCGGAGATGTCGGCCTTGTCCGCGAACGCTTGGTCTGGGCTGGAATGCCAGTCTTGCTCGCGCTGCGCTTGCTGGGAGACGCGGGCGAAAACGGAATGATTGGCGTCCTAAGCGTCTTGACAGGTGAAGGGGATGATGGCGGCGTTGACATTGGTGTGAGCGGGGATGAATAGCCGGGGAGTGTGCTGCTATCGCGAGTACTAGTATTGCTGTCGCGAAGAGGAGTTTTCTTCGTGGAGCGGCGGGGGGATGATCGCGGTGACTCCTGAGAATTTGGTGGAGTTGGAAGGTGGCATTCGTCGTCCCAAGAGGCTAAGTGTGAGCGACGATGATGTAAAAGTACTTACAGAGGGGCTCTGATGTCGGCTTGGGCTTTGACTTGGGCTTTGGCTTGGACTTGGACTTGACGATAGATGCGTGGACAACGGAGGAGTCAAGAATGGTTTGGAGCTCCCAGTCCTGTGGCCGCGCCTTCTTCCAGTCTTCTTGGACAAGGTCGACCCAGTCGTCGGTCGGGCCTTGGACGTGGTAGTCGATGACGCCTTCCCACTCCTTGTTCGGAGCTGTAGCGTTGACAAAGACGACAATGCCCTTGCGCTCGTGTACGACCTTGGCAAAATCTTTGATGAGATGCTTCAATCCGTGAACCTTGAGTGACGTTCCCATGATGAGAAGTACGTCGGGACGACGCTTCATGTCGTGGGCCTGGAGCTCGCCAATCTGGTCGCCGAGTGGATGCGCTTCATCGTACAACACAATGGAGGGCCGCAGCGTTCCCACTGATGTAGCGCGCGCGCCGCGATTGACGCGATCGGCATCTGGTGTCAACAAGGCAAATGGGGTGTGCGAGGACAGATTGCACTCACGCCTTTCCTCGCAAGCTGGGCAGCTCGGAGCCTCGCCTTCACGGAACATGCAAACATATTGCTCGCACGCCTCGAAGTCGGCCGAGCATAGAACACACCGCACTCGCCCCAAGTCACCGTGGAGCTCGACATTACGTGTGCCATTCTTCTTGAGACCAGTACCGCGCCCACCGCTCTCAAGACCGAGGCGGCGTTCAAAGCCATCCACGTTCTGCGTGTACGACCTTAGGAGCTTTCCCTTGGCCTCGAGACGGCGGATGAAATGATGTGTGCGGGTGGGCTCGGCGGCCTGGCATGCGATAGAGAGCTCTGCGATAAAAGTGTAAAAGATGGACGTTGTTTCTGGGGTGGAGAACAATCCCGAGGAGAAGAGGTCTTTGCCAGTCACGAATGATTCGGGGTAGCGCGCCTTGACGAGCGAGTACAGGCCGTCACCGGAGCGAAAGTCCTGCACGTTAGCGAATGACGTGGGCGGTTGGGGAGGATAGTTTGGTGGCTGGTCGGCGTGGTTGGGCGGGGCAGTTCACCAGGTGGAGAAAATGGAGAGCGCGTTCACGCATTGTCTACGGCCACCGCCTCAACGCCCACTCATCACTCGCCGGCCGACCTTTGTCGCTCCATCCTCGGCCGATGCGTGTCCTGACGCGATGCACATCTCCCCATCTCGTACTTACGGGGATGCCGCTTGAGCACGAGATACCCGCGCCGGATACGACGACGACACGCCTGGCTTTGACGACGCGTAGATTCACGTCGGCGAGTGCGCGGCGGGCATCGAGGGTTAGGGTGGTGATGGGCATGGTCGAGTGGAGTGGAGTGGGGGCACGGGCGTTGGCCCGTGGTGGCGCGCAGGTGACGGCGGGGGGTGGTGGTGGGGTGGATGGAGGATGGTGAGGGGGGGGGACGGGGAGTGGGACGAAAGAGCAGGAGAGAGAGGATGCGAAGGGGATGCGGGGGCGGATGAGGAGGAGATGAAATGACAGTAAAAGAGAATGGATGTGGATGGAGTGATCAAGATGAGGAGGAGTGAGGAAGAGAGAGGACTACTGATGAAAGGGGGGAGCGTGCTGTCAGGGTCAATCATGCCCATACTGTACGTACAGGCAAAAGGGGAATGTTTACTGAAATCATACGCGCACGCCCGTCCATCCAATAAGGCACGCTCTTCACTCCCTCCTCCACCCTCCCTCTCTCTTCCAAGCTACTAGTATATTGTACAACACAAATATTTACTATCTCTACTGCGCCACTGCTGCGCGCTGCACTGCTGTTGTCTACTCTACACAAACTCAGCGTTCTCATCATATCCTTCGTACCCCTCCAAGTCTTCATCGCCCTCCAAGTCCACCTCGCCCTCCACCACCACCATCCCTTCATCCGGGAACTCGGCCGCGTCGGGAGCTTGCTCCACCGCCAGCGCAGCCTGTCGGTCCTCCTCGGCCTGTCGCTTCTGCTCCTCCTTCAAATCGGCCAGATATTTGTGTTCGTTGTCATACGGCTCGACGCTGTTGAATCCAGACGACTTGGCCAGGTACTTGAAATCTGCAGTCAGCCTCTGCTCATCATCCGGTGCACTCACCAATTGGCTTGCGGTTTGTGATCGCGTCGTTCATGCGCTCGGGATTCGCCTTGTTCTCGCGATTTGCCTTGCGCCGCAGCTGCCGCACGCTGCGCCCTGGGAAGTACGCCTTCATGAACGTGAAGTTCTCGCCAGTCTCTCTCAGAACCTGCCGTCAGCTCAGCGGTCATTGTACGAACTCACGTTGAAAAACAGCTCAGTCTCTTCAGATGTCCAGCGGTCATTGGCGACCTTCTTGCCCCATGTCGCAGAGTTGATGAATTGCGTCTCATTGTCGACAACCTCAACAACCCGATCATCCGCGCCCTCCATGATGCGCCGGCGCTCCTCCTCGTTTCGCCGCTGTAGAACGGCGCCCGCGTCCGCTCCGGCCTCGACCCACTCTCCATCATCATTAAAGTGGCCGCCGGTGAACTGGCTTTCTGTGAGGCCGGCAAACTCGCCATCGCCGTCGGCATCGCCTGTGGCAGGTTCCGGGTCAGGCTCCACCTCCAGTTGGAAGTCTTCACCGAGGTCCTCCAGGTCTTCCATCGGCTCGTCGTCATCTTCATCGTTATAGTTGTTGCGGAAAAGCCCCAGGCCCTCGATGTCTTCATCGTCCTCGCGTTGGCGCCGATCCGGGCGCGAGCTGCCAGCGGCCTTCTCCTGTGCCTCCTTCTCGATGCGCGAGCGCTGCTCTGCATCAAACACAACCGGGGCGTTGCGCTGCGTGCGCCCAAAGTAACTCGGCGAGCTTGGAGGAGTAAGGCGCTCTGGATCCTGGTCATCGCCGCTGGCAGAGTCCATCGAGTCGTCTGACACGACTTCTGGCAGGCCTGCTGCAGCTGCAGCTGCACGTCGGGCGGCGCGTTTCTCGTTGCGAAGCTCGCGCGCCTTGCGACGGATCACTCGTCGCTTCTTCCATCGTTCCTCTGCCTTCTGCAAGCGTTCCTTCTCCTTCCGCTCGGCCTCGGAACGCTGGAACTGATGGAGCTTGATTGCACGCGCTGAGACGCGGCCACGCGACAAGGAGGCGATCTGACTGAGGCTCATCTCGCCCATGTCGACATCCTCCGCGCCGACCATGTCGTCGGCTTCAAGACCTTCTAGCTCTGGGTTCGGGATACGGGGTTCGGCTGCACGCGGCCTGGGACGTCGGGAGGCGGGCGCCTTGGCCTTTGACTTCCTCTTGTGAGATGAACTGCCCCCTTGACTATCCTCCGCGTCCTCGGCTGCGGCCTTCCTTTGACTGCGCTTCTTCCTGGGCGCCGCCACAGGTCGCGCGTCCTCGGCGTCTTCGTCTTCATTGTCGGCATCAATTTCCGCCGGTGAGCTGTTTGCCTCGGATCTCGGAGAAGAACGTCGCTTTCGGCGGCGGGTGCTGGGAATAGGCCCGGAGGTGTTATTGGTGATTGACGCGACTGCTTCGGCAGCGAGTAGCTTGGCGCCAACGGCGTCGATGCTTGAAGAGCTGACAGTGTGGGAAGGAACGGAAGCGACGATTGTAGGAGCCTCGTCTAGATTCGGGCCCACAGGAGAAACATCTTCGACGGCGCCAACAGCTGGAGGAACATCTGTAACAGCGCCGACCGTAGGAGGTCCGTCGCCGTCAAGAGCGCTGACCGTTGGAGGAGCCTCGGCCGCTGCGACAACAGGTGGAAGATGAGAGGCTGCTGCGACCGCGAGGGGGAGATTTGAAGCTGCTGTCATGTCAGGAGGTAATTCAGAAGCAACTACGCCCGCTGGCGTAATGGGCTCTGCGTCTGCCCTACTCGCGAGTGGCGTGCGTTTGGGCGCGGGCGCTCTACGCGCACTCGACGGTGTGGCACCTCTCACGGACGGAGGACGGTCCTCGCCTTCCCCGGCTGCAAGTTCAGGCGTAGGTGATGGCGCCACCGAGGCTCTGGGAGCCGGACGAACGGGTGCACGTCCGCGACTCTTGCCGTGCTTGATGATGGGAGAGGAGCTAGATGCCGCAGCGGCAAGTAGGGCTGAGGCTGGCTTTCCGGCTCTTCTCATGGGCGTAGTGGCACGACTAGGGGTCAGGGCGCGCGAGGTCCCGCTGGAAGCTGGGGTGGATGGAACGGCCGCGACTGCTGGTGGCATGTCCGGTGGCGGGAGGTCAGCGCCAGCGTCAAAGGAACCGACGGTGGGTGGCACATCATCGACCTGCGGAACGGCCGATACGGAGGGAGGGAAGTCTGGGTCCGGAGCTGTGCTGACAAGGGGAGGAAGCTCGTCGACCGGCGCGACGGAGGGCGGGAGATCTGCTGGCGCGATGGAGGGAGGGAGGTCGTCGCTCGCAGAAATGGGTGGGAAGTCGTCGCTTGCCCATGGTCGTGCGTCGACATCCTCGGCGCTTGTGAATAGCGGCTCAGTGGACGTTGACGCCGGCTTCGCCTGCGAGGACGGAGCGGAGCCTTGGGAGGAAGGCTGTGGGAGCGGCTGGGACTGGGCGCCCGTGGGTGCGGGAGGCTGTCCCGGACCGCTCGGCGCAGGCTGGCTGAGGCGCGGGCGCGGTTTGCCGCGCAGCGGCTTAAAGTTGCGTGCACCGGCTTCTGTCAGCGCGTCTCAAAGTGCGGACTCACGGAGACGCAGTGCCATGCCGAGATAAGTGGTGAGGAGACACCGACGATCTCGTGAATCATGAAGAGGGCGAGTGGAGGTCGGGTGCGAACAAAACACGCATTACCTAAACACACGTGACTGCCACTCGCCGAAACGCCGGCCCGCCGCACGCGGCCCACCCAGGAGTCTGCCTCCGAGGCGCCATGGCCTATGGCGTGCAGGCCATACCACCACGGCTGCTCGTCGTCACTATCCACGGCCACACCACCACCATGCTCCTCCGCGCGTCCCGCTCCCTCCGCCCCGTCGCCCTCCTCGCCCGCGGCAACGCGTCTCTCGCAGCACCCGCTGCCCCGCACCACCCCCACCACTCGCCTGCCGCCCGTGTGCCCCCTCCCCCGCCGGGCGTCGAGGTCGACCCCCAGCGTTAGTCGATGCGTGCCCTCCGCGCGCAGGTGCAGCGGCGGAGCGCGCGCGCAGACGTTGGAACGTTTGCTGACGACAGTTCACGGATACCCCCAGCTCCCAGAGGTGTCGCTGCAGCTCCGGGAACCGTTCGGATGGTGGGACATTCAGGAGCGCAAGAACTTTGACGAGGTGGTGCGTACGAGTTGGCGCTGGAGGGAAGAGACGGAGCGCGAGAAGCGGAGGCAGACTGGACTCGCAGAGGTGTGATGGGCCGGCAATGGCAGATCACAGGCCGCTCGAGAGCCTGCTGCACTGCGAACATGCGCGGACACAGCTGGTCGCGCCGGGCACTGCGCTCGGCATCAGATTGCGCCGGGCATTGCCACTACCGCGAGCGCGCGAGCGGTAGGGGGGCAGAAGCGGACCGATTTACTGGCCAATCACACCTTCCTCTGCCTCACCGCTCTCAGTGTGCCCCACTCCCTACCGCACACATCTCGAAGCTAACCCCAGGTCTTGGAGGAGGAGGACCGCCTCGGCATGTGGGGACCGGACGTGCACAAGATTGGCGGCGGCCCCGCGCTCGTTGCGCTGCTGTCTGCGCTTGGCCTCGTCGGCGTCTTTGGCTGGTTCGTCTCGCAGAACACTCTTCCTCTGCAGGCCGCGCGCCGCACCTACCCCCACGGTGGGCTCGAGAAGGCGCTTGGAGGATATGCTGCGCGCAAGGAGGAGGACGAGGTCGAGGAGTAGACAAGATGCAGAACATGGCTAGATTCTACTGCTGGGGGAGCTGGTGGCACAGCTTCACGACGGTGTGGTAGGCCGATTGTCGGCAAGATGATCTCCAAAATATCGCCTAAGGCTCTGATCGCCTTCAAATCTACATCTACAAGGTACTTGGCACTTGATGACCTTCAAGAACCAGATCGTCCCTCGCATGTTCATGCGTTAACGCAGACTCAACTGCCCATAATGTCAGAGTCTTTATCAATGATGATGGGCGACCAGACCGCCGTCCTAGCGACTTCACGGACGATGTGCGCGGGTACCTCGCTCTCCAGCGGGTGGACATCCCGCGTCCACTCTGCGAGAGTTTGAAACTCCACACGGTCGCCACCAGGCAGACTCGCGATGTAGTTCTGCACGTCCATGGCCCCGCCGGATGCGATGGCGGGCGGCAACCCCAACATTGAAGGCGGCACAGTCTCGAGGCCGACAAGTGTAAACCGGATCTCCCCCTCGATGGAGGTCGGGCAGACCAGCGATCCAGCGTTCTCCATTGGCGGCGCCGTGCCCTCCTTAGCCGGGTGCAGAACGAGGGTTACGTGGCGCGCGTGCTCTACCTTGAGGAGGTCCATGCCGTGGCCGTCCCACATGGCGTCAAAGAAGAGGTGCACGACTATGTCGACGGCACTGCACGCTGAAACTCTGTTCCGCAATGCTGTTCCCCGAAGGGTGCGCTCGCCCGGCGGCGCGCGAATGTTAAGGTAGATCACGGTGCGGGGGGAAAGGAGGGGAAAGGTGGCGCGCGTGCGCTCCAGCTTCGGGAGCGGCGGTAGTTGTTCGGGCGTAAAGTGAGGCCAGCCTGGTATTGGGAAAGAGTGGTCGTGCACATCTATCGTGCGTGTCATCTCGAGCGGTGTGAGGGAGGGGAGGTGAGCGGCAAGAACATACGCGCCGCCAGCTGTTGGTTCAGGGTCGGCACCGAGAGCGAGCTTGAGGCGCCGGAGGCGGTCGCCGAGGGAGGGCGGCGAGAGGCGTATGGGGAGGTGGGCGAAGGGAGGGTGCGGGGAGGTGATTGTGAGTTCTGTGCCCTCCTTGTCCCACTGGAGGAGTATGTGGTCGAAGAGGCGAGCATCCACGCGCGAGCGAAGGTAGCGGGATGCGGTGCGGAGTTGGACGAGGGCTGGAATGTCGGACAACTCGATGATGCGGTCGATAATGTGTGGGAAGGCGGCTGCGTCGAGCATTGTGCTGGCCTCACCCGCTTGCAGATCTTGCTTGGAAATCTTGACCTGCGATGAGCGAGGAGCCGAGGTGGTTGAACGATGAGCATTATTAAGAAGAGCGAGTGGGACCCAACATGAGGTGGCTGACCTCCACATGTCACGTGCCACTTACATCATTTTGTCGGCGGCCCTACCCGACTTAATCAACGATGACGAATGAGCCGAGGATGATACGACGACAACTCCTCCTCATCCTCTGTGCTCGCATGCTCGTCATCAACTCGAGGGTAGCCGCGGACAACTGCGCACGGTGCGACACGGGTACTTCAGGTATACTCGGCCACTCCACTCACCGGTCGGACTCCGGAAAATGAGGCTCCAGATGTCGGCTGGCGACGACGGAACGCCCCGAGTCGAAGCATGGTATTGGAGAGCTGTGTGCGAGATGAGAAAAGGTGAAGGAAGTGTAAAGAGATGGACTGAGGTGCGGGATTGTGTGCTCAAGTGCGAGCTTATGAGACGATGTGCCAGTTGTGATGATGAAGGGAGACAACAACTCGCCTCGCTCACGCCCTTCATTGTTTCCTCCCTCGCAATGAGCATCAAGCGTGCATCATCCATCACCCATCACCGAGCCGAATAGGACACACTTACGCCCTCGCTGCTCGCCCTCGCCTGCATGCCTATGCGCTCACGCCAGCACTCATTCTCACTTATTCTCACTCATCCTCACTCACGTTCACTCACGTTCACTCACTCCTCATCTTCCAGCCTCCAACTGTCATTGTCTCCACCCCTCCATCACACCATGCCTCCCAAAGCAGCCAACTACCTGACGCCCGAGCACGACGTGAGCGTCTCACATCATCCTTCTTTATCTCTTCCGCGTCTCTCGCGATTTGCTGACCTCAGGCCATCATCCTGCGCGCCGTCACCGCCTCGGTCCTCGCTTCCCGCCGCACGATTTACACCACTCCCGGGCTCGAGGCCGTGGCCAACAACGGCGGCAGCCGCATCAACCAGCGCGTGCAGCAGATGCTGAAGAAGATGTGCGCGGCGTACGGCCTCGCCGGCGTGGTCGAGGAGGAGGTGGCGGCTGCGAGCGGCAAGAAGGAGGGTGCGGGCCGGCAGAGCAACGGCAAGGGCACGGGCAAGGGCAAGAAGCGTAAAATCAAGGACGAGGTTAAGGATGAGCTCGAAGATGAGGCCGGCTACTGAGGGATTTCGTATGTATGGAGCAATGGAAGAACACAATGCTTAGTGGGGTCTAAGTGGCCCTGACGTTGTTCGTGGTTGTTGACGGCGCGGCCACACAGGGGAGTTCAGAGATGTGTGGCGTGAGGCGGTCGGAAGCGGTGAGTTGAGGTTAGGAACGGTGTAGAGTAAAGAGTGAAAGGGAATGCCGAAGAATGCAGACTAAACAAAACATTGGATGCCTATTTCTCTGTGACTGTCGAAGATCGAGCCACTGCCCACGGGCTGGTTGGACCGCGCCCTCTGTATACTAGCTCCACTAACGCTTTTCGTTGAAGCATGCCTTGACAACTTGCGGCAATGAGGTGCGGCTGTGATCAGCCTACCATTAACTCTGTGCTCCGCCGTCCCACACGGCCGAGGTAGGGCGTAAGTGAAACTGTCTGCTGCCACAGACGACCATGTCGATAAGGGCACAGTCTCGGCCGCACCGAGTGACCACAAGATGTGATAACGATGCAAGAATGATGCCATTCCCCTCGTAAGTCTGCATCAGCGGGCGTCGTTTACTGCGCGGAGTTGCATCACAAGCTGGGGCAGGATACGCCCGGTTCAAGACAACCACATTTGTACATGACATCGATACAATCTACTGCCCATACCCATAGTACCCGTACCCGTACCCTCCGCCGTGGCCGTGCGTCCCCTGGCCCTGGAAGCCGTACCCATACTCCACGAGATTACCCCACTCGTCAACAGGCGGGCTGGGCGAGTGCGCGCCCGGATCCGGCGATCCGGGGAGCGTGTTGGTGCCGACGTGCGGCGACAAATGGGGCGACGGGACGTGCGGCGACGCCGAGAGGTGCGGCGACGGCCCGAGCGGCGACGCCGCGGGCTGCGGGCTCATGCCCCCCATCGGGCTGCCCATGCCCATGCCCATGCTGCCGGGCATCATGCCCATGCCCATCGGCGCGTTGGGCACTTGCATGCCCATGCCTACGCCTCCCATTCCCCCCATGCCCCCGCCCCCGCCCATCCCCATCCCCATTCCCATTCCCATCCCCATCCCGCCCATCCCGCCCATCATCATCATCTGCTGCTGCATGTGCTGCTGCTGCATGGCGTCGAGCATCATGGGCGACATGCCCTGCATGCCCATCTGGCCCATCTGGCCCATTTGCCCCATCTGTCCCATCTGCCCCATCCCCATCTGCCCCATTCCCCCCATCCCCGGCACCTGCATGCCCTGCATCTGCACAGGCATGCCCATCTGCCCCATCTGCATCTGCAGCATCGCCATCTGCTCCATGGGACTGAACGGCATGCCCATCTGCACATGCACCGGGAACGCGTTAGCGCCCATAGCGCCCATAGCGCCCATCATAGGCGCCTGCGCCGGCGTGAGCGCGCCCATGCGCATGACGCCCGCGCCGAAGCGCGGCGTGTGGGTGCCGGGCGACGCTCCCGGGCCAGAGTTGGGACCGGGGCCGGGGCCGGGGCCGGGGCCAAGGGAGCCAGGACCGGGGCCGGGGCCCGACTTGCGCCCGCGCCGCTGCGGCGACTTGGGACGCAGCAGCTCGATCTCGGCGTGGAACGGGACCACGGGTTTGCCCTCCTCCTTCTTGCGTGGGAGGTGGAGGGGGTATGTGGATGTGTCGAAGCGCTCTGCGTGCGGGGGTAGGTCGGAGGGGCTAGAGTCGGGCACGAGCGGCGCCGTGACCCAGCCGGGGCGGGCGCGCGCGGCGTCCCCGAAGAGCTCGAGGCGGCGGGCGCCGAGACAAAAGTTCTCGATTAGCGTATATAGGTATGGCGGGGTGCGGGGGCCGTCTGGGTCGCCTGCGGTCAGACACTCCGGCGCATTACCCACCCTCCCAGACGATCACGTCCGTGTCCACATTACAGTGGACGAAGTGGACGTCGGTGCTGCGCCGCACCGTGCCGCGGATGCCCATGAGGCAGTGTTCCTTTTGGCTCGCGAAGAGCCCCGTGCTCGCGCCGCCCGGGTTGCCGTCGGCCTTGTTGGTTTTGACCCACACGATGTCCTCAGCCCGCCGGAATCCCCATTTGGCGAGACACTCGCGGCCGCGCTCGAGCCCGTCGCCGTCGCCTGCGCCGACCCAGAGGAACACGAACGCTGGGTCCGCCGACAGGTGGCGGAGCGGGAGGGCGGCGACCTCGGCCCATGTCCCGCCCCATGCGCGCGGGTCGTGTAGTAGGATGACGTCGAACCTGTGTGGCGAGAGGGTGGGGAGGATGGCGGACGCGGTGGGGGTGGGGATGGGCGCGACGAGGGGCGGGTGTGCGGCCGCCGCGACGTGTGCCGCTTTGAGATCCATTAAACGGCGGAGGGCGGGAAATCTGGCGTCAGGTGGGAACTGAGGACTGGGAGAGCGCACTCGTCGCAGATTTCGCCGTCGGCGGCGCCGAGGACGTAGTTGCTCGGCCACTGGCCCGAGCACGCGTACCACGCCGCATAGTCGTTGCGGACGGCTTCTTCGCGGGGGACGTAGTTCGCGACGTTGGCGAGCGAGCGCGCGGCGCTTGTGCTCGCTTCGTCCGAGGCGGTGGAGGGGCCTGGGGCGCTTGGGGAGGTCGTGGACGGCGCGCGAGAGTGTGTGCGGCGCTCGGGCGAGAGGGCGGCGGTGGCCAGCGCGACCTGCGCGCGGCAGGCGCGCTGCCGTTCTCGGACTTGCTGGAGGTATGACCTGTGCGCGTCGAGCGCTGTTGCGAGTTTTGTGGCCATGAGAGATGGGAGATGGAGGATGGGAGCGTGTTCAGTTGCTTCGAGACATGGCGCATCAGGGGAAGTCAGGGAGCGGTGCAACAGATAAGCGTCACGTGAGGAGTGAGGAGGTGAGTGAAAATGAGGCGGTTTCGGGTGGGAACCGTCCTCTACAGTACATGCACAAGCATTACCACGAGGCTTAGAACAAGACGGTGCATTTCATACAAATGGTTTCATGAGACTGAGATTGAGACTGATATGATGTGGGGGTGCATGCACGCACTTAGAGCCCGCGCGCTACTGCGCGGCATTGGTGGCCTGCGGGTGCATCATATGCTGCATGCCGTGCACGTCGTCGCCGATTTCGGGGTCCATCTTGATGTTGAACATCGAAGCCCAGATCTGGCGTCAGCTCGTCAAAATCTCATAACGCACCTGCGGGAGCGCCAGCGGCTCGGTCGTGAACGGGCTCGTCATGCCGGCGTCTGGGCCGGGCTGGGTCAGCGTCCACGGCTGGAGGAAGGGCGCGGACGGCCGGCGCTGCTGGTGGCTGACGCGCTCGTCGACGCCCAAGATGCCCAGCTCGTGCTCGGAAGCTTGCGTGAGCTCTGAGGGGAACGCGGGCACACTGGGATCGACGGCGAGGTTGGGGAAGATGGGGGCGGCGGGGGTGAGTGCGTCAGGGCGCGGCGAGTGCTGCTGCGTCGCCGCAGTGGCGAGGCGCTCGAGGCGGTGCAGGCCCGCCGAGAGGTCGCCTTGTACCGGGTGCGCGATGTTCCAGTTCGAGCTGCGGTCGTCAAAGATCGTTATGGCGCCCCGGAGGTCGGAGAGGCAGCGCTCGGCGAGCGGCGTGCCGGGTTCACGGATGGCCAGGAACGCGCACACCGTGCCAGCGTGGAAGGCGCGGTAGGACATGGTCCACCATGACCAGACGATGCTCGATTTTGTACGTGCCATCGCCGAATACGCTGCGAGAATGATGTGAGCGGAGCGCCCGCAGAGTTGCGATGACTCAGGGTACGCGCTCGGGTCGGCGCGGAGGTACGGCCGGTGCAGGATGAGGCTGGAGTCAGCACAGCTCACATTCAACGTCGAGATCACATACACCAAGATGAACGTCTTGACGACCAGCGCGAGGGTCTGGTTGATGCGCATGCGCGTGCGCTGCTTGAGGTCGACGAGGTCCGGGTCGTCCGGGTCGAAGCGCATGCCATCCGGCACGTGCGTGTACCAGTCGAAAATGTCGCGGCCGAGGCGGATCGCGTCCTCGTACGTGTTGCCGACAACCGTGGGCGGGGGTACGGGATGGTCTGCGATCGTGGGGCTGAACCAGCCCATGAACGTGTCGCGCGCGACGAGCGGCGAGACGTGGAACACACGGTTGAGCAGCTCGAGACTCGGGAGCGAGATCTGGAAATACGCAGCGTGGTACGTCTGCTCGCTCGTGCTGGGGTTGAGCGCGTTAGTCGGGGGCGTGAGAGCCACGGCACTGCCAGGCTCCTCGGACAACACCTCGTCGTCGATGTCCTGCGGGATCGCGCATGTGTAGTAGTTGATGATGGTCGGACGGCCGAAGGACACGCAGAGAAGGCAGTCGAGGCCGGCGACAGTCCAGAAGACGCGGCGGCGGATCTCGGCCTCCTTTTGCGAAATGCGCGGGTCCAGGTGCGCGGGGTCGACGTGGTACCCGAGCGCAATGACTTGGCGGACAAGCGAGCCGGTAAGCGCCCACGCGTCGGCGGCGCGCTCGCTGTGCAGGAGGTAGACGTTGATGAGGATCTGGGCCTGGATGGTGTGCATGGTCGGGCTGGAGAGGAATGAGCACAAGCGCAGCGCCTGGTACGCGGCGGAGAGGTATAGCTCGCTCTGGAGGCGGGACGTCGTGAGGTCCTTGTCGCCTGTCGGGCGCTCCGTGTTGTGCGGAGATGGCTTGCCGTCGCCGAAGATTTCACTTGCGCTCGAGCGGATCATGCAGCCCAATGAGCAGATCATGATGAATAGCGACAACTCTTGCAGAGGATGGGCGCGCTTCTCGGCGTTGCTGCGCGTGAAGAAGTGTCGGAAGCTCGCGCACAAATCGGGTAGGACCCACGCCTCGAAGAGCACAGCGATCTCGTCAACGAACGCCTCGAGCAGCAGGTCGGCGTCCTCGGGCGACGGCAGCAGGCCGAGGATCTCGTCGATAAAGTTGTCGTGGCTCCAAATCGTCGTGAACGGGAACGTCTTGCGCGTCGAGAACCAGCCTGTGAACGCCAGATCCTCGGGGATCTCCGCGTGGTCCTTGCCCTTTCCGGAGACGACTTCGCGCAGGCGCCGGAACATGAGCTTGCCGGCCGGCGCGCCGAGGAACGTCTTGCTGCCCTGCTTGTCGCTGACGAGGTCTTCGCCGGGCAGCGATGCGGCGTTGTACGGCTCGGCGTAGTGGGAGCGGTTGAGGCTGACGCTGCTCTCAGGCGACGCATCCGACGCCGTCGGCGTGTTGGCGTTCCACGACATGCTCGTGCCGGCCGACACCTCGCCGAGCTTGAACTTTGCGAATCGGTCGACGATGACCTTGCGCTTGTCGTCGGCCGTGGGTGGTCCGGCGTTGGCGGCGTTGGCCGCCTGCTGCTGTGCCTGCGTCTGATTGCGCGGCGGATGCCGCTGGCGGAGCTCGCGCACGACCTGCTCCAGCTCGGCGATCCGGCGGCGCAGTCGGTCCGTCTCAATAACCTCGGGGTCATTTCTGCTGTCAGCTAATCGGCACGATGACTTGGCTGCAGGGCAGCCGAGGCTTCTCGTCCAGCGCCACCGCCACTGTAACACTTACGGATCACGCGCCTCGTCCACTTCGTACACACACGAGCCAGTCAAGCCGAGGGCGGTGCAGCGCCCGCATGGCCGCCTGCGGTCGCACTTGCGTTTGTGGTTGTGGCAGGGCACGCACGACCGAATCGTGCGGTTCCGCTTACGCTTGCGATGGTCGACTTTTTGCTCAGGCTCTTCGGGCGGCGCGTCGTCGCGCTCGCTTTTGACCTGTACCGGGGAGAGGAGCGGCCCTTCGGCAGTAGTGGGCCGCGACCCGTTTGCGTCTCTCGCACGCGTCGGTGACATATCCTGCCGCGGCCACGGGAAGTTCATCGGATACCCGCCCGCAGCGGCGGGAGGCGGCATCGCAGCCGTGTCGAAGCGGTCGGAGCGCGTCGGCTGCGGCGGGCGCGCAGGCGTCATGTGCTGCGCGGCCGCTACGGCCGCCTGCACGTCGTAGCCTGCGCCAGGGATGAACATCTGTGGGTTGTACCCCGGCTGGCCTTGCCAGTTGCTCGTGTAAGACGGGGCGAGGCGGCTCGCGTAGTCGCCCTGCACGAACTGCGGGGCTGGCGCGGGGGGTGGGCGTGCAGGCTGCCCTGGTGGCGGCATGGGGGGGCGGGCGCCACGCTGCTGCTCCATCGTATAGGGAGGGTTCGTGTTTGGGTGCATGCGCCGGATTGGGAGGGGCTAGGTGGAGTAGGACGGGGGGTCGGGGTTGGATGAGACAGTTGGGCTGAGGTACACGCCGGGGGCGATTGGCCGGTGCGATGCGGATGATGCAGCGGCGAAGAGATGAGGGGTGCGGCCTTGCGGCCCGCGCTGATGCGACGAGTTGGTGGAGAGGATGTTGGAGGTGTCTCGGCTTTTGTGAGCGCGAGGATGGATCGAGACGAGACGCGAAGAGGAGGATGGGGGGGGTTGGAGATGCGATCGAGTCCGGCGGCGGCGATGGCTGGGTGGTGGACGGCAGGAGGAGCGGGATCTATTTCGGTGGAGGTGGTGGGTGATGTGCCGCCGGGGTGATGGATCAGTCCAGTGAGGGCTGAAGCGATGGCTCGCTCGCGACTCGTGGTAGTGTCTAGAGGTGCGGAGATGGGGCGGGGGATCGGATGAGTGGGTGTTGCGAGTGATACGAGGGGTGTAGAGGGGCAGTTGTGGATTGTTAAGAGAAACGAGGTGATTATGCGGGGTCTGGTCATGGGACCTTGGTCTTCTTGGCCATGCCGAGTGGCGAGCTGTGGCATCTCTATTCTCTCTCCGTCTCTCACGCAAGCTCACTCCCATTCTCTGGGCGTCGACCCGAGGGCGTTCAGAATTTCCGCTCTGCAGTCTCACTCTCCAGCTCTCCAACGCTTGATTCTCCATGCAGGCAACACGCGGCGCTCCACCAGACGTCATATCATCATCATCAAATCCAATCCGTTGCACGCGGTTACTCGCCGAACAAACTTTGCTCCAATACTCTTTGGCTCTGCTCCAATGCATCAAGCTGATCACTCACCTTCAGGAACCCATGGTTCGAGAACAGGCTGGGCCTGCACCGCCCCATCTATCCACTCATGCTTCACTCGACGCTATGGAGCTCCGGTTCTCCCGCCCGCCAAGCTTGCGGAGCCCGCGGCCTTTCTTTGGGTCGCCAAGATCCCGACCGCGCCGCGCGACGAAAAGGGCAGGGCGCGTACCGCGATGATCACCTGCTCGCCCTGCATGCCGCATTCTACTTGTTACAAGTATCAACGTCGACGGGCGGGGTGTGGTTGTGGCGCGACACCTTGCTGTGGCATTGACTTGTTCTGTAACCTCACCGTGCCCCCGCCGGAGGGCGGAGGATCCTCACAGGCCCGCCCGCCCGGTTTAGGATTAATCCAACTGCCCCGGCCATGGCGCGCGCATTTATTTCCTATTGCTCAAAGCGGAGAGAGCGGGCAAAACTTTGAGAGAGGAGGATGCATACCTGTAGCCATGATAGCTCCATGCTCCAACTGTGCTGCCACAAGTCGATCGTGATCGTCGTCCGCAGCCACCCCACAAGTCGTCACGACGCATCATATGACGTCACATCATACCACGGCCAGCTCACACGACCGCTCGTGCTCGATCGTCGAGTCAAACAGGCAAAGTGCCAGCGTGACAAGCATGACTCCGCGCAAAGTCGCTGATGCCACATGCATCGCTACAGCTACACTACTCTGCTCGTACGTACTAGTACAACTTCGGGGCGGCGCCGATGGCCTCGGAAATGGGCCGAGGTCGCCCCAGCGCCCTCACGGTCTCCACGTGTCATGCGCCGTGACACGAGCCACACACACGTGCACACTACTGCGCCATGCGCTTCTTGAGAATTCTGTCCAGACTCCGCTCGAGCTTGTTGGCCAGGTTGGCGTACTGGTTCTTCTCGCCGTTGTACTGCCGACAGTTGGCGAAGATGAGGCGCGCGTCGGCGATAAAGTCGTCCATGCTGCCATAGTGATTGTTCTCGAGCTTGTGCTCCATCTTGCTCAAGTCTAACGTCAGCCCTGCTTCGCCTCTCACGCACCCATGGGATTCTGAATGACGTTGTAGTAGTCTACGACCATGGCCGCGTCGACGGGCTTGACAAACGGCCAGCTGCTCGGGTCGTTCTGCAGGTCGTTTAGAATTTGCTGCATGACCGCAAACTGCGGATTGCGCTTTGGCTGTCGCAGACTGGGATTAGCAACGTCTTTGAGCAAGGCCCACATTTCATCAAGGTCCGGGTTCCACCCGCTCTCCGCGAGACCGGGGATGTCCTCTTTTGCAAGCGTGATGCTCCCCGGCTTAGTGTCCATGAAGATCTTGAGACCAGGGCGCACGACATGGCTTTGCGAAAGTTGGCGGATCTTAGCTGCCACAGCGGCCTTCTGGTCCGCCAGCATCTGGTTGACCTCAGCATATGTGATCTTGGGCAGCATTGTACACTGCATGATCGTGCCGCCCTCGTAGTCTTTGATATATCCTACCCAGCGCTTGCGCGGGTAAGTAATCTCCTTCTTGAACCCCTGCTTCTTGAAGTAGCCAACAGCGTAGTTGTCCGCATACGTAAGAAAGGTGTCGATGGTCGGGTGCGTCTTGCGCACGTGGTCTTTGAGCGCGTTCATGACGTGCGAGCCGTAGCCTTTGACCTGCTCCGAACTGTCAACTGCGCAGAACACGATTTCCGCAAAGCCTTGCCGCTCGAATGGCCGGTAGCAGATGCCGCCCACAACGCGGTAGCCGTACTTGACAATGGAAAGGGTGATGTGGTTCGGGTCAAGCACCAAGCGAGCAATGTACTCTCTTGGCATCTTGGGCAGCTGCTTCATGAAGAGGTTCTTGGCGCCAACGAGTAAGACCCACTGCACCTCGTCGGGCAAGTCGCGTGATGATGCGATCATCATGCGAATCTCTTTGTTGTTCTGTTCCTGCGCTGCGGGACGTAGCGGAAGAATGGGTAGCTCCCACTTGCGCCACATGTTGACCTCGACGTGGGTTTTCTCTTCGTCGCCCTCATCGCCTGCTGCGCGCGCGATCGCCTGGTCCTCGCGCTGTCGCTCCTTCTCCTTGAGCTCCGCGCGACGCCGTCGTTCTCGGTCGTCCAATTCTGGCCTACGCGCCGCAAGCGGTGTATCGTCGTCGTCATCCGAGCCTTCGACGCCGCCAGACGGACCAGATATAGAACCGATGGTCCGCGCTGTCGTCCCCTTGCCGCCCTTCTTCTTACCCGATCGGCTCGGCTGCTTGCCTGCACCTTGCCCGTTTGCTTCGCCATTGGCCGAGCCTTCCCGGCCGGGCTTCTCGGGTGATCTCGAGCCAGACGCAGAGGTACGCATGCGTTTTCTCGGACGCCCGTCCTCGCCCTCCTCGCTGAATGGCGTGCCATTCTCCGTCACGTCGAAGCCACCTAACCGCGAGATCGGATTCTTCCCGGCTGGGTGCTTGCCAGCAGGCTGCTGCTTGACAAACTCGGTAAGTTGCCTCCTCAGCGATTCTGTCGCTTCGATGTGTGGTGTTGGAAATGTCGTGAGTAGATGTTCATCCTGCATGTCAGTCCGGTCGGGATGAGGAACTGACCTCAAGCACCTCCTCGATGCGTCCCGCGACCTTTTCCCGGCGGCGTCTCTCAGCGTCGCTAACTTCGGCAGCGAAGACGTGCCCCGACTCCTCCCAGCCATGCGAACATGCGCCGCAGAGCTTCCACCATCCCTCCTCGGTGCGCCAAGTGGACGTCGCTTCCTCGTCGCCGTCGCCCATCTCCACGTCCTCGCCGGTGTCGACCACAACATTGCTGCCTGATGGCGGCTCAAGGCCGGAACAGTCACACCCGTCCATGCTGCAGGGAAGGAATCGCGCCATCTTAAAGTTGCGCTCGCGCTCGGGGATCTGTTTGATATCCTTTGGTGCGGGAGGGTAGCGGAATGTTGCGCCGAGAGGCAATGTTGTGACGGCCGACTTTGTCTCATCGGCATCGTCGTCGTCCTCTTCGTCTTCCTCCTCATCTTCTTCTTCCTCCTCCTCTTCTTCTTCCTCTTCCTCCTCCTCCTCTTCTTCGTCTTCTTCTTCGTCGTCATCTTCCTCCTCTTCTTCCTCGTCGTCGACTTCATCCTCGGCCGCCTCCTCGTCCTCGGCGTCCTCAGCATCGCCGTCCATGGTCTCGTCGCCGACCTCACCCTCTGCCTCCTTCTCCTTCTCCTGTTCATCGAGGTCGCCTAGCATCTGTGTCAAGTCAACATTGTCGAGGTCGCCGAGCGCGGCCAAGTCGACGTCGGCCAGGTCGCTTCCCATGTGCTCCGTCAACCCGTCGCCGAGCTGGGCGGAGTCAAGCTGCGACGCATCTAGCTGAGAAGGGTCCAACTCTAGCGCTCCTTCAGCGAGCTGGCCCTCGAGCGCAGACAAGTCGATATCCGCGAGGTCGATCGACTCGTCCATCTGCAGCGCCATGTCGACGTCGGCCGGCACCTCTGGGTCCATCTCCATCGCTGTTACGGGCGTTGCCGCATCGGTCTCGGTATGTGACTTGACTGGAGACGAGAGGGAGGATGTAGAGGGCGATGAACCCGCGCCTACCTCTGGCGGCGGGGTCGCCTCCTTGCGCGCGCGACCACGGCCTCTAGGCATGCTAGCAGTGCGCGGGGAAGTCGGAACGCGTGTTTAATGGCGAAAAGAGTGTCTCCGAGGTTGATAGAGTGGAATGCGCGTTGATTGAGGCAGATAGACGCGTGTTTTGTGAAGACGAGGCGAAGATGGAGATGTAAGGGATGAGTGGAGTTGAGAGAGAGTGGATTGTGTGTCAACAACCGGCAACCGGCAGGGTGGAAGCGGACATTTGCTTCCGTCACAAGGCGCGGGCCACGTGTATCCCATGCCGGCGTTTCATCAATTCACCGAGTCTGCTTCATGGCGGCGGCAACTGCAGTATGTACCTGCAGAAAGCATTCTCGTCAGGCAAGTAAAGCTCCAAGATGCATGCATATGTTACAACAGCGTAGAGGTGGCAGGCGAAATCCGCCTCCTCTTGGAACACTCTGATCCCGAGATCATTGATACTAGTTGGTGGCCTTGAAGACCTGAACGGAGGCTATACCTCCACTCCCCTCGTCGACTTCCAGCACTAGTCCATCCAGCCCGATAAGCTGTGAGCGGCTGAGACCCACGACGCCCTCCAGCCCGCCCTCAACAGAGCGATCAAGAACCATAGCATCCGGCTCGGAGGCGGGCGACGTGTTGTTGGCTCGATCCCCGCCCTTCCCCTTCTTGCCCTTTCTCGCCGACTGTGTTTCCCCTTCAACGGGTGCGGCAAGGGGTGACGAGCCCAATTCTGACCGGAACGTAGATAGTGGTGCGGTCAGATCAAGCGGTTTGGACCCCGTCTCCACTTCCCAAGGGCAGCGCGCATACTGCTGGAACATGGGTGTTCCAGGCTGATGTCAGCCTAGCTGGCGCAGCGAGCTCACGATGTTAGAGTATGCGATAAGTTTGGTTACGACGCCGTCGACCACGAGCAGATCGAGCCCATACTGCAGGTAGTTCCAGAAGCAGGCGCTAGGGGAGGTCGCGTCGTGCCCTGGCGGCACTCGGCGGGACGGGCCCCACACTCGATCGAGGCGCTCGTCTTCGCGCCAGTACTTGCGCAGCGGCGGGCCGAGGTCGAGAAGCACGTCTTGCGCTGTTGTCTCGCCAAGTGTGATGGTCACATCGTGGGTGAAGGTTAGGGTTGCTCCACGTCCAGGCTGATGTCAGCATGCACAGTTGAAGGAGGTAGGCATTGGTTCCGGCAGTTAGGTCGTTGGTGTGATAGGGGAAAGGACGAGCATGAGGGCAGACCAGAAACTAGCAAGACCCACGAACAAGACCCACCTTGATGGAGCATTTTCGCAACCCATCCTCGCCGACAGGCTGCTCGCCATCACGTGGCATGATGTTAACAGTTGTGACGCGGTCGTCGCGTTCGCCACCGGCCGATTCCAACGCGAGGCCAGGGTACGCAAGCCGCGGCGTGCCGTCATTGAACGTTGGTCCGAGGGCGTACGCGACGCCGGCGCGAGTCAGAGGGCGAGGAGGCGATGACAACACCGTCCCTTCGTATGTGAGCGTGACGTCGCCCAAGTCAGTCACTACGATGTGCGAGAGTCGCTGCGCCGGCGATGGGAAGAGGAGGGCAAGCGCGCCCGCATGTACTGTCACAGAGGTGCGTGGAGCATTCTGAGGTCAGCAACGCGTCAATGAGCGTGCCGTACGTCTGGATCCCATGACACGTCGATCTTGGGCACCTCCGTCTTCCGGCTCCGCAGGAGGTCGAGGACGTGCCACAGGGTATCGCCGAGCACAAAGGGCCCCAGCCCAACGCCGGGGGAGAGCTCGAGCGTGTCCATTTCCTGGTGGCTGCCGAGGGACGAGTTTGAGTGGTAGGAGGGAGTGGGCGGTGGCAAATGCGGCGAGCCGTAGGATGGGTGCAGGTGTTGACTCGACTTGCTCGGCTTGGCCGGAACCGCGAGGGGGCGCGCTGACGTGGCCATGGCGCTGTCCCAAGCCCAACTGTCGAGGGGTGTAGAGTGGCGTTGATGGTTGATGGAGTGATGAGCAGAGCAACGCGGGATGGACGATGGGGAGATGGCGATGCATACGACTGTGATGCACGACTGACTGAATGGTAATACCCAACAGGGCTTGACGTCATGTGTCCGCCTATCATTTCATCCCCGCCACCTAATAACTCTCCTTCAACAACACACCATGGCGGCCCCCGACACGACACCGACATTGACCAGCTCGAGCGGGGGCCCGTCAAGCGAATCAGCCTCTCCGTCGGCGCTTTCTAGCTCCGAGTCCGGGGCCAGGCCAGAGTCCCATGTCCCCGATCCCAAGTCCAGAGCTGCAGCCGAAGCGGGGCCAAGCCAAGGCTTGAGCTCGCCTCCCCACTCCTCCTCCCGCTCGCGCTCCCCATCTCCCCTCCCCGCCCCGCCCGTCATCTCTCCTCCGGATGATGCGCAGACCGCCGCAATACATGCCAGTCTTTCCAAGAGACGCCGGCACCGCCCCGCCCTCTTCCGATCACACTCGAGCGACTCCTACAACCCTGAAGAGGTTGCCGCCAAGATCGCACGCGACGCCGAAGCGTGCGAAAGAGCTTCTAGACACATCGAGCTCGAGGTCGGCGGCCGCGTGCTGCACAGCGAAGCTGAGCTGCCTCCGCTCCCAAAAGTGACCAAGGCCCACTATGCATGGGAGAGTGAGTTTGCGACAAATGGTCCATCGCAACCCGCCGCCTTCTGCATGGCTGACTCTAGTCATGTACGAGAACCAGCGCGGCATCAGCATCTTCGGCAAGACATGGTACTCTTCCAACTCGCTCCTCCCTGCCGACCCAACACCATTCACGCTCCCTCTCACCTCGCCCGAGGGTGACTTTGTGCTGGCGCGCCCCGCTGCCTCCGACACGCCCGTCATCACGGGGGCAGCAAGGGCCGGAGGCGCCCAGAGAGACGACGGCGATGACAGTGCCGAGCCGCATCAGGTCAAGAATGGCCGCAGCATCAAGCGCAAAAGCATCAAGTCGGGATACACGCTCGCGACATACCAGACCCCCTCGCCGGCGTGGGCGTGGCTTACGCCATGGATGGCGAACATGCGCCTCGACACGGACCAGCAGGGGTGGCGGTACAACCTGTGGTTCCACACGACGCAATGGGCGCCGCACCCCGGCCGCTTGAACTGGTGGGGCTGGGTGCGGCGGCGCGAGTGGGTGCGCCTGCGTGCGTTGCTGCCGCCTGAGCCTGAGCCGAAGGAAGTCGAGGAGGAAGTGGACGAGCCGGGGTCGCTCGACGATGTCCTCGCGACGGAGCGGCCCGTCGCCAACATGATCCGATACCTCGCGGCGTACGCGCTCGACCGCGAGAAACTCGCGCTGTGGGAGCGGTGGGTGGGTGAGAGCAGCGCGGACGCGAGACACCGTCTCGCGGATATCGTTGAGGATAAGGAAAAGGTGAGTGTCACGCTGACGGGGCTGACGGCAGCTCGTCTTCATGGCGCGCGCGTTCATCTACCCTACGGCACGCAAGGCGTTCTACGCGAGCCTCGTGGCCCACGGCATCGTCGAGAAAGAAGAGTGCATGGAGTGTGTCGAGGACGAGGGATACACCATCGAGTAGGGCGCATGTATAGACACCCTAATAGATCTTGATAATGCATGGTTGTTTACTTGTCTAGGTAGGCCTTGAGCTTCTCGAGAGCGCGGTAGCGGTGCGAGATGGCGTTTTTGGCTGCTCCGTCCATCTCGGCGTATGTCCGGCCCTCGCCCTCGAGTGGCTCGAAGATTGGGTCCCAGCCAAAGTTGGTCGGTCCGCGTGCAGGGACAATGTGGCCGTCCGTACGGCCCTCGAAGAGGATGGGCTCGGACCCGGGCTCGCAGTACGCGAAGGTGCAGAGCGCGTATGCGGCCGTGTTGCCGAAGCCGGCGAGCATTTTGTTAAGGCCTGAAGTGTTAGCGAGCTGAGCTTAGAGGCGCCGGAGCGGGGAAACGCTCGCCGCAAGTGGAAGTAGAAAGCCCCTAGAGAAAATAAGCAAATTGTGAGAGCAATTGCCGCTTGGATTTCGTTCTCTCTTTCGCCCCTCCTCCCCACCCGCACCCACCGTCATGCCCCAGGGTGCCGAGGAAGTCCTTGATGTATGGCCCCGGCAGCCCGCCCATCGCCTCGAAGCACAGCGCTGTGTCCTCAGTCACGCATGGTGCGCCGAGAATCTTGCACGCCGTGGCAGCCTTGGCATTGGCGATCTCCTGCGTCGTGCCCTGCAGCTCGGGAACTGGCGTGAGCAACTAAACACGACTGATGCTGTGCCACTCACCGTCAACGGCCTGGTTGGTGACCTCGATCCCGCTGCCGCCGGCCGCCAGAATGGCCTTGACCTCCTTGAGCTTGTTGGCGTTGCCAGTGACGAAGACGAACGACTTGGACATGGTGCGTGCGGCTCTGAGCATAGAGTTGTTGCGTCGACAGAAATCTGGGGTGGAGGTGTGGAGGTTGACCGGCGCTGTGACGGCTGATCGGGGGCAAGCCGCCCACAGCGAGTGTCTATGACGCAACGGGTGGATAGTGGCGAATCTCCGGGCTGACTGTACACCTCCACCTGACATTCTCCACCTCGCGTTCTAGCACTCGCACTCGCAGCACTCGACTCCCAGCGCTCTCTCAGACAGCACCATGGGCGTCAAAGGCCTGTGGTCGCTGCTCAACCCCGTGGCGCGCCCCGTCCAGATCGAGAGTCTGGAGGGCAAGCGCCTCGCCATCGACTCGAGCATCTGGCTCTACCAAGTATGCACCCCTTCCTTCCGAGCTGATGCAGTTTCAATCAACGATGCGCGACAAGGACGGGCGCGTACTCGTGAACGCACACGTACTGGGTGTGTGTTTGCGTGGCTGGGCTGACGTCAGGCTTCCTACGGCGTATAAACAGGCTGCTGTTCCATGGCATCAAGCCGGTGTTTGTGTTCGACGGCGGCGCGCCGGCGCTGAAGCGAGCCACGATTGTGCGTTGTTGCGGACGCAAGGATGATGGCTTAAATTCAGGCGGAGCGTAAGCGGCGCAAGCTTGGTGCAGCACAGAGCCACGCAAGAATGGCGGAGAAGCTGCTGCATGCGCAGATGCGGCGCGCGGCCGTAACGCTGGCCCAAGAGTGAGCAACCAAAGAGAGATGGACGACTGACGACAGGGCAGAAGATCGAAGAGCTGCGCGGATAGCTGCGCGAGCAGCGGGCACGTTTGAGGAAAGCGAAGCGATCCCAGAAAACGCAGTATATCTCGATGAGCTGGAGGGCCGGCCCGCCCCTCGCCCAGTGACGGCCGAGAACTCTGCCGCAAGTGTCAGCGAGCCGCCAAAGAAGAAGTACAAGAGAGACCGATACGAACTGCCAGAAGCGAGCATGCCGGCATACTCGACTGACGACCGACCAGACGCCCGTTTAGCGACAGAGGAAGAGCTGAAGCATTTCATCGAGGATGTAGGCCCCACTGACATTGACGTTGAAAGTCCCGAGTTTCGCGCGCTTCCCACCGAGGTGCAGTACGAGATTATCGGTGATCTTCGCGTACGCAGCAGGCAGCAGAGTCACGCTCGCCTGACCGCCATGTTGAAGAACGCGCCGACTGCCCTCGACTTCTCAAAGGCGCAGATCAAGCATCTCTCTCAACGCAACGCGCTCACCCAGCAACTGCTGACAGTGACCGACAGCGTGGGCAAGGCGCATCTCACTATTCCTGTGCGAGTCGCGAGCGAGCGCAGTCGTGAGTATGTACTCGTGAAGCGAAGTCAGGACGAAGGCGGAGGTTGGGCTCTGGGAATCCGAGACGGGACAAAGGACAAGCCAATCGAGCTCGAGCCGGAGACGGAGAACGACCGGAGAATGCGCCTCGCTGCCGAGCGCCGAGTCATGAAGGAGGAGGACAGCGTTTCAGACTCGAGCATCGAGGAGGTCAAGCCTCAGGAGGAAGTCGCCAAAGACTTGCGCGACCATCGCCGCCGCGAGGTCCTGGAAGCAATCAGGCGGCGTTACGCGCCCGCTCCTAGGAAGGAGAAGGACGACCTGCCGCCTACTCGGCGGAACAAGAATGCTGCGCCGCTTTTTGACATCGACGAGGACATCATACCGACCGCGCACGATGAGGCGCTTGCTCTCGCTCTGCAACAGGAGGAGCTGGGCAGCGAGGAGGACGAGCCGGATGTGGAGCTAGCGCGTGCGCTTGCGTCGTCCCGCCGCGCACCGTCAAGTCCCCCACCGGTTGTGGCGCCAAGTAGCGACGATGACGAGTTCGAGGAGGTGTCCCTCGTCCCCTCGGTTGGCGTATCCCGCGCCAACTCTGTGCACGAGACGATCGAGATCAGCAGCGACGAGGAGAACGAGGGCTCGCCTAATCCCACAGCAGCCCCGGCAGTTGTCGAGGAGAGCGACGAGGATGAGCTCGAACTTGTCGAGCCACCAGATACTCGTCCAGCTGCGCCGACTAGCTCGCTGGCGGCCAAAGTGGCCGCGGCTCGTACGCAAGCGCCTATTGCTCGACCGTCCTCTTCGGCGCCAACGGCTGGGCGGCCGTTCACAGCCGCAATTGAGCCAAACAGACCCTCGTCCACTCACCAGGCTGCGACGGCGTTCAGTGCGCAAACAGCACCCCAAGCCTCCGCGCTCACAACGGCGCCTGTTCCTCGACCGGCACGGGAGCCGCAGGGGGCACGCCATCCGGAGCCATCTCGGTTGGTGGCTGAACCAAGGCGGTTAGCGACAGGCGTCGGCCAACCTCCGCCAGCAGCTGAGCTCCCACCCGCCCCGCGATCGCCCTCCCCTCGCAGAACTGCACCGTCCCCTTCTCCCCCACTCCGCACCGCGCCCTCTCCTCCGCCTCTGCTCAGGGGCGCTCCCTCTCCGTCACCTCCACCACAACTCACCGATCCGCTGAGAGGAGCTCCTTCTCCCTCGCCTCCACCAGCGGAGCCTGCATTCGTGCCGGTATCTGACTCCGAGGATGAGCTCGAGCAGGTTTCCACCGCGCCAACCCGCGCCACCACTCCCCACATTTTGGGTACCGTCACCCCTAGCGAGAGAGAGTCAACTCAACAGAACTCTCTTCCTGCTCCCAGCCGACTGCGTCACAATGCCCATGATGAAGACACGGATGAAGAGGGTGACGACGAAATTGACTGGTCCCGGTCACCAAGCCCTGTGTTGCGGAAAGGCTCAATGGGCAACTCGCTGTCCGCGCTTGCTTCCGCCGTCGAAGATTCCCAGCCTGGCGAGGGGTCCCGTCGAGAGTCCATGAATGTGTCCGAGTACGCCTCAGACGGTGAAATGGGCGCGGACGACATGGAGGCCGAGGAGGACGAGTATGCCCGATTCCTTGCGCAGATTCAAAATCGCGACCTAGCAGCGGTGCGCACCGAAATCGACGATGAGATACGTATTCTCAACCAGCAGACCAAAGCGGCAATGCGTGACTCAGACGAAATCACACAGAGCATGGTCGTGCAGATCCAAACGCTGCTGCGGCACTTTGGCATCCCATACATCACAGCGCCGATGGAGGCTGAGGCACAGTGCGCCAAGCTTGCCGAGCTCAATCTGGTTGACGGGATCATCACTGATGACTCCGACGTGTTCCTCTTCGGCGGGTCCACCTGCTTCAAAAACATCTTCAACGACGCCAAATACGCTGAGTGCTACGCGGCGACCGACATCGAGCGGGAGCTGAGCCTCCCTCGCCATCGTCTGATCGAGCTGGCCTACCTTCTTGGCTCAGATTACACGATCGGCCTTCCCGGCATTGGGCCGGTGATGGCACTTGAGCTTCTTGCTAACTTTCCCGGCGATGGCGGCCTACTACGCTTCAAGGAGTGGTGGACGTCCGTGCAGATTGGCAAAGACGACGTCACGGTCGAAACCAAGTGGAAACGGAGCTTCAAGAAGCGCTTCACAGGCACCCTCCACCTCGGTGCGGAGTGGCCCAATCCCCTCGTCCGCGACGCCTACTTCCACCCGCAGACGGACGAGAGCGACGAGCCGTTCCATTGGGGCTTCCCCCGCCTCTCGGCCCTCCGGACGTATCTGCACGAGGAGCTGAGCTGGAGCATTTCCAAGGTGGACGACGAGCTCACGCCGATCGTGCAGCGCATTGCTGCGCGCGGCCGCGGCGCCGTCCCGCGTCAGAGCACGCTGTTGCCGTACTTTGACCACTCCGCGGCAGCGGGCAGCCTGGCTCCGCGCCGTCGTACAACGGCCAACGTGAGCAAGCGGCTGCTGAGCGTTATAAAGGAGTTCCGGGAGGCCGAGGCACGGGCCGCCGGGCAGACGCCGCAGGGATGGGGCGAGATGCTGGCGGGCGTCGACGAGGAGGATCCGAAGGGAGTGGGGAAAAAAGACAAGGACAAGGGTAGAGGTAGAGGCAAACAGAAGGAGAAGGAGGGCGAGGGCGAGGGCGGGGGGGCTGAGACACAGAATGGAGAGGCAGAGGGCCCGAAGCGTAGAACTCGCAAGGCGCCGGCGAAGCGCGCGTCGAGAAGCGCGACGGCCGCGTCAGAGGAGGAGGCGCCGAAGCCGCGAAAGCGGCGGAAGGCAGTGTAGCCATAGCGATGTAGCTGTTGTGGTAGAGGTGACGTTTAAGATCTTGAGCCTCACTGGTCTGCTAGACGGAGGTTGGCCACGACGTTTCGCTGTGGCAGCTGAATAGCAGCCTTACTGACATCAAATGTGGTCAATCCGGATGTGCGTGTTTGTGGTAAGTTTGCCAGCGCCATCTGATCCTCTGTTTCTTGCGTTTGGTCAGCGAATTTCCAAACTGTATGTTGCCTATTATGGTGCATTTTGGTCAATCGATCATACCATTCAGGTTGAACTCCTGCGCGATACGAAAGACGCATTGTGGCGCGGTCAGAAGTTTGCGACTGCCACTTTGCGAGTGAGCGTGAGCATCACTCGTTCAATCAGCATGCGGTCGTGGCCTCTACTCGTTGTTTCTCGGAGTTCCTCTTTCTAATCCTCCCTCTCCCACTTGCACGACTTGACTGCGCAACCTGACACAACCTATGCATACACAATCGTCCTTTACTAGCCTATACACTCCCTCACCTCTTCGCGCGCCTCTTGGGAGCCTTCTTTGGCGCCTCGGCCTCGGAATCCTCGTTCTTATGCTTGTGGGCTTTACGCCCGTCCGGAATTTTTGTACCCCGCCGCCCGGCGCTGTCCTAATCGACCTCCTCGATCTCGACGTCCATGGGGTCGTCGTCGTCCGAAAAGTCGTCGTCGTCGGGGTGCTCGACGTTGTCGTGGTTCGGCACGACGACGAGCCGGTTCTTGACGTGGTCTGTAGTGACGTGTGCGTCTTCGCCGTCGCGCACGCGCCCCTGCAGAATCAGCTTGGAGAGGGGGTTGAGGATCTCGTGCTGGATGAGGCGGCCGAGCGGGCGCGCGCCATACATCGGCGAGTAGCCCGCGTTCGCGAGCCACTCGAGGGCGCTGTCGTCGCACACGACGCGGATCTTCTTGTTGTTCACGTCGAGGCGTTCTTGGATCTCGCGCAGGCGCACGGCCACAACGCGCCGCATGTCGGCGCGCGACAGCGAGCGGTACATGATGATCTCGTCGATGCGGTTGATGAATTCGGGGGGGAAAGTCGCTTGGATCGCGCCCATGACTTTGTCGCGCGTGGCTTTCGGCACGGCGCCTTCGGACGGGTTTTCGTTCAGGTACGCCGAGCCCGTGTTCGAGGTCATCATGATGATCGTGTTGCGGAAGTCGACGACGCGGCCCTTGCCGTCCGTCAGGCGCCCGTCGTCGAGGACCTGCAGGAAGAGCTGGTGGAACTCGCGCGCGGCCTTCTCGATCTCATCGATCAGGATGAGAGAGTACGGCTTGCGGCGCACCGCTTCCGTGAGCTGCCCGCCGCTTTCGTGGCCGATGTAGCCTGGCCCGGCGCCGATGAGGCGCGAAATCGCGTGCCGCTCCGAATACTCGGACGCGTCGATGCGCACCATTGCGTCCTCCGAGTTGAACATGACCTTGGCGAGCGTCTTGGCGAGCAGCGTCTTGCCCGTGCCCGAGGGGCCGACGAGGAGGAAGCTCGCAATCGGCCGGTTCTGGTTCGACAGGCCGGAACGGTTGAGGCGGATCGCGTTCGCGACGGCCTTGACGGCCTCGGGCTGCCCGATGACTTTCTTGGAGAGGAGCTTTTCGAGGTGCAGCAGCTTCTGCTTCTCCGTCTCGACGAGGCGCGCGACGGGCACGCCTGTCCATTTGGCGACGATTTCGGCAATCATCTCCGGCGTCACCTCCTGCAGCGAGCCGCGCTCGTCCTCGCGCGCTTGCAGCTCCTTGAGCTTGGCTTCGCGCTGCGGGATCGCCGTGTACCGGATATCCGCGGCGGTGGCGAGGTCGTAGCGCCGCTCGGCGTCGTCAGCCTTGGCGCGCAGCTCGTCAATCTTGCGCCGCAGCTCGTGGATCTGGTCGCCGAGCCGCTTCTCGTTCTCGTACTCCTTCTTGAGCGGCTTGAGCTTGTCGTTGATCTCGGCGATTGTCTTCTTGGCCTGCGCCAGGCGCTCTTTGGACGCGGCGTCCTTCTCGCGCTCGAGCGCGTGGATCTCGACTTCGACGCCGAGCTTCTGGCGCTCGAGCACATCGATCGCTTCGGGCCGCGTCTCGCGCGCGACCTTGACGGCACTCGCGGCCTCGTCGAGCAGGTCGATGGCCGAGTCTGGCAGCCGGCGCGCGGTGAGGTACTGCTTCGCGAGCTGGGCGGCGAGCACGAGCGCAGAGTCCATGATGCGCACGCCGTGGTGGGTCTCGTATTTTTCGCGGATGCCGCGCATGATGGCGACAGTGTCGGCGACAGACGGCTCCTCGACGATGACTTGCGCGAAGCGGCGCTCAAACGCCGAGTCCTTCTCGATGTACTCGCGGTATTCGTTGAGCGTGGTTGCACCGATGACCTTGAGCTTGCCGCGGGCGAGCATGGGCTTGAGGAGGTTGGCTGCGTCCATGCCGCCGCTGCTGTCCTTGCCTGCCTGTTATTGTTAGCGATGAGTTTGAACAGTCACACGAGGACGAACCATGATCAAGTGCACTTCATCAATAAATAGAATAATCGGGTCGCCCTCGTCGCCTGCCTTCTCGATCTCCGAGAGCACGGCCTTGACGCGCTCCTCGTACTCGCCCTTGTACTTTGCGCCGGCCATGAGCGCGCCCATGTCGAGTGCGAGGAGGCGGCAGAGGAGGGAGGCGGGCACGTCGCGGTCGACGATGCGCTGTGCTAACCCCTCGCAAATGGCGGTCTTTCCGACACCCGGCTCGCCGATGAGGACGGGGTTGCCCTTTGTGCGGCGGGCGAGGATGCGGATGACCCGACGGATCTCGTTGTCGCGCCCGATGACGGGGTCGAGCTTGCCCTCGGCCGCGAGCTCGGTGTAGTCGACACAGTACTTCTTGAGGGCTTCGAACTGGCCCTCGGCGCCGCGCGAGTCCGCCTTGCGTGTCCCGCGCTTGACTTTGATCTCGGCTTCGAGGTCCTTGGCCGTCACGCCGGCGGCCTTGAGGAGGTCTTTGAGCTCCGAGTGGTCGACGTGGGCGAGTGCGATGACGAGATGGTCGACGGCGACAAACTTGTCGCCGTTGTCCTTCTGGAGCTTCTGCGCCTCCTTGAGCACGGCGTGGTACGAGTTTGTGAGTGGGATCGGGGGGTCGGGGGCGGGCTCAACGACGGGGAGTTTGGTGAGACGGCTGAACAGCTGGCGCTGGAAGGCGGTCGAGTTGCCGCCGATCTTCTCAAGACTCCCGCGGAGCAGTGTTGGTGCTGACGAGTTCATGTTGTCGGCGGTGGACTCGTCCCAGAGAGCAGCGATAAGGTGGAGGGGGTGGACTGGTGTTAGCGGGATTGTTGGTGGGGTGGTTCGGGGGTCAGTTGAGGAGGAAACTTGCCTTGCGAGTTGCCCATCTCCTCGGCCTTCTCCATCGAGGTCTTGATGGCCTCGGAAGACTTGTCTGTGAAGTTCTCCATGATGGGCGGGTGGGGGTGCGGGTGGGGGGGGAGGGGAGAGGGAGGACGTGGATAGGGGGGAGAGAGTTTAGTGGGTGTGGGAGTGGATGTGGTGATCCAAGTGGGTATGAGCGTGTGAGAGCTGAGTAGTGGGGAGAGAGGAGAGGAGAGGAGAGAGGGGGAGAGAGCAGCGTTAGATATAGTTGAGGGCGTGGGAGGAGGAGCGGCAGTGACGGAGAGGATGAGCGAGGCCAGCCGAGGCTCTATTGGCCGAGAGAGCAGTCTCGAACAGCCCACGGGGGGCGATGATGTCGACGAGAGGTGGAGATCAGGAGCAGCCTGGGAAGACAATGAGCTATGCGGAATCGCGCGCGTGTTCTGGATTCCTCGGTAAACCCTACTACTTGGCCGCTCAGCCAGCTGGAGAGCTGAAGCGTTGAGCAGATGAGAAATGACAGAGATACCGGGTGCTCACGGCATCTTTCTCGCATCATCGACGTCATTCCGCCACACTCCAGAAATCTCGGGTCGAATCTGGCCAATCATCGCTGATGAAAAGCACGTGGCGGGGGCGTGTGGCTCGCGTGGTTCGCGTGGCCGCACCGACCTCGGACTCTTTTCCAGTGCTCCAGCTCCGAGTCGGGCACGTCCTCACGTCCTCGCACCGTGGTGTCGGACTTTCATCTGCATACACCTGTGCTAGGTGCCGTTCGGAGAGTCTATGACAGACGGGCGAACTGCATCAGTTCTATGGTAGCGCAAACGAGACGCTCGGGCACAAGGGACGAGACCGAGGATGTGCGACAGCGCAAGCGCGACACGTATCTCGGAAATAGCGAGAATATTCCCACCCTCGCGCGCTCGCCGCTCCACCGTGGGTCGTGGGCAGGGTTGGCCCCGACTCCACCGTGAGAGCGGAAGGATGAGCCATTGAGCCTGATTGATTGCAGCGGCCGGCGGCCAGCGGCCAGCGGGCCAGCGGGCGATCGAGGTGGGTACCAGGTATGTAATTGAGTACATTGCTGCTTATTCGGCGCTTGTGGTAATGTCGGCGGCGGGCGGTGGGCGGCGGGGCGGGAGGAGGCCGCAGCGTGGCGCCGAGCTGGAATTGGCCAAGGCCACCACGCCGCAGCGTCGGACAATGGCGAGGGAGAGGACAGGACAATGGTGCATTGTCCGACGGCCTACGGCTACGGCTACGGCTACGGCCGAAGATGGCATTGGCTCGGGCTGCTGCGAGTATCACCAGTGGACGCCACATTAGACAATGGCCGCCACACCGGCCGCGTACGGTTTGCGCGGCTGCTTGCGCCGAGCATTCGGCCGCTCGGACGGGCCGGAATCCGAGCTCGACACTCGCCAGAGAGCCAGAGAGCCAGAGAGCCAGAGAGCCACGTTCCCATTGATGGTGTTAATGAACGCCCGAAATTCAGTCGGAATGAGGGGCGGCGAAGCGAAACTCGCTTTGCCCCTGCGCCCTTCCCCCTGCGCCCTGCGCCCTGCGCCCTTTCCCCTTGCCCAAGACTTTCAGGCACTGATCCTCGCCCATCCTCGCCCGTTTCAGGCGTGATCGGCGTCCCCCGCCCGCGCAGGGATCGGACAAGTCGGCGGGCGTCCGATTCCATGCGGCCACCTTGTGAGAGGGGACGCAGAGTTATCAATCAGCGCGTGGGTGCGACTGTTGGCTTGGTCGTGGTTGTCCGAGTGAGAAACGGAGCACTGTAACGATGTGGCGGTGCCCTCGGCCTTATCTTTGCGTTTGAGAAATCAAGACGTCGTATCCCGCCCGCTGCGCTGCCAGTCACCCGGGCGATGAGACAATGTCTCGGATGCGGCTGCGGATATGCTTGGCGACGCGAGGCGAGAGGTGTGAGCATGCGAGTGCCAGTGCGAGTGCGGGTGTTGTCGAGTCGAACGTGGGGGTATTGTGCCTCGGCTGGCTGGCTGAGGCCGGCGGGGGTGTGTGGCCAATGCGTGCCACACAAGACAGCAGACAACACTCGGACTTGATCTCGGACTGCACATAGAGGGTGCGGGGAGTACGGACAGCAGAAGGATTGCAATAAAACGAAGGAGAGAGGAGAAGGAGGGAGAGGATGCGGGTGTGCAGCGTGCTGAACCGAGGAACGAGTGTACGATATGGGGCGTCGTGGTGATCTCGCGGGCTGACGGCTGGCGGCTCGTAGGCACTTGCATGGCTGGCATGGCTGGCATCGGTGGCACCGCCCATGCTCCGTGGCGTAGTGGCACATCTCCGTGGCGCTGTTCGCCATGACCGCCTCCAAGGTAGATCGATCTGGCCAACTGGTCAGTGCGTGCAATCATCAGTCGTCTCCTCTCCTCCTCTTCGCCCCCCAGCCTCTCACACCGCCCTCGCCACTGTCTGCACATGATACCGTCTAACATGTATAGTGACTATATGTGACCTGTGCCCAACAGTTGCGTAATCTTCGTGCCGTCGTATGCTCGCGCCCGCCGGCCCTCGTTGCCCTCGTTGCCCTCGTAATGCCATGATTGATATAGTACAGTGTGTTGATGTGCGTGTCCCAAAGCCCAAAGAAATCCCAAAAAAAGAGTCGTGTATTCGCCCGCTCGTTCGTTCACTGTCGCTCGCTAGGTCGCGGCGGCAGACACGGGCCGTGCGGCGCGAAACGTCGCCTCAAACTCGTTGACTTCGACTGCCGCGGGGGTGGGCGACGGGCGTGGGCGCGTAGGACTGCGCGGCGGCACCTCGGTGCGGCGCGAGCCCGGTGTCGCGGGGGACGTGGGGCGCGGGGTCATGCGCGGCGAGATGGAGAGCTGGCGCTTGAGAAGCGAGGGCGGGGTGGGTGTGGGCATCTTGGGGATCTGGAAGTGGAGTGCGTGGGCGGCGGACACGCTCATGGCGCGGGAGGCGGGGCGGGACATGGTGGCAGTGGGGGGTGTTGGTGTGTGTGCGAGTCCGGTGGACATGGGTGTGCGAGTGTGCGAGTGTGCGAGTGTGCGAGTGCGCGAGTGCGTGAGCACGACGAGTTAGAGTAGTCGAGGAGTCTCGAGATGGAGTTGTGACGAAGGAGAGAGAAAGTGAGTCGCTGCGAGGTTGGATAAATACTACTCTGATCGACGATCCCCCGTGGCCCCTTCGGTCAGGGAGTCAAGGGCATGCCCGCAGGTCGGCGGATTCAGGGTCAAGGCCACTTGCTGCCGTGCGGCCCTGAGCTGACTGTATCCCCCCCCTCTCCCACCTTCCCTCCCTCGCCATCTCTCTCCATCCACTCAATCGATCGCATCTCTCTCTCTCTCTCTCTTTCTTGTCCATCTCCTCGGCGCCACTCGAGCCATGCACCAGCCATCGATACCGTCTAGCCGTGACAAGAGAATCCCGCTCACAACACGTTCGTCGCTCGCCATCCATCCTCAAGCACCCAAAAAAGCGATGCTGACGGATCCGCCTGACTCTGACTGACCCGAGCGTGCCGACCCGGCCGCCCACGGTGCCGAGGGGGGACACGAAGTCTGTTGCCGAGCTTTGTTTCTTGCCCGCGCCGCCGCAGTTGCATGGCGGCACGGCGGCACGGCGGCATGGCGGACACTGCCTCGTCCTCCGTTTTACGTGCTTGGCTGCATCCGCCGACTCGGTCCCCGATCACCGAGCCAGCTGAGCAGACGGACGACTAATAATAAGGCACTCAATCCACAGGAACCAGGCACGCTTCCACTCTCACCGCCGCCGGCCATCGCCAGCTGTCCGCCTCGGCCGCCGTCTCCTCCGATATGATAAGCGACCGCCGCCGCGACCGCGGGCCGAGGACACGCAGATCGCAGACCAGACAGACGCTTGACACGTTTGACACACGGTTCACCCAGCACCCGCTCGTCCGCGGCGGAGAGTCGTGCTCACCAGTCTGTTTGGCGGACGAAACACGTGAATCTCCGTCCGGAACGGACAGAGTCAGCTGCTCCATGCTCCTCGAGGTACAGGCACGCCCACGATATGAGTCCGGTCTCGGAGGCTCCCCATTTCCCAGCGGCGGCGTCTGCCACCCAGCCCACCCCACGGCCAACTGGCGGGGCATGCTAGCTGCAAGTCAGCCTCACGCGGAACCCCCACATCCTAAGCCAAACCCAAAGCCTCATCAGCCCTCATACCTGACGCCACCGGGTGCAGCCCGCGCTCATGCCTGCGGCTAAGGACGGCAGGGAGGAAAGTAGGTGAGGGAAAGCAAACACCAAAGTTGGGTTTGGAATCGTACTCCCAGGATCACAGGATCCAGTGCGTCTACTATAGAAACTCTCTCCGTCAGGTGAAGGGGGGAGGCCGTGCAGGTTGCTTGTCTTGCAGGATTGCAGGAGATTTCCAGGACGACATGTCGGCGCAGATTTGCACGTTGCCCCGCACGCCATACACGCCATGCACGCCACGCCCGGTCTGTGCTGTGGCGGCGGGAGTGAAATGGCATGCAGGGAGCGCTCAACTCGGCACCACGGTGCCCAAATACCACCTCGCTTACTACGAGTAGAGTCTGGCGGGAAAGGGTAGTCACCGCCACAATTGCCCAAGCAGATCACCATGCGTGCCGCGGCGATCGCCGCTCGTCGCCCAAACAGGCCGTGTTTCCACGTCAAGTAGTCAGTGATGCAGTGATGCAGTGATAGCGCCTGTCCTCCTCTCCGTCTCTGCACCACCTCCACTCCTCCACCTCCGCGCCTCCTCTCCCCATGCGCGGGTCCCTCCTCCCTCCCTCCCTCCCTCCTCCTCCTCCTCCACTACGCCCCTCTCGTCATCACGCTGTGTCCCCTCCCTCCCCCCACTTCCACCATCCCGACCCGCACGGATCTTGTAGATCGCAGTCGCCACGGAGTCTCCGTCGCGCCCTGCCGCCGCGAGCAGCTCGGCGTCTCGGCTTCGCGAGCGCCGCCGCACATCATCCCGCGGTATGTCAATCCGCTCCATTCTCCAGGATCCAGCGTCGCAAGTCTGGCCACTCCGTACCCCCGCTAGTCCGCTCTGGACACTCCACCGTGCCTATGGAAGGCGGCTTCGTCCTGAACGTCTGTGGAGCTAGGCTTGACGTCATCCGTGTTCGTCGGGCCCCATCATACAGAGTGCATACCGTGGCTATGAGCACATGTCATCGTCAGAACCTGCCGTTCGGCATGACTCGGCACTACTGCTCCTCCACGCCGCCGCCGCGCAGCACGCTGCGCACCGCGCCCTCGAGCTTGGGGTCCATCTCGCGCGCCGTCGTGAATGCCACGACGGCGTCCGCGTTCCGGCGCATTTTGAGGTAACACTTGCCCAGGAGCAGATGCACGTCCGGCTCGTCCGTCGCGCTGCGCGCGACAGGCTCGAGCTCCGTGATGCCCTCCTGCACGCGCCCGAGCGCGATCAACACCCGCGCACGCTTGTACCGCGTCACAAGCCGGTCGACGTCGTGCTCGAGCGCGACGGCGCGGTCAAACTCGGCCAGCGCACCCACGAGGTCGCCGCCGCGCTCGAGCGCCTCGCCGAGCGCGCAGAGCAGCGGCGCGCTCGACGGGTTGATCTCGCTCGCGCGCCGGAAGTGGTGTTCTGCATGCCGCCACTTCCCTTGGCGGAAATACACGTGCCCCAAACCATACCATGCGGCCTGTTCGCGCGCGTCTGTCCGGATCGCCGTGCGGTAGAACGCGATCGCCCGGTCCGTCTCCTCCGTCATCCACGCTTCGTGCCCGCACAGCGTCCACGCCGTCGCGCGGCCGGGGTCGACTTGCGTTGCGCGCCGGAAGAGCCGCGCGGCTTCTTCGTGCTGCTTCAACACGCTCAGCGTGTTGCCGGATGCGATCCACGCCTCCGCGCTCTCCCGGTCCACGCTCATCAGGCGCTGCGAGAGGTCCGAAAGCGCCGTCGCGTCGTTCATGTGCCACAGGAGCGTCGAGTACATGTCCATCTGCGCCAGCGTGTACGGCTCGAGCTCGAGCAGGCGCTGGAACACGCGCGCACCCTTCTTGTACTCGGACATGAAGTAGAAGCTCTTCGCCATGAGCCGCAGCACGAACGGCGACGCTTGCAGCTCGCGCGGGAGCGCATCAATCTCCGCTAGCGCCTCCCGGCACTGGTAGAGGCTCAGGGCGCGGTACACGCGCCCGCAGCGGCGCACGATGTCGCGCAGCCACTCGTCTACGGCCGCGGCGGTTTGCGCCTCCAGCGTTCCCTGGTTCTGGTTCGCCTCGTGCCCCGACCCCGACGACGCCACGGACTGTGATCGCGTCGAGCGCTTCTCGCGCGTCGTGACGCGCGACGTCGTCGTCTTGCCCGTGTTTAGGCGCGAGCTGCGGCGCACTGGTGGATCGAGCATCTTGTCGCCGCCGTTGATCTCCATGGACCGTAGATCACGGTTGAGCCGCGACTCGATCGCCATCCCGCCGACAGGCGTGTCAGACATCTTCAGGTTGTGTCCTCCGCGAGGCCGCTTCATGGCTGGTGGCGCCTTGGCGGGACCTTGCTCCATCGCGGGCGTCGAGCGCAGGCCAGGGATGAACTGCTGTATCAGAGTCGGCATGCGAGCGCGCCCGTTCGTGGGCTCGCCCATTGCAGAGAACGTAGTGTCGCCCATGGCTGAACCGGGAGAGCTGCAGTCAGTATTTTCCAGCATCGCAACTCACTCCCACCCTGCCATGCTCCCCATCATGTGTACACGCGACGGCACGGCGCCTGCTCCTGCGTCGGGAGTGAACAGGCTGGCGCTTGCAGGTGCGCCCATAATCGGGCTCAATTGGCGTCGGCTGAGAAAGTTTGGAACTTCAGAGGCAGAGCTACGCGGCATGGGCCCCGGCGATAATGTGGGTTGCCGCGATGCTCGCTGCGACGACGACGTGCGCATCATACTTGGTGGGTCGGTGAACACGGCATCCGCAGGAGGCGCAGCGCCTGTTGTCAGCCAGAGCGCCTCGTCCAGCAATACTCACCAATATCACAGAGGCCCGTAAACGCCTCCCACAGCCATGGGTCATCGGTGAGCGCCCGTGTGTAGTACTCGATTGGTGTGCCTGGCGTCGAGGCCTTGCTCTTATGTGAGAGCTGAGCGGCGAGCAGCGATGCCGTGGCGGCCGTTTCAATGGTGTTGTGACTTGGGAGTGCTGGTGTCAGTGTGCTCCGTGCGCTGATCGGCGACTTGCTCAAAGGCACGCTGCGTCGTATCGCGCGATCCAGGACTGCCTCGCCCTCCGTGTACCGTCCCAGCTTGGCGCAGCACTTTGCGACGATGACAGCACACCCGTAGCAGCCTGGGCGGCGAGCAGGAATACCGTTCTCGTAGTCTGGTATGTCGTGTGAGGGGTCGGCGTCCGCATCAGCAAACTCCCGCACGAGGTCAAGCGCTGGGTAGGTGTTTCCGCTCGCGAGCTGGACGAGGGCGAGGACGTGGACGCTGTCGTGCTCCAGCTCGGTGGGAGGGAAGTAGGCGCGATACTGGTACGCATAGAAGAGTGCTGAGGCGGGGGGTTGGGTGAGGGCGAGTGTGCGTAGCCGCTGGGCGAGATGGGGTCCCGAAGGTCGCGGTGCCATGGTGCTGGAGTGAGGGAAAGGTGGTTGTCGAGCGGTGGAAGGGGAGGGAGGGGTGCAGTTGAGAGGGAGAGAGACGTCGAAGACGTAGATGTGTGCTGATTCGAATACAGAAGAGGTGATGAATGCGATGCAGGATGTGAAGAATGAGCTAAGATGATGATGAGAGTCTGGCGAGAGACAGTCGAGTGGAGGCTACGAGGGCGAGGTGTTGTTGTTGATCCAGATGACCCGAAGGAATTACACCTGTATATGAAAACCACGTGGTTTTGACTGATAAGCTAAATGAGGCCACGTGGAAGGACGCGTCGCATAACGTGTCACCCCCCCGTTCACCCTCAACTCGTCGATCTCCAACTCTCCTCCATCTCCTCATTTCCCATCCCCTCTCTCGTAAACATGAACGTGAGTCGCTTCTCCTTGCTCACACCGATCGCCCCAGCTGACAATCCAGCAGCCACCACCGCCCACCGCCGCCCAGGCCTACCCCAACGTCAACCCTTACCCCGCCCCCGGCGCACAAGAGGGCCCCTCGCCGGCATCGCCCCCTCCCCCCGCCGCTGGTCCCGGCGCTGGTTTCCCCATGCGCTCAGGACTCGCGGGCATGCAGCCACACAGCATGGCCACCGCCCCCTCCTACGTTCCCGGAACGGGCGCGGGCATCCGCGGTGGGCTGCCAGAGGAGAAAAATGTCTTTGATGCACTCAAGGAGAACACGAATGTCTACGCCCGCCGCTGGCAGGCGCTGCTGGACCGCTCGACGCCGCACACGATGGAGCGTTGGCTCGGGACCGTGACGCTCTTCATCCTGTTTTCGCTCAGCGTCGTCGTCCGACAGGGATGGTACATTGTCATGTGTGCGTGGGAACTCGGGTGTCGCTGACGGCAGATGCGCTGTGCATTTACATCTTGAACCTGTTCCTCGCGTTCCTCCAGCCGCGCTTTGACCCGTCGCTTGCGGCGGATCTCGCTGCCGACGACGTCGAGGAGGGAGCGCCTGGTCTTCCGGGCTCTGAGCGCCCCAAAAGCTCGGACGGCATCCGCGGGCTTCTCTCGGGCTTCTCAAGCAACAATGACGACGAGGAGTTCCGCCCCTTCATCCGCCGTCTTCCAGGTGGGTGCAGCGCCGAGATTTCGGGGAATGAGCTGACTCTCAGAGTTCAAGTTCTGGTACTCGGCGACCAAGGCCGTTGTCATCTCGCTCGCATGCACCATCACCCGTGCGACCGATGTTCCTGTTTACTGGCCTATCTTGCTCATCTACTTCTGTGTCCTGTTTGCCCTAACTATGCGCCGCCAGATCCAGTGAGCTTGTTCGAGGACACGCGAGGAAGAGCAGTACTGACGGCAGGCACATGATCAAGTACAAGTACATCCCCTTCGATCTGGGCAAGAAGCGCGGCTACGGCAAGAAGTAGAGTGATTTACTAGCAAACCGAGCAGCCGGAAACTGCAAGACCGCGTGAGATGCGACGCAAACACGTCGGAAACCCTCCTCTCATATGAGGAGGCGCCGCACCGATTGGGAGTATGGATTTTTGGACGCCCACCCGTGCGGCTCACTACACATAGACTGAGAGTGCATTGACGGATGCATGTCCTGGGGTGATGATGATGCATGACCGAGTGATTGTGATGCGCAGCTCCCGGTAATACCTCGCGTTGCTACCGTCTGTGCACGATACGGCGTGCTCGGCCAAGACGTGGGCGGAGCTGGTATTCGCCACCCACAGCCGCTATATGGGGGGACGCAACAATGTCTCTCGAAAGTCCGTCATCTTGTTGTTGTCGCAGTGTAGTTCATCTCGTACTCCCTCCTACCACACTGCAGCACAATGGGCAAGAAGGGCTCAGGCGACCCCATGCAGGCCTTCCGTGAGTCCCACTCTGACAGCGAGCGCTAATTTTAGGCAAGGCGGAGAAAGCGAAGCAGCTGAAGAAAAACAAGGCGCAGCGGAAGGAGACGCGCGAGAAACAAGCCGTGTGGCGGGACACGCGCGACCTCGAGACGGACATTGCGCACTTGAAGGCCCGCACGCTCGACGACGAAGGCAAGGCGCGCCTCGCAACGCTCGAGAGCGAGCTGGCCTACGTCATGAAGCTCAAGGAGAAGTACGTCGCCGAACACCCCGAGTCCAAGGACAAGGTGTACCACACGCGCGAACAGCGCGAGCAGCGCGAGCGCCCGCGCGCGGCCCGGCCCGACCCCACCGCCCACCTCTACAATCCGGACGGGACGCTGCGCGATCCCAAGCGCAGCATATACTACGACGCGACGTACAACCCCTTCGGCGTGCCGCCGCCGGGCATGCCATATGCTGAGCGGCGTAAGCTCTCTCCATTCACCGCTGACACCAGCGCCGTCCGACGACTCGGACTCTGACGACTCTGACTCGGACAGCGACATCGTCATGCCCGACGGCCCGCGGCCGGACGAGAGCGACGCCGACAGCGATAGCGACGACAGCGACGACAGCGACGACATCCCCCTCCCCGCCGGCCCGCCGCCGCGCCCCGTCCGCCCACCCTTCCGCCCGCCCCCCCGACCCCCACGTACGGGCTGGGGCCACCTGATGCCCGGCGCCGCGCAGCCCGGCGCACCTGGCGCGCCCGCGCGGCCCGTCCGACCACCCCCTCCATCCTTCCCCGTCCGCCCGTCCTCCCTTCCCCCCCGCCCGCCCTCTCTCCCCGCCAAGCCCGGCACCGTCTCCGGCCCGAGGCCCGCCGCACCAGCAGCCGCGCCCGCAGCAGCAACGATCAGCGCGGCGCCGCAGCTGCGCGACTTGCGCAAAGAGGTGACAGTGTTTGTGCCGCGCGCGGCGCGGAAGCGGGCCCCGGGCGGCGTGACGGTCAATGCGACGCCGGGGGCGGGCGTCGTAGATGCCGACGGGGACAGTGTGCGCGTGCGCGCGGCACGGCCGGGGCTTATGGACAAATTGGGGCGCGTACTTGGTGACGAGGAGAAGAAGGACCAGACGGAGGAAGAGTATGAGCGCTTCCTTGCCGGGTTGTAGCAGGCTGAGGGAGTGCAGGAGTCAGCGAGACGGAAGTGACAACGCCGACCGCGAAGCGCACGGCCTTGCTATCAATCAATGCAGCATGCAGCACATGAACTAATACAACATTAAGGCAGCCTGACGCCGCCGCTCCCGAATATGCGCCCGATGATCGTCCTCCGCGGCGGCGCGTCGTCCCATGCCGCCAGCGTTGCCGCGACGTCTTCGCTCGGCCCGGCGGGCAGCGACATGCGCACTCTGGTGCGCGTCGGTCTGCTGGCGCCAGCCTCGGACTGGGCGCGCGCTCTCCTCTGCGACGGGGAGGGGAGGGCCGGGCGCTGAGAGATGGACGGCGAGCGCTGTGGAATAGCCGGCGAGCGGTGCGAGATGCTGTTCGAGCGCAACGCGAAGCCCGGCGACGCGGCGCCGATCCCGAACGCGAAGCCCGTCGGCAGGCCACCCGTCGGCGCGAGGTCGGGGATGAGCGTGCCGTACCGCGGCCGACGGCGGCGCGGCTGTGTCGGCGACACGGGGCTGCCTGTGCCTGTGTAAGGCCCCGTGCCGATGTTGGCGGAGGCCGCCGCGGCTGCGTCTATCCGGCTGAGCTTGGGCGGCGGGGAGCGCACGCTCGGCGCGCTTACGGGGTGGTCGTGGTCGTGTATCTGCGTGCTGTCCGCGTCTGAGACTGTGACGGCGCCGTGCGCGGGCTCGAGCACCTCGTGCGCGTCGTCGTCTGGCTCGTCCACCACCGCCTCCTCGAACCATGTCTCGTGGTCGTGCACCCACTCCTCCTCGGCCCATGTGCCAACCTCGACGCCACCGTCGCCGGTCGGCTGCACGGCCGAAACAGCCCACACTCCCACGAGAAGGACAGCGACGCCAATGGAGACAAGAACGACCTGATGCGTGCTCAGCCGTCCCAGTTGGTCATAGTAGACCAGCCCGTCTGCTGTCAGCTCGATCAACGAGGGGACGCACCAAAGATCGAGGCCAGGTTGTAGAAGCAGAATGCAAGAGGACAGATGAGAGCCGGCGAGGCAAACGCCAGACTGTAGTTGAGGTAAACGAGCTGGAGAACGGCGGCGACGACGAGACCCGCGACCAAAAACCAGGTCTGAATACGTGCAAACTCGTTCTGGCCGCGGCCCGTGCTCCAGTGCTCGATGGTGGCGATGACAAGCTCGACAGCAGACTTGGCGAGCACTAAGCAGAGGCCAGACAGCGTGCCGCTTGCCGCAGCAAACGCGAGCCCGCAGAACATGAGCGTGCGGTCTTCGGGCCGCTCGAGCTCGGCAAAGCGCACGGTCTTGTCGGCTCCATTCTCGTTGATGCCGATGCCACTTATGCTCGAGATGGAACCTTGCGGCGACCCGCTAACGGGCCGGAAGGGGATAGCGGCCTCGGCTTGCGGACTGGCGTAGTTACTCGGAGCATCGTCGAGGCGGATAGCCCCACGCTGCGCGCGCCGCTGCACACGCCATGCAGTCATGTGCGCGGCAGCGAGCACCAATGCGATGGCGAGACATATGATGACGAAGAAGGCTATGAAAGGGCCGCGCGCCCACAATCGCAGCAGTTCGTCCAGGCTGTGGTTGCCGTCAGGTACGACGCCAAAGATGGCGATGAGGACTGCTCCGGTGGCGATGAACACGGTGCCGAGGAGCATAGCGGAGGTGAAGCTCTCGCCAAGGAGGACATGGGCGAGCACGCTGTTCCATAGCAGCGACACGCCACCGAGCGGCGCAAGCACGACTATTGGAAGCGCACCGATTTGGAAGACTGAGGTTAGCGCCAGAGAGACGCATGGACGCACCGGACCCAAAGATGTTACTGGAGATGTAGATGGCGAAGCCGACGATCCAAAGCGGGCGGCGCACAGCGCGTGTGCGCTGCTCCAGCGGAAGGGCCTCGTCTTGCACGTGCGACTTGCGCTGGATCGTGAGACCTGGTGTTAGCGCTGTAGAGAAGAGACGCACCGAGCGACTGGATGAACGAGCAGGCCAAGCCAACGACGATGGCCAGCGCTACCGGGACGCCCATGGTGGAGGTGAATACGGGCGCAGCGCGCAGGCTTACGCGGGGCTCATGAACCTGGGGACGAAGGGAGAGAGGGAGTGTATCGGCGAGAGTGTGATGTGAGTGAGCGCTGGCGCGCCGATGGCTTGAGGAGATGAAGAGGAGTGAAGAAAAGATGTGATGCAAGTGCTGCAAGTGGTGCTGGAGCATCCAAGCTCAGGCTCAGCCGAGTGGCAATCGAGACGCGTGGAGCATAAGTGGAATTGCCGCCCTGACAACTTCGCGACGTTACCATCAAGCCTCACTCCCGCACCTGGCTTATGGAACGCGGTGCAGCATCGCTTAGACGGTGAGCAGCAAGTTCTAGGTGGCGCAGGCAACGCGTCGACATGGACATGGATATGAGGCTGCTGAGGACGACGAGGGCGGTGGCATGAGTGGCAAGCCCAGATTCATCACACATCGCAGATGACATGGTTGCTCCGCCAGGGATTCGAACGCCTCAAGCAAGCGGATCCAAATACACGTGGCCCCCGCTCATCTTGCATCTTGGATCTTGGATGCAACTCTCAGTTGTTGCTGCAGGTGACACTTCTTCTTCTTCTGCCTCTATCCTCGACAACACTCGGTCAACATGGGCAAGTACTACTGCGAATACGTATCAAAACAGTCTGAAGAAGAATGCTGACACCTTCCGCCTCCTCTCCGGATGCTCCTTGCTCTCTCGCTTCTTTCTACGCCGATTGTTGATTCTTTGGTTCGCCCTGCACTTACTGCGATATGTGAGTGGTTGAGGCCGTCAATCCACCCCAGGCAAACTGACAGCAGCTATTTGTGAGTCTCAATGGTGGCTCGCGTGTCGACTCTAGAGGACGTAAACGCCTCTCCTTGCGCACCAGCGCTCGTTGCGCGCCGCTCATACCAGGACGCACGACTCGATGAACGCGCGCAAGGCGCACAACACGGGTCGCAACCACATCGCAAACGTGCGCGACTACTTCGCCAACCTCGGCCGCGATGGAACCCAGAGCCATATCGACCAGATCGTCAACAGCCACGAGGGTGGTGGTCGCGCGCAAATGTTCGCCGCACCCAGTATGCGCCTTGGTGCTGGGTTCATGAACCCCATGGCGACTGCACCGCAGGGAGGTAAGCACATGGATGCTGGCTGCAGGGCCTGGCGTTCTCATTGCGGACGCCGCAACTCTTGCCGACCTCGCTAACCTCAGGCTCCGCCTACCCGCCGTTCCAGGGCGGCGCACCTGCTGCTCCTCCCTTCCCACCGCGTCCACCTTTCCCGCCTCAACAAAACCAGCAGTTCGGTGGCGGTGGTCCTCCTCCTTTCCCCCCTCCTGGCGGTGTGATGCCTCCCTTCCCTCCTCCCGGGCAGAACCGTGGCGGCCCAACCCGCCCCCCACCCAACTTTACGCCGCAGCAGGGCCCGCCCCCCGGCGGCAACCCAGGCGTGCACCCAGACCGGATGCGCATGATGAACCACTAGATCTAGATGCGGTTTACATGTAATACTAGTGTGACAGAGAACCCAAAAATCTACTCATCGTCGGCCTTGAGGTGCGCCGGCAGCTTGCCAGTGCGCGTCTTCTGCTCGCGCCACTTGCGATTTGTGGTTTCGGGTGTGTCTCCCATCGGGCGCTGGGCGACCGGGTGCCATGTTTTGGTGTGGAACGTCTCGCCTGCACCCGTCACGACGTGGTTCGTGTCCTCGAGCAGCGTGGGCTCGCCCAGCACCTCTTTGACGCGGCGCAGCGCGCCGCCGACCTGCCACGCGCGGATCTCGGCCTCCTGCCGCGCGCTCTCGAGCTGGCGCTCGAACTGGTCGAGGCCCGTCTCAGCCTCGGCGCGGACTTTCTCGCGCGCCTCGCCCTCGAGGTCACCCCACGGCCCGTCGTACGGCCCGAAGCGCCAGTCCAACGTGCCCGGCTTGTACTCGCACCGGTGCAGCGTCAGCGGCAGCGGATGCCCCATATTGTACCCCGGCTTGCCGGGGAAGCGGTGGACATCGAGCAGGTCCGAGACGATGGAGGGCTGCTCGAGCCCCGAGCCGACGAGGAAGAGCACGGCGATAATGTGCCGTACCTGGTGCCACAGGAAGGCGGTGCCGATGAGGTTGAAGACGATCTGGTCCGGCAGGGGCCCGGGCTCGAACCACGCCTTGATGACGCGCCGCGAGTGGTTCTCGATCTGCTTGCTGCCGTCGAGCTTGCAGAAGTTTCGGAAGTCGTGCTCGCCCAGCAGGAGCGCGGCGGCCTCCTCCATCCGCTGCAGGTCGAGCGGGGGGCGGCCGTGGATCGCGTGCTGGTGGAACGCATACTTGTAGTGCCTGTATTCTGTCGAGAAGCGCGAGTCAAAGTCGGCGGCGACGGGCGACCAAGCGAGAATGCGGATCGAGGGTGGGAGGACGCCGTTCAGGAGGCGGGGGTAGGCAATCTCGGCGGGCTCGCTCTTGGGTTGCGGCTTGGGCTCCTTCTTCGTCTTGGCCTTGGCCTTCGCCGTCGACTCTGATCCTTCAGCCTCAGCAGCCTCGCCCCCCTCAGGCTCCGCCTTCACCGCGGCGGGCTTCGGCGGCTTCTCCTCCGTGGCGGCACGCCACCCGTCGCCGAGCGCATACCCCCCGTCCCCCTCCTTGCGATTACTCCGGATCCAGAGGCTCAGCACCTGCCCTTCGCCACTCACGCCGCGGTCGGTCCGCCCACAGCGGCTGAACCCGCACCCCTCCCACCCCTTGCCTGGCTCGACGAGGCGACACTTCTCGAGAGCTTTCAGCAGCTCGCCCTCGACCGTGTCGAACGCGCTCGTCGGCTGGATCGCGAGGCCCGAGTACGGCCAACCATGATACGCGACGAGGAGCGCAACGTGGCGCGTGGGGTGGACGCCGAACGAGAACGTCTTCCCGTCGTCCTTGTGCTTTTTCTTCCTGCTTTTGGATTCGGCCGGCGTAGGCGCAGGCGCAGTCGCAGACGGAGCGGCAGCGGCAGCGGCCGCGGCCGCAGGCGTCTTGGCAGGCGGGCCGTGTTTCTCGTACGCGTACAGGCGAGCGACGAGCTGCTCGCGTGACAGCTCTGCGTACCGGTCCATGACTTTGCGAAGCTGGGCTGTGCTGGCGAGAATGCGCATGCAGCAGTCACGAGATGTGGAGCGGGGTGAGGTATGCCAAGGCCGACTGGCTGCTTCTCGTTGCTGTGGTGTTTGTTGAAGATGAGATTGAAATTTCAGAAGCGCAGAGGGAGGAACGGTTAGGCGGGTTAATCCAGCGCCCGGGAATTGTAATCAGCATGATTAGCCTGTGCCTGGCGGATCGAATGATCGAATCGACAATGACGAAAGGGGCGGCGGCCGCACAAGTTGAGCGGCGACGAGTGCTGGCCTCGTCGTCTTCATCTTTGCGTCCATCGCCACCATCTCATCCTCTCACAGCCCACAACCAGCACACGACTAGCACACACCCCGATCTGCTTGCATTGCCCCTTGCGCTGCACACTCTCCTCCCCGGTTGTACTCGCGTCATCACAGACATTTTCCCGACACCATGGCCTCCGGCAACGGCCAACAAGGCCGGTCCAAGGCCCAGCCCGAGCGGCGGCCCCGCGAGCGCACGCCGTGGCTCCTCCTCCTCCCCGTCGTCCTAATCTTCCCCTATATTCTCAGCAGACTGCACTACGCACTCCCCGCGCCCCAGCCCCCGGTGTATGTCGCACACTGACTCCGCTGACGCCCAGAGACGCAGAAGGCCGCCCTCAACCCAGTGAGGAGATTGTTATTGGCCACATCCAAAAGTTGGAGGATATTGGCTACCGTACCGTCGGGACTGAGGAGGCCGTGCGCGGCGAGGAGTATGTGATCGCCGAGGTGCGCAAGATCGAGGAGCGGTGCAAGGCAAATGGTGTGCTCGATTGCGAGGTCTGGATCCAGCGCGGCAACGGGTATCACGAGTGCGTCGGGAGGCCGGCAGTGCTAATGGCAGGTTCTCGATTATGGGCCACGACGTGCTCAAAGTTTATGCTGGCATTCGCAACGTTGTCCTCCAGATCCGCGCTAAGAAGCCCCTCACACCGCGCACCCTCAAGAAGGACGCTATTCTTCTCGGCTCGCACATCGATTCGACTCTGCCTTCGCCCGGCGCTGCCGAGTGAGTGATTTTCAGAATTAGCTGACAGCAGCGACGGCATGGGAGTTGGTGTCATGCTCGACGTTGCGCGCGTCCTCGTCGATCGCAATGAGCCCTTCGACAACTCGGTCATTTTCAGTGGGTTTATTTCTTGAGAGGTTACTCACCGCAGTGTGGAACGGCGGCGAAGAGACGCTACAGGACGGCTCGCACCTCTACTCGACACAGCACCCCACTGCCGCCGAGTGAGTCACCCAGATCCCAACTCCGCGGAAGATCATGGCTAACGGCAGGGTCCGCGCGATGTTCAACCTCGAGGCGGCGGGCACGACCGGCGGCGCCCTCCTGTTCCAAGCCACAAGCCAGGAGATGATCGACGCATTCTCGCGCGCCCCGTATCCGCGCGGCACGGTGATTGCTGCCGATGTATTCTCGAGCGGCATTATTCTCTCCGACACCGACTTTGGTCAGTTTGAGGAGTACCTCAACGTCTCCGGCCTCGACATGGCCGTCGTGGGACACAGCTACTTCTACCACACCCGCAAGGACAGCACCCAGTTTATCGAGGTCGGCACAAGCCAGCACTTCACGTCCAACGCCATGGCGATTGTCGACTACCTCCTCTCGCCTGGCTCGCCGCTCGGAGCCGCGGGCGAGTGGTCGCCCCCCGACGTCGTGTACATGTCGCTGTACGACCGCATCTTCCTCTCCTGGACAATGAAGAATGCGGACAAGGCCTACCTCGCCATCACCGCCGTCATTGCCGCCATTACCCTCGCCAACATCCGCCGCGAACGCGGGCGCGCATTCGCCATTGCCCTCCTGGGCGCCCCTCTTGGCTTGGCCGGCGGTCTGATCACCGCCAACATCGTGGCTTTCGTCATGTCTGCCTCTGGCAACCAGATGGGATGGTGTGTTTCTTACGCTTGGGTTCAGCTGACATCAGGTTTTCGCACGAGGGACTCCCTGTCGCTCTGTACGGCCCTGCCAGCGTCCTCGGCCACCTGGCAACGCAGCACGCGCTCTCGGCGTTGATCTCACCTGCGCACCGTGTATTTCTCGAGCACGCGCACTACTACTCGCAGCTGGTTTCGCTCGCGGTGTGGATGCTTATCCTGCAGGCGTTCCGCGTCCGCTCAGCCTACCTGTTCGCAGGGATCGCGTGTACTGTCCTTCTTGGAGCGTTTGTCACCGAGGCGCGCACTCTCGTGTTTGGAGGGCGCAACCGGGCTCTCCCCTTCATTGGCGCTTACATCATGCCTCTTGTCCTCCTCCTCGCGCTTGCCATGGAAGCTTACACGACGGTAAGCCCACCGGCCAGCCCCGCTGACCCAGACTCTCGACATCTTCGTCCCTCTCACCGGCCGCATGGGCAAGGACGCACCGGTCGAGCACATCATTGCGATTATCACATCAGTGTGCACGCTCGTCTTCTTCCCCATCATTTCGCCGCTGTTCTCGCGTATCTCGCGCGCGACCCAGCGCAAGGTGCTCGTCGCTCTGGTAGTAGTGACGCTCGGCGTGGCTGCGCTCTTCGCATCCCCCTTCTGGTCGCCCTACGACTTCATGCACCCGAAGCGCCTGGGTGTACAGTACACATACAACCACACGTCGGGGCAGGAGACGGCGCACATCGCGTTCATGGACACGGGCCGCAACAGCGCGGTCATGAAGGAGCTGCACGACCAGTTCGGCGGCGGCGCCGCGCTCGTGCGCACCGAGCAGGCGGACGACAACGCCGACTGGGACGTGCTGTACCCCGTCTCGAGCTTCCTCGAGACGTACTCGTTCGCGCTGCCGAAGACGACGTTCGACTGGCCCGAGATGACGTTTGAGGCGACGCGCGAGAAGACAGCGCACGGGCACACGCGCATCCACATCAAGACGGAGCACGAGGGCCTCGTGTGGCCCGCGCTTTCGTTTGACGCCGACCTCGTAGACTGGAGCTTCGACTTTGACCCGCCGCACGGGCGCAAGCGCCACCACATCAAGGCCGCGGCCTCGGTGGACGAGCATGTCATGGAGCTCGAGCTGATCATGCGCCTCAAAGACGACGAGCCGTTCCACCTGCACTGGAGCGCGATGGGTGGGTCCTGGGTCCTGGACGATGCACAGCTGACGCTAGACCTCAACCAGATGGTGCCCGGCACGGCGCCGCGGCGCGGCCCCAACATGCCCGCGTCCAAGTGGCTGACGGCGATGGACGAGTGGGCGCGCGAGCGCTACGCCGGCGGCATCGACATCTGCATGAATGGCGTCGTGGTGGGCGTGCTCACCCTCTGAGACCATCAGATCTACATACAGTGTCTAGAATGAATACATGTTACGCCAACTTGGGCGAGTCGGCGGGGACGCTGGGCGCGAATGTCGACCCCGGCCGGCTGAGGCCGCCCATGAGCGACAGGCTGCCGAGGCGCGGGCGCGGTGTGAAGCTCGGCGTGCCCTGGTTGAGGGGCGAGAGGGCCGCGAAACCAGCAAGCGGCGTGCCCAGTGGTGTGGGCTGGACTGGTGCAGGTTGTGGCGGGGGAGCGTTGGGGCGGACGGTGGCGGCAGCGAGGGCTTCGAGCGTCTTAGCTTCCGCCGCGGCGTCGTGTGCTGGTCTCGAACTCGCCGCGAGCGTGTTGACGCTCGACAACGCCGCTCGCGTGGCCGCAAGCGCATTAAACAGGTGCCAGTCGGGCGTTGCCTGCTCCTTCTCCTCCTTCCGGCTCTTTTCTTTATCCTTGCCCTCGCCCTTCCCCTCCTTGTCCTTGTCCTTGTCCTTGTCCTTGTCCTCGCCCTCCTCCTTCTCCTTGTCCTTCATCTCCTCGTCCCCGTCCTCCTTCTTGCTCTCGCCCGCGACCCACATCCGCGCTGCGCGCGGATTCGCCGGTGGCCGCGCGGCCTCGAGCATCCCCAACGTGCGCTCCAACAGCGCGTTGGCATTGCCCACTCGTGTACGCACCACCGTGTGCAAGTTCGGCGCCATATAGATGCGTTCCTGCAGAATGAAGTAGGCGTGGGTCGGCGGCCCGCGCCGCCCCACGCCCGTCACGAGCCGCCGGTGAATAACAAAAAGGTCGGGCGGGCGCGCGTGTGCCACAACGTACTCGAAGCCACCGGTGAGACCGAGCAGGCCGCTGATGTTAGAGCGCGGGCATGGGCGAAGGTTGGAAGGGGAGGGGATGGGGGGAGGGAGGGGGAGGACTTACATGCGCTCTTGGGCACTGCCGTACCCCGGATCAGCAATGTTCTGGGTGCGCAGGACACCGTTGTTGCTTTGCGGGTCCCAGAAGGGGGAGAAGGCGAAGTAGTCCATTGCGAGGTCGGCGTTGGCAAGGGAGCGGGCGGGGTTGGCGGCGATGGCCTCGGGCCATTGCCTGGCGTAAGCTGGTGCCAGAAGAGATGTGCACGACGCTCACCAGTGGATGTGAGCAAGATCCTGCTCTCGATCTTCTTCCATGGTGCGAGTGATGTTGTTGAAGACGCCGTTAGAAGGTTGTCTCCAAGTTGGTTGACCTCCACCGGCAGTTTGATTCCGCTCTGCATGACCAGCATCACTGACATGAATGACTTGAGCTATGAACGAAACGAGGACTGCAGTTGGCTTTGGAAAAGTGTAGATAAGCAGAGCCGCCTCGACTGCCCAGCCCGTGGCGCGCAATCAGCAAGATCTGCTGCATCTATCACCTCCTTCTGCCTCAGCCAGCAACAATGTCTCCTCAACGACCACCTCTGCCGCCCAGCCCAGCCCCCGCTCTGACATCCCAGTCTCGCCCCCCGGCACTTCCTCCACAGTCCCGTCCGCTAGTCACCCACCCAACCTCACACCCTGCCCCACCCGTCTACTGGCGAGAGAAGAATACATCGGGCTAAGGATACCCCTCGCGGCACCGTCACCCCTGAAGACCCATCTTAGTTCTTGAGCTTCTTCTTGGGGCGGAGCTGCGAGGTGTGGCCGCACTTCTTCTTGCGGCAGTTGGTCGCACGGGGAGGGAGGCGGGCGTAGCACTTGCGGCAGATCTGCTTGTCGCAGTTGTACTTGGACGCAAGCACCTTGAGCGAGGGCTCAATGATACCGCCACGGAGGCGGAGGACGAGGTGGAGGGTCGACTCCTTCTGGATGTCTGGGGTTAGCGTGCTTGCGAGAAATAGGGTTGAAGCGAGCGCGCAGGCGGTCCAAGCTGCCTGCGCTGGGCCACGCAGGTAGGGTGTGCGGATACTCACTGTAGTCCGAAAGGGTGCGGCCGTCCTCGAGCTGCTTGCCGGCGAAGATGAGACGCTGCTGGTCGGGGGGGATGCCCTCCTTGTCCTGGATCTTGGACTTGACGTTGTCGATCGTGTCGGAGGACTCGACCTCGAGGGTGATGGTCTTGCCCGTCAGAGTCTTGACGAAGATCTGCATCTGGAGGTTAGTGCGCGAACGGGGCATGTGCGGGCAGCGGCGCAGCGACGCGACGCGACGATGGCGAAGCAGAGGGGCGAGTTGGGCGGTCCAAAATACGCGGTCGGCGCGATAGGAGCGAGAAGGGTCGGGCGAGCAAAGTCCGAGGGGGGTGGGGAGGAAAGTCGGCGGCGAGGTCGTTACGCGCGCGCGCAGAGGCAATATCTTCCGGTCCACCGCCAACAACCTCACAATGAAAACGAGCGCGCACGTCGACAATTCACTCGTCGTCGATGCGCGCCCCCTCCCATCAACCGTCCCTCCAGATCTTGGTCATCAAGACCACCCTCCTCGCCTCTCTGCGTCCTCCAGCCTCTGCGCGCGCGCTCGCGGATGTTCGTTGTCCCGTTCGTGTCGGCCCCATTCGATTGCCGTCGCGTCGTCGTCGCTGCCGGCTGCGAGGACACTCACGGTGGTCGGATCGGCTCGTTGACGGATGAGAGTCCAACAGTCGCCATATTCCGCCAGACCTCGCCGCCGGGGGAGCAGGCTGGCGGCGAAACTGGCAGTCGGCGTTTCGACAATTTGGCGGCATCCCAATGTGGCACTCGTGGTCATGTAGTCACGTGATCTATCCACGTTTCAGGCACATCCGGAACGAGTGTTGATCCGGCAAGATGCATGCCGAGAGCCGAGCTCGCCAGACTGCCGCCATCTTCCGCTCGGTATACCCGTACATATAAGGTGACAGGCCATCGAGGCCATCATGCATCTGCATTGCCTCCCCACCGTCTCACCGCCTCGCCATGTTCGTCCGCGCCCGCCTCCCCGCCGTGCGCGCGCTCACGCGCGCCTACTCCGCCCCCTCGGCGCAGCACGCGCTTCTCCGCCCCGCGTCCGAGCTCGTGTCCGGCGATGACCTGGACGGCATCCAAGTGCTCGTCCTGAACCGGCCGGACGCGCGCAACGCCCTTTCGCGCCAGATGGTCGACGAGCTCCGCGACTACATCTCGCGCCTGTCGGCGGGTAATGCGCGCGTCGCCATCCTCCATTCGCTCGGGCCAGTGTTCTGCGCCGGCGCCGATCTCCGCGAGCGCAAGGGCATGAGCCAGCCCGAGGTCGCCCGCTTCCTCGACGACCTCAACGCCATGGTGTGCGAGCTCGAGGCCCTCCCCATCCCCACTGTCGCGGCTGTGCCGGGGCCCGCGCTTGGCGGCGGCACCGAGCTCGCACTCGGGTGCGACCTCCGCACCGGGCAGAAGGAGACGAGCTTCGCCCTCCCAGAGACCAAGCTCGGCATCATCCCGGGCGCTGGAGGGACGCAGCGCATGACCCACCTTCTCGGCAAGAGCAAGGCTATGGAGCTCATCTTCACCGGCCGCCGCGTGAGCGCGGACGAGGCCGTTCGTCTTGGTAGGTCCTCGACGCGACAGGAGCATGGTAGGGAAGCTCTCAGCTCACGCCAGGCCTCATCGACGTCATGGCCAAGGACGGCCAGTCGGCCCTCGAGGCCGCCATTGACCTTTCCAAGCTCATGCTCACCTCTGGTATGTTTGGTCCTTGGTCCTACCCGCTTGGCCCGCTTTGCTGACTACAGCTCCCCTGTCCCTCCGCGCCGCCAAGCAGGCCATCAAGAGCGCACCCGGAACGCCCATTGAGCAGGGCATCAAGAACGAGCGTGCGGCTTACAACACTCTCCTCGAGACCGAGGACCGTCTCGAGGGCCTCCGCGCCTTCGCCGAGAAGCGCAAGCCCGTCTTCCAGGGCAAGTAAAATACAACGGTTGTATGCATATCGATGTGTATCTGCCTAATCTTTGTACCCCTGGTTCAGCCGATCTCGGCACGCACAAGCGAGCCTACTACGAGGCAGGCGTAGCCGAGGCGGCCGTCGAGCGGCGGCGCTTGGCGCGCGACTCGCGCTCCCAGGTCTCAGCCTCCTCGATGAGCGCGCGGTGGCGCTTGATGGCCTCCGGCCCACGTGTCCCGTCGCCAAAGGCGAGGAACGAGTCCTCCGTTGGTGCCGACGGGTCGAACACCACCTCCACGGACGAGTAGCCAGGCAAGAGTGCCGGTTTGGCTGATCCGTTCAACCCGATCCATGGCATAATCGAGACGCGCTCCTCGTGCGCTGTTGTGGGCTGCGTGCGCAGTGGCACATGCGGCATCTGCGTGTGGGGCTGGGCGTTAGCTGAAGATGGATTACCTAAACTCACCTCATAGGCAGCATACACAGTCCCAGGAACCCACTTCTCCATCTTCAGTCGGCCGTACTTCGTCTCCCTGTCCGTCTCGTACACAATCTTGCCGCCGGGATTCTTGTCCACCTCAGAAAGCTTGTTGAGTTCGCCGAGCGCCTCGGAGGTCGGATTCTCGGGAGGCGCAGGACTCAAAGGCTCACTTGGCGGCTCGGCTGTAATCTCCGTCGCGAGCGGATGCTTCGGCTCCTCCTTCTCCTCTTTCTCTTCCTTCTCCTCCTTTATCTCACCGGCAGAGCGCTGCTCAGCGACGTAGTGCCATCCGCGCAGGGCATCAGAGCCCTTGAGCGCGTTCAGGCGCTCCTCGCGATACCCGCGCAGCGTCTCGTCGATGCGCCGAGCGTCCTCGGCCGTCCGCAGAATCCAGTCCTCCTCAGTCACGCCCAGCTGACGCAACTTGCCCCGCTTGGCATGAAGCTCGCTCCATGGGTCGGCGCCATTGCCGCCAAACTGCGTTGTGAAGCCACCGACATTGTACCATGAGCCCAGTGATGACTTGCTCGCCATCGCATCGGCGAGAATGCCCGCGTTTGCTGCAGGGCGCCCAGGTCCGCCAGCTGAAGGGTACTGGTTCACAGCAAGCTCCTGGTCCAGCACCGGCCCATGGGGTGTCCACCCGTTCGCTTCGCAGTCGACCACGGCGCGCTCCTCGTCATAGTCGTCGTCGACCCACTTGCCGTTCTTCACTAGCCGCGCGCCCATAAGCTTGAACACGTTACGCATCGCCACCATTGTCACCGCGCGGTGCTTGAGGTTGCCAGTGATGCGGCCCACGTTGATGAGCATCTCGCGCTCATCCGGGTTGCACGACAACTTGACGAGCTGTGGGCAACGACGCAGGAACGCCAGCGAGTCCGTATACCCACACGCGCGCGCCGCGTCAATCGTCAACGCATATACGCGGTCTGGGCTGCCGCGGGAAGGTGAGGTGAAGGTGACCAGCTTGTACTCGCGGCCACCGAGCAGGCGCCCCTCGGAGTCGACCTTGGTGTTCCCTTTCTCGTTCTCAGGGAGTATGAGCTCGTCCTCGCCGGCCGTGTACTCGACACCCTTGATGGTGTACACTTGCCCCTTGATGACATTCTCGAGCGCGCCGCGAGGATCCTTCTTGATGGGTGCCGATGCACGCTGCTTCGGCGCCTCGGGATCCTCGCCCCGCTCGAGCTTTTCTCTGCGCACTTTATCCCAACGTGCGCGTGCGGCCGCCGCCGCCGCACCCTTGATGCTAAAACCGCCCCGACCGCTGCCAGATCCTGGCTCACGCTTGTACGGTTTGTCACCGCCATCTTTCTCCTTTTGCGCGCGGCCACGGCGGCGCGGCGTAGAAACGACCGGCTCATCTGCCGTCAGTTACCGCTAAACAAGAAGAAACCCACCATCTTCGTCTTCCTCATCGTCTTCCTCATCCTCCGACTCCTCCGGTGCGACTTCCTCGACGGGAATTTCTCTGTATGACACCTGCTTCGTGCTTCGTCTGCGGCTCGACTTTGACACGACCTCGTCATCCGAGTCCGATTCAGTCTTAACTCGCCGTTTGGTGGCCTTGGGCTTGCGAGCACTGCCGCGCCGGGACGGACCAGGTTCGTCGTCGTCGTCAAGGTCCATTTGCTCGGCCTCGTCAACATCCGTCTTGGGCGTGTCGGGCTCGTCCTTGACGACACGGCTGCGGGAGGGCCGCACTGGAGAGGCTTTTGCCATTGAACGCCTGGGGCGTGGCGGCATGGCGGTGGATGGAAGGGTGTAGAGGTGCGGAAGGTATGCGGCGACGAGTGACTTGAGGGCTCAAGGTGGACTTGGTGACAACAACCGGTCGCGCGGTCGCGTTCCTTGTTGGTGATTCAACCGGGCAGCGGGATGCTACGGTGGATGCTCCTGGCGCACCTATTTCTCACAACCACGTGTCAGGCGTGATTTAGGCGCGCCACACGTTCCTGCCAGCTGCCAGGCCAAGCCACGTCCACCACGTCGTCTTCCTTTTCATGTTTTTCGCTTTTTCTCCCAACTCCTCCACTCTCGACGTCCACTTCAGGCGCTCGCAATGCCACCCAAGCTAGATCATGACCTCGCGTCAAGTCGCGCCTTCGAAGACGCCACAGCCAGCTTTGCTGCTCTCGCGGCCGCCGGCGAACTCGACCCTGCCCTCCTCGCGCTCTCTGGCGCGTCGGGGTCTGCCCAGATCGACCCACAGCTCTTCGCCATCGAGTCCGTGGTCCAGGATGTCCGTCGCGGCCGCGTGGAGGACCTCGAGCGCGACCTGGCCATAGACGCCGCATCACAGGACGTCGCGGATGCGAGCCACCCGGATGGGCTTTTGGGCGACGACGAGGCGCCGGACGAGCACATCGCCATCGATGATGACGGGATCGACCCCGCCCTCCGCGAGATTGTCAACTCGCTCACCAACGCGCAGCAGGTGAGTTACGAGACATACAGGAGCTGACATCAGTCCCATCACCCGATCGGGGATGAGGAGCGCGAGCGCCTCGATCGTGAGCGCCTGCATAGCACGCTCCAGAGCACCCTCGAGGACTTCACCCACCACAGCCTCATGGGCCAATACAACGCCATTTTCAGTACCTCCTTCCCCCAGAGTCCCACAAATCTGGTGTTGCCGCTCGAAGAGCCCGAAGCCACGCCGATTAAGCGTGGGCGGGGGCGGCCAAAGGGGTCGAAGAACAAGCCTAAACCTGGCGCACCTCCCCCGCCACCACCACCCCCGAAGCGTAAGCGCGGCCGTCCACCCAAAATCCGCACGGCCGAGGAGCTCGAGGAGATGGAGCGGAGGCAGCAGGAGAAGGAGCTCGGCATTCAGCGCAAGCGCGGCCGCCCTCGCAAGTACCCCGAGATTGGACTTGTGCGCGAGATGCGCCTCAAGAAGAATCGGGCAGTCTTCGCCGAGAAGCTTAGACAGCAGGAGGAGCGGGAGCAGCGTGCGGGTGGAAAGGAGTACGAGTACAAGGGTGACGAGTACGAGGAGCCCATGGACGTCGAGCTCGGCCAGCAGGTCGCGGCTGCTGTCGCGCGCCAGCCCGTTCAGGATGGCGATTACTGGCCCTACTCCGACCCACAGACGCTGATGGACGTCGTTGGCTCGAGCCTCGGCGTGGAGGCCAGCTCTGACGTCAACGCTATGGGAGCCGACATCATGTCGGGCGACCAGAGCGACGAGATGCGCGGAGTCTTCGCCCTCCCAGACGTTCCCGAGGCTCAGCAGTAAAGGGCGGCGGTGTTGTATGTTATGTGTGTGATTATATATAGACACCTACGTTGTCAGATCAGATGCTATTGCATGTTCTACGGATTTACGAAGTTCTAGGCCTTGATGCAGAGCGCGGGCGACGGCACATTGGCGTTGAGGATGAGGGCCACGATGAGGCCATACAGGCCGAGAACCTCGCTGAAGTTAGCTATACCCGCCCTTGTCCGGCAAACGTACGCAAAGATTAGAATGAGGACCATGGAGACGAACACGCGAGACTCGTGGATGTACGCGCGAACGCACGCGTCGCCGACAATGCCGATGGCGTAGCCAGCCGCGAGACCTGTAACGCCACATGCTGCTATTAGCGCTGTACGAAATCAAGTCAGTATAACGCACCCAATCCTGCTCCGAGGTGGATGAAGCCGTCGTACAGCCCATATGGCTCAGTGGGGGAGACTAGGGTCAGCGGAGCGCGTCACACCCGCTCACTCCCGCCGGAGATCAACACGGCGACCACGAGGCCGTACACCGCGATAACTGACGTTAGACTGTTGATAATGCGCATCATAGCAGTGGTACGCACTACCGGACATCTTCGGTCAGTTCGTCGTCGGTACGAAGGGGGCAACTCACAACAACAGGGATGAGCGACTGGGGAACGTCAGCAGAACTCATGACGCGCGCGCACCTTCATGACCAACTCGGGTCTGGCGTCAGCAACGTATTAGATTTTAGGAGCTCACTTGAACTGTCCCACACCTGCGATTCCGATGCCGGCTTTGGCAGTGCCGAACGCTGCGCCGATGGTCGTGAAGATCATCTGCTATTAGCGGACCGTCGGTGGCGGTCAAGGCAACGCACAGCGCTAGCGACACCGGCGAAGCTGGAGTTAGCACGTTCAGCAGAGTCGGCGTACCCGAAGAATGGGGCCCATGGCGGGCAGGTGTCGTACATGATGGTGTTGATGGTGATGGGGAAGGCGCTTGAGACACAATCGCCAGTGACGAAGAGGTGGTGACCAACGTCACGACCCGTTGTGCGGTGGATGTGATTCATTTGATCCCGGCGCGTGGATGTCACGTGCTACACGCATGATATAATACGTGTTCTTGCATTTCTCCAGATATGATGAGCGCCCTGATTGTTGCACGCGCGCGTCGTGGCCAACGTTCAGCAACACTCTGAAAGATTCCATAACCACCTCCAACTCCATCTATCAACCTCCCCCTCTCCCCCCCCTCCGACCTCGCCTCTACTCGCGGTCAGAAAAGAAGCAGCCATGCAGGGCCGGCTTCCTTCCATGGTACGTCCTCCGGAGTCCGAAATACAGAGCTGACAACAGCAACCTACCGTGGTCCTCCTTCGGGGTACGTGTCGCCGAAGTGGCAACCGCATAGCAGGCGAGGGTGGACGAGCTAACAGACAGAGGGCACAGACACGTCGCAGGGTACACCTCAGCTGCTGAGCAACATCTCGGCTTGTCTTGCCGTCGCGCAGACTATCGCGACTACCCTTGGTCCCCGCGGAATGGACAAGCTCATTGTTGACGAGCGCGGCAACGCTACCATCTCGAGTACGTCTGCTTCCCTATCTTATAATAAGATTCTAACAGTTAGACGACGGCGCAACACTGCTCAAGCTTCTCGACATTGTCCACCCCGCCGCCCGCACTCTCGTGGACATTGCGCGCGCCCAGGACGCCGAGGTCGGTGACGGAACCACCTCAGTTGTCCTCCTGTGAGTCTATCCAGCCTCTTCCCTGCTGACAGACAGTGCGGCTGAGATCCTGAAGGAGGTGCGCCCATTCATTGAGGAGGGCGTCGGAGTTCACGTCATCATCAAGGGGCTGCGGGAGGCGCGTAACCTTGCGATCAAGAAGATCAACGAGATTGCTGTCACTATCGACAAGTCGGACCCCGTGTGAGTGCTCCTGCGTTGCCGTGGTATCCACTGCGATGTGGCTGACGATCAGGCGCTTCCGTGACCTGCTCATGAAGACTGCTGCCACCTCCATGTCCTCTAAACTTATCCACTCTCAAATGCCCTTCTTCTCCAAGATGGTCGTCGACGCGGTCACCTCGCTCGACCCCAATGATCTCGACGAGTCGCTTATTGGTATCAAGAAGGTGCCGGGTGGCGGCATGCAGGACTCGCAGCTCATCAAGGGTGTCGCGTTCAAGAAGACGTTCTCATACGCCGGCTTCGAGCAGCAGCCCAAGTCGTTCACCAACCCCATGATTCTGTGCCTCAACGTTGAGCTGGAGCTCAAGGCCGAGAAGGACAATGCTGAGGTCCGCGTGAACGAGGTGTCTGAGTACCAGGCGATTGTTGACGCCGAATGGCAGATCATCTACCGTAAGCTGGAGGCCATCGTGGCGACTGGTGCCAAGGTTGTGCTGTCCAAGCTTCCCATCGGCGATCTTGCGACACAGTACTTTGCGGACCGCGACATCTTCTGCGCAGGTCGTGTCGCTGGTGATGACTTGAAGCGTGTGGTGCAGGCGGTCGGTGGGTCGGTTCAGTCGACAACGTCGGACATCGAGCCCCAGCACCTTGGAAAGTGCGAGAAGTTTGAGGAGCGTCAGATTGGTGGCGAGCGCTTCAACATCTTTGAAGGATGCCCCGAGGCGAAGACTTGCACCCTCATCCTGCGTGGCGGCGCGGAACAGTTCATCGCCGAGGTCGAGCGCTCCCTGCACGACTCGATCATGATCGTCAAGCGCACGATGAAGAACAACTCTGTTGTGGCTGGCGGTGGTGCCTGTGAGATGGAGATCTCCAAGTTCCTGCGCCACCACAGCCGCACCATCGTCGGCAAGCAGCAGCTCATCATCGGCTCTGTTGCCAAGGCACTCGAGGTGATCCCGCGCCAGATCTGCGACAACGCTGGCCTCGACGCGACCGATGTGCTCAACAAGCTGCGCATGCGACATGCGCACGACGACACCTGGGCTGGTGTCGACGTTGACGATGACGACGGCGTTGCCGACAACATGAAGCGCTTCGTGTGGGAGCCCGCGCTCGTCAAGACCAACGCTTTGTCGAGTGCCGTTGAGGCTGCTTGCCTGATCCTCTCGGTCGACGAGACGGTGCGCAACCCTCAGAGCGAGGCGCAGCAGGCTGGGCCCCCTGCACCTAGGGGTGCCGCGCAGCGTGCGCTCCGTGGCCGCGGCCGTGGCATGCCCCGGCGGTAAGTTGTAGGCTAGTTATCTGCATAGTAGTAGAGCATGGGTGCCTCCGGACAACGAACCGACGATTGTTACCTAATACTACTGACAATGAATTGCGAGCTAACAGTTGACATCGGAGCGTTGTGTCTCAGACTCCAAAACTTGAAGGGGATCATAGGGTCACAATTGAATGCACGCATCCACAAAACAGTTGACTCGAATTGATTTATGGCGTTTGCAACCTGGAAGGGCAATGTGAAGCCATCGTCGTGCATATAATGTGGCCTGCACATGCTCCCCTCTAGCATAGCCCATTCGTTTGCTTCTCCTCGCCGCTCAACAGCACGCACCTACCTCCCCACACCAAGCTGAATGTGTTCCGACTAGCATGATCGACTTGGACTACCTCCCTCACGTGCACGATCAGATCGTGCAGAACGCCTCGCCAGAGGTCCTAATGAAGCTGCGCCAAGTCACGCGCAAGCTACGCATCATGTCCGACGAGCGCCTTTTTGAGCACGTCGAGATTGAGATCACACTCGACGGTGTGGTGCTGGTCCACCCCTTCGGTTGCGCTGGGTTCGAGTGGATGCGCCTTGACTACGAGATCGCGGGCGACCCGGCGAAGCATGATCAGCCGACTAAGGTTCTCGCCTACTCCGATCCCGAGACGTGCACGCCTGCGAGCATGGGCTTACGTTCGTACATGCAGCGGCTGATGGAGCGGGCGCGTGTGGTTGATATCCGCATGGAGCCTGAACAGCGCGACTTCAACAGGCGCAAGTTCGCCACTCTTCCCCTCCAGCAGGCCATCCGCCGGCTCAACGCCACCATTCGGCTCTTCCGCCCGACATCTGGATACTGCGACATGTCGTCCGACGACTACCTGCATCCCGACCTCGTCTTCCCGGACAGTCAAAGCCCCCTCGACTCGCACCTCGTGATATGCCCATTCTTTATCGGAGCCAACCGACTGACCACTCTTCCTGCCTACGGAAAGTTCATCGCGGAGCTGCTCCATTTCACATTTATCGGCGGCCGCGACAAGGGCGAGCACAACTTCGGCCAGCGCAAGACTATCCTGCACTTCCTCGACTCCGAGGTCTGCACCTGCCCCGGCAGTGAACCGAGTGCGGACCCCTGGACGCGCCGCCTCTCTGTCTACCGGCCCCTTGACGCGAATGCGGCGGCCGAGGGCTGTAAACCGACTGCCGAGAGCTCCGACTCGAACTTTGACGCAAACCAGGCCTCTAGCATCGTCGGGGGCCCACTTCCTCGTCGTCGAGCTGAAATTACGATTGTCGGCGGTACCGAGCTGTTCCGCGAGACTTTTGGGCTCGCTCATGGCAGCGACGAGGCGATCTGCCAGCAGCTAGATGCGATTGCTAGGGGCTTCCTCTACTGGCTGCCTGAGTATCGGATTGACCTGGAGGACGTTGGCTTGCTTTCTATCGTGACACCGATTATCCGCTTCGTTACCCCTGCGGCGTACGTCCAGGAAGTCGGGGCGGAGCAATTCGCGCTGGAAACCCAGTTCAACCCGTACAACGATCCAGCTCCCTGCTATCGTTTGTAGAGCGATGGCAGTAGTTAGTAGGAGCAACTTGAAGCTCAGCATGTAAGAATTGCGCTCAATGGAGTACCTGAGTAGGGAGGACGGTGTGGATGAAACGCAGTCGATCCTCTCAATCGTTCAATTCAATTCACTTCAACTTACTCTGGTCTGCATTTGGGAAACGCTTGGTGGATTTGCACTGCAAAGCCCGGCAACAGATTGCAAGCAATACATGCGAACTATGGAAGGGTCTCCCGTCGCCATACCGCCACCACGATAGCTGGAACAGGAGAAGTCACGTGACCTCGACATGACGCGACCTTATAACACCGGCCGAGCAGCCAGCTCCAAGTCTCTATCTCCATGACACTACTCCTCCACGATACAATGCTGTAGCGGGTAGAGGCGAGCTGAGTCCGGATAGCGTGCAACATTTGGGGTCGACAAGCGGAAGCCATGGCGGGCGAGCGAGCCGGAGGAGATAACCTGGGCCACAGAAAGGTGGATGACGTTTCCCTCTCTGATTGTGGAGCAGTGGAGTGGCGGCCTCCCCACGCCTGCTCTCCACTACTGTCGAGCGGTGACCCGCGTCGCTGTGCAAGTGCAGAAGGGTGGACAATCCCCGACCGTGTTCCGCGATCGAGCTCCGTGATTTCCGCCCCGGCATCTCAAGGTGATCGGACCGAGGTGGGCATCGGGGTCCCCGGGTCCGGGTATTCCACTACGACAGATACACAAATGCGGCGCGCGACATCTTCAGCATCCTCAACATCCATCATGATCAGAAACGGCGCGCGCGTGCTGCGAACGACAAGACTGCGACAACTCGGGCTGGCGGTGGCGGCACGGCCACGACTTGTGTGCTCCCCCCGCCAGCTCCAGCCCGCTCTCCACACATACTCGAGCACTGCGGCGGCGGTTGCCCCTACACAAACAACGGCGAAGGCAGCCGACCCCTCCAATCCGCTCAACCTGCTCACACCCGAAGAATGTGCGACTCTCTCCCAGCTTGGAGATGGCTGACTCCAGGCGAGGCGCTCCTCACCGCCCCCGGCAGCCCATATGAGCTCGAGATGCGCGAAGTAGCTGGGCGCAAGCTCAAGGCGTGGAAGCACACGCCGCGCGACTTTGCGACATTTATCCGCAGCAATATGGAGCGATGGGCCGACCGCGAGTTGCTGAACACGCCAATTGCCGCCCCCGAGCCCTTCGAGGCGCGCGAGAGCGTAACCTTTGGTGAGGCGTATGAGCGTGCAGCGACGATCGCCGCGCTGCTCCGCGAGCGCGGAATTGGCGTCGGCGACCGCGTGGCTGTCGGAGGCGTCAACTCGACCGGATGGGTCGTGTCCTGTCTGGGCGTGCAACTGCTCGGCGCTGTACCTGTTCTCCTAAACAACGGGCTCGTAGGGGAAAGCCAGGTGCACTGCCTCAAGCTCACGTCACCCAAGTTTGTGCTTGTCGACGACAAGCTCGCGGCACAGATTGGGACGGAGAAGATCGAGGGCGTCGGGCCAGTCTGGTGCTGGGGCCCGACAGGGCATCTGAGCGCCGAGGTGCAGGAGGCTGTGACGGTACGTGCACGCCGCGCGAGGTCTGACGAGAGGAAATATCCAGCATGCAAGCTAGACCGCAGCTCGTGGCGAGCGTGAAAGCCGGCGAGGGTCTTGAAAACCTCGGGCCCGACAGCGACAGCATTGTTTTCTTCACGTCGGGCACGACGTCGCTGCCCAAGGGCGTGCTGGTGACTCAACACCAGGCGCTGCACATCATCCACTCGTCGACGTATCAGAACGCGCGGACGACGCTGCGTCTTGGAGCTCCCGTCTCCGAGGCGCTCAAGGCATACGACCCCAAGCCCGACGGCGTCGCCATGCTTTCCATTCCCCTCTTCCACGTCCAAGGCACACTAACATGGCTCATGGTCGCGCTGCACAACGGCTCCAAGCTCGTCTTCCTGCGCCACTGGTCCGTCCCGACCGCCGTCAAGCTCATGGTGGAGCACCGCGTGGGCCGCATTGGTGGTGTGCCCGCCATCCCCGCCGCCATCCTTGCGTCACCAGACCTCCCCGCCGACTTTGAGCTTGCGTCGACGACATACGGCGGTGCAACTCCCCCCAGCGATCTCGCGCAACGTCTCGTCAAGCGCTGGCCGAAGATGCTCCCTGGCACAGGGTGGGGGATGACAGAGACGAGCGCGTTCCACACCGGCTTCAACGGGCAGGAGTACCTTGCCAAGCCACATGGCGCGGGACAAGCTCTCCCCGTGACGGAGATCAAGGTTGTTGATCCCCAGACACGGAAAGAGCTCCCGGCTGGCGAGGTCGGGCTCCTTCTTGCCCGCGGCCAGAACGTCATGAAGGAGTATGTCAACAACCCCAGTGAGTCGTCGGTGAGAAGTGAGAACCGGCTGACACCCAGAGGCGACGGCCGAGACGATCGACGCCGACGGGTGGCTCGACACGGGCGACCTCGCATTCATCGACTCCTTCGGGGACCTGCACATGTCCGACCGGGTGAAGGACATCATCATCCGCGGCGGCGAAAACATCCCCTCGGCGGAGGTGGAGCGTGTGCTCCTCGCCGACCCACGCATCGCCGAGGCGTCGGCCGTCAGCGTGCCGTGCGACATCATGGGCGAGCGTGTCGGCGTGGCCGTCAGCCTCGCGCCCGGCGTGAGCCGCGAAGACGCGACGCCGCTCAGCATCGCGCAGGCTGCATGGCCCAAGCTCCGATACTGCGCGCGCCCGGATATCGTCATGGTTCTCGACCAGCTGCGTACGTGCTGTAGTGGACGCGCTGACGCCAGCATGGAACCCGAGTCAGAAAGTGCTCAAGGGCGAGGTGAAGAAGATCCTCGGCGCAGAGTGGGAGCGCGTCGGCCGCAAGCCGCTCGTGGATAGCCGCGACGCCAAGGCGCGGCAGTAGATTATCACAAGTAACTACGAGCGGAAGGCACGGTTGGGATGTCCTTTGGACGGCGAGGCGGTCATATGCATTGCACTGTAAGGTTGATTGAGGCGCGAGCGAGCCCAATGCCCTGCGTGTCACTGCAGCTGCTTTTCGCTGGCTCTCAGGCCAGAGAGAATATCGATCGTACTGAGTACTCCAGGGCGTCCGGAAACAGGAAGTGCACTGAATGACACAAAAAACACAGATCTACAGCAACAATGTGGAGCCGCTGTTACACGTTATCACCATTGGGACTCTACAACATCGGTCAAGAACGTCCGGTATATCACAGAAAGAAGTAAATTAAACTTCAGTTAAAACCTTCCGGCAGCACCGCGCTCTGAGCTGCACGACGACTCAGGCAGCGTAGGGATTTTGCTGCGTCTCCAAAGCGAAGCGCGCAGCGCCAACCTCGGCCGCATAAGCATTCTTCGAGAGGAAGCGCGTGTGCGCGCGCACACGCTGCACGATCGTCGCCGACTCCGGCGTCGTCTCGCACAACTCATGATGAAGTGCGGCGTGGAAAAGGACAGAACGGTCCGCGAGCGAGCGGCTGCTGCGGCGCGTGCCGCCGACAACGGTGATCTGGAACTCGGGCGGGTCGAGCCAGCGCTCGTTGACGGCTACGAGGCTGGCAAGGGCGTCCGCGAGCCTGAAAACATCGACGCGCTCGTGGATGTGGATGATGGTCTGCGGGGCGACGATCACACCCGGGCCGGTGCAGGCGTCGAGGGTGAAGACCACGCGGGGACGGGTCTCGCGGTCGTTGACGATGTCGAGGGCGAAGTGGGGCGGCTTGCGAGGGTGGCAGGGGTGGTAGCACCGCAGCGTGTAGCGGGGGAGGGCGGTGATGGCGGCTTTGATCGCGCACATGTCCGCGAAAGTGAGCATGATCGTCGTGCGCGTCGAGGACTCGGACCCGTCTGAGGAGGAGGACGACGACTCGTCCTCGCTGTCCGGCCTGCGCACCGCGAGGGGATTGTCCCCCATGATAACGGTGTCGGTACTGCTCGAGCTCCCCGAACTGTCGTCGGTTTCTATCGCGGAATGGCCCATGTGGAGAATCAACACAAGCTCCGGGATCATGTAACCCGGGACGTCGAGCACGCGCGTGCGCTGCAGCATGGCGACAATGTATGCGCGCAGGCGCTTACGGGTCTTTGTGCGCCGCGGGTCGGTGGGGAGGATGGTGTTGGTCTCGACGCCGTCTGCATCGTCGAATTTGAGCCACTCGAAGCGCATGTTCGTGCCTTTTGGCACGACGACGACGTCGCGCGGGTCCCCGGGCTCGGTGACCATGACTTCGACGTGCGCAAAGAGGATGGCGTCGGCGCGGGCGCGCAGGCGGCGCGAGCAGGCGCGCATGACCAGCAGGGTGGCTGGCGGCACGTGGCTGATGATCCGGTCGATTATGGCCGGGTGGTGCTGGTCGTTTATGCGTGGGGGGCGTGAGCGGCGTGGGCGGCGGCGGAGCATGGTGATGAGGATGAAGGAGGGATAGCGCTGATCGTGTGACAGATTGGGTGGATAATTGGCGTGTGTTTTGAGGTAGAGGATGGGCTGGGTTATATACATGACTTGTGCGAACGTCAGCCTGCTGGCGGCGGAGAGCCATCAGCCAGCTCGCACCCGAAGCCACAGGCTGGTTGCAACTTTGCAAGTTTACTCCCCTCGCAAAGGGAATGTCATCAGATGGGTTGCAACTGCACCAGACACCACCAAATTGTTAAAGAGATGATGGCATCACTGTGCTGTGAAGGATTGCCGTTCGGGTCGTTGCGACGTCGAGTAGCCACGGGCTTTGGAGCAGGATGTCAACACAAGAGACGAGGTGAGTAGCAAAATCAGGGGGCTTGTCAGAAATGTCAGTGCCTATATCGTGCGAGATGATTACCACAGGCGCTCGCAACGCCGTTAGTATGTCATGCATTGGTCCGAAACTCTGGTCGTGCTCTACTTCTCCTCAAGCTCAAACTGCTCAAACTGGCCCCGTCTCTCAGGGCGGCTCGAGTTGGCCACCGGCTCAGCAAGGTGGGGCCGCTCGAGCGTGCGCTGCGGCGCGGGCTCGGCAAACGCCTCGCGCAGCTTCTCGGTCGCTATCCTCTTGACCTCGTTTGCGACGGTGCGCGTCACCTGGAGGATAGGGCCGGCGAGGCCGAGCTGCAGGACGATGTAGGCGCTGGCGGCGGCGACAAGGAGCATGGCAAAGTACAGCGGGTTAAAGAGGACAGCCATGGCTTCGTTCCAGCCCAGCACGACGAGGGCGCCGTAGATCCACATCGGAATCTGGGAGATGCTTGATACCATGCTGCGCTTGGCTTCGACGTACGCGGCGTCGGCCTCGCGCTTGAATCGCGCTTCGAGCTGCGAGAGGCGAGATGCCTTGACGAGCACAAATGCGGTGTCGGGGTCAAACTTCTCGGGGTCGGCGTCGGTGTCCGTGGTGTCTGGCACAGGCAAGGTCGGAAGCAGCTCCTCATCCTCTGGCGCCACCTTGGCAAAGAGGGGCAGGAGAGTGAGTGTCTCGTCGCGCGCCTTCTTGAAGGCGCCTTCGAGATCGTCCTCTGGTCGCCAGACACGCGGCACTCCGTTCTCGTCATATCGGAACCGCTGCTCGAAGTTGTCGCGCAACGTGGAAAGCACGACTGGATCGGCAGTCTGCTCTTCCAGCTTATGGCGGAGTGCCAGCCACGAGCGCGTCAACAGGCTCTTGAGTGCCGAGTCATTCTCCTCCTCGGTGCAGTCGTATGCTCTGGCCTTCTTCAGATACGACTTCTCAGCCGAGTCCGTCACGTCACGGTATGTCGCCAGGACCTTGTCCCACATGGTAGGGGAGGGCTTGCTGAGCGCAATCTCGACTGGCTCGTAAAGCTGCCTCTTGACGGTCCGCTCCACGCCGTTGACCATCTTCTTGGTCTCGTCCGCGCGCGACTTGTCCGCGATTGCCTTAAGGTTGTCGTCCAGCATCGCCAGCTCCTGCTCGTATTCCCACCCTGACCCCGCGACGGTGCTCTCTAGATTGTTAGCTCCACCCAGCCTCTGTTCTCACCCTTGGCGACAGAGAGGAAGGACTCGCGGGCGTCACGCGTGCACCGAGACACAACCTCGGCAAAGTCATACGATGGCTCCTTTAGCGCGGCAGCCAAGTCGGTTACGAACTTGGCCGACGCGGCCTTGTTCGCGTTTTTAAGCTCGCCAAGGTAGAGCGACGACAAGGCGGCATGGAGGTTGGTAACAAGGTCCTGACGCTTGCGTGTGTACACGCCAACATGGTAGCGCGAGGCAGCGGCGTCAAAGCTGGCTGTGACTGTCAGGAATCGTCCGAAAACGCGACTCACTCAGAGCAACCTGCAACCACTCGGCCATGAGCTTGCCGAGACCAGGTACAACCTTGCCGCTCTCAATCGGACGGCGCACCGTCTTGGCGCTGACGTTGAACACCTCGGTGACACCAGCCGCGAGCTCATCGCAGCGGAACTGGGCAAGGAGCTCTTGTTGCGTCGGCAAGTCAAGGTCCTTGTTAGCGAGGACCTGCGCCCATATGCCCTCCATGTAGTGGCTGAGGCCATCGGCGGGAATGCGCTTGTGATAGGCGGGCTGGAAAACGTAGTCGGGGCGCGTCTTGTCCACGAAACGCTTCCTCAACTCCACGACGTCGGCCTCAAACTTCTCGGGCTGGTGAATCTTGTGCGGCAGGACGGCGAACGACAGGTCAAAGTATGTCTCGAGCTTGGCGTTCGCGAGATGAGTTGGCTGCGCGTGAGCTTTACCCGGGAGCACAGACGGGTCGCACCTTGGAGAGACTCTGCCAAATCTCGGCCATGGAGTCCTTGAGCGTGTCAGACAAGCTGTCGATCGTTGTGTAGCCCGAGTGGTCGCGGATCACAAAGAGGATGAGCGTCTTCTCCTTCGGCCGCGCTGCTGCTTCTGCGCTTCCGCCGAAGAGGCTGAGATTGACCTCAAAGACGGTCTTGAGTAGGCCGAGGTTGGCACCCTGGTAGAGACCGATCTGGTGCTCCCTTTGATCAGCATCGCCGCGGTGCCCACACGCACCAAATGTTGACGATCAAGACCTCGCTACTTGCGAGGGAGAAGAGCGCACTCTTGCGCTCAAAGTCCTGGTCCTCACCGCGCTCACGGCCGTCCGTACCCTCGACATCCATGACAAGGGCGGACGAATACGCCGATGGGCACATCCAGATACCTTTCGTCGTCTGCTGGCGGCGCTTGCTGTCCATGACATCGAAGGTAGTGCCGAAGAGACGGTTCAAGAGCGTCGACTTGCCCGTTGACTGCGACCCGAACACGGCGACGACATTGTAGTCGAATCCACTGTCTATCAAGTTCCACTTGGTAAGGTACTTTGATAGGTTGGGCCTGGGGTGAGCTGCGGCCGACGTGGAGGCACGGCAGCGGCAACGTACGTGAAGTGCTGGTTCTCGTCGATGATCTGCAGCTGGGCAGTCTTGCGAACTTGTCCATCCTGCTGTGCCAAAGAAGACGAGTTGGAAGTGCGGGCGGGCACGGCCATCGGAGCCCGAACGGCAGGGGCGGTCGGGGCAACCACGGGGGCGGCGGTCGGGAGTGGTGGGGCGGGGTTGGCGGAGGAGACTGGGGAGGCTGCAGCAATGTGGTTTGAGTGGGATGGGTCAGAGTTGAGACTCATATTGATGTAGGTGTAGTAGGTGTAGTAGGAATGCACAAGATGTAGAAAGAGAGTCGAGAATGGATGGAAAGGAGAGAGGGGAGGAGGGGAGGATGGTGGTGGTGGTGGTCTGTACGGTGACGGTTGTCAACACCGTCATAGACCACTGCAGATCCCTTCACCGCAGCAATCCGGGCGGGCCAGATAATCACAGCACGTGGGCTCATGGTGGAGAGTCCGTGGATCCGTCGTTCATTCTGTACGCTGTCTCACATCACCCCCACCGATGCATCCGAGATCTCTCTGCAATACATCTCGATGACTGATGAGCTGATGTGCGCGGTAGTCGTTGCGAGGTATGCAAACTGAAACAGTGCCAGGGCGTGGCAAAAGCCTCCTCGCTCCGTGGATTGGTCGCGGAGCGCTCAAACCTCGCGCCATCAGGCCGAACAACTACACGTCGGAGATGTAGTGCTCTCAGGCTTTCAAGTTGCTCGCCGAGCTCCGCTAGCACATGACACCAGATCCAAGCACTGACGGATACTTGATCAGCAGTCCCCCACCTCCAACCGTCACCAGAACTCTGTGCAACTAGCGCCAGGAAGTCTTGCTCACACTCTCCTCCCTCTTCGCGCTGCTTTGCGGCGACAAGACTGACCCCCCGCGCCGCGCGTCCGTCGCCTCGAATGTCCGCCCCCTTCGCTCATCCGCCCGCCACTTCCTACTCCCTCTCCCCTGCATCGGACAACTCTGGGCATAGGTGACGAGGTCCGAGCCTCGAGACCAATGACCATCATCGTCCATTGCCAGATGATATTCATTCCGACCCTAACTGCTTCGCCCTCGCAGGACCGTTTTTCTAGTGGTGGGCGTGGGCCTCGTAGTCGGCGTTGGGCTCGAACTTGAGGGTGTAGACTGCGCGGGGTAAGCAAAAGCGTTGCGCGCGCTCGGACGCCGGGGACTGCGCAATTTGCACTCACCCGAACCGCACTCGGGGCAGCGGTGGTTCTTGAGCTCCTTGGTAACGTGGAGCCAGATGGTGTCGTGCGAGTCAGCGGGGAAGCCAGTGCAGCCGACGTGGCGCTCGGGGTACTGTTAGATGGTGAGCGCAGTTCAAAGTATAACGGGAGGCGGCCGAATTCGGGCATGACGCACGTAGGAGAAGACCTCGATCGGGTTGTCGAGAGTGCCGAGGCGGTCGGCCTCGAGGGGGGTGAGGTCGAAGACGTCGACGCCCTCGGCCTTACCGATGAGCTCGAAGCGCTCGATACCGGTGGCCTGCTGGCGGCTGAGTGTCAGTTAACAGTCCGAATTGCCGACCCTCAGGCTCCAACCCGGACGTTCCCGGCGTGCACAAATGATGCGCGGAGGGGAAGGTCAAGCAAAGACCGGGGTGGGCGAGGGCAAGGATGAAGAACGCACTCGGTGGGGACCTCTCCGGGCTTGACACCTTGGATGAATTAGCACACCATTGCACAAGTTGAAGGTTGTAGACGTACCGTCACCGAGGAGCTGAGGGGGGCCACCACCGCCGCGGCGGAGGGCCGAAGCCGAGAAGGCGCGAGCGACCTGGACCTTGGGGAGGGCAAGGGCGGGGCGGGCGACGGCCTGAACGGCGCGGAAGGAGCGGAGCAGGGCGACCATGGTGGGTGGTTGGAATGAGTGGTGAGATGGAGACCAGAAGGCAAGGGCAAGACGGGAGGAGGAGTAGGAGCGGTGGATTGAGGCTCTTCGAGTGGATGAGCCAAAGGCGAGCTCGGATTGGCGAGCCTCTCACCGTACAGAGGTCCCTCCACCGTACGCCCCGTACGCACCGTACCACCGTACGCTCTGCTCCCACTCGAGATCCAGGCACGGACGCCAGGTGGAGAATGCCTATTGTCCTCACCGGGCGGAATCGTACCCAGTGTACCTCCGCCTACCTCCGATAATGTGGCACTCGGCCACGTGAACCACGCGAGGACGCGATTGACTTGTGCCTGGCCATGCCATGCAACGACGGCATCCTCATCATCTCATTTCAACCACCCTCCTCATCCACTTCCTTCATCGCATCGTCGCCACCACACCGCACGTTCACACCATCATATTTCATCTCCTTCATCGATAATTACTCTTCTATCCGTGTCTCGATCTTGGTCCTCCTTGCACTCACTCCCCTCGTCCGCTCCCGGCATCGCCAGCTATAGCATGACCGTGGCTGTCACGTGCGCGCCGCCTCGACCTCCCACCTAACACGACACTCATCCGCGCGCGCGCGCGCTTGGTCGCCTTCCTCTGCTCGCCGTCGTCCACCATGTCCAATCCTCGCTTCGACCCCCATCCAGATAAGTGGATAACTGCACCCAAGGTGCCAAAGCCCCCGACTCAGCGGCCACTGGTTAGCAGCTCGTTTCGCGCACACTCTGGTATCGCGACGCCTCCAACTACCACGCGCAAGGGTGCGAGCAACATCACCGCTTCGGCGTCCACATCCACCACCCGCAAACGCCGCGCTCCAGACGCGACCCCCACTGCATCAGTTGCCACACGCAGCATCCAGTCGTACTTGACACCACCGACTTCCACTTCCCAACCCGCCAAGAGGACGCGCGCGACGTCAAAGCTCAAGAGTGCGCCTCACCTTCACCAAAGTCCGACGCGTCGATCGCCCAGACTTCACCAAACTCGAGAGCGTGTTCAAGAACGCGCAGATCGTGATCGCTCTGCGTCCGTAGATGCGTGGCGCGCGTCTGTGCCTCCTGTTAGGTCGCCGGCCAAGACGTCCCATGATCCAAAGTCACGCAGCCCTTCGCCTGGATTCCAGATAGTCGAGGCACCCGCTACACCCAGTCCTAGACTCCCGACCTCTGAGGCCGTGATTACCCCCGTTCCCTCATCCGTCATGGCCGTTCATAAGAGATTGTGCGGACAAGACAGCGCCCGCCGCCGTCAGGCCATCTCGCCTTGGAGAGAGGTGACGGAGGAAGACAAGAAGGCAGCCCGTGCGCAGCGCGACGTTGCGCGCCGAGAGGCTGCGGGACAACTCGAGGACCAGCGCGAGCGCAAGCGCTTACGCATTGACGTTAAGGAGGTTGTTGACGAGAACGCGCTCAGGCGGGTCGCCGACATCAAGGAGAGAAGAGCGCTGGGCGAATTCAAGTCATTAGCCCATCTCTCGTCAGATCGATCATCATCACCTCGATCATCGTCCCCAAGCGAGCGCGTACCTCTTGCATCCAAGAATACCAACGCTCTTCGCCGACACTCCTCGGCCGTCGTCGAGCCAGTGTGCACTAGAGACTCAAAGTGGCCTCAACGACAACCCGCTCCGCGCACGCCAGTCATACCATCCTCCGTCCCCCCTCGCTCTCAAATCATCCCTTCCGCATTCCCTGCTCGCTTGCGTCACACGCCGGTTGCGTCACCTCAACCTTCCCCACCCACCAACACCAAGTCCGCAACTCAATCGGTCACTCCTCGAGCACGTCGTACCGCGCACCATCATGTCACTCCGCCCAAATCCCGCACCCCGCAGCGGCGTGAGCAACAGGAGACCTTGTTCGAGCTTCCTGCCGCCCCACCTCGGCAGCCCATGTTCAAGCCGGTCTCACCTAAGCCAATCAGTGGCTGGCGTCCCATGGAGATGCAAGCGGAGACTCTCATGACCTGGAGCATGGGCGGAGGGGCAGCCACGCTCGCCCCAGTAGCGCCGCCATCTTCCCCCACACCCGATTTGAACGAAGTTGACCGCTTGCCGAATGACGACGAAGTCGTGAGTCTTTTGCGCCGTGAATACAGGCTGATCTTAGATACACGAGACCATCCCATCGCAATCCTTCCCCCACCTCCTCGACACCTCGTCCTCGCCGGCAAGACCTCCCAGGGAATCGCCTCTGCTCTCGTCACCTCCGGAGCCAATCTATCACTCTGAGCATAGGGAGGAATCGCCGCAGGTTCAGTCCTCACCGTCGCCTCGGCGCCCGCGCCCTTGGGGGCATCCACCTTCATCCCCACCCCGGCTCTCCTTCGCACCACCCTCGCCAAAGGCCAAATCGCTTTCAAAGTCGCCCGCGAAGCTGATGCGGTATTCCAAGCAGGACGCAGAAACGCGCCGCCGAGCCATGGATCACGCCCTCTTCTCATCTCTTTCTGAAGCCTCACAGGTTCGGCCAAAGCCTCAAGTCCCAACCTTTCCCCTCCCACGCCTCGCGCAGCATCATCAGAAGGCCTCTTCCCCTGTGAAGTCAAAACACAGGACCCCTCCGCCGCGCAAGTCACAGCCTAAAAGCAAAAGAGGGTCTGCGTCGTCATCCAAGCCCCAAGCCACTCTTCAAGCGTATGGCTATTCTCGTTCAAGTGCGCGTCCCACTCGCGAGTTTGACACGTCCTTCTCTGACGAGGAAAACCTCGAGTTCGAAGACGAGGATGTGCATAAGCGTGCGCCCAGCCCCTCTGGAGGTCCGTCGGTCCTGCGCTCCGTTCCACTTGCGCCTCCTCACCCGTCCCTGCGGCCCATGGGCATCCGCGAGCAAGCTAAGAGGGACGCGGCCGCGATGAGGCGACATCTAGGTCAGCAAGCGTCGCTGCCCAGTAGTGACAAGTCTTCGTCTCTGCCCCCGCCTCCATCCGCCATCACTGAGGACAGCAGCAGCCAGTCTGAGGGATTTCTCGAGGCCCAGATTAGCGAGTCCACACGGACATGGTGGCGACGGCTTGGACACGACCTCAGTTCCGATTCGTAGATTGTATGCATGTTGTATGTTGGACGAGGCTCACAGTATCACTTTCGTGGCCCGGGCGCGAAGCTTCGGGATGCATGGGTGGACGCCGCAAGCGGGTGGCCGGCGGCGTGGAAAGGAGCTGATGGTGGCCCATCCCAGTCAAGTCACACCCAGAGATCCAGGACATGTTATTAGCACACGTACGTCCACCAGTCGGTCGACCATAATGAATGCAAAAAGATTGGCAGCTCCAGTCTTTTTACTTACTTCAGGATCCACTTGCTTCTCTTGATGTTCGTCCTTGGTTTAGCGTCTGTTCCTAATGGGGGCTTGATTCTTGCTTCTTCGGATTAGGCCCATTGGGGCCCAATTCCTATTTATTAGAGGGGCCTTTAGGTCCCCTCCTCTCTTCTTATTATCCTATTCGCGTCCTCTTTGGCCTTATTAGGCCTTGTGGGATTACGATCCCTATTTGCGTCCTCTTGGGCCTTATTAAACCTGGGATTACGATCCCTATTTGCGTCCTCAAATGGGCCTTATTAGGCCCGGGATAACGATCCCTAATCACGTCCTCTTGGCCCATATTAGGCCCGGGATAACGATCCCTATTCCCGTCCTCTAAGGCCTTATTAGGCCTGGGATAACGATCCCTATTGTATTACTATTCTGACCTACTGTTAGCATGGCCTAGCCCGGAGCTGCCGGCCACTATGGTGTTGGGACAGGTTAAAGGGTACACTAATGTGGGCGAAGGCCCTCCGGTGATTCTATAACGCCGCATATGTGGTGGCGGCCCTGGGGCGGGTGGTACGGCTGTGGGACGGCTAATGCATGGGCCAGGCGCGGTCAATTTGAGTCAATTGTCAAAAGACGATTTTGGGGTGTGGTGGAGGTGCGGGTCTGATGCCTTGTGATTATGGGCCGGGAGGGTGTTTGGTCCCGTGTTGGTTGATGGCGGGTGGAGGCGGGGTTAGTCTAGCCAGGATTCAGTCACGTTAGGGTTTGGGCGACGCGGCTGTCTTTGCTCCACATTTGGCGCGGGTTAGTGGACTCGAGTCGACCAGCTCGAGGCAATTCGACTTGGTATCTATTCAGGCTCTTCAAATACTTGGGCGGGTGGTATTACACAGCGGCGTCATCGGCCCGGTCGCCGAGTGCATGACATGGACCGTGAGGCACCGAGTGAGCGCGAGCGAGAGTGAGAGTGGAGGGACTTCACAGGTTGGACACAGGTTGACTTCAACTCACCGTCCTTTCACTCACACTTTGACCGCGCATGGTGAGATCCTGCCTCTACGCACGGAAAGCTGAGATGCCGACCCGCCAAGTCCCGGACGAGAAGGTGCAATAGACATCTCGCTCGCTGGGGCGCCACCCCATCAAAGGCGAAGGTGCGCCATCCACGTGATCGCGCAGCACAATGGGGACGTCCCGGTTGCGCGTGTGGCGGTTGAGGGAGGGTGTGGTGGCGATTGCGGTGACAAGGGTGACCCCAAGTGGGACCGATACCGGCGGGAAGACACAGTCGCTCACCCACACAGAGTGCACAGAGTGAATGATCGTCGGTGCTTCGACCTCCCCTCAGTCCCTCCCCTCAGTCCCTCTCCAGTTCGCGGAGGCCAATATGATTGTGGCATTAGTAGAGTTGGGCTGGCTCGTGTTCAACACTACCGGCGATCTTAGCGCCCGCCCAGCAGTCTCGTCGTTGAGGAAGACAACGGGTCCTGATCAAGAAGATGTCAGAACATGGTCAGTAGACTGCAGTCTGGTCCGTCGCCGCGCGGACACTGGCCACTTGAACGCGGCGATGGTGTGTCGTGGCCTTGACGACAACGTCTTGCTGAACAGGAATTCAATGGGCACTGGAAACGAATCAGCGCATCCCGTACAGGCATTTGTCTTGCCCAACATCACCTCCCCGTCTGATTGCGTCTGATCAGCAATTCCCGTCCTTACCTGGCTGTATCTCATCCTGGTCACAGTTACGTCCGCAAGGGATGTCAGCGAAGCCAGACAAAAGACAGTTGACGTGACTGCCGACCTCCGCCTCCGCCGAGCCCGCCAAAGCAACGTAAGAAGCAGGGACACCAGTCCCATACCGATTTCAACGCGATGAGCAGACTCACCTCCTTCGCCCCTGGGGGGGGGGGGGAATCGACAGCACAATCACACTGGCCCGAGACCGCACCCGTAGGCGCCGCTCTCGCGATGTGCTGTGGTGCCTGGGCCATGCAAAAGGTCAGTTTGTGCAGAAGGAGAGGCTGTAAGTGTTGCTGGGAGTTAAACAAGCGAATTAGATGGAAGAGGTGGTGTGAGGACGTGGGGGTCAGTGGGCGCATGCGGAGCAAACACCTCCACGGGCCCGGCAGGTCAGTCGCCAGCGCGGCCGCGGACGTTAGCAGTGCTCTCAAGAGACTGAGCACGCCCCTTTTAGCGGGCGGCCCAGTCACCAGTCGGGAACGTTCCAAGCGCGCCCGCAGCGGAGTTGGAGAAGAGAGTGTTGCGAGATAGGAAGAGTAACGAAGCGAAACGGGTGGTGCCTGCTTTCGCCGAGCAAATTTCGGAGGTGTCCGATCACTCCGGCTCCCATCGCGCCGATCCGCCAACATGACGACATGCTACGCATGGCCACCATCTCTCATCTCACAGTCTGCTGATAAAGCAGACCCGACTCATGAATTCCCCCCGCCTGGCTTCGGCATCGCGTCTCCATCGCTCTCTCCATCGCCCCTTCTCGAGCTCAATGTACCACTCCGCCCGCCGCCCCTTCAAGGGTTGGTGTTCACAGCTTGCGCAGCTCGCTCACACCAGAAACCGAGGCCGAGCGCCCCGCGTTCGACCGCGAGCGGACTTTTGACCTGACCAAGGCGCCTGATACCGAGTTCAAGGCGGGGCAGGGGCTCAACGACCTCGTGAGTGCGATATCGGAGGATCGAGGTCGGGCTCGGAGGCTCAGACAGCGGCACACCGGCAAGGAAGGCACAACACTGACGCCAGCCCAACGCGCCCAAGTTCGCAGCTGATGCTGGGGAGTGGCGCAACATCGTCCCCGAGACGCTCGGGCTCGCGGAGCGGTACAAACTGCTCGTTACAGCCATCACGCCGCGCCCGATCGCCTTTGTGTCGTCCGTAAACGCCGAGGGGGAAGCGAATGTGAGCCTTCCTCCGCCCGGGGGCTGGCGGGCTCTGACTTTGACTCTGACACCAGCTCGCGCCCTTCAGCTACTTCAACATGGTGTCGCACAACCCGCCGACGGTCATGGTGTCTATCCAGAACAACCCCGCAGGTCGGGATGGGAAGAAGGGTGCGCGCCCCACATGTACCAGTGGCGCTGATCACAGACACCACGTTCAACATCCTCCAGACTAAGGAGTTTGCTGTTAGCATCATCTCAGAGCCGTTTGTCGAGGCCGCCAACTACACGGCGATTGACACGCCGCCTGGGACGGACGAGTGGGCGCTGGCAGGGCTCACGAAGCGCAAGTCTGAGTGAGTGCCGCTGGCTGATGAACGAGGGGCACACTGCTCAGTCCCTCTGTCCTCGAGCACGCCACGGTCTTGGAGCTGCTATTCGCTACTGTTTGCGCAGAGCACGTCCAGATCCAGTGTGCGCCTGTGGCGTCCATGACTGTTAGAGTTCAGCGGGGTCCACCAAGTCACATAATCATGCGGTGTTCCACACCCTTAACCTCGCTGCCCCGCTGACATTAGCACGATCAAGCCCCCATTTGTCGCCGAGTCGGCGTTCTCAATGGAGTGCGAGTTGTCCCATTCACACGATATCGTGAGCGATGACAAGTCGATCATCTACACCATGGTGCTCGGACGCGTCAAGAGGATCCACGCGGTGAGTTCAGCGGCACCGAGCTCGACCCCAGCCCATCTAGGACGTGCTCCGCGCTGGGCATCCGTCACCTTCACTGCTTGTCACCGTTGGCGGTGCTTGCCGGCGGCTGTGGGGCAAGGCCGTGGCTGGGTGACAGTGTCGGTGTCATGCCGATAACGGCCAACGAGTGACCGCATCTGACAGATCAGCGAGAGTTTATCTTTGATCCAAACGACAAGTACCGCGTCATGCCAGAAGCACTGATGCCCGTCGCGCGTCTTGGTGGATTGAGGTGAGTTTATCAAACGCGAGCATGCAGTTCCCCGGCGCATCCGGCCCGGCCGGGTGTAGCGTTCCCAGGTCAGGCTTTTCGAATTCCCCCTTCCAAACGCTACATGCCATCATTCGGGTACTTTGTCGCGTAAACAAGATACCGAGCCATGTACAAGCGCTGACTGATAGCTTCGCGCGCGTCGTCCAGTGAGTATCTTTGCGGCGCATGTTGCGCCGCGGGTCATGCGCAGCACGGCTGTAGCGGCCCTACTCCGCCATATGGAGCGGGCGCCTGGCCCCACGTGCTATGTAGGTACTGCTCAGCGCTGACAACCAGGGGGTACGATCTGGCGCGCCCTCGCTGGGACGACGTCAAGGACACTGATGAGGTCAAGACGGCGCTCGGTAAGCTGTAGAGCGCTGAGACATGTCGATCGATGGTCTGTTCCTGTCCTGTCCTGGTCTCGGCCACTAGCGAGCTGAGAAGTCGGATAGTGTCAGCCAATACCGCACCTCCTCTGCCCCACAATGATGATGATATCCGAGATGATCAACCGTTTGATTGGACAAGCAATGCTTGTCGTCGCCCTCCCGCCGGTGCTGTTTGATTATGCATCCAGACCTCCAGCCAGCTCCGGGGGTAGTGGGCCCCATCACATTGCCCCTCGGGGTCGCCAAGACCGCCCCACACCCTTGCCCACACCACACGCGAGTTTCTTGTCTGATCAACAACAAGACATGGCGAGGATCAGCAATTGTTCCAGCAGATACCAAAGCAGTCTGTGCACGCCGTCGGATACACCGCGTCGGAGAGCGAAGGGCGTTCGATTGTGCAAGTGGAGGTGGAGCGCGATCTGTGCAAGGCGCGCCCAATCGGGCGTGCAGCATCTCACTGCCGAGCAGCGCCAACACCGTGCACAGGCGCGGCGTGATGCAAGGCGGCCGGCGGTGTGTGGGTGACATGTGTGTTGGTGGTGCTCCGCCATGACGAGCCACACGACCCCTGGTGCTATCCGATCGCTTGTCGCGTTCCAGCTTTCCAGGTTGTTCGATGCAGGCCGGTAGACATGGCCGGAGCACACCGAAGCGTTGGGCGAGCGAGGCGTCGCTGGGTCATGCACGCACGGCATGAGCGTGGCCTGCATGGCCTGGCCCATGGGGTGGGTCGGTGCAAGTGCGGGGCCTAGGGCGCTTGAGTGCGCTCAAAAGCCGCTCTACAAGGGCGCCGAGGCATGAGAGGCAGCGCGTGAGAGCATGCGAGCGCGAGATCGCGAACGAGAGAGCGCAGGAGAGCACAAGAAGAGCAGATGGGGTAAGGTGGGTATAGAGCGGTGTGGGGCACAGGAGTCCAGGAATGGTTGATCCGGGTGTCGAAGGGCGGGTGGCGGCAACGCCGGTGCGGATAGCCGAAGCCTCCCTCGCTCTCATGCTCATGCTCCCGGTGCGAGCCATGCCTCCCCCGCGACAGTTGTGCAGACGGCGTGCAGGTGGGACCCAAGCCCACACGACTGACTGCCCGGAGCCAGCTGCGACCTGCCCAGACGCCATCTTATCCCATTCATCACTCTTGCTTACGCTTACGCTTACGCTGACTCCAAACCCTCCAGTACATCCCTAGGCCTAGCTTGTTCCCCGACCCGCGATCCCTGCAGCCACACGACTGTCCTCCTCTCGGGCTCGCTCGCCTCTGCTCCCCTCTCCGTCCTGCCGTCGCGCCTCCTAGTGCCCGACTCTCCGTACGCTTTGGGCGCCGCGTGCCAATCCATGCCCCCGTACTTCCGACGCTCCCATATATCTTGACACCTCTCTCGGAGCGATGGCCCCACCTGCTCTTCGTCTGCGTCCTCTTCTGTCTCGTCCTTCTCCTCTTCGTGTAAGGTTCGCCTCTCCTCTTATCCGTGGTCCGTCCCCTGCCTACGCCTACGCCTACGCCCACGTCTACCCTCACCGTTACTCCTCCTCCTCTTCCTCATCGTCGTCGTCGTCGCCGCCCCCGCCGTCGCCTCCACCCGTCTCATCCACAATCCAAGAGTCCCGCTCTGCCCAGAACCTGTACGGCATCGACAAGCCGCTTCAGCGTGTCCATCACAACCCCTTCCTGCCTACCCCCCACGAACCGCACTTCATGTACTTCCCCGAGCAGCGCCACCTCCAGGACGACGTCCACAAGGAGTCGCTCCAAAACCCCGAGGAGTTCTGGATGCACCAGGCTGAGCAGCTGCACTGGCACAAGAAGCCCGAGCGCGCCATCAAGATGGGCAAGCGCAAGCTGAAGAGCGGCAAGAGCCACACCAGCTGGGAGTGGTTCCCTGGAGGCGAGATCAGCACCTGCTTCAACGCTGTTGACCGTCACGTCAACGCTGGCCGCGGCACCTGGCCCGCCATCCACTACGACTCGCCCGTCACCAAGACCAAGCGCACCATCACCTACGCCAACCTCCTCGAGGACGTCGAGGTGACCGCTGGCTTCCTGCGTGAGGAGGGTGTCAAGAAGGGTGACGTTGTTCTCGTTTACAGTGAGTTTATCCATGACGGCTTTCTCCCCTTGTGCATTACGGCGTGTGATCTGGACGGGCGGGTGGATGTCACCATCACCACGAGAGACGAAAGAGGAGAGGGCGGAGAGTGCAAACATAGGGCGGGATGCCAGGCACCTCAGCCACCCGATACCCCAATCAATCCAATAAACATCGGGCCCCGCACTCCTCCGATCTCTCATCTCAACTCCGAACCCCGCATCTCCCGCCTTTTCCCCGATCATGCACCTGTTATCAGCAATGCTGACATTCTCCAGTGCCCCAGATCCCTGCCGCCATCACCGCCATCCTCGCCGCCAACCGTCTCGGTGCCGCGCACTGCGTGGTCTTCGGCGGCTTCTCCGGCTCGGCTCTCGGCCAGCGCATCGACGCCGTCCAGCCCGACGTCATCCTCACCGCTTCGTGCGGTATCGACGGCACCAAGGCGCCCATCCCCTACGGCCCCCTCGTCCACGAGGGCATCAAGGCGGCCAAGTACAAGCCCAAGCGTGTCATCGTCTACCAGCGTGAGCAGGTCCCATGGGTCATCGACGAGGTCCGCGGCGAGCGCAGCTGGCAGAACCTCTGGCTCAGCGCCAAGGCCCGTGGCGTCCGCGCCGAGGCCGTCCCCGTCGCCTCCACCGACCCCTGCTACATCTCGCACACCTCGGGCACAACCGGCACGCCCAAGGGTGTCGTGCGTGACTCGGGTGGCCACGCCGTCGGCCTCCACCTCTCGGTCGCCATGGTGTTCGGTGTCCCCGGTCCCGGCGGCTGCATCTTCGCCGCATCCGACATCGGATGGGTCCTCGGCCACGCCTTCATCATGATGGCGCCCCTCCTCGCCGGTGCCGCCACTGTCCTGTACGAGGGCAAGCCCATCGGCACACCCGATGCCTCGGCCTTCTGGCGCATCATCGAGGAGTACGACGTCACTATGCTGTACTGTGCCCCCACCGCGCTCCGCGCCATCAAGCGCGATGATCCCGACGCCCGCTACATGTCAAAGTACGGCGAGAAGGGCGGCCTGCGTTCCCTCAAGGGTCTCTTCCTCGCCGGCGAGCGCTCCGAGCCGTCGCTCATCGTGGAGTACCAGGAGTTCCTCAACCAGTGGGCTGCCCCCGGCGCCCAGGTCATCGACAACTGGTGGTCGACCGAGGTCGGCTCGCCCATCACCTCGCGTACGCTCATGCCCCACGCCGGCTTTGACCGTACTACCAAGATCGACAACCACCCGCCTGCCCTCCTCAAGCCCGGATCTGCTGGCAAGGCCATGCCCGGCTACAACATCCAGATTGTCGACGACGACGGCAAGCCCGTCCCCGCCGGCGAGATGGGCAACATCGTTCTCGGCCTGCCTCTCCCTCCCACTGCCTTCCGCACTCTGTGGCAGGACGACGAGCGCTTCTACAAGGGGTACCTGGAGCGCTTCGGCGGCGAGCTCATGGACACGGGTGACGCCGGCTACATCGACAAGGACGGTTACGTGCACGTCATGGCGCGCAACGACGACGTGCTCAACGTCTCCGCACACCGCCTCTCGTCCGCCGCGATCGAGCAGGCGCTCGCATCGCACCCTCTCGTCGCCGAGGGCTGTGTCGTTGCCATCCCGGATGCGCTCAAGGGCGAGCTCCCCTTCGCCTTCGTCACCCTCGCCGTGCCCGACCACCCGACCTCGGCCATCCCCGACGCCAATCTCCAGAAGGAGTTGCAGAGCCTCGTGCGCTCGGGCGTCGGCGCCATCGCCTCCCTCGGCGGCGTCATCCAGGGCTCGGGGATGATCCCCAAGACGCGCTCCGGCAAGACGCTGCGCCGCGTGCTGCGCGAGCTCCTTGCCAACGCGGCCGAGGGCGACTTTGACGCGCCCGTCACTGTCCCCTCTACCGTGGAGGACATCAACGCCGTTGAAGTCGCGCGCGAGAAGATCCGCGAGTACTTCAAGGTCAAGGGCGCCGCACACAAGGCCGTGCACACGCGCACGCCGCGCGCGCGCCTGTAACTGGCGGAAAGAGAATAGACGCATGAAGAGGGCCGCGGCACACTAGGTGCCGCCACATAGAGGGCGCGGGGTGCATGCCGGCGCCGGCCGGCTAGCGGCGGGCGACCGGCCCCGTAGGGTCGTGTAAACGAATAAAAGCTATTACTATAGCTAGCTAGCTTGTTCAGAAGTTGTCACATCATGGATTGATTTGGACGCATTGCACTGGAGTGTCATTTGGGTGTGATGGAGATCTGGGAGTGTCGGGGCGTCAGAATAAGCTTATCGGGATCGTCACCGAGATCAGCGCTTGCCACCGAAACTTGGCGAGCAGATTACAAGCTGGCAAGCGCTCTGCGTTGCCCGCGTCCTCGTTATGACTGCCCGTCGCCTGCAAACACCTTGCCCGACTCAACCACCTGATGCTGATGATGCTGACCAAGATCGCGAGACTAGTCGCTCACCTCATAGCCGCGGCATCTAGATGTACATGACCGGCCTAAATGTCTCACTCTAATCCTGGGTCTTGGCAGTGTTGGCGTCATGTTCGAGGACCATCGTACTCCCGCCGACCCGCCGCCGAGCACGCTCGTCCAAGGCGGGATCTCCGCCGTGACGACAGCAGTCTGGTCCGAGGAACCGTGGAGGGGGGAGCCTTCACACGGGTCGTAATTATTCTAAATATCAGCATCCATATTCTAAATAGCGGGGTGAGAATGACCAACGCCACAAGATATCCTAAATACCTCTCTCGCTTATTCTAAATTGTCGTCCGAGTTCCGATGCGATGCAATACAGCACCTGGCCCGAGTCGACCACCTGCGCCTCGCTCATGTCAGTCCCAGACCCAGCCTCGGCATCTCGTGCGGGCCGGTGGAGCAGCCAAGCTTGCTCGAGCGGAGATGCAGCCGAAGAAGAAGCGCGGATTGCGCCGCACCGTGTCATCTTGGCGTGCCTTGGTCATCTGACGCACTTGCCCGCACGTGAGCTTGGCCGCCACGGCTGCGCGCTGCGCTGCAGCAGCTGCATTTATGGCGCCGCGTCACGGCTGACACACCGGGTCAGCTGCGTGAGAGCATGTTTGGACATTGGGTGCCGGAGATCTCGACTCGTATCTGGCTCGCGCCACTGGGACGTGGTGACGTGCAACGGTATAAGATGAGTGGGATGTCTCACAGCTCGTTTACGTCGTGAAGCCCATCAGCGACGACATAAGACAGACCGTCCCGCACGCCCACCATCAGTCCTCACCATCTCACAGCCCACAGCGCAACCGACTTGATCGCGCAGCCCGCTACCTCGCCTTGATCCCATGTTCCCCCGCTCCCGGCCGCGATGGTGTACATCTTCGGCCTTGCAGTAGTGTTCCTCTGCGTGGTTGTCTTCTGGGTGGGTGAGTATATCCCTCTCCCTGGTGTCCCCGCTCCGCATCCTGCACGTCTCGTCCCTCGCACGCCTTCTCACCACTAACCCACTCTAACCCCAGTACGCGCCCTCATTAACAAAGTCCGGAACTGGCACCGCCGGCGGCAGCCCAGCCTCCCGCCGCCCGTCACGCAGCCGACGCTCAGCGAGACAGCGGAACACGTCTTTGCGCGCTTCATGTCGAGCACGATGGCCGAGGACGTGTTCGACCCCGTGCCGCCGCCGCCCGCGCGCCGCCGCAGCAGCGTCTACTCGGGCGTGGTCCGCGCGCACCCCGAGTGCGACAGCGACCCCGACCTCCCGCACTACTGTACGAGTCCGTATCCGCAGGCTGACAACAGCGTCGAGCCCCACGGCGAGCCGCCCGGAACTCATCATCATCGAGGACGAAGACTTGCCGCCGCCGCTGACGCCGCGCACCGGCACGCCTGTGGCAGACGCGCCGGGATACACGACGCGGCCCGCGACGCCGTTGCGCATCACGTCCGACGCCCCGCCAGAACAGGTCATGACCTTCGTCGGGCGCGTCATCCCCTTCGCGCCGTATGCGGCCCCAGCTACCCCACCCGCCCCAGCGGCTGTACAGCACGTCGCGTTTGCGCGTGGCATCGCGCAGCGCGAGGATATGCCCGCGCGCCCGCCTGCCGCGCGCCGGAAACACAACCAGCGCCGCGCAAGGCCCGTGACGGAGTTTGCATTTATCGCGGCAATCTAGAGCTATAATCCAGTTGTTGTGATGAACTGATAATGTTTTCGGTCGGCTTGTAGCCCTGAGAACCGAACCGGCGGACGGAAGGATAAGTCTGTGATAATGCGCCAAGCATCGTGGTGGTGCCAGCGTGATCAAAAGCGGGTGTCCACTTGTCGAGTAGATGTAGCAACATTGTCGCAACGGGGAGATCACGGCCTCAGCTCCATGCATGTGTCACGGTTGGCTCTCGCCGACGACGCACCCGACGCGTCGCCTGCGACGTCCCGACTGCCGCAGCCACGCCCGCCATATCTTCTAATATACATGTCTAGTCCACTACGCCTTGCCCTTGCGCGCGAGCTCAGCCTCCTCCTCAGCCTGCAGCTGCGCATCGATCTTGGCGCCCCGGCTCGGCTCGTTGCCGTGCATGCGCGCAGGCGCCGTCGGGTCCTCCTTGAGCGCGGCGACTTCGGGCGTGTCCTTGTCGCGCTCGGCCTGCTCGGCCTCAGCCGCCGCGATGCGGTTCGCGATCGAGCGCTGGTCGTCTGCCGTCAGCGCCGGCGCCGGATAAGCACGACGCACTCTTGTCCGAGACGTCGTGCGCGTTCTCCTGTCCTTCGTTGAAGCGTTCAGAGTCGACCATTGTAGGGGCTGGGGTGGTAGGGAGGTAAGGAAGCTGGAGGTAAGAGTGGAAGCGGGAGTGATAGATTTCCGTGCTCAAGTTGACGACTTTATGGTGCAAGAGCAGAGTTGAAGAACGCTACGTCATGCTGTCTGGCGGTATCCAACGTCATATGTGGAGCGCCGTGATCTTTGCTGTCGGGCCGGCGATACGTTGAGCGCGCTAGTTATTAGTCGCGGCAGAGCATGTCAGCGTCAGAAATGCCTGAACCCGCGTGCAAGCATCGTTGGATCATCACTGGGGAGCGGAAAGTGTCGAGCGGTGTCGAGTCAAGAAAATGATGTAGCAACGTCAGCCACACCTGATCGGCGTCCCGATTAGCTTTGCTGATTGGCGTTTCTATTTCTAATCTACGTCACCGAAATGCGCTCTCAACCATCACACGCCAAACAAGATGCATTCGTCCATACATACCTGCAGCATATAGCCACAGGTTGAGCCAGTGGAGTGGCTCTACACTGTCCAAAATACCTTGGACTCCCTTTTGCACTTCTCCTCCTTAAACCGCCAGCTCAGCCGCCTTGATGTCCTTCAGGTGGGACTGGTACGGCGCGAGCGCAGGCTCGACCCACTCGGCAATGAACTTGTCAACCTGCTCGGGCGCGCGGCCGATAAACGTTGAGGGCTCGAGGAGCGCGTCAAGCTCGCCCAGAATGGGCTTGAAGTAGGGGTCGCGCTTGACGCGGTCGATGAGGTCGTTCTCGCCGCCCTCGTGCTTGACGACGGCACCGGCCTCGTGAGAGAGCACACGGATCTTCTCATGGCACTCCTGGCGGTCACCGCCGGCCTTGACGATGGCCATGATGATGTTCTCCGTGGCCATGAAGGGAAGCTCCTGCGATATCCTGCGGGCAATGACCTTGGGGTAGACGACGAGACCCTCGGTAATGTTCTGCAGGGTCGAGAGGAGGATGTCGGCCGTAAGGAAGGCCTCGGGGAGAGTGACGCGGCGGTTGGCCGAGTCGTCGAGCGTGCGCTCGAACCACTGGACCGACGAGGTCATCCACGCGTTCTGGCACAGGAGGCCGAGGTGGCGCGCAAGCGAGCACGCACGCTCGCAGCGCATGGGGTTGCGCTTGTACGCCATGGCCGACGAGCCGATCTGGTCCTTCTCAAACGGCTCCTCCATCTCCTTGAGGTTGGCGAGGAGGCGGATGTCGGTCGCCATCTTGTGGACGGTGGCGCCGAACGACGAGAGGGGCGCGAGAACGTCAAAGTCGATCTTGCGCGAGTAGGTCTGACCCGTCACGGGGTAAGCGTAGGGGAAGCCGAAGAGCTCCGTGACACGCTTGTCAAGAGCCTCGACCTTGTCGTGGTCGCCGTTGAAGAGGGCAAGGAACGAACCCTGGGTGCCGGTGGTGCCCTTGACGCCGCGGAAGCCGAGGTCGTTGCGTGCGCGCTCAAGGTTGCGCAGGTCCCAGAGGAGCTCCTGGAGCCAGAGAGTAGCGCGCTTGCCGACAGTGGTCAGCTGGGCGGGCTGGAAGTGGGTGAAGCCGAGCGTGGGGAGGTCGCGGTACTGCTTGGCGAACGCGGCAAGGCGGTGGATGACAATGGCGAGCTTGGGGATGAGAATGTCGAGGCCCTCACGGAGAAAGATGAGGTCGGCGTTGTCGGTGACGTAGCACGAGGTCGCGCCGAGGCTTGTTGTCAGCGACGAAGAGCATGAGGGCGGCTCACTGGATGATACCGGCGGCCTCCGGGGCGACAGTGCCGAAGGTGTGGACGTGGGCCATGACGTCGTCTGTGCGTGAGCTCGAGCCTTGTTGTACCGCGGACACCGGGGCCGCACTCACGACGGCGCTTCTTCTCCTCCTCGGCGGCGACCTTCATCTGGGCCTCGTCCAGGTCGAGGTTGGCCTTCATCTGCTCGATGGCCTTGTCCGAGATGGGGAGGCCGAGCTCCTGCGCGTCAGCTTTGGTGTGTGTGAACTCTGCTCACCTTCTCAGCGATGGCGAGGTTGAGCCAGAGCTTGCGCCACGTGCCGAAGCGCGTCTGGGGTCAGCGGGATGTCGGTGCTGTGGAACGGACGGCGTTGGAGAAGAGCTTGGACATCTCCTTGGACGCATAGCGCCTGCGGGGTCAGCAAGTGCGGTGTGGCTGCGAGCGTACGAGGAGAGGGGAGTCTGGTACGAGTCCATGATGTGTGAGAGAGACAGAGAGAAAGAAAGAAAGAGAGTGGATGCGAGTTCGAGGACGGCTGAACTCGGACTTGTATTGAACAACTCTGGCGCGGCGTACCTGGCTGGCATGGACAATGGCCATACCCCGGTCAGGTCCAACAACATTTTCGGAGAAATCCGTGAAAACCTCACAAAAATATTATAAAGGGGGCTCAGAGTGCTTTCCGCTCTCCTGTTGGCACTTGTAGTCTTGCAATGCAAGTCATGTCACCAAGCATTCTATCATGCCTTCAGCTGCTCTGCATGGAGTTGGAACCAAGGGGCGGCGGGGTGTGGACGAGAGGAAAACACAGTTTGGCAGCAAGGGCCGTTGGAGGTTCAAGCGACGGAAACATGTATCCGGATGGGATGGATTCCCACTCGAGCTGATTCTGTCAAGAGCATGTCTCACATGGTCTGGAGCCAACGGAAAGTGATCCGGATGCCAGATCCGCAGGAACCTATGCGCGTTATCTTAATGATCTAGCCGGTTGTTGAGCGCTAGTTCCTCTAGCTCTAAATTCACTTCACTTCCCAACCTCTGCTCCTCACAGCCCCCCTCCCACCACTGAATCGATCACATATTATCGTACACGCCTACTCGAGCTGGCTATACACCTCGTCGTCTGTTGGGCCGACAAAGGGCCTTACGAGACGGTGGAAGCTGGTCGACTTTGTGCGGATATCGCGCGGATTCAGCGCCGTGAGATACTTCATCGCCATCGACTCCCATGCGTGGTATCTTGACATGGTCAGCGCTGCGCTCCTCGTGCTCCTCTTCTAGCTCCCCCATCCCCCCCCCACCTCAAACTCACGAGTACTGCCCCGTGTTCCAGTCGTACCCGTCCTCCTGGTGGATAATGTCGACCTCGTTCCCGCTCCACAGCGGCCAGAACATGGCCGTCGTATTCAGCACCTGGATTTGGTCGGGGAAGAGCTGCGCCAGCTCCCACGGCTTGTCGACCGAGTGCCCGGCCCAGTTATCGCCGCTGAACGTGACATACGTCTTGAGCCAGTTGCGGATAAAGGGCGCATGTGGCTCAGCGATGATTACGCCGTTGCACAACCCTGTCGGTTCGAGCGGCGTCCGGCGGCTGTCGGGGCTCGCCTCCATGCCCATCGTCGAGGGCGCGTAGAGCAGGTCATCAAAGTCTCGGATCCTGCCGTGAGCGCATATCGAGGTCTGAAACTCACACATACATGTCGATGTCGAGGTAGATGCCGCCCATGCGCTCGAGGACCCACAGGCGCACGAGGTCGGCCTTGTGCGCAAAGTGGCTGACTTCGCGCCCGTATATCGATTCGGGGACGTTGGTCTTGATGAGTGTGAGGTGGGGCTTGATGAGATCCCACCATGGCCCTGTAGGCTCGTGCTTGTAGTGGCTGTGGTTAGCCGGCATGCCAGGTAGGGTGGGCAAGGCTGTTGGCAAAGTGGAGCGACGACGTGTATTGACAGCTAGCTGTGCAAGCAAGCCGATGTGCACAGAGTGCAAATGCGGTGTCTCCAAGAGAGCTGGTAGAGCGCAGGAGAGGAGGTCACGCACAAGTAGATCTTTTCTGGCCGGAGGTTGACGAGCGCACTCCGCATCCCGAGGTACGCATAGTACGGCAACGCGGGGACCATCTCGCCCTCCTTGACCGGCTTGAGACCATAGACGTAGTGCACGGCGTTGGGCACGCGCATGCCGAAGCGCTTCGGCTTGAGCGGTGGTGGCAGAGGGCCGAGGATATCTGCGCCCTTGTATGTCAAGAACTCGGTGGGCGGTAGGACATAAGGCGATGTGTGATACAATGCGGTGCGGAACTGTGAGGCCCAGATGATGATGATGGCCACGGCCACGATGGCGACCAGTACACCACGACGCCCATTGAGCCCTCCCTGCGGTCAGCGAGAAAGTGATCATCTTGCAAGAGACCGGCGCGCGTTAGCCGGGCCGAGGAGCCGAGCCGATGGCGCCGGGATCGAGGGGGGGCGGGGAGGGGAGGGGGGGAAATGGTGTGGAGACCGAGACTCACGGCGAGGTATCGGAGTCTGGATGACATGGGTGGAGCAGACCGGCGTAACCCGGTGAGAGCGAGGAGATGCAGAGATGGAAAAAGATGAAGAGATGAAGAGCAACGAGAGGAGGGATCATGGTGGGGAGGATTCAGGAACAAAGTCACGCAGGGATCGCCGTCGTTTACGACTATTGAGTAATCAACCAAGATCGGCGGCAGCGACAGAGCGAGCGTCGAGCGTCACCTCGCGCTTGTCTCTTGTCTCACAATCTCACAATACGACTACATATTGCTCTCTCTCATCTCCCATCACAACCTCGTTGGCATCGTCCAGCCCAGCCTGATCTCGCGCGTCAGTCGGTTGTGGCCCAGAGGCGGCACGCGACCCTGTTCTGGAAAAACGCCGCCGTGCATTGGCCCTCGCCGCTTGCCGCTCGGCGCATCCATGCTCATGCTACTGTACAGGTCCTACTCCTCATTCACCCACCGCTCCGCATACTCTCCAATGTAGGGCAACCAGTATCGGCTCAGTCCCTCCTGCGCGTCCTTGTACGCGCGGTACGCAGCGTACAGCGCGGCGCCGACGCCCGCAAGCACGATCAGCGTCTTGAGGAATGCTGGAAAGGGGAGTAGGAGGTTGGTGATGAGGATGAAGGTGAGGATGGGAGTTGTGAGGAGCGCAGACTGGTAGGCTGTGTGTTGTTAGCGTGTCTCGTCGTGCATGCGCATAGGGGCAACCCCCCCATGGCTTGAGACTCGGCAAGTTCGGTTGCAGAGGCGCCCGGTTGCTCCACTGTTCGCCGCCTCGACTCACCGTGAAACCGTACGTAGTCATTCTGCGTCTCGAGGATCAAAAGGAGGAGGGCTGCCGTCAGCTGGCAATCTGGCGACCATAATCGCGCAAAGTCGAGCGCACCTGACACTGGCCCTCCAAGGTATGCCACTGCGGCCATCAAGTCGATGCGCCACCCGAAGCGGCTCTCCCATGCATTGACGCGATCCTCGCCACTGCTACCCCCTGCATACCCCCCGTTTCCGTATGCGTACGCCTGAGACTCGACGTCATTCGTGTATGCCTGGCTTTGGACAGTTGGGTCCGAAGTGGACCCGCCAGCCTGGTATGACGAGTAGGATGAGTCGCTGCGGTCGACAAGCCCGAGGCGGACGGGCGCGAGAATAATGATGGGAGAGAGCGAAAGACCAAGCCGGGTCACGACACATCGATATCGTATCAGGCGAGGGTGCGCGCGCATCAGAAGCGAGCGATAGACGAGAATGTGTCAGCCCTGCCTATCATTTGCTTTCGCGCCTTTCACTCACCGATTAAACCAAGGCTTCTTGCCCTTGTTTTTCCGCGCAAAGCCTGTGTCCTCGTCGGCGTGCTGGTCGGGCGGTGGCTGGTCTGTTGTCAGCTGAGCGGGGGAGAGAGGGTAGAGCGCCTGGAAGGGAGCTCACATGGTGAGAAGTTCATGGCTGAGGAAAGTGGGGATGAGGTTGGAGTTGAGGCGTGGACGCTGCTGTGCTGCAAGAGGCTGATGATAGATTGAAGCGATGCTGATGCCGATAGCAATGTCGGCGAGCGAGCGATGACAATAGCAAGAGCGAGAGAGAGAGAGAGAGAGCGAGTTGAAGAATGATCAAGGTTGAGGATGCACGACGCGTTGGAGGCGACTGCCGCTCGAGGAAGGAAGCGACGATCCCGCCGACGTCACACCGCCACCCAGCCCTGCCCACCACCGTACAATTATTTACCCCGCCTTTTCAACCTTTTTGTCCCCGCCACGTGGTCATCCAGAGCCAAACAACCCTCAACCGCCGTAGCAGCATCACATCCGCTCTATCACTCATGACAACAACAATGGCAGCAATCTCCTTCCCCAAGGTGTCTCTCAAGGAGAGCCTCGACCGCCCGCCCGGCGCTCCCGCCTTCGACCTCGGCTTCGCCGCCTTCGAGGCCAAGATGCTCGCCTTCACCGAGGCGATCGATGCCTACGTCTTGCGCGAGAAGGAGGCCATTTCGCAAAGCGCGGCGCAACATACCGCCACGGTGCGCGACCTCCACGCGAGCAAGGAGGAGATGGAGGCGCGCATCGTCGAGACGCGTGCACGAGAGCGGGAGATGCTGGACAGTGCGTAGGCGCGTGGACGTGTGCTGACGGCAGCGATCGAGGCTGAGCGGCACCACCTCGCTGACCTTACCGCCAGCGTGGGGCGGCTGCATGCGCAGCTGGCCAAGATCCGGGAGCAGGCGTCGGCACTGGATGGAGAATTGGCGGGTGTGCGGCGAGAGGTTGGCCTCGAGCGCGCCGTCAAGGAAAGGCAGGTCAAGATACTCGGCGATATGGCGGGCACGGACGAGGCGCAGCTCGCTGTTCTCGAGGGCGCGCTGGGGCTCAAGATTGCGGGTGTGGGCGGTGAGTCAGACAGAGGGGTGTGCCGTGGAACGCAAGCGCAAAGCTGACCTCAGACTGCCGACTCCTGTTCACATTCACGCTCATCGACGAGGCCAAGCCCGACCGGGAGTTCTGCTTCGTCCTTGACGTTCAGGAAGAGTACGCCATCCCACAATGCGATCCACCCATTGCCACAGGCGAGCTCATTGCCCAACTCAACGCGGACCGAAATCTGGGCGCGTTCGTGCGACGAGGTGAGTTGCGCCGCCTGACAAGAAGCTGCTGACCACAGTACGCGCCGCGTTCGTAGCGCACGCCGCGCGATAGTTCCTGCCGTAGACCTGGACGCCAATGTTGTACACTTGTATCGCCTATAATCAGTCTCGGTTGCACTGAAGGAAAGCAAGAGGAATAGATTGTTCATCGCGCCTGAACGGCGCTTTTTACTCTGGCGCATACTCGATGTCGCCGTCAAAGTTTACACGCCCGCGCGTCACCTTCTCGCCCTTGGCCTTGACGAGCTCCTCGACCGTCTTGTGCTGCCCGTCGCCAGTGACCTCCTGCGCGTTAGCGGTCGCTTCACGCGAGTCTCCCGAGTCTTCCACGTCCTTCCAGATGACCTTCAACCGGTCTGCATCCCTCCATCCCCCACCCTCCACTCCTCTTTCGCTACGCGACACTCACGTTGAACCACCCCAAGTGATCAGCAATCAAGTGCCGCGCCTTGCATTCCGGGCACTGGATGATGACCACGCCCTTCTCGTACGACTTGCGGCTGAACTCGTGCGAGCTGCGGTGCCCACACACATCCTGCTCCTTCTCCGGGCCTGCCTGGCACGTAAACGTGAGCGAGAGGCGCGGCTCCACCCGCCCAATAGGCTGCTTGCCGGTACTCCCGCCCTCTGCCTCGGCTTCGGGGGCGCCAAGCGCGTGCGAGTCGGTAGGAGTGGACGGCTCAGAAGGGGATGCGGAGGAGGAGGAGGATTGGGAAGCGGAAGGGGAAGGGGGGTTCGAGGACGAGGACGAGGACGACGACGAGTGCCACCGCGTCGAGGCGACGGTCGAGCGCGGCTGGGCGCGGACGACGCGCGGAACGGATGCGCGCACGACTGGCCGCGGGACCGGCGTGCGCTGCACCAGCGCCTGGCGCGCCGCGGCGAACGAGCGGGAAAGAAGGATACGGGCCGCGGTGGATGCGGATGCCATTGTTCAAGTGTTCGTGCGAGTCGCCCTGCGTTCTAGTGCTCGTAGTGAGCTTTTGAAGCGAAGTGAGGAGTTGATGAATGAAAGTGGAGTGTCTTCGGTGACCTACAATTTCGCCACCCAGGCCGTGCCTGGATACGGCCGTCGGGTCTTGCCGCCAGCGCTCTTTGTCTTCGTCTTTCGTCTTTCTTCATCTCCTCCCCATCTCCGCTTACGGCCAGCCCGCCATGCACGCCCCGCTCGGAGTCCCAGAACGTCAGATCGGTATGTCTTGACACACCCCCAGAGTTGACGCCAGCTTGCGCGGACCTCATCCAGGCGCTCGAGGAGTGCCATGCGCGCGGCACGATCGCCAAGTTCTTCGGCGCGTGCAACGACCAAAAGCTCGCGCTGAACATGTGCTTGCGAAAGGAGGTGGGTGTTGTTACGGGGCCGAGGCGAGTCGGCTACAGCTCGCATCGGGACATGAGGTCGTCACATCGAGCGTGCGCGCGACTTTGATGGTTGTGCCCCCCCCCGCGCGGCCTGCTTCAGAGAAACAGGCAACTGACCCCAGCGCGTAGACCGCACCACACGGAACCGCGAAGCGAGCAAGGAGCGTAACCGGAAAAAGGAGGAGGCGTGGGCGCGCCTCGCGGAGGAGCGCGCGCAGGCGGAGAAGCAGGCGTAGATTGTACCAGCATTGCATGGCCCATGGCATGGCATCGGGTGGAGACGTCGGTGGAACGATGTTGGGCGGGAGACGTCGCAGACAGTGGCTCGGAGCAACAGGCCAAGGTCGACCCATGAGCAGACAAGCCAGGAGCGTCGCCGAGGCCGAGGCTGCATTGATCTGCTCCGCCCAAATGGCATTGCTATTACACTCACAGGTATTGGCCTATTGACCTGGGTATTTGGGATTACTTTACTTCCGCAATCCGCACAGGCCATCCTAATCACACCGCTGCACCCAGCATCCTAAACATGCATGGTTGAAGTGATCATGGCGATCAACCACCGCCGCACATTCAGTATGCACTGCAACCAACTCCGCGTCGTGCTTGTTGTGCAACGGAGATGGCCCTCGAGAAAGCCCAAGGTCGCGCGACCGCCACTTGCCACGTGGTGGACACAAACGTCATTCGCCCCATGCCAGAGGGTCAACAAACCTCAACTGCCATCGCCTCCCATCCTCGCCTCCTCCACTCCTCCACTCCTCCACTCCTCCATCCACACCATGCTCTCGATTCTACGCCACTCCATCCTCCCAGCACGCCGGGAAGTCTTCGCTGCGCGTGCGCTGTGGACTGCTGCGCCTCTCCTCAAAGAGGCCGGCAAGGTCGGGCGGCCGCGCAAGGTCAACACGGACGGGACGCCCGCGACACCTAAGCCGAGGGCGAAGAAGGCCGAGAAGCCCAAGAAGCCCAAGCTTGCCGGTGAGCACGACGCACGACGCACGGCGCGCGCCGCTGGCTGACCGCAGACGCAGATGTGCCCCCCAAGCGGCCCGTGTCGGCGTACGCGGCCTTCTTCAAAGAATGGTTCGAGGAGCACGCGCCGGCGCTGCGCGAGCGCGGCAAGCTCGACGTGACGGAGCTGTCGCGCGTCATCGGCGCGGCATGGACCAACCTCCAGACCTTGAACCCCGCCAAGGTCGAGGAGATGCAGGCGCGCGCCAAGGCTGAGCTCGCGGCGTACGACAAGGTGTACCGCGACTGGTTTTTTGCGCGCACGCCCGCCGAGCGCGCCAACATTGAGAAGATCTCGGGCCGCCGCCTCGTCTTCCCTGGCGGCCGCGCAAACTTCCGCCGCGACCTCCGCAACCGTCCCGGCAACCCCGGCCGGCCGAGCTCGAGCTTCTTCGAGTTCCTCCGCTCCCTCACCCCCGAGTTCAAGGACCATCCCGACGTCGTCGGCAAGCCGGGCATCCGGGGACACCAAGCTATGGCCAAGCTTGCGAGCGAGCGCTGGCGTGCGATGGCGCCGGAGGAGAAGGCGGTGGGTTGGGAGGGGGATAGGATGCTGACGCCAGAAATGGCAGGAGATCACCAACGACCGCAAGGCCAAGTTTGACGAGTGGTTCAAGACCCAGGCTGAGGCCGGTCCGCAGAAGTAGGCGTGATGAGATGGAGACTGCTTTGAGTGGGTGGCGGGGGGGTGGGAGGTGATGGGAGGTGGGTGGGAGATGGTGGGTGGCGGGTGGCGGGTGGCGGGTGCGTGGTGGGAACTGAATCGGAGTCGCGAAATGCAGGGCGTTCCCCGCCGCATCCGCGACTCTGACTCGTGCATCGCAGCAGCCTCTGACCGTATATCGCATAATGGATCCTGGGTGGCGCTCGGAGTTGTTGCGCTGTGGTCACAGCGAAGGCGCGACATGACATGCAGCACACGACAGACCCGACTAACATGACCAACAGGCTGACCTCTTCTCGACTGCAAGGCGCACCCCCAGCGCAGACCCGGCCTCTTTGAGGGTCATCTGTGGCCGACGTAGGTGGCTCCCAGTTTGCTCCGGTCTGCCTCCTCCGCGTGAGGTCTGCAACTAAGATTGTCAGATGCGAACATGAGCAGGATCTTGTTTGCACTGACCCAGAGCGTAGAGGGGTGATTATGGGTTGTCCACTCGCAGTCTGGGAAGAGCATGCTGCCGTTCATCGACATGCCGAGAACTTGCAAAGTTAGCGGCCACCCTCATCCATGAGGTATACACTAATGACGAAGGGTCCCGCCGCATGCCATGTACTGCGCACGGCCCTCACTAAATTCCCGTCCCAGAATCTTGCACATCTGATTGCCTCACACCCGCTCCACCTCCCTATCCACACCAGTACATGCAAATGTTCGTGTACGTACACGTACCCCCTGCTACCTACTTTGTAATGCGTCGCAAAGTTGTCCCCGGCCTTGTCGCCGCTATCAACACGCCTCCTCCAACTACCGGCCCTTAGTCATGCGCCCGCCTGTCCGGCTCGCCGCGTTGCTGTCAGACTCGTCCGTCGGTTCCCACGCCGGGTTGTACGTCGGCGGCATCTCCCCCGCGGGTGTGGTGCCGTGGAAGGGGCCCGCGTCCGTCGCGACCCAGTGCCCGGGCTGCTGCGTGGGGCCGAGGAACCCCAGCCCCGCGAGCCCGACGGTGCCGCGCCCAGAGCCGTCGCTGGGGTCAGCTGCCAAAGGGGGTTGCTCACGTCAACGAAAGCGGGTAGCCGTCCGACGACTCGGACGGGGACTGGTGCCGCGCTCTGATGGGCGAAATCGGTTGTCCGTGGTATATCATGGGCTGGTTTTCGGAAAACGTGGCGGCACTCGGAGAGCTGGGAACTGGGGGCGCTGAGTCAGATCTGTCGCCCTCCTCACTCACCGATGTAGGGCGTTGTTGTGTACGTCTCCGGCTCGAGATACGCAGTCGATTCGAACAGGCTGGGCGTCAGCGGCCGCAAGGGCGAGACTCACTCGTCGGTGCGTTTCTTACGCAGGAACAGGAACCAAGCGGCGAGTGCGAGAGCGGCGATCACTGCCACGCCTCCCTGTGCGTCAGAGGGATCTGCAGGCCACGTACCACCACGCCGCCGACGATAGCTCCGATGGGGACGCTACTCGAGCTCTTCTTCTGTTGTGGGTCCTCGCCGATGATGTTGGGGGCCTTAGCCTTCACGCTACGGTTAGCAAATTTCTTCAGGCAAGTTCCTACTTTGTTGGCACCTTCCAAAGCGTGAGCGACGTGATGTCAAACCACACGTTGTAGTCGTCCGGTTGGCCGTTCTGGCCTTGAATGTTCGTCAGAGTCAAGCTGTACTCAGTGTCCGGGTCGAGGCCGGTGGCGAAGAGAATCGTGTCTAGCACCTGCCACGACGTCGAGGCCCAAAAGTCCTGTGTGCCCTGGCGTCCGGTCGGGGCGGGTTCGATGTCGACGCGGAACATGCCATGGTTGGTGTTAACTGTGCCGTTGACACCAAGGAAGCTGTTGCCGACGCCGAGGTTGATCTTGACGCTCTCCTGGGCGACGCGGCTGCCCACGCGCTTGTTATCGTCGCTCGACTGGCCGGCCCAGCTGCCACTTGGAGACTCGAGCGCTCCGCCACCTGGAGGACCGAGGAACTGGCCGAATTTAGGGTTCAGGCCGAGCGAGTTGTCGCCGTTGACTATGTAGGGTTTGTAGATGCTGGGGTTTGCGATTGCCTGAGTGAGATCGCTCGCACTGCCGTCAGAGCGCCCGACACGGACCCCTCACCTGCCTCCAACATCGGTCTGCACGACGAGGTGAGTGAACGAGACAATGCCGTCTGTTGGGCGCATTGTGACGGTGTAAGTTCCTCGGGAGAGGTCCGCATACTTGCCCAGCGAGACGGGGCGACCGACGCCACTAGACGTCCCGGACGTCGCAATGTCCTGCAGCGAGTCGGGCCCGCCGCTGAGGCTCATTCTCACAGCCCCGGTGCCGACACCGCCCTCGCCGTCGCTCACACTCCCCGTGTCGAGGTATCCCCAGAACCCGAAAAACTCGGCGCCAGTACCGTAGAAAGTGATGCTGACGGAGGGACCACCGTCGGCGACACCGCGCACCCAATGGTACCCATCTCCGACGCCGATCTTGCCACCACGCTTGTCTTCGCGCTGAGCCCACGTTATCCCGGTGAAGCTGGCGTTCCACGAGGGCCCCTGCCCGGTGGTGTTGGTGGAGTCGGGCTTGTACTCGAGCTGGGGGGTGAAGGAGTCAAGGTAGAAGGGGGTGGAGACGGCCATGGCTGCGTGGGCCAGGGCGAGGGCACCGACGAGCCAGGCGAGAGGTATCATGGTTTGGGTGTGGCGTTTGGAGATTATAGGAGGATGCAGGAGGGGGAGGAGTCGACGACGAGTAGAGAGTAAAGAGTAGAGAGCAGAGATGGATAGAGATGAGAGCGTAGGATATAGGATGAGGAGCGGGAGTGGTCGGGCGAGTGAGCGATGAGCGAGTGAGAGAGAGAGAGAGAGAGAAGAGCAGTGCACACACACGGTGGAGAGAGCAGCGAGGCGAGGGAGCAAGAGGCCTGGAGACCTGGAGAGGGAGAGAGGAGGGGCGGTGAAAGGCGCAGAAGAAGCCTGTGTGGTGGCGATGTCGACTACCCAGATGGCGTCCACCACCGTCAACGCCCAGACCTCCTCTCTCTCTCCTCGCTCTCTTCGTTCTCCTGCCTCTCCTGCAGCTCTTCAGCTTTGCGCTCTCTGGGTCACGCAGGCCGCACATACTCTATCACACGCCCAAAAGTCTGGATCTCTGATCTCTTTGCGCTTTGAGATCTCTCCTCTCCTCCTCGTCCTCCTCCTCCCACTCATCTTAGTACGCCTCTACGCCATCATGGCTGCATTCCTTCTGTCCGGCTCTCTTCCGCACCTCTCCTACCCCTCTCCGCTCCTCCGCTCTCCTCCTCCTGGCCTTCTGATCGATTAACGCGACTCGCGACCTCGCATCCATACCCAATGCACCCGAACGATGTCCGACTCGCGACTCCTCCTCTACCCACATACTCATGCACCCACGCACCCACGGCCCCGTTGTGACCATTGGACTCGACCAAACTGGCACCGTGGATCGTGGAACCGCGCTTCCGAGTAACGAAACGAACAACTATCGCCCCTCCTCACAGTTGTTCCCTAGCTCCACTGCTCCCAATTTGGCACCGCCGAGCCCAGCTGAGGCCTGATCGAGTTCAAAGTGAAGTGCACAGTGCACCGTGCGTCCGGCCTGCTGCCTGCTGTCTGCTGCCCGCCCTTCGCATCTGCGGTCTTGAACCGAGTAGGCGAATCCGCGGCGCACAGACTCGCCAGATCGCCAGAGTGCATGTGCAGGCTCCTCGTCGTCGATTTATAAGCTCGGTGCGTCGTAGATTGCAGAGAGCTCGCCACAGTCTCCTTCCAAGGACCGGCTCTACGGATCATATCCACTTATTGCCTGTCACCAGACCATCACTCTCAGCTCGATTTACTCCCTATACACGCAAATGGCGACTATAACCACGTCACCTCGACGCCTCTCCCTTCCGGCCGCATCTTGAATCACGCCGCTGGTATACACTTGACTTGCACTTCTGCACATCAGGCGCGCTTGGTGTCGGCTCCAATGGGTGTGGTCAGAGGCGGCACAGGTCCATAGGCGCCACCGACGGGCAATGCAGGATCGACCCCAGCGGGCATCTCCATGTAGTCGGGCGGGAGCGTTTCGGTGGGAGAGCCAGGAGGGACGGCTGAGCTCGGACGCTGGCTTCCAGCGACAGTCGCGCTGGGGAGAACATGACCTTCCATAACGGCCGGGTAGAGACCAATGGTCGGGCTGCCGCTGGTCTCAGCTTCTTTCTGCAAAGGGACTCACTAAGCAGACATTGGCAGACCGCTCGACGACTCGCCCCAAGACATCGTTCGCCCCTCCGTAGGAATCGATAACGGGGCCGCAGCATACGGATACTGCTGAACCACGGTGATGTTGGGCGGGCCAGGATAAGCTGGATAGGACGGATTGAGACCCTCGGATTCTTCCGCTGTGGTCAGCAGAGGACGCATTTAGTGGCACTAACAGATGAACGGCGTTGCGGCGTACATCTGGGATTGCTCAAGGTACGATGAGGGCTCGGCGTGACTAGGCATCAGTTGTCGATCTCTCGGCTTCTTACCTTGCAGCGCGCTTGTTTCGACGCCACAAGAGCCACGCAACAACTCCAACAAGACCGATAGCAGCAACGCCACCCTGTGCGTTAGCTTGAACGGCCGATATAACCTACCACCACCCCACCGACGATGGCCCCCACCGGCGGACTACTCTTGGCTGCCTTGGTCTCCCCCTCGCTTCCACGCTCCTCCCCGATAATGTTGTCGGCCGTGGCTTTCGCACTGTTGTTAGCCGGAAGCACGGCGAACACATACCTCGTGGGCACCTTCCACAGCGTGATGGCCGTGACATCGAACCACTGATAGTCAAGGCTCTCCGAGCCGTAGTTGTGCAAGTTGGTAACGGTCAAATTGTACTCGGTGTCGGGATCAAGGCCGATCGCGTACAGCTGAGACTGAAACACCTGCCACGGGCAATATCCCCAGAGTTCTACCACTGCCGGATAACGCGGGGGTGCAGGGCTGAGAGCGACGCGGAACGCTCCGTGGTTACGGTTGAGCGTGCCGTTGACGGTCACAAAGCCGTTGCCGACGCCGAGGTGCACGTCAATCCTGTCCTGCAGCACCTTGGTTCCCGCGCGCTGGCTGCCGTCGTTCTGCGTCCCGCTCCATCCCATCTGCCCGTCGGGCGGTCCAAGAAACTGACCAAAGCTGGGGTTGAGAGAAAGAGAAGAATCGCTTGGGTTGACAAGGTATGGCTTGAATACTTTCGGATTGGCACGGCCCATGGTCACCTGGTCGTCGCTGGTGTAAGTAGGCGGTTGCACAGGTGGGAATACTCACGTGCCACCAAACTTCATGTTGACCATGAGGTGGGTGAAGGAAACGATTCCCGTCAAAGGGCGAAGAGTGACGGTATAGAGGCCGAGTGTAAGGTCGGCGTACACCCCTAGAGACACCGGGACACCGGGGGTGCCGGTGAGGTAGCCTGTGTTCCCAATGTCGGGTCGAGTGTCTGGCCCATCGCGCAGGCTCAATCCAACGCTGGCAGTGAAGTTCTCCGTTGCTGGACCGCCGTCACCGAGGTAGCCGTAGTAGCCGAAAAACTCAACCCCGGTACCGTAGAATGTGTAGCTGACCGACACGGGGGTTGTCCCACCACCCCGAGCCCAGTGGTAGCCCTGGCCGGATGAGATGCGCTTGAAGCGCCCCTCTTCTTCGCGAGTAAGCCACGAGTTGCCGGTGAAGCTGGCGTTCCATGACGGCGTGCGAGTAGTGTTGCTGTTGTCGGGCTCGTACCTGAGCTGTGAGGCGTACGAGTCAAGAACGAGGGGGTCGGATGCCGCCACCGCGGTGCGAGCCAGGGCGAGGGAGCCGAAAATGAGTGATGGGGAGAAAAGCATTATAGAATGCTGGCAGGAGAACGAAGTGGGGAAGAGCTTAGCTCTTGTGGGAATAGGAGGGAGCGGGGAGAACGGGAGAAGAGGATAAAGAATGATGTACGAAGAGGAGAAAACAACGAATATGGACGCCAAAGTCTGAGAAGACTTGGTGAGAAGGTGAAGGTCTCCGTTGTCTCGATGAGCACATGTCAGCTGGTATCCTCCATGGCCCGAGGGCAAGTCAGCTTGTGCAGCTTACGCACCAGTAGCGCATGGCCCACTGTGTCAATCCGCCAATCCACAAAGCTCCACAAAGCTGTGAGTGAGGATCGTGTCGATAGCTCGGGAGAGATCAAAGAAGGGCCAAACTGTGTAAAATGGATGTGCTCATGACCAGATCGTCCACTTACTGCTGAGGACTTGGTCAGTGTCATAAGACCCACTGTTCACTGCCTCCCGTGGCTGTATGGCTCAGACATAAAGCCAGTCGGTTGTTGGGCGACGGGTGTGCCCTTGTATCTGCCCGACTGCCATAGTTCACGGCGCCACGGCTTGCACGTCGTGACAAATGAAAGAGGCACTCGGACGCGAGGCGGACGTACGGACGCACGTCAATGCGCGGCGAGCAAAGCGGTGATCTGGGCGCGCCCGTTGCTGTCTTGCCACGAAGCCAGACACGGTCTGCGGATCCGGAGAGAGTCTCCTTGATCTCCTTCCGAGTAAGGCGCAGAACAGTAGGGAAATGCGGTCCATGCGACCCATGGCTGCAAACGCACGACGGAGAGGGCAGCGTGAAAGGGCGGCACAGCGGTACAGCGGTGCGGAGAGCGGCTGTGTTTCTTCAAAGCGCGGATACAGCAAGTGGCACTGCCACAGCTTTTGTTTTGCATTGATCAACTACAAACGCCACATTACCTCCGCGGCCTTTCATCAGCTCCATCTTGACATCTTAAGCCCGTCACTCCCCACAAGCATTACAACCCTGCACTGATGTCCACCGCTCCGGTCCACTCCTTCGTCATCATGTCCGCCAGACGCCGAATCCCCTCATCAACGTTGGCCTTGGGCTCATACGAGAAGGCGAGGCGGAAGTGCCCCGAGCCCTCCTCGTGCAGGCTGTGGCCCCCGCCCTCCCATGGCGAGAAGTACCATCCGGGGGTAACGAGGATGAGGGCGTCCACGAGGCGAATCCAGAACTTCTCTTCGAAGGCGCGCACGCGCTCCTGGTCCGTCCGGTCGGGCTGGAACCCGGCCCACGCCGGGTGGGTGTCGTAGTGCGCCTTGCACCAGATGAACATGCCGCCAACTGGGGGTACGAACGAGATAATGGCCGGACCTCTCCGGCCATTCGCCTTCAGCTTCGGGAAGGCCACGAGCCCTATCGCGCCGGGTACACCGGCATCTTCGGCGGGTACGAGGTCGAAAGCCGCCGCCAAGGCATCAAGCATCCAGTCTCGTCGCACGCGGTACTGCTCGCACAGATTCGTGTTCCACTCGATGAAGCCGTCCACGCCCCACTTGTTCAGCAGCTCGCCCGTGATGACCTCGGAGAATCCGCTCGGGCCCTGCGTCTGCACCTCTGTTCCGCGGAGGAGCCGTTCCGCAAACATGGCGTTGCAGGTGAACCAGCCCAAGCGGGCTCCGGGGAACAGCGTCTTGCTGAACGTGTCCATGCGGATCACACGGCCCTGCGTGTCGATCGTGAGGAACGAGTTGCTCATGTTCGAGAGGAATGCGTCCACGTCCGCCTTGGGAGCTGGCGGCGTCGGCTGCTGGCCCACAACGTACGGCGGGAACTGGAGCATGCAGTACGGGTCGTCCTCGATGATGATGACGTCTGGGAGATGAGCGCGGCAACCACCATGACCCACCGTACTTGACACAAACGTCGTAGACGGACTTGCGGCGGGCCGGCCCCATCGTCGTTCCCAGCGGGTTCTGGCCTACGGGCACAGTGTACATGACGCGAGGCCTGCGCCCCCTGCTCTCATCCCACTCTTCAAGGCCCTTGGCCAGCGCCTCGGGACTCACGCCCTCGCCGTCGCCAGCAATCGGGAACGCCTTGACGCCCATAGGTACGAAGCCCGCCTGCGCCGATGGGTAGATCTGCGAGTCGCAGATGATGTGGTCCCCGCTCTCGACTAGGAGTGTGAGGATCTTGATCCACCCATCCGTGCTCCCGTTGTTCAGGAGCACGTCCCAGTCCGCGTACGCAGGCGGCCACAGCTTCTCGGTGAGTGCGCGGATCGGCACTTCGAGGTCCGTCAGCCCGCGCCCGCCCACGTACTGCAGCCCGCGCTCGAGATCGTACGCGGGCGCCGCGGCGCGGCGCGGAATCGTGAACTCGACACTCTGCGATGGCGGGGAGGGGTGCTCGGGATCCAGCACAGTGTTCGCGGGGTAGATGCTTGCGCTGAGCGAGTGCATCGGGAAGAAGTCGGCGGCGGGGAGGCCGCCGGCGAAGCTGATGATCCCCTTCACGCCCATGTACCGGATCAAGTCTTTGAGCGGGGACGGGTGCCGCGAGCGCGCGAGCAGCGAGAGGTGGTGGCTCAAGTCCACCGCGTTCGGGCGGGTATCGGCTGTCATGATCGGTGGGCGTGGGTGGGGGGTCGGCGTGGCGAAGTGTCGGCTGCGCCGAGATCAGCAGATGCCCGAAAAATTGTGAGATAAAGATGAGGTGGGCGCTTGTGTGCGTCTTCAAGAGGGCGACGATACCGAGACAGCATCCCGTCGTCTTATATCGGTGGGCAGGCAGCCGACGCGGGCCCGTCCAAATATCGCTAATAAACGTACCAACGTGGGCCTTGGCATATTGGCATCCAGCTTACAATAGCATTCCGCACGGCAATCGTCGGCCAGAACCCGACGTAAGCGCCGCGCGCGCTTGACGACACGATCCGAGGCAAGGTCCTGAGGCCAGAGGATCCGGAATCGAGTCGTGTTGGGACAATTATTGGACATTGGCAAGTGGACACCAGTCTCGGTGCATCAGTGCGTGATAAGCTGGAGAGTCTGTGCACACAGGGTGGGAGCGACAACCTGGTACCCCGCTTGCGGTGAGTGGAAGATACACAGATACACTGCGTCAATCTGCCTCGAGCCTGGTTATCAAGTCTGTGAGGATGGCTGGGACACAAACAAGATTGCAGTACCGCTCGAGTGCCATGTTCATCGTTGGCGGTCGGCCGGCTGATCAGCCGGGGATGTTGCTGACGTTTTGACAGCCGATCGGACACGGGGCACGGTGATCGCCGAGATCACGGACACCGATACCGACTCCGAGACACGGTATTTACACGTGACATCCGGCGATCATAGCGGGAGTAAATGGAGTGACACCGCCACTCCGTTATCACCGCCACCAAGCGGGCGCGACGCTTCCTGATGGAAGACGCGGATGCGCGCCGCATCATTCACTCTCTCGCCATCATCATCCTCGTCCAGAACGACTATCTCTTCCTCTTTCTTCCTCCCTCCATCTTGCCCTCCGTCCCCCCGCCCCCCCCCAGCTGCGGCTGTCTTTGTCCTTGGTCCCTTGCCGAGCAATACCCCGCACCACTGACGATACCCTCGAAGGCCTGTCGGCAGTGCGCCCTCCTCCAGTACATCTGTATTTAACCTTCGCTGTTGTCAGCCCAAGCCTGAATATCACAGTAATCAATCATCATGGGTGAGTACTTGTCGTGTGTCGGAAGCCCGCTGATCACCAGGTGTCCCAAAGGTACTCCGGCGCGCGTCGATTGCCACTCACCCCAGTTCTTTCGCTGGATCTCCGAGAGGTATCCCCTCACCTCCCAGCTGATCACGCCAAACTCGATTCCTACATTTGACAACCTCTAGTGCGTGCCGCTGTTGACCCCGCTAACTCCAGCCTTGACATGGTGCGACCACCCTCTCCACTCCGCCATCCGTTGCTAATGACAGAATGGTATCATCCACAACTGCTCCCACCCCCCATCGTCTGAGAACGACCCGCATTTCCGCATCACCGAGGAGCAGATGATTCTTGCCATCTTCCAGTACATCGACTTCCTCTTCACCAAGATTAAGCCTCAGAAGGTCTTCTTTATGGCCATCGATGGCGTCGCACCGCGTGCCAAGATGAACCAGCAGCGCTCCCGCCGTTTCCGCACCGCCCGTGACGCGCGTGAGCAGCGCGAGGCCGCCGAGCGCAAGGGAGAGACGCTCCCAGAGGAGAAGGCGTTCGACTCAAACTGTATCACTCCCGGTACGTCCAAACCCATCGGCGTAGCTGATTGAAAGGTACGCCGTTTATGGCTCGCCTTTCCGATCACCTCAAGTACTTCGTCCGCAAGCGCATCTCCGAGGACGCCGAATGGCGCGGCGTCCAGGTCATCCTTAGCGGGCATGACGTACGTGTCAGTGATTGGACAACAGCTGACTGACAGGTCCCCGGAGAGGGCGAACACAAGATTCAAGAGTACATCCGCATGAGCAAAGCTCAGCCAAATTACAATCCTAACACACGTCACTGTCTGTACGGTCTCGACGCCGACCTCGTCATGCTGGGTCTCCTCAGCCATGACCCTCATTTCTGTCTCCTCCGCGAGGAAGTCACCTTTGGCCGGAAGGTCAAGAAGAGCCAAACGTGAGCTGCAGATGCGTGGGCGGAGCTAATGATAGCCTCCAGAACGCGAACATGTACCTCCTGCACCTGTCGCTGGTGCGCGAGTACCTCGACCTCGAGTTCGCCTCCGTCGCCACGAATCTTCCGTTCGCCTACGACCTTGAGCGCATCATCGACGACTGGATCCTGATGGGATTCTTTGTCGGTAACGACTTCTTACCTCATCTCCCCGGCCTCCACATCAATGAAGGAGCCTTGGAGTACATCTGGAAGGTGTACAAAGAGATCCTCCCCGTTGCCGGCGGGTACATCAACGAACACGGTACCATCAACCTTCCTCGACTGCAGTTGCTCCTCGACAAGCTGACGGACTACGAGCGCGACACCTTCGCCGAGCAGTTTGCGAACGAGTCTTGGTACAAGGGCAAGCAGGAGAAGGAGGTTGCTGCTCTGGAGAAGGCCCGCAAGCGCGGCAAGCTCAGTATGTTGAAGTTGCGGTGTCATTCTGACAGCAGTCATCACAAAGGACCAGAAGGCGCTTCTGGATAAGATCAAGACTTTCGTCAAGAAGCACCACCAGAATCGCCCCACTGCCGATGACCGTCTCACAATTGTCAATCAACTCGACGAGCGCGACCGCGCGTTTGTCCAGGGTCTTGCGGACGACCTGCACTTGCGCTGCACGTGGGATGAGGTTGACGACTACGGACAGCCGCTCATTGTGCTCAGCTTTGACATTGACGCGCTGAGTGAGCCTGGCGCAGGTGAAGAGGTCGGTGACGAGGACTGGGAGTCCGAGGAGGATAGCGAGAGCACAGTGGCCGTCCAGCGTGTGTTTGACAAGTTCGACAAGGCCAAGATCGTCGACAATGACCTTGAAGACGCTGGCCGCTCATTCGACGAGAAGATGAACGAGAAGATCGCCGAGTGGAAGCGCGGCTACTACAAGGAGAAGCTCAACATTCAGTGGGATGACCCCAAGTCGCTCCACCCAATCTTGTATCGATACATTGAGGGTCTACAGTGGGTCGTTAGCTACTACTACAAGGGTGTTCCTGCGTGGGGCTGGTTCTACGACTACCACTACGCGCCCATGATCTCGGACCTCAAGAACATCGCCAGCTTCAAGTTCGACTTCCCAGTCGGCAGGCCGTTCAAGCCTTTCCAGCAGCTCATGGGTGTCCTGCCCGCGGACTCGCAGGAGCACGTCCCACAGGCGTACCGCGACCTCATGAACGATGAGACCTCGCCAATTTACGACTTCTACCCACGCGGATTCGACCTCGACATGAACGGGAAAAAGCAGGACTGGGAGGCAGTCGTCAAGATTCCCTTCATCGACGAGGAGCGCCTCCTCAAGGCAATGGCTGCGCGCGACCACCGTCTCACCCCGGAGGAGATGCGCCGAAACCAGGGTGGCGAGCTACCGACGTCGTTCGTGTATGACCCTGAGAACGAGACGCACTACCCGTCGTCGCTTCCTGGCTTCTTCCCAGACCTCGTGGCTTGCCACGCGAAGGTGACCCAGTTCCACCTGCCCACCCTTGGTGACGGCGCCGAACTTCAGCTGGGGCTCATCGACGGCGTCCACCTTGGTGCCTCGGCCCTGGCAGGCTTCCCTTCCCTTGCAACTCTCCCGTACCAGGGCTCGCTGGGTTACCACGGCGTTCACGTATTCAATCAAGACAGCCGGAACCAGTCGATGGTTCTCACAATCACAAGGAAGGCCGAGAAGCGCAACACGGCCGAAATTGCGAAGGCCATTCTCGGGCAGCGTACCTTCCACGACTGGCCGTATCTGCGCGAAGGCATCGTGGTTGGCGTTGCCGACGACATGTTCAAATACGAGTTGTCCAGCGTTGGCGGCTCTACCAAGATTGTGTCGAAGACCCATCAGGCGATGGACACTATCAAGTGGAAGAAGGACGGCGACAAGGTCGACGAGTACTACTCGAAGCGCTGCGGCGTTATCGTTGGGAACGTTGATATCGTTGTCTACATCCGCCCCCTCAAAGGCCTAAAGCGCCTTGACACAGGCGCACTCGTCAAGGACTACGAGGGTGCTGACAAAGAGGTCGCGCAGGCCATGCAGATGCTTGTTAACCAGGTCGTCTACGAGGACGAGCGTTACTTCGAGAAGGACGCTCCCCCCATCGCGCAGGAATTCCCCAACGGCGAGCGAGTCATCTTCCTCGGCGCGCTCGCCTACGGCGGCGCTGCCCAGGTCGCCGAGACGCACGGCGACACGCTGGACATCGCCATCTCCTACTTCCCCACCGACAAGAAGGAGACGACGCTGTTCAAGGCATTGGTCGATGGGCGCCCTGAGGGTCATTGGTACCCGTCGCACGTGCTTTCGCGCCAGCTGGGCATAAGCGCGCTCTGCCTCTCGCGCGTCACCTCGTCCCTCATGGTTGCCCTCGAGAAGGGTGGCCAGAAGAGCAATATCGGTCTGCAGCTCAAGTTCGAGTCCAAGAGCATGAAGGTGCTCGGCTACTCGCGCAAGGCTGACCGTGGATGGGAGTTCTCAGCCAAGGCTGCTCAGCTGATCAATGCATACAAACAGGCGTTCCCTGAGCCATTCCGTCACTTCGACCAGCGCGGCTCCAGTATTGTGACATCGGCGCAGCTGTGCCCCTCATCCGAGAATCCAGACGAGGTGATCAAGGAAATGCGCCAGTGGATCAAGGAGCGTGGAATCTTAGATTTGGAACCCGTGTCGCTCAACTCTGAAGCCCTTGACAAGGTAAGCTTACCAATCCGACAAGATACTGACTTGCAGGACACGGTCATGCAGATTGAGGCATTGGGCGACCGCTTGAAAGAGCGCAAGTCGAAGGATCAACTGAAGCGCGCTCAAGTCAAGGGCATTCCCCGCCAGGCTGTGCTCAAGCCCTCTCACGCGGTATATCGCCTTCTTGGGCAAACTTTTGCGTTGGGCGATCGTGTCGTCATGGTCCAGGACGCAGCTGCTGGCGGCGTGCCCCTCGCCATGAAGGGCGTCGTCGTCGGCCTCGGTATTCGAGACATTGACGTCGTGTGGGACGTGCCCTTCATGGGCGGCGAGACCTTGGGTGGCCGGTGTTCCAACTACCGTGGCTCAACTGTGCCCTTCTCAGCCTGTCTCAACCTCACCAATCCTCAGTTTGCTGTGGGATCTAAATCGCAGCCCGCGCCTGCGGGCGAGGCAGCGCCGTTCAAGCCGCAGATTGGCCCACGCCCTGTTGTTGCGCCCAACAACTACCGGCCGGCCCAACCTGCTCGCAACCCTGTCCTCCTCCAAAACCCGGCCTGGCACGGTCAACCGACCAACCCCAACTTGCACTTTGGCAATGCCGCGAAGGGGATTCAGGCGTCAACTGCACCTCTGCAGCAACAGTCGCACCACGACCGTTTGACGACCGCGCTCAAGAGCGGCGCGCCGCGCCAACACGTTGCCAAGACACCGCATGTCAAGCCAGTGTCTCCAACAATGTTGCATCGTCAGCTTCCTAAGCCTCTTTCCCCGGCCACCACGCTGCAGCAACTCATGCCGCCGCTGCCGCCTATGCCAGCGCCGGTGCACACGTACTTCCCTCCTAGTCATGCGCAGGTCCCACATGCCTACCAGGGCGTCACCCACGGCGGTCAGTTCCACGGCCAACAGGGACGGGGCCGCGGGCGTGGAGGCTATCGCGTCCAGCAAGGGATGCCGCACCATCCCATCCCGCAAAACGGCGAGTCCTCTGCCACAGGAGGCGCACCCCACCGTGGTGGGCGTGGTGGCGCTCGGGGGCGCGGCGGCCGGGGTCGTGGCCGTGGAGGATCTGCTGGGGCTCCTGGTGGTGGGGCTGGAGCTGGTGGCTCTGCTGCACCTGCGGCTACATCGTAGAGTGCATGTGTCAGCAATCGTTGCAGTAGGAGTAGTAGTGGTAGCAGCGGCTGTCGGTAGCTTGGGTGCATTGATTGTGGAAGGTGCTGGGATGTGCCACACTCGGGGATAGGGAGGAATGAGGAGGATGAGATCTGATCCCGCTTGGAGAGAGATGAGCGGGACTGAGTGGTTGATGCGTCACTGAGGGAGCGGGATCAAATTGCTCACAGCGGGGCGGGGGGGGGGGGGGCGGAGGCAACACCACGGGCTGGCGCACTCACTCTGGCACGGCGCTGGCACTCGCGCACTGCTTCCTCTCCATCTCTCAGTCAACATCCAACCCTTCTCCTCCTAGTCGACACATCCTACCCCCCTCCCCACCATGTCCTCAAACGACGAGGTCGACGGCTGGATTGCCCAGCTCATGCAATGCAAGCCCCTCTCCGAGACAGAGGTCAAGAAGCTCTGTGACAAAGTAGGTCGCTCACGCGTCCAAGCGCAGCGCCCACCCGCACGCGACCTCGCCGGCAGTGCGCACCGAGCAGTTTTGTCGCACCCTCCCGGTCCGTCAATGTTGACGATGGAGGCGGAGGGTGCGGCGTGAGACGGGATGCGGATTGCAAGCATCTGCGCCAGCAGGGGCGGCGCAGATGCGGAGGCATGACGCCGACGCGTCGCTACCCAAAGGACGCGCTTCCCACACTCGCGCGCGAAACGTTCACATGCCTTTCACGGCGGATGGACGGCGCTGCATTGCGGAGACTGTGATGAGGGCGGCAACGGCGATGGCTTTGATGCTGCACTCCCGCCCATGCCGCCCGTGCCGCCCGTGCCCCATACGCACCTTCCCCTTACCCTCTCTCGGCGGCGTATCGGGTGTGCGGCGAGAGCGCGCGCATTCTGTTCATTGATCGCGCGTCACTCGTTCCACTCCTTTTTTGTGCGGTTGGCGCTGTCGCTATGCGCATCTTCCCCACGCCCGCGTCCCCTCATCAGCTCCGCGCTTGCTTCCCGCGCTTTGTTGTAACCCATTGCTAACTCCAGGCCCGCGAGGTTCTCATGGAGGAGTCCAACGTCCAGCCAGTCCGGTGTCCCGTGACGGTTTGCGGTGACATCCACGGCCAGTTCGTGAGTATCTATGTTCGACTACCCTCCTCTTCTTCGACGCGCGCTTGCCTAGGCCGGCTCGCTGCAATACGAGCTGCGCTGACATCAGCACGACCTGTCTGAGCTTTTCCGCATCGGCGGCAACTCACCCGACACCAACTACCTGTTCATGGGCGACTACGTCGACCGTGGCTACTACTCTGTCGAGACTGTCACTCTCCTGGTCGGTCTCAAGCTGCGCTACCGCGACCGCGTGACGATCCTCCGTGGCAACCACGAGTCGCGCCAAATCACCCAGGTGTACGGCTTCTACGACGAGTGCCTGCGCAAGTACGGCAACGCCAACGTGTGGAAGTACTTCACCGACCTCTTTGACTACTTGCCCCTCACGGCCCTTATCGACAATCAGATCTTCTGTCTGCACGGCGGTCTGTCGCCGTCGATCGACACACTTGACCACATCCGCTCCATCGACCGTATCCAGGAGGTTCCCCATGAGGGGCCAATGTGCGACTTGCTCTGGTCCGACCCGGACGACCGCTGCGGCTGGGGCATCTCGCCCCGTGGAGCCGGCTACACCTTCGGCCAGGACATTTCGGAAGCATTCAGTGAGTGGCGACGAAGCAAGATTGCCTTTTTGTTTTGATGGAATGTTGGCTAACAGCAGACCACAACAACGGTCTTACGCTCGTCGCACGTGCGCACCAGCTTGTCATGGAGGGCTTCTCGTGGTCGCAGGAGCGTAACGTCGTTACCATCTTCTCGGCGCCAAACTACTGCTACCGTTGTGGTAACCAGGCGGCCATCCTAGAGGTCGACGATGCGCTCAAGTACACCTTCTTGCAGTTTGACCCTGCTCCGCGCGCCGGCGAGCCGCTTGTTTCGCGCCGGCCTCCAGACTACGTGAGTTGTCGTCTTCAGAGCGCACAACTGATATCAGTTCCTGTAAAGCATTTCGCATATAGAGCACGAGCCTCGCCCGGAGGCCCACAAGACCAACAATCAGACTCTCGAACCCTGTTACTTTCTTTATCTCCCGACCCCGCATCCCAGCCATATTACCGGGCCGGACCGCACCTAGATATCCCCGTTTACGCGTGCGTCAAGGCTCTGTACAAGTTTCGTAGAAGGAGAAGAAGTCAAAATGCCGTCCATACCGTAGACGCGGTCCGCCGCAGATATATATACCCAGATTACAGAAGATGTAGTCGATGCGCATGTCGGAGCGGGTAGTGGTTGAGAAAGGGGGTAGTTGCTGACTTGGACTCGAATGCATGAGAGACGGGAAGTGGGATCAGGTGGTGGAGGCATGTGGAGGTGGCCCAAAGACAAAGTCAGGAGTTTGTTCTGTTTGTCAACAACCCACCATGCCTGTCACTCCGCGCCGCTCCACGCGTCAAACGGCAATATTCACGCCGCTGAGCGCAGTGAAGCAAGTCCCAGCGCGATACGAGTGGATCTCGGGCCCGTCATCCACGTCGCCAACGGGGCGAACGCACTACACCTCGTTCGAGCGGGCGCGCGGTGCGGGCCGGAAGGCGGAGGAGGCGCGCTTCGCGATCGGCGATGGCGTGAGCGTGGGGCTCGAAGGCGGCGCCGAAGGCCTCGGGCTCCTCATAGATCTTTGGGAGGAGCCTGTACCCGAAGATGAGCGGGAAGAAGCCGATGACGAAACGCGCAAGATGGCGCGCGTACACTGGTTCTTCCGCCGCAGCGACCTGCCGAGCGTGATGCGCAACTTGACCCTGGAGGATGTGAGCTGCCCCCTCTCCTCCCTACCAGTTCTGCTCTCCACCCGCACCAGGCCGCGGCTAGCAGCGCTCACACCAGAACGAGGTCCTCCTCGCCGCGTCGCCGACGCGCCCCGTCACCTCCGACCTGCCGATTGCGCTGCTCGTCAAGACTGTGCCGGTGTACTCGCGCGCCGTGTTCAAGGAGCAGTTTCCGGACGAGGCGCGCACCACCAAATGGAAGGGGTATGCGTGGGCCAAGCCCGAGGGCGTGTATTGGTGTGCGCGGGCGTACGACAAGGGCGCGAAGGGCGGGCGCGTGTGGCGCGTCGACGTGGATGCGTGGAAGGACCGGGGCGTTGCGGGGGACTGGAGCGTCCCGCTGAGAGACGAGGAGAGTGGCGAGGAGAGCGACGCGTCCGAGGGCGAGGACGAGGTGAGCGATGGGGGCACGGAAGATGAGAGTGCGAGTGGGAGTGAGCAGGACGAAGAGGAGGAGGAGGAGGATGGAGAGGAAGAGGAGAAGCCGGTGAAGAAGCGCGGACGGCCACCCAAGGCGGCCACTGCGGGCAAGAAGCGCAAGGCTAAGGCCGTCCGTGGACGACCTCGGAAGATCCCCAAGGTCCAGAAAGTCAAGAAAGCGCATCCCAAAGCCTCAGCGTCGCACCTCCCCGCCGCGGTCGAGATTGACAGCCTCCCGACGGACCCGTACGAGCGTGCCCTTCGGCTTCTGCACGTCGGCGCGACGCCCGAGTCGCTACCCTGCCGCGAGGACGAGTTCGTGGATGTGCTCACGCGGCTCGAAGAGGGCGTGGAGACTGGCGGCGGGGGCTGTCTTTGTAAGTCGCCTCGTGCTCGTTATATACACGCTGTTGCTCACGGTAGACATTGCGGGCGTGCCCGGCACGGGTAAGACGGCCACTGTCCATGCTGTCGTCAAGGAGCTGAAGCGGCGCGCCGAAGACGGCGAGATCGCCCCGTTCTCGTACGTCGAGATCAACGGGCTCAAGATCCCGAGCCCCGCGCATGCCTACTCCATCCTCTGGGAGGAAATTTCGGGGCAGCGTGGGTCAAGTGCCAAGACAGCTCTGCGCGGGCTGGAGAAGCACTTTGCGCGGTCCAGCAGCGTGCGGGGGCCTAGATCTAACACATAGTGAGTGGCTCTTCCTTAGCGGTTATGCCTGTCCCCGTCTGGGGCTGACCCCAGCGTGGTCCTCATGGACGAGCTCGACCAGCTCCTGACCGCCAAGCAAGACGTAGTGTACAACTTTTTCAACTGGCCGGCGATGCGCGACAGCCAGCTCTTCGTGATCGCCATCGCGAACCGTATGGATCTCCCGCAACACCTCGCGACGAAGATCAAGTCGCGGCTGGGACTGCAAACGGTGCTCTTCCAGCCGTACGACCGCCCTGCGCTCGTCGAGATCGTCCAGTCCCGCCTCGTGCCCCACCCCCGCTCGACGGCCGACCACAAAGTCCTCACCTTGGACGCCATCGTGCTCGCCGCAACCAAGATGGCAGGCACGAACGGGGACGCGCGCCGCGTGCTCGACGCGTGCCGCCGCGCCGTCGAGGTGAGCGTCAAGAACGGCGCGGGCGTCGTCGGCCCGCGCGACATGGCCCTCGTGCTCTCTGCCATGAGCAACAGCCCCGTCGCGCTCTTCATCAAGGCCTGCGGGCTCGAGCAGAAGATGATGCTCGCGGCTATGGTGCGGTGCGTGCGCCGCGAGGGCGTGTCGGAGATCACGTGGCGCGCGCTGCGCGCCGACCATGATGCGCTGACGCGCGCCCTCACTGACCACACGGAGATGCTGAGCGATCCTATGCTTGCGCTGCTGCGCGCCGGGCTTGTTGCGAGCCATGCGCTCGTCGTCGCCCCGGACTTGTACAAGAGCGGTGATGAGCGGCGGCTGGCGCTTGGCATGGAAATCGGAGAGGTGGGGCGTGTGCTCATGAATGAGGGAGATGAGTGGCGGCGGGCGCTGGCGGGCACATAGAGGGTGAAGGCCTTATGTATCAGTTAATAGCATGCAGCTGCTTGTATTAGTGTGAAGCAAGATAAGGACAGGAGTTCAATTTCTGGTTGCAGCAATCATCACGGTCATACATGGGACACAGCGTGTTCTTGGTCACAAAGGGATGGGTATGCAAAACAAAAGTGGAAGAGGAGAGGCAGACAAGGTACTCGGCTGAGGGCCAGCGAGGCGCAACAGGCTAGAACATGACGGCAAGCGGGTCTTCGGGGTTGCGCATGCGGTTGTTGGGAGGCAGGCCGGCCTTGGGCCCGAAAGTGAACCCGATCCAGTTCTTGCGGTCGCCCATGCCGCGCTCCTCGACGGCCTCGACATCGCGCTGCTTCTTGAACACCTCTGCGTACTTGGCCATGTCCTCGGGGCTCGAGAAGCTGTCAAAGTACCCGACGTCGGTGTCGCCGTCGAGGACGGGGACGAAGGGCGCGTTCGTCTCGCGGAGATGCGCGAACGGCAGGGACGCGAAGAAGGGGAGCGCGGCCACGTCCGCGAGCGTCTGCACACGGTCGCGCGGCGCCGCGATGAGCCGGCACACGGCGTCCCACGCCACGTCCGACAGGTTGAATATCAGGTCCTCGGGCCGGTCGTACACCGGGCGCCGGAGGACGCGCGTCCAGTTCTTCAGGTTCGCCCACGTCTCCTCCGGACAGCTGCCGCTGAAGGGGGGGAAGCCGCACAGGAACTCGAACAGGATGCAGCCGAGCGACCAGTAGTCGGCGCTGAAGCTGTACGTCTTGCCGCGCAGCACCTCGGGCGGCATGTAGTCGGGCGAGCCGACGACAGAGTCGGCGTACCGCGGCTCGGCCATGCGCATCGAGCGGTAGATTGTGCGGCGCTCCAGCGTGCTGCGGAACACGAGGTTGTCGTCGCTGACCTGGTCGAGCTGGGGATGAGCGGGGCCAACGACAAGCCTACCTTCGACTTCATTTCCTCAATCTTGGCCGGGTTGAGAGCGCCCGTTGCCAGGCCGAAGTCGGTGAGCTTGACGTGGCCGGTGCCGTCGACGAGGAAGTTCTCCGGCTTGAGATCGCGGTGGATGTAGCCGAGTTTGTGCAGCTCGTTGACGCCCATGAACATCTCGGCGGCGTAGAAGCGCGCGTGCTCCTCCTTGAGAACGCCTGAGTTGTTCAGCAGCGTGCGGAAGTCTCCACCGGGGACAAACTCCTATATGTCAGCGGAGAGTCCAGCCTGAAGGGGGTTTGGGCAGGAGGCGGCCGTGCTGACGCCATACCCCCCTCCCATCATCAACGCACCATGGCAAGGTACACATGTTCACGGTCCTGGAAGGCGTAAAGAAGTCGCACCAGCCACGGAGTCTTGACGGCAGTGAGAATGTCGCGCTCGACCAGCACGTGCTTGACCTCGTCCATCTTAGCGAGCGTGCCCTTGCGCATCTTCTTGAGCGCGCACACCTCGCCCGTGTCGCGCTTGCGGGCGAGGTACACGGAACCGTAGCCACCCTGGCCAACCTGCGCGATAATGTGGAAGCTGTCCATGCGAGTCTTGGTGCGGCGCTTGCGCAGCAGCACACGTTCGCGGCCACAGTAGCTGGAGTACTCCTTCCGGAGTGCATCCCCAGTCACTCCGCGGACCGCCGTGTCCGCCTTGAACATCTCGGTACGCTTGCGGCGGTCCGCAATGTACCCAAGCAGGTCAAAGTAGTAGTCGAGGAAGTCTGCGTCAGCCATGTGATGGGTGAAAGGAGCTCACAGATCTGGGCGACGGTGGCGCGACGCTTGACCTCGTCCTTGGCGAGCAGCTCACGCTCCCACGGTTCAAGGACCTTCTCCTTGGTCGTCTCCTTGGCGGTGCGCATGTGCACATCCTGCGAGGCGCCTGGGACAGCGAGGAGCTTCTTCTGTGCCGGCTGGACGTAGTGGTAGCCCTTGGCCGGTGGCGCGGGCGCCTTGGACGGAGAGGGAGGGGCACCCTTCATGGTGTGCATGTGGACGTCCTCGTCCTGGGCTGGCTGCTGCTCCTGGCCCTGCCTGTCCTGCTGCCACAGGAAGGAAAGGTAGCTGGCACGGTCGCGGTCGGCGGGGGCAGTGTTCTCCTTGACGGCGGAGCGAGATTTAGTCGGAGTAGTGATGGGCATGTCTGTCTTGGATGATGGGGAGGGAGGCGGCTGTGAGGACTGGTTGCCTGCAGCCTTGAGGACTCGTTGGAACATGGTAGAGAGAAGAAGAGAAGAGGAGGGGGGAGTGTGGATTGTGTCAAGAAGTAGTGTCCAGATTAGGAGGAGTGATGGCGGGTGAGGCTGGCTTGAGAGCGAGAGGAGCGATAGATGTTTGTGTTGATCGCAAGCCATTCTCCCTCCCAGGAAACCAAAGTCAGTCGCGCAGGGCAGGCCCTCAGGGCTGGGCCAATCTCTGTTCCTGACGGGGAGAGTGACTGTAACTCCGCTTGCCCTCCACCACTCGGGATTAAAGCCGTCATAATGCCTGCGGTTATCCACGTGGGGAGGTGTCACGTGAGCACAGCCCCCGCAGCCATGACGGAGCCCACCCTTCCTCCTCCTCCTCGTCGTCATGGCCACACCTCTTCTCGCCATCATTCCAACCATCCCCCCCATTCCTTCCCACCAACACCACACTCCTCATCTCCTCTTCTCATCAATCGACAGCTCAAGCGCAGCCATGAACGCAGCGCTACTGCAGCAAATTCAACGTGCGTTCACCCCCCTCAGCTTCACTGACAATCAGAGGGCAAGGGCCTGAAGAAGGCCCAGACCAACGATCGTTCTGCTGTTCAAGGGGCAGGCGGTGTGATCGGGGAGGGCGGCGCTGCCGCTGCTCCCAAGGCTGCCCCACCCCGTCCGCCCCCCGCAGCATCCAACGATGTCGCCCCCGACAACCCGGCCGCGCAGCTCGCCGGCCTCTTCGCTGGCGGCATGCCCAAACTCAAGAAGACGGGCGGGCCTGGTGGTGAGTCGCGATGGAGGAGGGAGAGAGGCGCTCCTGGGCTGTTTGCGCAACATGATGGCTAACCATTAGGATCAGCTCCCAGCAGCGGCTTTGCGAGGCCTCCACCCATCCCTGGCGCTGGCGGCCGTGGACCTCCGAAGCCCAGCGGCGCACCTCCCCCTCCGCCCGGCTCCTCGTCCGCTCCATCGCGTGCCCCGCCTGCACCCCCACCCCCTCCTTCGGCGCCAGGTCGGGCTCCTCCGGCACCACCTGCACCACCTCGTCCTCCTCCTAGCGTGCCAGGACGAGCCCCTCCGCCGCCGCCCGCCCCGCCTGCCCCGTCCGCCCCAAGCCGTCACGTCCCTGCGGTCCCAGGCAGAGCGTGAGTCCGCCCACGCCCGTTCGAAACCGCTTACCCCAGTCCACCTGCTCCTCCTCCTCCGCCAGCATCTTCGGCGCCGTCGCGTTTCCCCCCCGCACCTCCTCGCCCGCCTCCTGCGCCCCCCGCTCCTCCTCGCGCGCCACCAGCTCCCCCTCGTGCTCCTCCCCCTCCTCCCTCGCCACCGCGTGAGATGTCCCCTCCTCCGGCACCCCCTGCTCCCCCACGCGCACCGCCTGCTCCCCCACGCGCACCGCCTGCTCCTCCCCGTGCGCCTCCCGCGATCCCAGGTCGCAGCCCTGCGCCGCCACCTCCACCGCGTCCCACTGGAGCGGGATCTCTTTCTGGGCGCGGTATGCCTCCTCCCCCGCCGCGCCCGGGAACATCGTCGCCAGCTCGCGCGAGCCCTGCTCCGCCTTCTCTGCCAAACCGCGCCCCGCCTGCTCTCCCAAGTCGCTCCGCCAGCACTGTGAGTGACTTTGCAGCTGTGATGTTTCCGCTGACACCAGCGGTCCGTGCCTCCTCCACCACCTCGTCCGGGAAGCACCGGCACGCCGCCTCCCAGAGCGCCTCCACCTCCACCGCGTCCGACTGGTGCACCGACTTTGCCTCCTCGCGCCCCAATGCTTCCCCCGCGTGCGTCCCCGCAACCGCCGCGCTCGCCGTCGCCAGAGCCTCCCGCGCCCGCCCTTCCCCAGAGACCCCCTTCCAACTCTGTCTCTTCCGGTTCAGCAACGCCAGTGAGATCGCTACCTCCCGGCCCGCCGCCCGCGCCGCGTAACTTGCCTCCTCCGTCGCGCGCCCACCCGCCTCCCTCCCGTTCCCCCGTTCCACCCCCAGTTTCCCGCCACGACGACAACTCCCCTCCCCCGCCCCCTATGGGTCGTAGCCCGGCCGCCGCTGCCTTGGCTGCCGCTGGCAGACTGCGCTCTTCCAGCAACGCTTCAAACAACGATGACGCACCTCCCCCTCCAATGGGTCGTAGCCCCGCAGCCGCGGCGATGGCAGCGGCCGGCCGTCTGCGCGCGCCGAGCAACCCACCTCCACCCGCTCCTGCGCGTGCGACCCCGCCGCCTCCTGTTTCGCCCCCGCCTCCGCCTCCTGGGCCAAGTCCGGCTTCGCGCCGCCCGCAGAGCACCTTCGCTCCGCCTCCCCCGCCTCCAGGCCTCTCGCCTGCTGCCAAACGGCCGGCGTCTGTGGCCGTCTCGCGCGACATGAGCAGCAACGGCATGGACGACGACGAAGTCCCGGAGCCGCCTGCTGTGCTTGGTCCTTGGACGTTTGCGATGAAGGGCATGTTCCCGCCGCCGCGTCCATGGCACGGGGGTCAGAAGACGTATGGCAGTGGCAATGCGCACGGAGCAGGCATTGGATACAAGGTCTAGTCCTTGCCGTCATGTAGCTAGCGGAATTTCAACGGCACCGACGCATGAGGCGATGAATAAAGTTGTGTTGGTAGGAGGTGGGATGGAGGACGTTGCGGTGACCTGAGGATTGCAAGTGATTGAGGGCATGAGCCCGATGAGCTCGGCACTGACGCATACTCGCAATCGCCGACAGCTAGGTCCTCGACGGCAGCATCACGAACTCGAGGGGTGAAGAGTCTGGCAAGAGTGCTAAGCTTGTGGGCAGTCTGCCCATCACGCAGAGTATTTCAGAATGCTTGTGCCACACGCACGCTATACTAGCCGGGGATAAAACAGTTGTACAAGGAGAAATACATCGCAGCACCAAAATTGGGAGTGACATGCAGGTGCCTCCCGTCTGTCTTGGATTAGCGCTCCTCTCCTGCCTGCGCTAACTGAACTCCCATCCTGACACTCACCTAAGTTGTCTTGAGATACTGGTAGATGACCCACCCCACAACAGCGTACATGAGAAGACGGACATATGGGGGCATCTCCGGCACAGCAAGGTCGTCGATCTTGACCTCTGCTGTCGCTGGCGCGGCAGCGTGCTTCTCGACGAGCTTGACGAGGCCCTTGGCGTCGGCGCCGCGCAGCGTGTCCACGACCTCGGGCTTGCCTCCCACCTTCTTGATGTACTTGAACGTCGGCATGGCCGTGACGCCGTACCGCTGCGCGAGCTCCTTGCACTGGTCGACGTCGATCTTGGCGACGACAACGGTAGGGTACGCCGCGGCGATGCGGCCGAGAACTGGGGCCACGAACTTGCACGGCCCGCACCAGACGGCGTGGAAGTCGAGGAGCGCCAGCTGTCCCGGCGCGAGGTCAGCGAGCAGCGTGTCCAGCGCTGCCGTGTTCGGGATCTCGGTGGGTGCAGGCATTGCGGTAGGAGGGGGATGATGCTGACGGCAGCGCAGCAATGTTCATTGCCTTTGCCAAGGGATCATGGCTGGTGGAGGCGATGAGACCACGTGGCAGTCTGGGGACCCCAGTGCGGGTTTGGGAATTTCATTGCGTGCTCTATCGATGGCGGCATGATGCGTCTCTTCGCCATCTCCCGCTCCTCCGCCATCCGTGATATCGGACATCTCGAAGAGCGCTTGATCACGCCGAGGTAAAAAGAATGAGAATAGTCAATACTCGGCTTGCTGTTGGTCACTCACCCTTTCTCTCTTTCTCTCTTGCACTCTCACTCTCTACTTACCTCATGACCCGCACCATGGCTACCAACATCACCTTCCACCCTGGTGAGTACTCCTGCTCCCCCCTTGCCGGCCCCCGCTAACCCACAGGCGCCGTCACGCTCGACGAGCGCGCCGAGCTCCTCGGCCAGCGCGGCGCGACTATCTGGTTCACCGGCCTCTCCGCCTCCGGCAAGAGCACCATCGCCACCGCACTCGAGCAGGCCCTCCTGCACCGCAACCTCCACTCGTTCCGCCTTGACGGCGACAACATCCGCTTTGGTCTGAACAAGGACCTCGGCTTCGACCCCCAGAGCCGTGTCGAGAACGTGAGTGCGCTGGGCCTGGCTATACGTACGGTGTGCGCAGCGGCGGAGCGTGAACAATGGCCCGGCTTCACGACAGCCCATGATCCGCTACCTGTCCCCGGCATCCGTTTACCCACCCAAGCCCGTTCTGCTAGACGGCACTAACCCCAGATCCGCCGCATCGGCGAGGTGTCGCTCCTCTTCGCCTCCTCCTCTTCCCTCGCCCTCACGGCCTTCATCTCGCCCTACGCCGCCGACCGTGACCTCGCGCGCTCCCTGCACGCCAAGCACAGCCCGCCGCTGCCATTCATCGAGGTGTTTGTCGACGCTCCCCTCGCTGTTGTCGAGCAGCGCGACCCCAAGGGGCTGTACGCTAAGGCACGCGCAGGCGAGATCAAGGAGTTCACGGGTATCTCGGCGCCATATGAGGCGCCGCCTAACCCCGAGATCCACATCAAGACTGACCAGGTTGACGTCAAGGGTGCCGTCGAGATCGTCATCAAGTACCTCATTGACAACGGAATCATCAAGGCGTAGGCTGGGGTTGTAAGAGAGATGTAGAGATAGAGCATGTACATGTCCACGGCTGCAATCTTGCTCTACTAATCATACCAGCTCACTTGATCGACTTACCGGCGGCCGCCCACGAAGACGTATTCATTCATGCAGACGGACGTATTAAGGTGCATCCACACGGCTCAGTACAGCCGTCCTCAATAACTAACATGGTACATATACATCCCAGGAATCTACCACTCTACCACTCACACCTGGCGCCTTGCACCTTCTGCGTCATCGCGAACACCTCGCCCACGATACTGAGCGCGTTCGGGTCGTGCTGTATGAGCTTGAGGACCTCGTACATGCCGGTGACCGCCTCATCCTCCGACTGCTCGTCAATCTGCTCGATGGCAGCCCACTCCTCGTAGTCGGTGCGCTTGGTGTACCGGTGCTGCTCGGCTGCGCGGTCCACACGCTTCTCGTACAGGCTGCGCAGCCAGTCGAGCGACGTGCGAATCAGATGTGCCACGTTGCCTGCGGGTAACGGCATGTTGATAACACGCAGCGAGTCGAACATGGATTGGTACAGCTGCGCGACGCCTGTAGCCTCCTCCTCGTGCGGAATGGCGTTGATCAGCATGCGGAACAGCCCTTCAAGGTTGCCCGCATCTCCGAGCCACATGTTGGCGTCCTTGGCCGCCTGGAGTAGTCCAGGAATGAGGAAGCACGCATACTGATGTCAGCTGCGCAACATGTCTCACTCACCTCGCGCACAGATTCCGAGCCCCACGACGCCACTGCAGCCAGCACGACGTCCATCGTGTCTGACAAGAAGGGAGCGTACTTCTCCTCCATGACCAAGACGTAGACTTGGAGCTGGGCGAAGGCCTCCTCCTTCTCCTGCATCTCGGCTGAACGTGACTGGTCGTACCAGGCGTCGTCGTCATCTGCTCATCAGCTTTGGAATTGGCGAGACTCACTGGCAGCGGGCGTATACTCTGCCTTTTTTAGAACGTTGGGCAGGACAAACTGCAGGAACGGCGAGAAATCCTTGCCGATCGTCTTAGCCATCTTGACCCATGCTGCCGGTCAGATCTATCCTGCTGCCGCAATCTCACCCTCCCCGAGCACAGCAACGCGAGGGTCTTCATCCGGCTTGGGCAAGTTTTGAATGCTCAGCATGATTTTGCACAAGGGAATTGCGTCGCCGAAGAAGTGCTAGACAGTCAGCGGGCAGCGCAAGCGCACCTTACCCCTTTGCCCACAGCTCGTCCAAGCTGCACTGCACACATAAGTGCACTGCACACGAATTTGACCTGTGACTCGTCGGTAGCAGACTTCTCAAGGGTGCGTAGGATAAAGTCCATGATGTCGCCTGATTGTCAGTCATGCTATGATATTGACTGACGATAGTAAGGGACGAACGCCTTCCTCTCCGTCTTGGCAAGAGTCGCTGACATCAGCGCTGAAAATAGTGACGACTCACCGATGGCATCCAGAAGCTCCTGGCGGAAGTACAGAGGCTCCTTCTCATTAGTGAGGCTGCTCATCAGTCGCTCGAGAATAGGCTGCAGTCTGGGCGCCAAGGATGGCCTCTGCCATGTGGCTTTGTCCTCCTCGTCGTCATGGACCAACTCGGGCAGTCTGAGCTCCATTCTCGGCGCCACCGGCGATGGCGGTGCCCCCTGCACCTTGGCAAAGTGCGTTAAAGCTGCGGCTGCTGCCGCGCGCACTCTTGTCACAGAATCATCAAGCATCGACAAGATGATTTGAAGTGTGGCGTCGGAGTATTGTCGCTGCACCTCGCCCTATCATTAGCGTGGTGAAGTCAGTCAATGTCCTCACGTGGAGCGTTTCACACATCACCCCAATGCAGTAAAGAAAGCCGTAGCGCACACGAGGATGATCGTCCATGGCGAGCGGTGTAACCAAGCTGCAGTCAGCGCGCCACCATGGTGACATACTTACTTCAGAACCTGCTGCAGTCCCTGCGTCATCGTCTGGAAATCAGCGTCCCACTCGAAATCTGCTCACCTCGTGACATCCTTCTGCAACGGACGCGATCGCCATTAGAGTGCAGTATCTAGCACGCCACTCCGATCGAGCAATGAGCGGCGCGGCCTGCCGTCCCACAGCGGCGAGAACGGACCCATCCCCTACTTGTCAGCCCAAACGGTACAACTTACTTACTGAGGATCATAGACAAGCGATTGAGCATTTCCTCCGAGTACACCGGATAGGTCTCGTCATCGTCCTCCAGCTGTGGGTCAGTTGCTGGACGTTTAGTTGCCCACATCTTCTGTCTCTATCCACTCTTGACATTGCTCGCCCTCCGCGGCAAACGACGCGATCTGGCGACCGATGAGAGCGTCGACAACGTCCGAAACCAGGGCTCCATTCTGCCACATCAAAACGTTATCGCGATCCGCAATGATGAGGTTGAATAACACCTCGAAAGCCATCGCGGACATGTCCTCCCATGCGCCCCATCCCATTTCGCGGTGCGGCACGCGCGAGAACGGGTGTCCGGATAGGGTGGAAGGTGGGGCGATGCACGAAACCAGAAAGGGGATAAGCAAAGGCAAAGATGCGATGAAGAGTTCGGGAAAGTCGGAGGCGATGTCGACCAGTGCCTCGAGGGCATGAACAAGAACGTCAGACGGCATCGAGGCGATAGCGGTAACGGATGCCTCGAGCAGAGGAGGGCCGAAACGCTCTCTTTCGTCCACCGTGAAGCCCTCCTGCATAACACCGCGGAGGGCGCGGAGAGCCTCGATCTTTACATCGATGCTAGGGTCGTTTACGCCGGCGAAGAGAAGCTCAGCCAGCCTTTCCTTCGGCCACGTCTCGTTCGAGAGGCTCTCAGAAAGGAGGTTGGGTGATTCGCTCAGGAGCTGATAGGACGTAAATCGATGGAAGGGGCGGTTCGAGGCGATGAGGCTGAAGATGACCGGTCCCAGGTCGACAAAAGGACCTGGAGTTAGCGAGGAGCAGTGCAGAGCTCGAAGGCTGAGGAGGAACTTACGTTGCCGCTTCGCGCTGCCTTTGACCCAGTCGCTGGTGCTCGAGCCAAGTGCCTTGCGGATACGCGTGTCCATCTCGTCCTCGAGTCCGGCCACGAGCACACGCTCGATTCGGCCCCTCGTCGCCTCAGGAATTGCATCGAACGGCGCAGTGGGCACACGAGCCGCAGCATTGAGGAAGAGTCCGCTATTTGTGTCAAAGGCAACGCGACGGAGAAGCACTAGCGCGAGCTGCCGCGACTGCCGTCAGCGGAGATGCGTCAGCGCTCACCTCGACCTGGAAGCCGCCGACGCCCAACGCTCCGATCTGGGCCAGAAGCAGTAAAACAGGCCCCGGAGATTCGGCGGTGAGCTGTGCGAGCCGAGTCTCCGCTCTGGACGTTAGCGATATCCCCTGCGCTTCTTTGCACGCGGCTCGAAAGGTGCACGCGGCTCGAAAGAAAGGCCGCGACAGGAGCTTTGCAAGACATGTCTTGATGACCAGCCCGCATGCGATACCCGCAAGGCCAAGGTGAGTTCCCTCCGCGTCGAGGAGATGGCTAAGCCCGTCGTTGCCAGAATCCGTCGTCGGCGTTGCCCAGCCAATCGCTCGGATCACCCTACTGTCCGCGTCCAAGGAGGCCGCTCTCGGAACACGATAACGACTCACTCATGGCGGGCTTGGTTATCGGGACTGGCGACACCCTCGAGGATGCTGCTAAAGTCCTTGAGTAGGTGCTCTGTCGACATGGAAGGGGGGATTGTTGATGAAGGAAGCGTCGGCCGCTAGAACTTGAAATAGTGGGGACCTCCACCAGCAACTTGGCCTCCACTCGGATTTATCCATCGCCGCACCGAACAGGAACTTGACATCGTCTAACACCCATGCTCTTGTCGCAGCTTCCCCGCGCGGTGGCCAGCTCCAGCCGCATTGCGGCTAGGGCTGTGCGCGTTGCACCACGCGCCTCCCTTACTCTGCGCGTAGCTGTCCCGAACTTCTCGCTCGCCCAGCGCCGCTTCCAGGCTACTTCGGCTGGTGAGGATGTGATAGCAAACCTCGCTGACAGCAGACACGGTCACGATCCGTGGTGAGACGTACCCCATCGACGCCAAGAGCAACACGCCGGTAAACATCCTTGGAAAAGTCGAGCGTCAGCTGCACATGCAGAAGGGGCACCCTCTCTCGACATTGCGCGAGATTATCGAGTCGCACTTTGAAGGCTATGTCAAGCTGCGGCCGTCGACGCCGGTCGTGACGGTGCACCAGAACTTTGACGAGTTGGGCTTCCCACCTGATCACCCTGGTCGCGCGCAAACGGACAGCTACTACGTCAACGAGACGCACATGTTGCGAACGCATACCAGCGCACACGAGGTGGAGGCGTACAAAACAGACGAAGACGCGTTCCTCATCGCGGCTGACGTTTACCGCCGGGATGAGATCGACTCTTCGCACTACCCCGTCTTCCACCAGATGGAGGGTATGCGCTGCTTCTCGGGAGAGCAGGGTCTCGACTTCATCAAGGCGGACAACGCGCGCATGGCGGCCGAGCTGGAGAAGTGCCCGATCATCATCGAGGATGAGACAGTCGTCGGGCCCAGCAACCCGTATCAGGAGTGCCATGACCCGGAGCTGGCTGCTGAGATCATGAAGAACCTCAAGCACTCGCTGAACGGCATGATCTTCAAGCTCTTTGGTGGCTCCACCGGCGATGAGCCGCTCAAGGTCCGCTGGATCGAGGCCCAATTCCCGTGGACCTCGCCTTCGTTTGAAGTGGAGGTCTGGTTCAATGGCGAGTGGCTCGAGATCCTCGGCTGCGGTGTGGTAGTACAGAAGACGCTAGAGACGGCGGGCATGGGCCACAAGTCGGCATGGGCGTTCGGCCTCGGCCTCGAGCGTATCGCCATGGTTCTGTTCGACATCCCAGACATTCGCCTGTTCTGGAGCGAGGATGCGCGCTTCCTGGACCAGTTTGCCGACGGCAAGATCACCACTTTCAAGCCCTACTCCAAGTATCCACCATGCTACAAGGACATGAGCTTCTGGCTGCCAGAGGAGGGCGCCAGCAAGGATATCACGCCGTGGCATGAGAATGACTACTGCGAGATTGTGCGCGACATTGCGGGCGACCTTGTTGAGAACGTCAAGCTCATCGACGACTTTACGCACCCCAAGACGGGCCGCCGTTCGCTCTGCTACCGCCTCAACTATCGCAGCATGGACCGATCGCTGTCGAACGACGAGGTCAACGTTCTGCAGGACAAGGTCACGAGCCAGGTTGTGGACAAGATGGGCATTGAGATCCGGTGAAGAAGTAGGCCGTTTGGGTATTAGGAGTACAAGTACGCAGCATTACTCAGCCATTTGGATCCGTTGCAATGGGCTCTGATAATCTTTTCGTAAGAGCAGCGCAACCTGTAATGGTTTGGCTTCTGCATTGCGGCCGTGTGATTTTACAAATGACGAGACGCGGACGCGCTGAGAGTATGCCCATTCACAATGCGGATCGCGCTCCTACCTCTTGACGGCGCCTTCTCCATCCGTTGAGCGCAAGTGCAAAAATGATACACTGTAAGGGAGTCGAACCCCTGCCGCGTCGATGGCAACGACGCATGATACCGTTTCACCAACAGTGTTGTATTAATTGATAACAGATTTCATTCTCATTGCTATATGTTTGGACTGCGAGCTCGTAGTACATGCCGATAATGCTCTGCAAACGAGCTGCTCATGGCATGCATATCAGGCTGTCGGTGCGTCCTCAGGAAGTCTCCGTGTTCTGGGATGGCTGGCATCCATCGATAGGTGGAAAATTCATCGTGGGGCAGAGACCCTCCGCAATTGAACAGAATCGATATCAGCAGATGGAGCCCCAGCTAAGGACGCCGTCGTTTCGCCAACGATCTTGCCCGAGCTTCTTCTGACACTTTTGTGCACACCACAATGCCCGACATCAAGGCGTGGCTAACCGCCGCCGCGCAGTGTAAGCTGCTGTCTCCGTAGCGCTGACCCCAGATTTGCCCCCCGGCGGTGTGGTCAAGCCACCCACACTGAGCAACATGGAAGCGATGAACGCGCTAGAGGTGCCCCTCCGCCTCCGCCTGGCTGACAGCAGATGATGGACCCGCAGATGGACTGGGGCATGCACTTCGCGCCGCACGGCAAGTTTGACCCCAGCGCGCCGCTCTCGCCCGCGCAGGTGTGCTGGGTGATGGACGAGATGGGGGCGCGTGAGCTGGCGTGGCTGCGCGGCGGAACGCTGGCGCAGACGGTCTTCACGGCGCTGCACAGCCACAACACGCTCGAGATCATGCCGGGCGTGCCGCCGAACGACAAGACGTATCTCGCCGCGTGGGCGGCGTGCGCGGCGCTGCGCGCTTTCGTGCTCGCGTATGCTAAGAGCGTGCAGCTAGAGGCGGCGGCGATGAGCGAGGCGTCGGGCGCCGCGCGCGACGGCGAGGATTTCTGGGCCGACCCCTACGGCGTGCCCCTCGAGACGGCGGAGGACGTGCCGGAGGTCGTGGCCTACGTCGACAGCGCCGCGCGCTGGTTAGCGCAGCGTGAGGAATGGGCGCCGGCCGTAGCGCGCCTTCGCTTCCGGATTGCGTGGATCGCCGCACTCCAGCTCCAGCCCCACGCCGCCGTGTCCATACCCAAGACGGAAACTGAGCGCGTGGACTGGGCGTTCGATGATGTCGCCGCCTTCCTGCGCCAGAACATGCCCCTCTCCGCCGTGTCCTACCCCTCGCACGAAGAGATGTGGACCGGGTTCCGCGACGCTATGGGACAGCTCGCTGCCGCGCCAGCGCTTGCGCACTCCTCTCTAGCCGACATAGAGATCCACCTCGCAGCCATGCCAGAGACCCTCCCCATCGTGCGGGCGCAATACCGCGCCCTTCTGAACACCCTCGACCGTGACGCGCTCGTCGACGAGTGGCTGTCGACCGCCACCTCCCAACCGCGCGGCGTTCTCAAGCGCCTCGACCACGAAATCCACACGCCCAACGACCGCCGATCTTTCGCACTCTGGCGCGACGTTGTCGCTGGCGTAAGGCGTCTCCCGGACACGCTGACAACAGAATTTCATACTCGGCCTTACAGTGCGCCTGCAAAACCCGCCGCGCCGGCGACGCGGGTTCCAGCACCTCAGCAGAACGTGGTGTGACCAAGCGTCGTCAGCGGCGCGCCTCGCCGCGCGCTATCCGGCTTTCAAGCCCATCGTCGCGGCCGTCCGTGCGCGCGCCCTCGACGCCGACCTTTCCGCTGCGCTCGCGGCCCTCTCCCTCCGCTTGCTCGCAAAACACGAGCGGCGCGCACACTGGTGGTGGATTGCGCGTGTCGCTGGGGCCCGGCTGGCTTTAAACGAGGTGGGCGGCGACTGGGCACGCGCTTGGGCAGCTGTCGCAAGCGGCATGTTAATTGTGAGTCCCTATCTCCACGACCTCCGGCCGAGCCTGACGCCAGCTCTACACGCTCGTGCCTACCGGGGACCCCTCCAGCTCTGAGTTTGCTTTGCGGCACAAGATTGCGCTTGGTACCGGGTTACACCCCGCCCCACCATTGTTCAGCGCGTGGGAGGCAGCAAAAGAGGCTCTTGACGAGGCGTATAAGGGCAACACCAAGAAAGGGCGCGACGCAGCGCTGGCGTGGCTCCGCACTGCCCACCGGCTCATGGACTCGCTCGGCGTACGATCCCTCCAGTCAGACTTGGCAGGGACAATAGCTGTGCTCGAGAGCGGGCGCGAGCTCAAGTGGGCGGAGGACGGGACCGCAGAGGTGGCGGAGCGCATCCCGCGGCTCAAGTAGATCGGGATCAGCCGCATGCTGATGAAGGGGACGGAGCAGTGGCAGAGCTGACCGTGTGGCTTGAGTAATCATGAGTAATGTACAATATGCATCTAATAACACTGCATGGGAATCTATGCGGCGGCGACGATGGGGGTGCTCTCGTCCACCTGTGCCTCCTTGACCTCCTCCGGCTTGGGCTCCGCCGTGGTAGCACGGCTGGCCTCCCACGCACCCCACTCCGGGCGCGCCCGGAGCTTGGCCTCGAGCTCGTCAATAAACGCCTTCCCCTGGCCGAGCTCGATGCGGAGGCTCTCCGCCAGCTCCTCGACGCTCTTGCTGCGCGCGATGGCTTCATTGACCTCCTTGCGCTGCTGCTTGCTCAGGGTGCTGAGCGGCGGCGGCGACGGGCGGTATTGCATGAGCAGGAACTTGGTGTTGCCCCAGCTGTGCTTGGCGTACTCTGCAATGTTAAGTAGCTTGGGCACAACCTGGGTGATGTTGTCCACGGGCCCGTCAGGCGAGAAGACGGAGGGGTTGTTTTCTGCGCTGCGCGCGAGCATCGCGCTGCTCGCCCCCGTCTGGGTCTTGATCGTGTTCCAGTTCGCTGTGCCCTCGCCGTCCCCATTACAGATGACGTTGATACCGCGCCGCTTGCCCAGCTCGACGACATCGCCGAGACGCTCCCAGATCGCGCGCTCGCCAGGGCGCATGTCGCGCGTCCGGCAGTGTACCGTGAGGTTGCGCACACCGGTGCGCAGGATGCGCGCGGCGAGGTGCCGCGTGTCCTGCTGTCCGGGGAGGAGGCGGATCTTACATGATACCGGGATGTCGACAGCGCGCAGGAGCGCGCGCAGGATGTCGAGGAGCAGGTCGGGTGTAGAAAGAAGCGCGGCGCCCATGCCCGAGTGCGTCGAGAAGGGCTTGGGGCAGCCGCAGTTCAGGTCGATGCCGCTCACGTCTTGCTCGACGACCTTGGCGGCCTGCGCCGCCAGCGCAGGGTCGGCGCTCCCGATCTGAAAGATGACTACAGTTAGGCAGAGGTGGTTATCGCGACTCACGGAATGGCTTCTCGATGGGGTGCGTGGTCCAGATTGCACCCTGGCCCTTGTGGTACGTGATAATGCCGGTTTCAGCTTTCGTCAGCTGGTGCACTTCCAAAATCACTCACGGTCCACAGTTCGCTGAGCCCCGATAATGGCCTTGTCCACAATTTCGGGGGTCCACACCAGCCCTGCGCCGTAGTAAAGCGAAAGAAGGCGGGCGGGCAGAGTTCCGCTGCGCACCATGGGTGCAAGCACGAGCTTGTTGCTGTACACGAGCTCGTGGGCGTACTTCCGCTCGAACTCGAATGGCAAAGCCATTGCTTCCTCGCAGGCGGCGGCCGAAGCGGCCTCCTGCTCCAGCGTGGGGACAACACTCCAGGGCCCGGTCTTTGACGCCTGCTTTGGCTTCTTCTTCTTGCCCTTAGGTGAGGAGGAGGAGGATGTGGAAGCGAGAGAGGTGACTGAATCGTTGGTTGGTTTGGGTGGGGCTGCCGCGACCGCCGCTGCAGCCGGATCCAGCTCAGACGAGAGTCGGATGCGCTTCGCGGCGGGCTCGCCGGTAGGTGATGCGGCACGCAAAGCAACGGGCATTGCGAGTCGAAGGCGGTTGAGGGCCGCTGTGAGGCGGCCGATGAGCATGAACGAGGGAATGGGTTGAGTCAGAATTTCGTGGGTGGCAATTCACGGATCGCGGAGACAGCCGCCCAACCTCCACCGGGGTTTGTCATGCCGATTCCGCTCTGCCCACATCGGACCTGTTCTCGGACATGTGGATCGGTGAGCGTGGTGGAGAGTATTGCATACGGCGTACAACATGTGACAAAAAACAGAGCTGCAGGATCGAAGGAGACAGGTTTATGCAATCTTGTATGATCCATAGTCCTTGTCGGGGTCGTAAACCTCCCAGCGACTAGCGGGGAAGATGTGCTTAAAGCGGTTGTACCATGACCGCTCAACAACCTTGCCCGCGTGACTCTCGTCCTTCTCCCTTGTAGCATCCGAGATGAGCCGCACATCGTCGTGCACGTCAAAGTTGAACAGCGGGCCCGACTTGCCTCGGGCCTTGTTGACGATAAAGTCGTAGAACGTGTAGTGGTGTGGGATGATCAAGTCCTCTTTGATGTACATCATGTTGTCGACACTCGTGCCACGAAGCTCTGGCACTTGAGCGCGACACTTTGCGAGGAAGGCCGCGATATCGTCACCTTTCTTGCACTCGACAGTTTTCCGGTGCCCACTACCATCCCAGTAGGAGTATGTGATCTCGATGACCTCGTTCTTAATGCGCTCTTGTTCGGCTAGCCATTTCTGCCGAAGCTCTTCGCGTTCAGCACGTTCCTGTGCTTCACGCTCGCGGTCGGGAAGGAAAGAGGTGTCAACCTCGGGGTTTTTGAGTAGCTTCTTGCGTTTCGGGGAAGGTGCTGGGTGGGGTTAGCTGGATATGCGTGTGCTGCTCACCATCCTCGGCAGGTGTCTCGCTTCCCTCCTCGTCGTCAGCGAAGGAGAGCATGACCCGCTTCTTCTTCTTGTCCTTCTTGGCCTTTTTCGCTGCAGAGCTTTCGTCAGCTCCTTCTTATCTTGAGCAACCTCACATCTTGTCCGCCGCAGTCTTGGCTGCCTCGCGACGCTTCTCTTCCTCAATCTCCTCCTTTGTCTTTTGGAAGTCTTCGAGGGTGACGAGACCAATAGTCGACTTCTTTAGCCGCTCGTCGACCGACTCGGTGACATTGACGAAGCGTGCTGCTGGTTGAGCACCCTGTTGTTAGCAAGTTGAGCCGACCTCGGGGTGTGCGCGGCCTACCTTTGGGCCTTGTGCATGACGTTCATGTTCTGTCTAGCCGCGGCAGTTGCCGCATTGTCAGTAACTGTTTGGCCTTGATGAGCAATATAAGACGTACCAGATCATTGTCACGATTTCCAGCCATGCTTGTCGGCGCGAGTGTGTGAGAGATGAGTGGTGGAGTAGTGCTGATGAAGGAGCAAGATGGAAATGGTCACCAGATCAACAAATGCTGTGTGTGAGGGAGTGGGGCATTTGGAGACGACGGTGGAGGGAGGTGGAGGTGGAGGTGGCCAGAAGGTGGGAGAAAGTGACGATAAATGAGGTCATGAAAATTCTCTGGGTGAGAGGGAGGAGCGGCTCCACCGTGGCTGCCAGATTTCAGGGGGGTGGGTGTCCTGGGTGGCCTGTCTCGTGGCACCCCTGGCGCGTGGGCGGCCTGCGCTGCCACACCACACACCACCAACAATTACAAGCGGCTTGCTCGCCATCAATCCTTCATTCCTCCATCTCTCTCTTCACAAACACCCACATCGCTCCATCAAAAAGCGTTTCTCGCTAATACCTCTCCCCCACCACCCTTTTATAGACATCCACTAGACTCAAAATGGCTGAGGAGAACGCCGCGACTTTCAAGCTCGTCCTCTGCGGTGACGGCGGTACCGTAAGTTTACATCTCTCGGCACACTCTTCACCTACCTCCCTCTCTCCATCTCCGTCCCAGTACACCTTTGCTGACGCCCATAGGGTACGTATACGCGCACACCAATCCTACACGAGTACTGACATGCGTCTTCTCTCATCTTCTTTTCTACAGGCAAGGTACGTTTCTGCTCTTCATGAGAGCTGGCTGCTCCTGGATCAAAGCTGATCGTGCTCAGACCACTTTCGTCAAGCGCCACCTGACTGGTACGTCCCATCCCACAAGCGACCATGCCCAACTCCCTGGGTTTGGATAGCGTCCATCTCCCCATCTCGGTGCTGCTGCTGACTATCTTTAGGCGAGTTCGAGAAGAAGTACATCGGTATGTCGAGCATAGGCATCAGGCGCAAGCGCGAGCGCAATACCGCCGTTCTCGTCACTCGAGTGCGAGCGAGCAGCGTGGCCATCGCACACTTGGCTTGATCAAGACAGCTAACCTTCTCCAGCCACTCTCGGTGTCGAGGTCCACCCTTTGAAGTTCCACACCGTACGTCCTGCTTTGCCACTTGAGATGAAAGAGATCAACTGCTGACGCTCCCAGAACTTTGTACGTCCGAGTCCGAGCTCGGAGGCTAGAAATTTGCCACTCGACAGTGCACCTGCTGACACACCAGGGCACCATCTGCTTCAACGTCTGGGACACCGCTGGCCAGGAGAAGTTCGGCGGCCTCCGTGATGGCTACTACATCCAGGGCCAGTGCGGCATTATCATGTTCGACGTGACTTCGCGTATCACCTACAAGAACGTCCCCAACTGGCACCGTGACCTCGAGCGTGTTTGCGAGAACATCCCCATCGTTCTCTGCGGCAACAAGGTTGACGTCAAGGTGAGTAACGAGCGCGCGCAACGGATACACTCGTGCTGACACCCCCATAGGAGCGCAAGGTTAAGACCGGCAACGTCACCTTCCACCGCAAGAGTGCGTCGATCCGGCAATGACAACGTATTCGAGGCGCGCTAACATCCAGAGAACCTCCAGTACTTCGAGATCTCGGCCAAGTCCAACTACAACTTCGAGAAGCCCTTCCTCTGGCTCGCCCGCAAGCTCGTCGGCAACCAGTCGCTCGACTTCGTCGCCGCCCCTGCCCTTGCGCCTCCCGAGGTCGTCGTCGACAAGGAGCTCATGGCGCAGTACGAGAACGAGCTGCAGGTCGCCGCCGCCAACCCCCTCCCTGACGAGGACGACGCCGACCTTTAATAGAGTGTCTATGATCTCCAGTGCGGTGAACGCCATTTTATAGCAGTAGTGTTTGCCGAGTCCATGAATCTCTGCATGTCATATGTGCTAATGTGTCGATGAATGGTGCGTGGGCAGGGTGGTCTAGTAGGGGGTTATGGCTGTATTGTCTATTGCTTAGTCCCGGTTGGTGGCTCCCAATCGTCACCTTGACGCTTGAGGTTGGAGACGTGGCGATGGGGGAATTTCTCCTGGATCATGCGCATGTTGCGCAGCTCCTCCCTCCTCTGGGCGTTGCACATCTCCCTGGAGATCAGCAGAGTTGCGTTGAGTGGTTGGTACTCACCAGGCGCCGAGTGCGACGGCGCATCCGCTCAGCACCGCCCAGTTGCACGCGCTGTACACTTCTGCATGTCAGGGGTTTGCAAGCTGAGTTATGGACTCACTCCTTGTGCCAAGGAAGCGGATCGCACCGATCCCAACGCCGCCGGAGATGCCATACAGCGCCGACGAGCGCAGGCAGGGGACCTGGCCGGCCCGCTCGAGGGAGAAGTCGTTCATGGAGACGCGCTGCGGTTTAGCCTTCATACAAATATGTTAAAGCAATGGACACATCGGTGCCCACAGCACATGCAACGGCCCTCTCGATCCGCTCGTCTCCCAGCCGGCAATCTTAGGCCCCAGAGCAGTCCCCCGCGCTCCAACGCTGCCGTCTGACCCACCTTGAGCGCGCGCTTTCGGTCCTCCCACCAGTTGCCGGTGAGCTTCTCCGCCTCCGGATCAAACTGCGCGTCACGATCCGGCGTGATAGGGCTGTTCCCAGCGGGAATGTTGAGTGGCGCGCGCGGTGCTCCCTTGTTATCCTCGGACATGGTCGATGGCAGGTGGTCGATGGAGAAGTTCCGAAAAGTGGCAAAGACGGAGTGGAAGCTCGGCACGATCTCCGGCCAGGCACGTGCCACGCCCTCCACCTCGACGTCAGCCCATCTTCCGTCCTCCAGTCCACAACACCCCGATTCCACAATCATGGCCGCGGACATGGGCGACCCGCCACCACGCGCACATACGCAGCTGGTGCGTGACCACGCGCACGCGGCGGCGACGAGCGCGTTCGTCACGGCCGCTGCGGCGGGCGTCGATCTCGACGGGCGCGAACACAGCCTTGACCTTCCCTCTCTCCTGCCGCTGTCGCACGACCACGCGCTGCTCAGCGGCAGCAAGTTTGACGTCGACGCGTTCCTGCTCTCGCGCATTCACATCCCGCTCGACGAGCTGCGTGGCGAGCTGCGCTCCTACCTTGCCGAGCTGCGCGAGGAGCTCGTACAGCTCATCAATGACGACTACGAGGAGTTTATTTCCCTTGGAACGGGATTGCGCGGCGAGACGGAGCGGCTAAAGGGCTTGGAGAGACCGCTGGGCCTCCTTCGTGGCGAAGTAGAGGTGAGGAGCAGGCTTGGAGGAGCTGACGCCAGACGGTACGTGACGTGTTGAAGGCGCACCAAGATGCCGTGCAGGCCAAACTCGACGAGCGCGCGGCCCTGCGCGAGGAGAAGGCACTGCTCGACCTTCTGCAGCGGCTGTTCGAGACGCTGGCGCGCGCGCAGGCGCTCGAGCGGTCCCCCGACGAGCGGAGCAAGGTCGTCGCCCGCCTCGCGGGCGAGTACACCCAGCTCGTGTATCTGCGCGGCAAGGCGCGCGCCGAAGGCTGCAAGATCGCCGACACGGTGTCGCCGGAGATTGATGCGCTGCGTGGGCGCCTCAGCCACGACCTCTCTTCTCTTCTCACGACGGCGCTGGAGACGCGAGACGAGGCACAGATGAGGGCGTGCCTCAAGACATACGATTCGATCGAGGGGTGGGCTGAGGCCGAGGAAGTTGTGCGGCGCGCAGTGCGCGCGTTCTGCTCGAAAACTATCACACCAACAGCGCTCGTCGCCCCGGCAGCCCCCGTCGCGCCCGAGACGCCCCTCCGCGGCCCCCGCGCAAGACTTGAGGAAACGACGCCGCTCGCGCAGCTGTACAACCGCGTGATGGCGCAGGTGGAAGGCTACGCGTCTCTGCTGTCGCTTGCGCACAACGTCTCGCCGCGGTTCGAGCTGTTCTCGCGCGTCCTCTGGCCCGAGATCTGCACCGCCATCGTCGATAATCTTGGCAGCACGATATTCGCTGCGGGCCGTCCTGACGAGCTGCACAAGCACTACACCACCACCCACGCCTTCTTGATGCTCCTCGAGAGCGCAGCGCCGAGCGTCGACGCTGTCATCGCGATGCGCACGAGCCCGGCGTACGAGTCGTTCGAGCGCCGCTGGCAGCTGCCTGTCTACTTCCAGCTGCGGTGGAAGGAGATTGTGAGCGCGCTCGAGGTGGCGCTTGCCGCGCCCGTCCCCGCCAACCCATCAACCAAGCCATGGGCGCTCCCGCAGAGCGGAGCAGCGTGGGACGCCTTCCGCGCGTGCTGGGCACCAGATATCTTCCTCCCTGAATTAGCACACCGCTTCTGGCGCCTTGCGCTGCAGGTCGTTGCGCGGTACGGGACATGGCTTAGTACAACACTCTCCTCGTACAAGCCGGGAAGCGACGACGACACCGGGCAAGACGACGACGCCCTGCGCTTCGCCGCGGCGGCAGTCACTGATGTTGACGAGCTGCGTACCCGCATCCGAGGTCTTAAGGCGCTTCAGCAGATGGACGTCGACTTCCCCCTGGGCCTGAGCACACAAGCTTTCGCCACACGCATCATCTCTATCCTGCAGCGCCGCTGTGCCGATCCACTCAAACACGTGCGGAGCGTCGCCTCACAGTTCCGCGCTGCGCCGCCCCGCTCCTCCGCTCCGTCCCATTTCATCGCGCAAGTCCTCCGGCCCCTTCACACGTTCCTCGACGTGCGGCCCGCGCTAGCGCCCTACCGCGCCGACTGGGCTGCCGCGGTCGTTGAGCATGTGCTGGCGCAGTATGCGGGCATTCTTGCGTCCGTGCGCAAGACGGAGGACTTGCTCCGGCGGCACCGGAAGAGTAAGAAGAGCGGGTTCAGCTTGTTTGGGAGCAGCAGTGCGGCAGCGCCGGAGGGCGACGAAGACGAGCGCTTCCGCCGCCAGATGCGTGCGGACATTGACGCGCTCGCTGCCGACGCGCGGAGCTTGGGCGCTGTCGTCGACGCCATGCCGCAGTGGAAGGAGCTCGTGGACGTCGTTGAGCGGCCCGCTGAGGCTTAGCATTGTGTTGTGGTCGAGTAGTGCCTCAACTGGGGAGTCGGGGCCGATACAGCCTGATCGACATGACACGACATGGCGATGACCTCATGGCCCGTGTCCAGCCACATGCATCAGCAGTTAGTTGTACAGGACAATGGCGACGGCCTTCTATCGTGGAAGCCTGGACTGCGCCAGCAGACTAGCAAAGCACCAGTAGGAAGGAGAACGGCGACAGGGGTGGCGATAACACGGCGCTGAGCGGTGGGCCGTGCGTGGATACCTTGAGGAGTAGCAGGGGATTTTCGGCTTACGGCGGCGGAGAATTGCGAGACTGACACGTGGTCCATGTGGGGAGGCAGGTGACGCGCCACTGTACGCGCCGTGCCTGCAGCAATCGGCGAGCGTCGGGGATCAAGATTTTCGACGCGCCCCGAGTCGCCGTCGTCTTCCGCCTCTTGCGCCGTGGTCTGCCGTCCGCCGTCTTGGCCGGATGTGCGGGGCCGTGCGGTTGGAGGGCGCATCGGATATCCATGGACGTGGGCGTGGGCCCGTCTCGGGCTGGAGGGTGCGGTGGCGGACGGCGGGTGCCTTGGATCTGGCCTGGCCGCAGCTTTGTCTGGCTTGGCTCGGGGCTGAGTCGGCCTACATGACATTGCACCGCTGATAAAAGCTCCTCAGCGCACTTCTGATCTCGTACTACAGAACATTCACATTCACTGCCACACTCACCCCCACCACACACACCATGTCCATCCCGTTCCCGGCAGAGATCGTCAAGCAGCTCCCGCACACGCGCTACCGCGTGCTGCAGCACCTCGAGCGCGAGGCCGGCGGCATCCCGCTCCCCCCATCGACCGAGGCGATCGAGGAGGCGCTCGAGCTTGCCGAGGTCGCGATCAAGTCGCCCGTGTTCAGCTCGGCTGACCAGGAGGAGGCGCGCAAATGGAAGGAGACGCTGATGGAGCACGCCGATGGTGAGTGGCGAGAGGCGAGGCTCTGCGTGGCCCCGCAGATGAACACCGGCTAATGCTGACCCCAGACTGGACGCGTATCCGCGACCCCTTTAACCCGCTCTACCGCGTCCTCGTGCAGATGCAGGAGGAGATCACGACGCTGCGGCATGAGCTGCGGCGCGCGCAGACGCGCCTGGACAGCTACGACGAGGCGCGGCTGAACACGGCGCGCCGCCTCGTCGGCCTGCCGCCTGCGCGCGTGATGCGCAGCGGCGTCGCCACGCCGCCCACCTCGAACCCCCGCTTCGCGTCGCCCGCTATGATCAACCGCCTCTCGGCGGACCGCCTGCGCGACGCCCTCGAGAGCTACCTCAACGAGACGCCACCCTTCGAGGCCAGCCGCGACAGCATGCAGCGCGCACTCAAGGTCTGCTGCGGCATGGAGGAGGAGCCTGGAAGCCACTAGGCCAGCGGCCCCAGCAATAGACACCACTCGCATTACTGTATACTACTAGACATGTATTCTAGACGACCAAGGGGGTGCTGCTTCGGGGTGCTACGGAGAGTGTTGGGTAGGGCCACTACTGTCTGGGCTGCATCAACGAATGACGTCTGCAGTGATGTCGCGTGAATCATGGCCGCGCACGCTGCACATTTACAGCTCACGGTCCAGTTGACATTGCCAGTTCTCCAGCTCGCGTGGTTCGCTCGCTGGCGCAGCCACCGACGCACAAATTCCAACGACCGTGATCGCCCCGGCGACCCCGCGATGCAGTATGAGAGCGCAGATATGAGGAGATCGGCGCAGATTCGCACGCATATTTCTAAACGATCTGCACGCCACATACCCCATCGCAATCTCACAACACCATCTGCAACTGCTTGAGCACTGCATCCCAGCTCGCCCACGTCGAGTGCACGACCCCTCTAGAACCCCGACGTCACGACTGCCGCGGCTGTCTTTCAGACGTCTGCCCCGCGCGTCGCAGATATGCCAAGCATTTGCGATATGAGACAGTGAGACGCTGCATGGACACAGCCGAGGCATGCGAGGCGCGAGGCACGTCAACACACCATTACGAGGGCATGCCGCGAACGTCATCGATGTGGCCTCAGCCACACTCCGCCTCCGTCCTTCTCGGTCTGACTGGGACCACTGGGCTGCGCAATGTATTAAAGAAGTCTGCGCATCGAGGGAGTGTCCCCATCTGTTTCCTCCCTCGCTCGCCGCCCTCTTTCTCTGCCGGACTCGACTCCCAGCCTGCCACGCCCCTCCCCCACCTCCATCCCTCATGTCCCTGTGCGACCGCCCCCTTCCGCACGACGACCCGCGTTACTACCTCCCTCTACCTGCATTCCGAGCGTCCGTGTCGCCCCCGCCGCGCGCGCGGCTCAAGGACGAGGCGCGGACACGCAGAAACGGGCCGCTCCGCATTCTCGCGGCGCCGAGCGTTGTCTGTCGCCGCGAATCACTGGGGATGGGCGTGCGCGCGTCGCCGGCGCTTCTCCTCCCCTGATCCGAATCGTCAGCTATCGTGAGACTGGCGGAGGCCAAGAATCTCGCCCTTTACCCCGCAACATGTTGTCGTCGTGGCTTTCATAATCGCATGCAATGCAATGTGCGGTATCTCCACAGTGCGGCTGCCTGGTGGAGTGGCGCGTTCGGAGATGATGGATTGAGGGTGGCGCAGGGACGAGATTAGAACGCTCAGCGAAGGAATGACGGAGGCCGACGTCGTTGCCACTCGTTATATCGTCATGCTGCGCGGTGGATCAACGTGGCCTCGGTTTCCATGCGACGGTTGTACAGGGCGTTAAGCGGTTAGGCGAGAAGCTGTAAGAACCTCGCCGACTCAGCAAAAGCTATAGTTCTACACTTATCGCTACATTTGTTTACTTCTTCCGTCAACTTACCTCTGCATGGACCCACACAGCTATCGCAGTCACAGCTGCTACATTCGCAACGCCCGTCGCAATCATCGCAGCAGCCACCACAGTCGGCATAGCAGCAGCCAGTACAGCATCCTTCGACGGCCTGCCTAGAATGGCCGTTATGCTGTGCGTCCTCGGCGGAGCTGAGGCCCGTGACGCCGGACGGGCCGGGTTGATGCGTGATAGGACTGAACATGAGCGCCAGCGATGCCAGCTGCAGCATACCTGGCCATGAGGAGAGGACATGAGCAAGCTCAAGACTGCTGGGCTCTCATCACAGTGGAGGAGTGTTATTACCCGTCTGAGCTGGCCCAGCTTAAGGCGATGGCCATATGATGCTCCTATCCCATGATCGCCAAGAGCGCCGCTTCGAATCTCCGGCGGAGTACAGAACGTCGCTTATCGCTGATCACATGGCACACGCGAGACGCGTCACGTGTAAGCGACGGATCTACGGATCTACGGATGGATGTACGTCAGACCACGCGTCCAGGCGCGCCTGGCCTTGTCTTTCGCCCTTCTGCCCTGAGCAATTACCGGCGGCTGGGGGGGCGTGCCTGGAAATTGAGAGCCCCACAAAGTGCGGCCTCCGCCAAGTCGCCCAAGTTCTCATGAGAGCTAGTTTTTTGCGCATTCCGCTGCTCGCGACGCCGCGACGGCGCGACGTGGACGAGGGCAGGGAGGGCGGCATAGGTAGAATTGGTGGAGCTGGAACTGGCATGCATAGCCTGAATGGTGGGAAGTGGTAGAGGGGACCGAGGGTGGATCGAGAGACGCGTCTGACTGAGGCTGGGAGGCGCACGCAGATGGGCGTCATCCTCCCTTTTCCCACTCGTCCCGCCTTGACATCTTTCATTCCACTCGCATCTCTCTTTCCTCTTCTCTCTCTCTTTCTCTCTCTCCATCAAAAATACGCAACGTAGGTTGCCTGTCTCTACCTCCCACCACCCCTACCCCTAATCTCTCCCCTCCCCTCCTCTCCCCTCTCCCAGTCTATCTTCCATGCGCGTCGCCATCGTCGGAAGCGGCCTCTCGGGTCTCTCAGCGCTCTGGGTACGTCTAAGCACGCCTCGAGCAAGTTCTGACACCCAGTTCCTCAAAAAGCACTCCGACCATGAGGTCAACATCTACGAAAGCTCGGAGCATGTAGGCGGGCAGGCGCGCGGCGTAATCTACAGACGTGCGTCTCGCTAGCGCGCGCGAGCTAACAGCAGGCGAAGGCAAGGAAGATGTGCTCGTCGATACGTGAGTCCGCCATCGGGAGAAGTGGCGAGAAGAGGGCAGGGAAGGAAGACGGAGGCGCAAATCGGAGCTGACTGTAGCGGACTCGTGTGTGCCCCTTATCGCCCCACCTGACGACAGATGGCCTTCAGCCCCGCCGGCTCGCCCACCCTCGCCGCCTTCCTTAAGCAGCTCGACCTTCCCACCCGGCGAACGGACATGTCGCTGACTGTTGCGCGAGAGCCGCGCCCGGCGGGCGTGTGAGTCGACTTACACACAGAGCACGAAGCGGTTAGTTTTGCTGATTGCAGGCTCAACCTCGTCAACCCCCGCGCATGGCGTCTCGCATTCGATAAGCTGCGCTTCGGGTATGCCCAGGCCGGAGATGAGCCGCTGGGTGCTTGGCTCGCGGCCAACGGGTACAGCGCGGCCTTCTTCGACGAGTGGTTGCTGGTGCGTACTTTAGCGAGTTGGATAGCCGCTGATCACAGCCGCGCATCGCGCGTCTTTGGCCTGTGACGGACGACCTTGCGGCCAAGGAGATGCCCGCTGACTCGGTGGTCCAGGCCGTCCAGGACCACGAGGGGTCGTGGGAGGCGATTGCCGGTGGAGGGTGAGTATTCCCCGAGGCGGCCGGCGGTCATGAGTATGGAGTGATCTGACGACCAGTGCTGCCCTCGTCGACAAGCTGGCGTCGATTATCCCGCCTGAGAACCTGCACACCCGCGCCGAGATTGTAAGCATCACGTCGCACGAGTACGGTGTGCGCCTTGTTGAGGCGGGCGGTGCGAACCACATCTACGACCATGTTATTCTCGCGATCCCGTCCAAGAGAGCCGTCAAGTTGCTCAAGGCTGGCGGCTGGGCTGCGCCGGAGGAGGAGGCGCTGCTCGACGGGCAGTGGATCAGACTGGACGCCGTTCCCGCGACCGGGGCTGGCCCTGCTCCCCTTTGCGTGAGCTCGTCCCCGGCGCCACCTGCATATGATGCCTCCATGCCGGCCGCAACGCAAACTCTGTCACTGAGCTACGACATGGGCCGTATCGCGGCCCAGCCCGGTATTACGCTTCACATTACCCCCGGATCTTCCCTCGAGGTACCCCTTCCTTCCACCCGCAGTCTTGCGCCGCTGCAGAACACACGCCGCATCGCGTACGCAGGTGCGTGGGCGCGCGGCGGCCGTGCCGAGGATGCGCTCATCAGCGCGCTGGAGCTTGTCAAGGCCGCGCCATTCGATGCAACTCCTCCTCTTGAGGTGACTCGACGTCGCGCGCGCGCCGGGGCCGCTTTTACGCTCGCCCGTATCGTGCTAGCATACGCCGAGAGCGTTCGTCACCTCGCCTCGCCCCTCTGGACCGTCGTGTCTTGGCCTGTTGCGCTTGCGCTCGCCCTGCTGGAGACGGCCACGCCGGTGCCGCGCGCGCGGCGCCAGGTTGCGCTGCTGCGCAAGTGCTGGGAGTGACGTGAATGACGCGAGCGTCGTGAGAGAGCGCGGCGGCGCCATGGCGGCGCCACTCGCTAGATCTCTGAGGCCTGTGCGGTGCCAAGCCGATCCTGCCAAGGTAGCGAGCGGAGAGGCGGTTGCGCTTTGTAGATAGATGTGTTCCCTTCGTTGTCCTGTCCTATCCCGTTTGCAATAGAGTCGATGCATTACAGTAATCGTGCGTGGCAATGCGAGCGGGCAAGTGCTGTGCACGAGCCGGCGCGATTGTCTTCGGCGCATGTTCGGCGCCGACTCGGCACGGGGGCACACGAACCGAGGGTCTCATCTCACATTCAACCCCGTGCGCTGGCTGGTTGAGACGGGCCGACGCGCTGGCGCGCGGCCGACACCACGGCGACGCACGCGATGCATGCGTTTCTTGGTTCGCCTGTTCCGTTGGACTGGACAACTCGCACTCGCAAGGCTCAATTGGGGATCCGCATGATAGAGTTGCAGCCTGAAGGGTCGCTTCCGCAGGGGACGACGGGAATGCGCAGGCACCCGGCTCGCCAACCCTTTGGGCATTGTCAAACTGCTGCGTTGTTTGTCAAGCATCAAGGACCCAGTGAGGTTCCAGCGAGGTTCCGTCACATTAGCGAGTCACCCGCTGCCCGCTGTGCTGCGATGCTGCTGCACTGCCGTTCGTGCCAGCCCTGCCAAGTTTTATATGCTTGCACACAAGGTGAAACGCAATCGAGCAGAGTTTACGGGCCTTGCGGGACGAGAAGCAGCAATGGCGCCTGCCTGTCGACAGTGTCTTCCAAGGTGCACACCACCGCGCACATACCCGCCGCGTGCTAAATTGTCCATAAGCTATAAAAACATAGATGTCGCCAGGCGCCTAAGTATAGCCAGCGGAGATTCAGCAATGCCAGTCAGACGATGGAGTGGTATACAGATTGCGCAATGGTGGAGTTTGGAGGGGGCCATGGTATTAACCACAAAAGTCCATAGTAGTTTTGTCGTTGGTAGTCGTGGTCGTTTACACGCGCGGAGGGTAGCCGCGGGCCGAGGGAGCTGCAACAGGCGCAGGTGTGGGTGTGGGCGTAGGCGTAGGAGCCGCAGCAGCAGCAGCGCCGCCGCCGCCACCACCACCACCGCCGCCAGCACCGCACTGGCCGGGACCAGTGCCGCCCTGGGGGTCGTAAATGGCGGGGTACTCGCAGTTGGCGACCTTGACGTATGCCTGCCCAAGGCCGTCGTTGGGGTTGGCCCATCCGGTGCCGGCGTTGATCGTCTCCTCAGGCTTGGCGGGGTTGGTGTAGGTGGGGACGGGCAGGGTGATGGGCGTGCCAGTCTTGGTGTACTGAGGGATCTGGTTCATCTGAGCGGGGGAGATGTCGGTGAACTGGGCTGGGGGCCAAGCGTACGAAGCAGTCTGGGCGGCGGGGAGCTCTGGCTGGATCTGGCCCTTGCCAGCCATCCAAGGGTCGGAGAAGGTGCCCGAGTACTGCTGACCCGAGACGCCTGCACGACGGCAGGTACCAGCGACCGAGCGGGGGTCGGCGGGGATCCAGCCCTCCTTCCAGCCGAGACGGTAGTGCCACATGGGGTTGGGAGATGGGACAGTGGTCGTGGCGTTTCCGATGCGCCAAGTCCAGAAGAAGAAGTTCTGGAACGCGTCCATGGACGAGGCAACCCACTCGCGGAGACCGTCCTTGGTAGCCTGGTCCCACTGAGTGTAGTCCTCCCAGTAAGCACACGAGCCGATGCGGCGGTCGGCAAAGCCGGCAAAGGTGCCGTCGTAGCGCGAGCCAAGGCCGACACCGTTGAGCCACTGGCCACAATCGTTGATGGCGGCCGACCACTCGCCGGCGTTGTTGGCGCCAAAGCGGATCGAGGTCTCGTTGGTGCGCTCAGCCCAAGCCTGGCAAGGCTGGTTCTGGAACGACGAGATGGAGCCAGTAAGCTGGGGCTGGAAGACGAGGTACTGGTGCTGGTCCATGGCAAGACGGTCGGCACCGCGAAGGAAGTCGAACCAGTTCTGGACGCCGAGGAAGGCATCGTGCATGGCGATCATGGGACCCTTGCCCTCGCCGAAACCAGTAACAGCACGGATAGTCCTGTAGGCCTCGAGAACAAAGGTGCCGACCTGGCCCTTGGCGTTCGAGTTGTCGATGGCAGCACCGTTGGGTTCGTTGAGGAGGCAGAACATAGGAACAACATCCTTCCACTCGTCAGTCGAGATAAACTGGGCGATGCTGCGGATGATCTCGAGGGTGCGCTGGGCGTTGGCGAGACCCATGGGGCCCTTCATCCAGTTGACTGTTCCAATCTTGCCAGAGTGGTTCCAACCGTTCTGCGAGCCGGGGGCAGTGTGAAGGTCAAAGTTGACACGGATACCGTACTTGCGGGCCCAGCCGAGGGCCTTGAGGACATAAGTCCAAGCAACACGCTCAAGGTAAGGCTCGCTAGGGTCCTTCTGGACAGCCCAGTGGCCGATCGGGAGACGGATCCAGTTGAGACCAGCAGCAGTAATCTCCATAAAGTCGCGCTCGGTGATGAAGGTCTCGTAGTGCTCGGTCATGGCCTTCTCGAGGTCAGCACCCATGTTGATCGACATGGTGTACTCGTCCACAGAGGTGCCGGCGGGGCCAGTCGAGTAGCGCTCGTAGAGGCCGGGGACAATGAAGGGCTCAGTGTTGAGCCAGCCGCCGAGGTTGACACCAAAGATAATATCCTTCTCCCAGTCCCAGCTCTGGTTGAGAGGCTTGGTCCACGAGTTGGCCTGGGCATTGTTGTTGAACGGGTCGGCAGGGTCCCAGTACCAGTGGCCGCCAAACTCGTTCTCATATGTCATGTTGGTTCCGTCGGCGAGAGTGATGATCGAACCAAAGCCGCCTGTAGTGGGAACAGGGGTTGCAGTAGGAGCTGCCGAAGTAGCAGTAGGGGTTTCGGTGCCGGTGGTAACGCCGACCGAGTCGGTGGCACCTGGCTTCTCCTTGGCCGAGTCGGAGCCCGAGTTGTTCTTGTTGAGGCCAACGCCGAGACCGACGCCGAGGCCGACACCAATGCAGATCAAGCAGATGAGCGCGAGGAGGGCCCAAAGCCACCAACGCGACTTGCGTTTGCGCTGGTTGTTCTGCGTGGCCCATGCGGGCGTCTTCTCGTAGTCGGGAGCGGTGGGGACGGCGCCTGCTGGGGCGTACGAGCCAACTGCCTCGTCGTCGTATGGCGAGGTGTAACCATGCTGGAGCTGGGACTGTTGGCGGGGAGCGTGGGCTGCGGCTGCGCCACTAGGGAGCTGGGTGGTGTCAGTGCGCAATTACAGGGGGATGCGAGGGGGTGGCCACTGTACGCCAAGACACCTGCCGCCCGCCGTCTCGAAGCGACCACCGCTGGGGATCTCGCTAGGCAAGGCAAGGCAAGGTGAGGGAGCAAGGTGATGGTCACACGAGTACCTGCGACACCCAGCAATGCGAGAAACGCGGTGTAAACGACTTACAGTTGACCCTGCGGGGGGAGCCTCACCGGCTGCGAGCAATTTGCTGCTACCCCAAGAGGAGCGGGCGCCGTGAGAGCGAACCGAGGGAGCGAGGGAGGTGTAGGTGGAGTCGCGAGAGAAGACGGAGGGCGCTGGAGCTGGGCCGGAAGGGCCGAGGTAGGAAGCGTCGGTCATCTCGTGCTGCTCGGCCGAGTGATAGGCGTCCGAGCCGGAGCCGCGGTCTCCGATGTCTCTCTCAACGGGATGGATTGGCATGTTGAGATATTAGGGGGGCAATGGGGGGAGAATGAGAGTAACGAGTTGACGGTGTGGGATGACAAGTGTGGAGTACAACTTGAGGAGAGGAGGGGGGGGGAAGGAGGAGGACAGTGCGCAAGTGTTGGAGTTGTTGAAAGTCACAAGAGTTCTGGCGAGATTGAGCGTGCGTGTGTGCGTGCGTGCTGTTGAGAAAGAGTTGAAGAGGAGGGGGTATGCGCAAGACGACGACGACGATGGTGCAAGAGCAAGGCCGGGATACTCGTGTGAGAGGGAGTTGTCTGGCGAGATCGACAGAAGGGAGGGGGAAGGGGGAGGAGGGAGAGGAGGGAGAGGAGGGGATGGAGACACGAAGAAGAAGAGAAAGTGAAGAGAGAGAGAGAGAGATGTAAAGAAGAGAGAGA